TTAAGCCGTACGTCCGTAGATCTAATAGCCATTGAATTGGACTATTAGTTCCACGGACCATGAATTGGCTTACCATCTCAGCCACCCACTCTCGAAATGATCGCTGGGTCTGCCGAGCCTGGGTAAATTGAATGAATTGCGATGACTGCGTCGGTGGCAGAACTGGGCCATTTTCGAAATTGAAAAATGGATCATCTGATGTCTGAAATTCAGGCGTATCGAGTGGACTCTCGGTATCCCAATCCCCTGCCATTTGATGCTCCGCTAGCTGATATAGCATTGCCTCAGCCGTGGAATCCAATTTTAATGCCTTGTGGACTACCATGAATCGTGCAATTTTAATAAGCTTCGATAAAATCGGAGGATAGCTCTCTGCCGTACGCCAGCCTGTCTCACCGCGACCGAGCACTGCCGTGGCACAAATCAGCGCGCTCTCATAGTCCTCGACCTTAATTCGATGATTCAGAAGCTCAATACAAAAATTGAGACACGCTAGATCAATAGCAGCAAGCTGGAACGGAGAATCGGTGCTATTTTGCTGATTCGCTAGCGATTCGCTAGCAATTCGCTGCGTGGGATGATCCTCGGTGTCACTCTCTGAATGCTCGCTATTATCGCCTGAACTAGCCGTGGCTGAACTAGCCGTGGTTGAACTAGCCGTGGCCAGGCTAGCTGACCTAGCAATGCCTACGCTAGGTGATGCGCCCGGCTGAGCCAGTTTCCAAAGCGAGTTCCACGCGGCTCGCTGGCGCCTAGTGAATTTGTAATTTGGACTGGCCCATTCGTGCGAGGCCTGCGTACGAGTGAAAAACATCAAAATTTGCTGCCACGGTATGGTATGTCTCTCGATATTATCGGCATCCATGTAAGCTTGTAATGGCTGGTGCGGCAGTCGGTCACGCTCCGTCCGTACGGCCTCGGTGCGAATTGTATGGCTAGTTTTCGTACAAATCAACTGGCTAATTCTCGCGACGGCGGCCATTGCATCCCATATAGCGCTTGCCGCCATTTCCGTCGGATCGGATGAATCGACCTCGGGTGGTTGGACGCAGTCAATAAGGTGCTGTGGGTCGATTCCACGGAGGTAGACGGCCCACCGCGTACGACGGAGCCATGGATTCGCGTCATCGCGCTCGCCAGCTTCAATTAGCTGGGGTAGCTCACTTTCCTCTTTGAAAGCTAGTTCGATTTCATCAATAAGCCGGTCGCCGACCTCGGTCGCGGGCATTGAATCGGTCTCGGCAATGGCCTCCGCCCCGAGCGTACGCACCCGAATATAATGAGATCCTGGCCCCTGGATAAATGCGCGCTGGCATCTTACGACGCGGGTAAATTGCTGAATTTGCTGCTCGGCCGCCGATAAACCTTGCTGCCGCCGACGGCCGCTATAGTGAGCCGGTGCGACCCAACCATGCTGCTCACGCCAATGCTTACGTATAGTGCTAGCTTTCCTAGCGATAAATTGACAAAACTGACCCTTTTCGCATAAAATGCCATCCGAAAAAACTGGCAAATTAGCAATTGGGTCATTTACCGCGGTCGGAGCTTGCCATTCATCGCATTCTTGCGCGCGCTCGGAGGTCTGAACAGCTTTAGCAATTTGGCGTGCTTTCGGCATTGGAAAGCGATGGTTCGGAGATTGAAAGTGTCGAAAGACCTCTCTCGGTCTAACGACGTGCTCGCATGTCTTACACACGAAGACTGGGTCTGTCGAAGGTTGGTGAAAAAATTGGGTTTGCATAATAAAGGTGTAGATATATATCGTACAATAGTGAATTGCATGAAATTTGACGAATGTCTAATGCTAACTTTGGGGTGAAATAGTGTAAAAGAAAAGTGAGACAATAGCTAGGAAGCTTTCAAACCCCCTAAATTAATGGCTACCCCTCCTAATCATTATTGACTAGCATTATCGAGGTTGTTCTATTCGTCTAGAGTGCTGTGGTAGCGTCTTAGGTGCTAATCGTACACCGTAATGGTACACCCCAACAAAACATCTCTAATTTTTAATCGACATTTTCTCGATAACTAGTAGGCTGTGCATGCTCCGAAGCAAATGGGAGATATTTCACATAGTCTATTATAACTTATAAAAATTTGAGAACGATCGGAGTTCATTTGACCTCTGAACCCTGGCGAGGAAATTAACCTGAACTCAGGCGGGGCCCACTTTTTATGTCCCATAGTTAAGACAAAGCCCTAACCTGAACTCTGGCAGAGTTCACCCACCCCCGTGGGATAGGGATAATCCGCCGCCAAACCCTGGCTCTCCTCGGGTGCAAGGACATTTGTTTCGCAGTGTGTAAATGGAAAAATTGAAGGAGCTTCAGATCGTCCATTGCTAGGTTCCCAAGGGCAGGGTTAGACCCGCTCGAGAAAATTGCTGGTAATGGCACATTTATTTCCAGCGCCTGAATTGAATCGAGCGACGGGCCTCTATCCGAGGGCTGGAAAGATTCCGGTAAGGAAGATGTATTGTCATTCGCCAGCTCTTTTCTCCTTGGTCTAGGGGGCTTCTTCGAAGGGCTGCGTGGGCGGGGGTAGGAGCAAGGTTCGCCTCTAGAAGAACAGGTGCCGCAGGCGGGTTGGAATTCATCACACTTTAGGGTATCAGTATCTCATCCGCAACAAAAATCGGAACCACTATGACTTAATGATCATACTTTGACCCTTCGGGTCTTGCAAGGATAGCAACCATTGCGAGACTTGGTGTGGCGGGCGCGATGTCTTTTCACCACACGTTGATAGTCTACAGCGGTGTCGGAAACCGCTGTAACTGCGGTTTGCTCGTCCATTTCTCGAGTATTTTAAATCTCTAAAGGTGAAAATGATAAAGAATATCCACCATAATTGGGAGCAATTGCGTAAGGTTGGAGCCTACGTACTGTAGGAATAAGTGCTACGTCAAGGTAAAACGAGGCTCCGAGGCTCTGGCCTCTGGGTGTAGGGCGGCCCGCAGCGACCGGAGACGTACAGACCGAAGGTTTCCATTTCCGGTCATCCAACCACACAAGGCCTGGAGGCAAATCGACGGAGGAATTTTCTACAGATGTGAACAGTATCAGCTAGGGAATTGAATAATGGACAGAGCAACCTGGCGGCAGGTTGATGGCCGTGTGGCCCGAGGGAGAAGACATACTGCTGAGAATAACTCACGAGTAGAACATGGACGGAAGAATAATACTATGTGGCCGCATGTTGGGCCCACTAGTCTTGATCTAATTCAGACATCCCCTATAATAGAACTGGAAAACAATCTAGTCTCGAAACACTCATGCTTTGATTGTCGATCGGTATCCGAGACGAAGCTAATCCTAGGCAGTAAATTTTAACCTCTGTTCCGAGCGACCAAGCAGAAGCTTTGGAACAATCTCTGCGGCTCAGACAATCATGTATTTACAGAATAGGGGTAGCTTGCATATCGCTTCGGCTGATTTTATCATCAGACCAAAATACGGATCTGTACCTAGTCTAGTGGGTACTGATCTATATTCAACTTCGACAAGGGATCAGATTACATAAATTCATCGATGATTCCATCCATACTGTATCTTAGACTACGTTGTATTGTGTTGCCTGCAGTTCATAGTCGTGTTTGTTCGGACCCGCTGACGACTACGAACATCACGGTGGGTCCTACAATTTCCTCCAACGCTATAGTTAATCACTGTGTTTCGTTAAAAGGTTATAAATGTTAACTTTTTGAAGATCGGAGTCGGAGACCCACCTGTATTCTTATTCTTTGGGTGGGGCGTTTATATACGAGCACGGCAGTTGATAACGCCTCCTTTATCTCAACAGCCGGAGACAACCTGCGAAACGACATCTTTGGTCCATCCTTGTGGGCCAAGCAACAACATACGGATTGTTAATATGTATAAATTATTCCACAAGACTATAAATGTTGCCACAAGAAAGGTTCATCTTCAACCCAGATGTCTGTTATGTTGTTCAAGGGTATGGCCAAGTCATACTCGCTCAAACTTCTCTTTGCCTTACATCGGTAGCCAATGTAGCTTGCAGCTTGACTCCACATCGCCAGATGCGCCTTAATCCTGCCATACCAGGATAGCACAGCGACCCTAGTTGTGTCTTTGTCCGCGAAAGACATAATACCATCTTCTGCGCCTCTTTCGACATTCCTTTTGACACCCGGGATCCTAATTTATGCTAGCAAAGATCTCATAACTTAGAAATTGGCTGGGCACGCCCTTTCCCGAAAAAGTTAGTACCCGGAGTTCAACGAATCTAAACCCTAGACCGACGGTATCTAGGCACCGACTTAAGAGATATCGCTAGGGGGTATTCTACCTTATTATTACCTACAAGAATAACGATCCTAAAAAGACCACCGGATTAATATTCAAGACGACAGATCCTTTTAGCGACGATGCTTAGCCGATTCCTATTCGATATAGCGCTAAGTTCATCGAACCTGACCTTTTTTAGGATGATGATAGAACAGCATACGTTGCTACCGTTAGGGTCATTCTTTAGACAGTCGATGTCACGACTGGTACCCTTAGGAAACCAAGCCAGATCTAGAATAGCAGTACTGGTAACTTCTTTAAAAGGCCTTATCTCTACGGTGATGCGTTTGGGGAAATAGTAGGGGTTTGGAGGTACTTTAGAACATCGTTGAGAACAAGTGGTTGGGGCGGGGAGAGTGGAGAGGAAAGGGGGTGGGGGCGGAGAGGGGTGGCATGTAGTGTATGATCCTGAGCGAGGCTGCGGAAAGTGACATCTGGCCATGTAATAATAATTTCTGAACCGAGGAAGTGCCTAAGGGAAGAAACCCAGGAGTTCTGGATTTTCTCGTTATATCAGACACTAGTCCGAGCACTGATGCCCTCTTGACAGATCAAAAAGAATGTTGACAGCCTCAAAATCTCTAACATGAACACAAGCGGAGAGACCCGATTTGCGGGTTGTAACAGCAGATCATGATATGATATCTGTCGCAAAAGTCCCACTTCCCAGTGGCTACCGCGTTGAGTCATTTAGTGTCGTTTGCTAATTCGGATGTTGAGGTCTGGTTTTTCCCACAACATATATAGTTTCTGTTTTTCGATCCAATTCATGCTGTCCGGTAAGAGCTCTTCCAGGTTGTAATGCCAGAGAAGATTGGCAAAAATCATGCGCATCTCTGCCCATGCCAAACTAAGAAGGAGGTTAGGTTCTGCTTTAGAAGACGAGTGTCTGTATTTTCTATCGTACAACCAAAAAGAATCGGGCATATCCTGCACGACACGAAGAATGGTAGGAGAGGTTTAACACTCACTTTTTACCTAGACAATTTCTTGCTCCGATACTAAATGGCTGGAAAACGCTCCGATTATCTGATCGAAACTCCGGTGGGCAATCCTTCAACCACCGCTCAGGGAGGAACTCATCTGGTCGTCGGAAGTTCAACGGCGAACGGAACGCGGCAAACAAATTGACCGTGACGCTCGTTTGTGGAGGAACGAACTCACCGGCGATGATGCCACCTTGGACCGGTACTATACGAAAGAGGCTATCCGCCGCTGGAGGGTACAATCTAAGGGCTTCGGAAAGGACTGCATTAATGTATTCATGCTTTTGGAGATTTTGGAAAGTCATTCTGGTCGAATCGGCAAAGTCATTTCGGATGATTGAGGTGGTCTTGTACAATATACTGGGATTCCTAAGAAGCAGAAAGGTCAAGCCGGACAATAGAGTGGCCGCTATTGCTGCCAATTAGTATAATTCATTTACAATGTGGATCAAGGAGGATGACTGACTAGTTTCGCTGCCCGCGATAATCCAGGTGATGGACGACACAGCAATTTCAGCGTCGGATAGCCTAGATAACAGAGGCGTCAAAAATAAATTCCAGGCTTCTTCATTTTCTGAAAGCTAACCTCCGCTCATCAACATGTCGTAAAAGATAAGACATAAAGTCAGGTCGCTCCGTTCCGCGCTTCATTCTTTTCTGTGCCTGTTCTGCACCGAATCCAAACGCGTTCTTTGAGTGCGCCAGCTGCCGTTTGGAAAAAATCATTGCTAATGTGATATAGGCCATCCAACTAGGGTAGTGAGACATCTCTCGGGTAATTGAATGGATTTTGAGACTTCCAAAAAGATCATCGAGCCACGGATGCATCTCATTTTTTTCAAGTCCACCGAAGCTCGCGCCAAATGCCAGCTCACCGATAATATCTGTGGTCAGGTAATTAAACCATGTAGCCGCATTGGTAGCACCGTTCTTCGCAGAATTCATTTCTTCACCCAGGCGAGAAATAAACAGGTCAACATATCGCTGCACATAATACTCTTGCAAAGATAAAGCTTTTTCCGAAAAGGCATGGGCTTGGGCTCGACGTAATCGACGATGATCTTCATCGTCTGCGTTAGACTAACATAAGTGATCAGTCGTCCTGCTGTGGCAAATAACTCAAGGATCTAGCAGTTCTTACAATATTGCTTACATCCTTGTCTGACTTGATGTAGTACTTTGGGTCCTTCGAGAAATTGCCTCGCATGTTGCTTTTTTTGAGGCCGTAAATATCTTCGAAGGTCGCATTTGGTCAGAAGCAGAGTGTCTTAGATAACTTACGAAGACTTACCGTTCCAAGCCTCGCTACATGTGTATGAGACGGCATTAGGAGCAATGCGAACAACGTGACCGTACTTCCTATGCAGCCTTTCCGTTCGTTGGGTTATGGAGCCTCGCAAGAGATGGAAAGTGTACGGAATGCGAGTTGCTGCATATAGCTGTGGGCCTGGATATTTTCTCAATGGATGAAACCAAAGATTGTATATCAGTGTAAAGACGAGGTAAAAGATCGGCTATGAATTTTGAAGTAAGTCTCATCAGCAAGCCACTATACATCGAGACGGGGAATATGTACTAACAATGGAGGCAGCAAGGGCGCTTAGAGTCGCTACAGGTAGCATCTTTAATATCATATAAGCCATTTCAGTGCCGATGACAGTAGAAGGCGTAACTTCGGGCTTCCAACTGTGACATCTTCAGCTTATCTGCGAAAATACTTATAGCCCCATAGAGAAGATTGGGTCTACACTTCTCGAGGTTTTTTGCTGGAAAGGAAGGATACGTAGATTCTGAGAATGGGCGAACTGTACGATTACGGACACGTTGATTTCGGCATATACGAATACGGATGGGTCTGTGGAGAGACATATACACTACCATTGGACCATTCTGTTTAATCCTGGTTCTACACGACCAGCCATATGAAAGAAATGGTAGCCGACATGCGAGATAAGACGCGTGACTAGGTACTGCATGAATACGAGAGCTCTAGGCTCTGGTAAGAATTCTATTCTTGAATGCAATAGTTCTCAAACACTTGATATTAGCCTGCTAGAACGTAGTGTTGAGACTAGAGAAGAAGATAATGCTTTCCGAAGAACTGCATGATTTTAATGGCTGAGGTTGCGGGGTCCGAAAATGAAAGTTGAGAATGTAGGAAGCCGGAGGCCGGCGGGGGCCGGGGGGGGGGGCGCGGGGTTGTTACGGGCCTATTGTGCTGATGAGAGCGTTTAAAGCGCTGGAGTACATACAATTGTTGAGGTTAAACAGGAGCATAGTAGTTGATATGTCAGACCGGTAAAAAGAGGGAATGTAAAATATGGATAGAGAACCAGACGAACAAAGACACAGAATAATGGCTAGTTACGGCCTGGTCAAAAAACGTGGCTGGGAAGCCGAACAGTACAAGGTGTGAAATGAAAATGCTGAGGGCTCGTAATTATTGAATCTTTAAATAGACTTACATAGGTTGATCGTAGCCTGAGTAAAGAGGTCCTGAATTGTTGAACTGTTAATTTTTGATGGCCGCTTGAACGTACCACCATAGGGGATAGGAGCGAATGGTTGAGAGCACTGGCTTCGAAGATTAAATAGGAGCAAACAGACAAGTAAGTAATAGCGGGGAGAGTGGAGTGGTAGATTGGACGAAATAAACAATGCACTCAATCGGGTTTTGAAGTCAATGGTTGTTTGGTTGTATTTATGTACTCCCGTACTCCTTTCCACACCAGAATGCTTTAAGAATCTCAAATATGACTATACAAATCAATTGCCATGCCAGCCCGGTGGAATGAGCATGTATGAATTAATTCTTTGCTTTAAAAATTAATTGATCAGATTGTTTAATCCACTTTCTCTCCCGTGTAATTTCTTTAATAAGGTTAACATTCTTCAATTACCAATCCCCAGCATTTTCATTCGACAAACTTCACTTTTCCATTTTCCAGCCACATTGAATTTTTGTATTTGACTAGTGTGTAGCATCTGACAGTGTGTTGACGTTTGATCCTAGTAAGACTTTTGGGGCTGGTTACTCTGATAGGTCTCAATATAATCAAGATTACAAGCTGCATTATTTCACACCTTCTAGACCACACTACTAAGACTCAATTCGGTACTGGCCTGGGATGCAACCGTTAGTAAAAGGTCGGACTAGATTACTACTCATATCCTTCTCATTTCTTTGCTACATTATAGTGGCGGGTATAACTCGCACCCTTCATTCCCCCCTGCGCCTACATAAAGTCCGCATAGTGATAAGCACCCTTAGTTCTCTAGCGTTCCATGCGGGCGTCGCTCTTGTAACCTATACGATATCCATGCTGTGTTACACAGCTTGCTTGTCATTAACAGGATTCGATGTGCATTCCATATTGCCGTTCTTGCAAACGTTCAAGTAGTAAATCAGGTGTTCTTACCCTTCAGTATCCTTTGGAAGCTGTTAACGTTGCTATTAATTTCCGCATGTCTGCCATTCTCCAACAACCATGTCCCCTCGGCACGGCGCGCCTTGATGATTCTCTTTCTCGTCTTAGAGTAAACGGCCGATCTCAGGGTCTTCGCAATACCGACACCAGGGTATACCACAACACCGAACATGGCACAACCCGCTTTAGACGTCATGTTTGCCATGCCCTTGCCAATACCAGTTGCAGCGCCCTTTGCACCATCCTTTCGGAAGCCTTCGTACGGCTTCACGACCAAGTCGCTCACCGCCTCCACCATCCCCAATGCGAAGCCTGTACCGGCAAGAGTAAAGCCACTCTTAATGCCAGTAACGGAACCGTGGTCCCGTGGCTTCTCGCCATATAATCGAGGGACATTGCGCATTCCCTCCGTCATGGCGAGTGGGATGTCGACAGTCATGCCTTTCAGCGCAGTCGGCACAAAGTTGGCAAGACTCTTCATTGAAGCTCCGGCCATTCTACCTGCAAGCCTAGCTCCATGTCCTTTGGAGGCTGACGATGCATTTGCTGTGGAAACTATACTGTTTGTAGGGCTGAGTCTATTGTCAGCTCCCTCATGTGTCGTCTGCAGGGAGCAGTTTCCGGTAGAGCTGCTTGTCGGCCTTTTTGCAGCTTGACTCGAGGCAATCCTCAAGGGCCGATCACTGTGGCTTACTTGGTAGTCTTTATATTCCTCATAGGGTTTGAAGAACAACCCCAGGACAGAATCAATGAGGTCGGTCGTGGTCCCCATGACGGCAGAGGCTCCGCCTGTGAGAGGGTCCCATCGACGATTTTCAATCACAATAGGCTTTAGTGCATGTCTGAATACCGGTCAGTTACGTTACTACAGAGCAACAGAAGCTTCACATACATTTTCAGCCGTTTTGGATCAATCAAGTTTTGCGCGACTAGCGATGCTGCTGCGACTTTTGACAGTTTCACCTTTGTGTCACCCGTGGAGTAAGACCACACTGCTGGTTCCCCCGAGTATATATCACAAGAGAGGCGTTCCAATGGAAGATGTCGATGGAAAGAAGAGATGGCGGCTTGAACTCCTGTTTCAGATGCCATTTTTATCGCAATTACGGAGGCTGCAGTGATCGCTTGCTCCGTGAAGCAATATCGAATTCCTTCAGCCAAGATATCAACATTTAGCTCTTGGTGAGGGATAGGGTCAGGACCAGCACCCGCTGCAGCAACCATAGCACCCCAGAACGGTTGACTAAGGAGTTAGTCTCGAGGTCGTTTGAAACAAGATTGGGTATCAAATCACTCACTCCCCCCAAAAAACGGGACAATGATTGTAGGTCTTGCATTCCGCAGGCCACAAGCCGTCGTGCCAGCGCCTCCATGATGCACCACAGCCGCCACGTGTTGGAAGAGCCATTCATGAGGGCAATCTTCGACGAAGTATACGTTCTCGGTATGTTTTCCGCCCAGATTCGACCAACCCTTGGAAATGATAGCCCGAACACCAACAGCATTGACCGCGTCAAGAATGGCTGTATTAATTCTGACCGGATCCTCAAGCACAATACTTCCAAAGCCAATATATATTGGCGGTGGACCAGAACATAGAAAGGCCTGGAGATCCGTTGGAGGTTCGTATGTTGGCGCATCACGGAAGAAAAAACCGCAGACGTCTATAGGTTTTGTCAGCCACGTCTATCAATACACAGGGAACTCCGTCACGAGGCACTGACCAATATAAGACGGCCAATCCAACGGTTTGGGTATAAGAGCCGGAGACCAGCAGTATGTGAATGGGACTTTCAGTATTTCAGCAAGATGAGGACCCTCAAACATGGCCACTTCATCTAGATCAAGCACTTTTCGCCATCGATTGATCACATCCCCTACACTAATAGAATGGATTAGTACGGTGTATCCTTTGTTCAGTTGCAAATGGAACCTTACCCTTGCCATGTGAGCCAATTGACAAGATCGTACGAGGCATAATTCTTGAAACCCTGATCTGGACAGTCTGTCGTGAAGTTTGCTAGGGGATGTGGAAAAGACTTTGTATTGCTCCAAGGCATAGTAAACATCAAATGTACCGGAACGCTGAGAGCTTGAGCACAGTGAACGTGTGCAAAGCTCGGTGGATTGGCGATAATAGCATCAGCCACGAATGGATGGCCAGTTACCACATCCGGCTCTATACATGAGCTCCAGCATCCATCGAGCATCTCCCGAATCATGACGCGCTTGCGACGGATCTCGCCTGCTCGAAAGCTCTCCATGCTAGGAATAAGCCCGGGAGTCTTGACCATGTATGCCATCAGCTCTCTTGGATCGCCTCCAATAGGGTAAAACTCTAATCCCGATTCCCTGACGAAACCTTCGAACATGTCGTGTGTAGCCAGACGCACACGATGTCCGTATCGCATAAGTTCATTTCCGAGGGCAATGAAGGGTTGAACGTCACCCCGACTTCCCACGACTTGAATTACAATGTTTAGCTTGACGACCCAACCTTTTGCATTCTCCCTACTTGGCTCGGGATGTTCCGATATGCGATCGGGTCTAACGGTGGTAGCATCGGCATCCTGCTCAGAATACTCAGGTGGTGGTGTAGTAGGAGCTCTTAGGAAAGGGCCAGTATAGAGCTTCGAGAGCCCTCGTACGAACTTTGAGTCCCAGTCGATATCAACGCGGCCGGCATCTATTTCTCGCAGGCCACAAATCAATACATCGAACAACAAAACCAGCATCAACATACCCACAGCAAAAAAAACACTCCCAAAAAAAACCCCAAAAAAGGAAGAATAAACGTACCATTCAGATTGATGCCACTCTTACCCGCGGTCCAAGGATGGGTAGATGCCTCCATGATAGGCTCACCAGGTAGCTCGAAGACATCTCCACAATGGCCATTGCCAGACATATTCGCCAGACTCCCGTAGATGAGGAGAAACAGGAGGTGCAAGAAAATCAATAGAAATGGCCGAGTAGAAAAGATGCAGATTAGAAGGATTTGGAAATGATGTTTGATCATTGATTACGACATCATCGAACTTTATTCAACTTCCATTAAACGAATACGACCCGCACCCCTTCTTGTTCGGTTAAAGTTGAGCCTAACTTTAAGTCTTAAAACTAATTGTGGGGCGTATTCGTATACGTTCAACATACGGTCATCCTCAACCAATTGCGAGGTTTTTGTTTGAAACAAATAACGGACCAGGAAACTTGGAAAGTAATTGTCCCTATGATTACCTTGAGATCTACAGCCACTGGCTACGGAATGGGGCACAGGAAGACCGCGCTTTTCCAATAGTCTTATCCTGCTTGATTTCTACGTACTATATTGCGGTAATAGTTTCCTATCGTTTGAGCCTTGGAAAGCGAGTTCATGTGCCATAGAGAAAATAGCTGGCGTGGTAGTTACAATTGATCTATAGCAGACCTTTGCATACGAATAAGAACATTACTTGAGCAGTTCTAGCTCATATTAATGGCGAGTGGCTCTGCTCGCAGAGATCCAGGTATATCATAAGCTCTCGACTGCGGCTGAGGCGGTTCCCCGCTGCCGCGCTTCTTCAAGTACTGCATACATCTGAGCCTGTATAACATTTTATACGCAAACGGTTCCTCGAATCAGAGGGAGAGCTCGTTTACGTATAGAGCTGTCGCGTTCGTACTCTGCTCATACCGCAGTAGGGATCATCCCACGATGTCTCCACGGCGTTATGTTACTGCCTGGGCATCGGGTTTCTCAGCTATAAAGCCCATGGATCTGTCGAGGCGGTCTTCAAGATTCACACACAATTGAGAACTAAAGAGACCGAGAACACATCGTCAAGTAGAACCATGAAGAACTTTGCCACAACACTCGTCACCGCGCTCCTCGCCGCTACCGAAGGAGTCTACGCGTTTCCCAGCACCGGAACCACCCCGCTGAGGGAGGAGGCAAGCAAGAAGGACATTCTCATCGGGTCTGGGGCGATCAACCCGACCTACCTCAATGATCCCAAGTTCGCGGCCGTCCTTGCCAACCAGTTCAACAGCCTCTCTCCCGAAAATGAGGGGAAGTGGTCGTTCTTTAACCCGACCGAAGGGTACTACAACTGGACCTCCCTCGACCGCCTCGTTGACTTCGCGGAAGACAACAATATGGTGGTCAAGGGACACGGGCTCATTTCGAGCTGCTGTAACCCCGACTACGTGCTCAACATCACCGACCCCACAGCCCTTCGTGCTGCGATGACGGCTCACTTCGAGGCGTTCATGCACCGGTACCACAAGAGGATGGATCGGTGGGACGTCGTCACCGAGGCCCTCGAAACGCAGGGCGGCGGCCTGAATGCGAATATCTTCTATAACGTACTCGGTTCCGGCTACATCGCAGATGCCTTCCGCATCGCCCGTGCAGCCGGCCCGGACGCTAAGTTGTTCATCAACGAGAATCTTGTTGAATCACTCCCCGGCAAGCGCCAGGAACTCTACGACCTCGTCTCCGGACTCGTGGCGGACGGCATCCCGATTGACGGAGTGGCCCTGCAGATGCACATCACACCCCCCAAGCAGCCCCAAAACCAGGAGTCATCACGGAGATAGTCAACTCCTACACGGCGCTCGGACTGGAAGTGACAATTGCTGAACTGGATGTCCACACACTTGACAACGCACTCGAGACCGACATCTACGGTGCCGTTGTCGGCGAGGCTCTCAAAGCAGGAATCACCGACATTAGCTTCTGGGGCTTCACGGATAAGCATGCCTACACCTGGGTGCCGGGCGCAAAGCCCTTGATGTTTGACCAGTGCTACAAGCCCAAGAGCGAGTTTTACGCCACTCACAGTGCCCTCGCGAACTTCGTCAGCGGGCCCTAGGGAGCTCGAGCACCGTCAAGCCATCAAATATTGTGCTTTACGCGTGCAGTCACAGAACTAAGAGGGTCATGATCGGATTAGCACGTTCGGGGAGTATTCAACACTTCCGAAGGCATGGTTTCTCCCATATTTGCAAAGCTTTCAACAGCCTTACTCTAGTATATATGTACAATATGTAACAAAACAATCAGAATGAATAAGTTGACTTATATCGGAACTCGTTCACCAATGCCAAGATATCCAATGCTTCCTCAAGCATCCGCATTTTCCTACCAAGAATTCTATTTCCGACTTTCCAGCCAGCTTCTCTTTTCAAATTTCCTAGTAAGACGAGGAGTGATCCTGCGTCCCTGGTTGCTCCTGGGATCTCGATTTGTGTTCCTAGACCATGCATGTCCTACCCCTGGGAGTCATTCGTTCGTTCTGAGGAACCCTCGTACTCCCGAGATTCATGCTCAGTGGGTTAGGAACAGATGTAAAGCGCACGATCGTCTCTTGCGCGTCACACGCGCACTGATCATCGCGGAAGCCGAATTTCTTCGCGTAGGTGGATAACCAATTATGGCAGTCAAACTTGGGCAGTGGAAGTGTCGGTCTGTACAGGTCCATTGGCGAAGAATTGAGCCGGTCGCTTGAGGCAGTTACTCCGCAGATGCTACAGGTTGCCCAATTAGAAAGGGATCACCTGCTAAGAGAAGAGGTGAGCCTTACGACCCTTTGGGTTGTGTGACGAGGCCAACGCAATGCTAAGTTAGCATTGCTAAAAATGAATAAAAGGCCCGGGCCAGCTCGTGGCGACGAAGAGGCGGCTCTTTCAACCAATCGTTGTACGCAATTCTACCGATTGAATTCATTGGCCGTACTCGTATCAACTGGATACCTACCCACTCCGCTTACAACAACGCCAAGCGGTGTGGGAGGGTAAAATGCCATGAGTGTTTCCATCGCTTCGCTCCACAATGAGCCCGGCATGCAACTTCGAAAATTCCCTATTCTTATTGTCGTGGTAGTCTGTTTTGACCTTATCATTAGGCGGTTGCCGACCTCGAAGTCTTAGATATTTGTTCGCGTTTACCACGCAATTTTCCTCATCATGATCCGATTTCTTTGACTTTGTGGCTGCGACAGAGCGTGCAAGCTTGCCTTGTGCCTGGCGAAGCCCTTGAGCTCTAGCTCGGGAAGATGGTGGAATTCGGCGAATGTAGAGTGCGAGTCGAGCAATTAGAGGCCAACCAAGTTGAATGGTTAAACTTGTAACCATTTCTGCTCGTGTTCGCGTGCTCCGTCCCCCTTGATGCCTGGACATTCTGTAGTTGGGTGTCTCGGGCAAATGCTCTTTCGGCCAAATCCACAAATCCTCCGAACTGCATGACTCCGGATTCACGGAACAGGAAGGGTCTAGGGGCCCTTCCCCAGTCTCGTCCCCCGTAGTCTGCCCCATGGGGAGAAAATAGGCTCAATATGAAGCGCAGAACTCAAATCGGCCTTCTAGCCGGAGAATCAAAAGTTCGTTTGCGGGGTGATGAAGATATGTACCGTATTTTCGAAAGCCAAACTACCGGATCTGGGCTTCGAAATATCAAACTCTGTCTCCTTCTACAGCTCCGCCGGCTAAACCAAAGTAGCAACATCCTAGACGGAAAATAAATCATGATAGCTTGACGTATTCCATAATGATTGTTTAACCGGTGGAGGTATTTGATGGAAAGCATGCGGGGGTGTCAAAACCTGAACTTATATATAATCACCCTCACTCTTTCCCTTCTCCAGGCTAATTACTGCTGTTGTCACTATCTCCCTCCCCCAAAGGTTCCCCGATTGTACAACGGCCGCAACATGGCACATACTGAAGATGGCTTCATGAGGCTCCGAGAGCTCTGCACTGAAAAGTCATGGTGGCGCGTGCCGCACCTCATAAAACTAAACCTGCTCCTCTTGGTTCCGTTCGTCACGAGCTACGTAGGTGGTTTCGATGGCAGCATGCTCAACGGGATCCAGACGGTCCCGAAATGGCAACAAGGTTAGCTAGATCTGGGAGCTTCTCTGGCGTGGACACGCCGTGCTCGCTGTTTGTACCAGTCAAGACTAACCGTGATGGGATTTACAGATTTCAACCACCCTCACGGGAGCCTCCTGGGGCTCATGGTGAACATGCAAGTCATCGGTGGCGTGGTCTCTTTGCCCCTCGCTCCCTTCGCTGCGGATAAGTACGGACGACGACATCCCATCTTTCTCGGGGCCGTGATCATCATTCTTGGTGCACTGGTGCAGGGATGCGCGAAGAATTTTGGCATGTTCATTGCTGGGCGGTTTTTCGTCGGCCTCGGCGGAGGATTTGTCGCAACCGCTGCCCCTCCGCTCCTCGGAGAGCTGGCGTACCCGACACATCGCCCCATTATCACCGCCATTTATAACACTACATGGGTGAGTTGGCATATCTGACGGGGATAAGTCCCCTTCTCTTCCAGCTCTAGGATTCGACCGTCTAATCTTGTATATAGTACGCGGGGGCTATCGTTGCTGCTTGGGCCACGTTTGGCACCTTTAGGATGTCAAGCAGCTGGAGTTGGCGAATCCCCTCACTCCTGCAAGCCCTCCTCTCGATCTTTCAGGTAATATTCATCTATTTCGTGCCGGAGAGCCCCAGGTGGCTTATAGCCAATGGACGGACGGCGGAAGCTACGAAGATCCTTAGTATACATCACTGCGGGACCGAAGAGCCGACTGAGCTCGTCCGGCTCCAGGTAGCCCAGATTACGAGCGCCGTCGAGTTTGAGCGCTCGTGCGAATCAGTTTCTTACCTTCAGTTCTTCCAGACAAGTAAGTCCCTATGCCCTTCTACATACTAAAAGCAGAGACGCGATGCCAATGCCTATGGTTCACATCTAGAGGGAAACCGTCATCGGCTGTTCATCGTTGCCATCCTTGGCTTCATCATCCAGTGGTGCGGTAACCAGCTCATCTCGTCGTATCTTGCTCTTGTGCTCAACGGCGTCGGCATCACCGACCCCACTACACAGAATCTCGTCAATGGAGCACTCCAGATTTTCAATTTTGCCGTTGCTTGCGGCTCCGCCACCCTCATCGACCGCCTTGGCAGGCGGTTCATGCTTCTCACGTCCACCGTCGGCATGTTGATCGCGTTCATAGTCTGGACTGCCCTTGCGGCCCAAAACCAACAGCAAGGGAGCGGAAATAAAGGCCTTGGTATCGGTGTTGTGGTGATGGTGTTTGTATTCTACGCCTTTTACAACTTCGCAATGAACCCCCTGCCCATCGCCTACCTGCTCGAGGTGCTGCCGTATACGCTCCGCGCCAAGGGCCTGACCGTCTTCAACTTGGCGCAGTACTGCAGCAGCCTCTTCAACGGCTTCGTCAATCCGGTAGCACTGGATGCCATAGGTTGGAAGTACTATATTGTGTTCATCTGCGCCCTGGTGTTGTGGCTCATCATCATCTACTTCACTTTCCCCGAGACTCGTGGCATGACGCTGGAGGAGGTCAGCGAGATCTTTGATGGGAGACAAGTGCTCGAGAGACTGTACGACATCAAGGCTGAGGGGCTTGGTGAGACTGAACACACGGAGAAGGCCACGCCGGATGCCAAGAGGACAGAGGAAATGAAGGCTTAGTCCTGGTGTTGATTCAGTCGTTGAGCTGGGTTGGTAGGCAGGTACGATGTCACCGGTCAAGAAGGTAGGTCATAACTCGTTTGTGTTACTTTAGTACGAAGATAGTTTATAGGAGTTAAGCACGAACCTTCATCTGATAAACTAAGGAGATAACTACAGACTTTTGCGTACCTTCGTCCCTTGGATGGTACAAAACCATCGTAGCTTTTCGCAAAATCCGAGCCCACTCTTTAAATCGCCTATATCTTGAGAAAAATTTGGAAAAAAAAAAAAAAAAAAATTCAAAGTATTACTGACATGTGTTATGTGTCAAAGAGCTATAATATTATAAAACCACAATACAGTCACCCGTATTTTTCTTAGGAAATAGCCGCTTAAACATAGTAAGTAACGCTTTGGAAATTTGCTTCAAAAACAAGAAAGAGTCAGTAGTGTTGACCTCAAAGATTATAATGAGAAATACAAGGGTTTGATTATACGGAACAGCCATCTAAGCATAAGTTCGTCGGTCGGTGCTATGGAAATGTCGATTCAAGAAGTGAAGAACGAAGTAGAATTTTGATGTGTCGGAAACTTCAGATACCTATTGTGCATGTGAAGAACGTAACATCGAAAGGTTCGCTATCGTACTGCCAAAGGAGGAACATTGAAGTTGAGCTTCCAGGCGCAGCAGTTTCTAATCTCCATCACGCATGTCCGCCATTGGCCTTCGCATTCATTCTATCTGCAATCATGCCTCGCATCATCAATGCCGACTGCTTGGGCGTTCTCTCGAGTGTGTTGTAGTCGGTGAATGTCACACCAAACCTCATACCGTACCCTTCGGACCATTCTGTGAGCAAGGTCAGTATCGAGACTCAAGGGATCGGAGCTTTCATCCGTTCAAAAACACGAGGAATGTCGGTGAAAATTGAGTCAACTCACCCAAGTTATCGATCAACGACCAGGCGAAGTATCCAGGTACTTTTGCCCCGTCCTGGATTGCCCCAATAATGGCATCGAAGTGGTCCGAAAAGTATTGCTGGCGATACACGTCCTTGACAGACTCTTCCCTGCTCATCTTGTCTTCACCGGGGCAGGGACACCCATTTTCAGTGACATAGACAGGCTTTCTGTACTTCTTGTAGATTCTCACAAGGTGCTTTCGGAAGCCTTGGGGAGCAGAGCGCAGCCAGCGGATACCGCTCGGCTCACCAACCGAAATGCCGGCGTTGTTCTCTGGGCACTCATCCACGTTGCCGATGTAGTCTTCATCGGGTGCTGGAGAGGTGCGATGCCGCGCGAATTGAGTAGTGTAATAGTTCATACCGTAGAAGTCGAGCTCCGCCCCGCGTAGCAGGGCGAACTCAGCTTCTGTAAAAGTGGGGAGGCGGTCTCCAAGCTGTGCACGCATAGGCGCAGGATAATCCTGCGCAAGGCTTGAAGGTGACACCACATCAGCAAGCTTGTGCGTACAGGGGAAATAGATCTAGGGGTTCAACCAGGGATGTTCCGCTAGGGCGACTTACAACATGGGGTTGGCGAACCAGCCAGTAGAAAATAGCATCCTCCTCTCCGCCGCTTCGTGGTCCTTGGGTTCTGCGGAATCCCACGGCTCATAATAGTCGCCACTTAGAGACACGCCAATACGGCCTCCTTGCCTCGGTTTGAACTCTTTGTTGTACAGTCTTGCCGCTTTCGCATGCGACAAGATCAGGGATTTGCCAACAATCCAAGGCTCAGTTGTCGAGTCACCCTCAGCACAGTCTTTGTTGGTGCTGCTTCGACCGGGGGCATCAACGCCCTTGGAGTATCCCTGTAACCATGTTAGCCCGTCTGCTGTCCATTTTAGACCGTTCCATCGAGTGAGAACCGCCCGGCAGGAGTGGAAAATGTGTCGTGAAGTTTGACTCAAACAGCCTCGTTACTCACATGGATAGAAGTGACCCACGGCTCATTCAGCGTGATCCAATTCTTCACCCGGTCCCCGAACCGCTCATAACACACCCTTGCGTACCGCTCAAAGTCCTTCTGCGACTCCTCAACGTTCAGCCAACCGCTGTACCGGTCATGCAGCGCCTGTGGCAGGTCCCAGTGATACAAAGTGATCCAGGGCATAATATTCCTAGCAAGTAGTCCGTCGATGAGCTTGTTGTAAAAGGCGACACCTGGCTCGTTCACAGGGTCATTTCGTCCGCCGAGGGGGATGATACGCGACCATGACAACGAAAATCGGTACGCTTTCGCGCCGTACTTGGCGAGAAGATCAAGGTCCTCCTCGTATCGGTGGTAGTGGTCGCAGGCGACATCACCGTTGGCGCCGTTCGTACGGGATGGTTCAAGGTGGGTGAAGGTATCCCAAATAGAAGGGCCTCGTCCATCTTCATTGACGCCACCTTCGATTTGGTAGGCAGCTGTCGCAAAACCCCACTCAAAGTCCGAGGGGAGTGCCATGTTGGATATGCACGTCTGCAGCTGTACGTATTGATGTTAGGGTGGTGTTCAAAAGACTGTTTTCTCTCACAGTGACTTCTTCTTCCTGGTGAGAGTCTGATTTCTCGAGGGAAACGGCGGTCTTTTATCTTTTGGAGGACGCTGCGTCGCTCCACCTCAAAGCTTTCGGAGCATGGGAAATTTTGGCGCAACCAGAGGTTCTCCCAGAATTCCTCCGAGGTCCCACAAATACCACTTTCAGGTACATAGGAAGTTACCAGCACCGGGACTGATCACTGACTACGGAAGCTTTGTACAGAGTCCTGGAGTCCTGGAGTCCTGGATGAAAAGAACCTTGAGCTACGTCGTAGGCCCCACGGCCGAGAACCTAGGCAGCGGGATTATTTGCCCGTCACAGGCCGTGGAACAATTTGGCCGATTTCCAAGTCAACATCCAACTACTGACGCAAAAGCAATGGTGCGGGGAATACGCCGCATATCCATGGCTCTAGTGAATAATTATATAGTAACTACATGCTGGATCCACTGTACTAATGGTATTGTCCTGTCACCATGATACGCACTACTCATATATTAGGGTTGGACCTGTGTCGATAATACTGGGTCATGACCCCACAGAAATCTATAACAATACAACCATCATACACATGCTACAAGACTAAGGAGTACTCTGTGAGAAGTCAGTCTACTTTTAGTCTAGCGGCTTAGCATTTGCGAGACAGTTCCACAGGTTAAAAGGGATGGCCATCGCGGCGAAATATAAATGCGACGATGCCTAATTGCCCGATCCCCAAAACCCCGCTGATTTCCACCGACCGCCACCTGCACGTTCCCCCGCAACCCGATGGCTTCGCTAGTAGGTACAAGGCAGGCTTGTAGGCTATGTCGTCGTCGCAAAGTCAAGGTGAGTAACAATGCTGCTGATGCGGGATTTCTCCGGAAAATCAACCCATTTCGCTGACGGGGAAACCGTAAGTGTGATGGCTTGCCGACTTGTCGCAACTGCCACGCGGCCAAGACACCTTGTCACTACTCGCCCCCGAAGAAACGGGGTCCGAAGCCGGTCCAAGGGCAAGACATTCGCCCAAGAGAGCCTCTCAGCTCAACATCTCCGGCCACTGATACATTGGGGGGACTCGAAAGCCCAGCCCTCCTGCCAGCGGGGAGGGCTTACTCGTACCCGGCTTCGGATAGTCTGCTATCCCGCAACAGTATAACGGCAGATGCCCTATCTGCACCGCCAGAAAGCCAAACGCAAACTGCCGTTAGAATACATATAGACCTCCTGGCGGGGTTGCTAGTTGCTGCTCCGTCCAATACAGCGGCGTCGATCACAAATCACTGTATTCTCCTGTACACCCAGTATGTTTTCGGGACAGTTCCGATGTGCCATGAAGCTACACTCCGAGCGACCGTCAGCCGTTTCTTCATCTCTCCCTTAGGCGGGGTCGACCCTTCAGAGAACCCCGTGCGGATCTCGCGCTGTTTTGCCGCTGATAATGAGCAGGAGCGGATCGGGATCCTCAGGAGTCTCACCCTTCTCACGGCCCTATGCGCAGCCGTAACATACGTCCTGTCCGAGTCCCTTCTACCCAATAAGCACCTCACTGCCCCTCTATTCCTCCGAGCGGCGCGAGAAACTCTCAGGATCTACGAGGACTATGACCTCCAGCACCCCGACTCCTCGTCCCTTATTATCCGGCTATTCCTCTCATCGGCCATACAGATTGCCAAGGGAATGCAAGGAGTGGCTTTTCATATCCTAAGCGAAGCGGGTCTCATCGCGATGAGAATGGGTCTCTACGATGAGAGCTCGCTCGAAGGGCGAGAGCCCATTGAAGAGACCCTCTTGCGAAATGCTTTCTGGCAGCTATACGTCTGCGACAAGACGGCCTTCGTTATGAAGGCCCGCCCAGTGACGATCAACGAAAGTTTGTTCACCACTGAACTTACCCTTAAAACACATTCGCAAAGCTCTGTGCTACTCTTTGAAATCGGAAGGGAATCAAGCGGCACCGGGTTAGAAGGCTGTCTTGTGGAGGGATTCCACGTCATACGTCGACTGTGGGCCATGGCCGCCCGGGTTATCCAAGCCATGGAGTCAAACTCTAAAAGAACTTGGGACGCACATGCCGACATGCAAGCTTGTCGAGAAAACATCGCGCAGCTGTCAGAAGCATACTTTGACATGATCACCTTGACGAACTGGACCCAGTCACCCGGGGAGTCATCTCCTGGCGTCAGCCCAGACGGAGACCAGTACCTGCCCAAAATCTTGCAGCGGCAACGGACCAGTTATCTGATTTCCCTCCACTGCATAAAGATATTCGTGCTAAACACCGCGACCCAGTGTAATATGACCGAGGTTATGGGCCTAAGCGCGGAGCCCCTGATGCTTGCCATGAGGCAGATAGAACTAGCCCAGGATTTCTTAAATGTCCTTGAGAGCGTCCCATTTCTACATCTTCAAGCGGAAGGAGAGCATTGCGTAAGTAGATGTTCTTGTGCAGGAATTCACCCGCTTACACGAGTTTTTCGGAATAGGCTGAGAAGATCAGACGAGTTGGCAGCCTCTTGCTCGAACTAGCACACACCGCGGAAAATGACGTAGTCAAATTTCGAGCAAATCAATGTGCCATTCGCTTGATTGACATGTTGGCCCGCTTGAATTCAAAAGCATCGGATGTACTGGTGCATTGACTAGATTTTTATTTCTATTCTACTTAAGGCGTCAGAGGTCCTCAAGAAGGAGATCCGAATACCGTACTTTGTACTGCTTGTCGCTGACAGCATATATCCCAATGATGGGCCCCACGAAGTCATGCCCAGTCATGTCCAGAGTGTCGATCCCCTCCAGCTTCTCCTTTGTCCCTGCGTCAACAGAATACCAAAACGAGAGTTCTAGCTCGGTATATTCAACACCAAACGTAACCTTCGCGCCTTTGTCCAGTGCACCCACGCTCCGAGATATTCTCCGTTCGATGGACTTGGCCCTGTTGACAATTTCCAGGACCATCTCCTTGGCATCTACGTCGAGAAAAACGCGCGTAAAACGGTGTTCATCCTTGTAATAGCATAGTCCAGTCTTGAGACCGGAGCCGTTCGTAGCAGATGGGGCCAGGGGCTCTAGTGTTGCGGAAGCCGAAGCATCCAGGCGTCTTTGGCGCTTTCCGATAAACGTCACCGGCTCGTCGGCCTGCGACAGGTCTGCATTGCTGGATGTCAAGGTGACGCTGTTTTCGCCATGCTCGTAGTTTTCTTCGACGGGATCGCGGATGCGGACGAAACCAACATCTGGACGGCCAGGCTTTCTTCTGACAGGCCACTCCGAAGATTCGCCCCGCTTGATGGCGAGTGGCACGTCGAGTTGAACAGGGTCAATCACGGGATATTCACCTTCTGGCCAGGTGGCTGTGGTGAGGACCGATTCGCGTCCCATGATGAAACGACCGTTGTTTTTCCTCACACCCAGGCACACGAAATACCACTGCCCTGAGGGATCTTGGAAGAGGTCCCCGTGGCTAGTGTACTGAATATACCCATTCGGATCCGCCTTTGCTAGCACTGGGTTCGCTGGGTTCACCTCGTACGGACCCCAAATATCCCGCGACCGGGACATGATGGTATGGTGATCGGCAAAGCAGCCACCTTCCGCAATGAGCAGATAATACCACCCGTCCTTCTTGTACATGTGCGGCCCCTCAGGGTAAACTTTTGAGATACCCTCCCAAAGCAGCTGCTCCTCGGAGAGTTTTGCTCCCGTCTTGAGATCGATCTGGAATTGCCGGATCTTGGTCGCGGGAGATTGAGAAGCGGCGCCAATGACGTATACCCGGTTGTCGTCGTCCCAGAACAAGCTGGTATCGATGCCGTGGAAGTTGTAGAAGACCGGGTCGCTCCATTCGTCCACCCAGATATCCGTGGTTGACAAGATGAAGTTTTGGTATTCGCTCACTTCGGGCGGTAGAGATGCCTTGTGGAAAACATTGGTGCAGATAATGTAGAAGGTACCCTTGTGGTATCTAATGGAAGGGGCGTAAAGGCCGCCCTGGGCGGCTATCTTTTCCTCTACATCGTTGGAGCCGACGAGCTTGGTCATGGAGTCTTGGAGACTCATCTGTCGATTCTGATCCAGTGCATTGCCTTATATGACTTGTAAGCAGGCAAATATATGAAAGAAAGCTTGGAAGCCCCAAAAGTGGCCAAAACATACCAATTTGCTTCCAGTCCCGCAAATCCTTCGACGCGTATACTGGCAAACCGGGGAATAGGTGGAAGCTGGAGTTGACAAGAAAGTAGGTGCCGTCTACGTAGACAAGGGAGGGATCGGGGGCAAACCCGGGAATGACTGGGTTGATTCGAACTCGCTCCATTGTGCAATACTGTGTGTCCTTGAGTCGACAAATTCAAGCTTGATAGAATTGAGTGCGGGGATCAAATGTTAGGTACAATACTCAAGCACGCCGACCTGTTTTATACCTCTATGCACATTTCCGGGGCAATGTGGACCTAGGGTTCTGCCAAGTCTTCAAAACCGACTAAGGACTGCTCGGACAAATGGTGTCCGTGGTCGGCATTATTGCGGGCCTCCTAGAGGACCAGGGATCCACAGTTGCCCCGAGGGTCACGGGCGAAAGACGTGCCCTAGTTTGCACAAGACTTGAGCCCTTCCGGGCCGCGTGGCATATAAAAAGCACCGCGAGACAGTCTAATGTAGTGTCTGCGATACAACAAGTTTAAAGAATTTCCTATACATGCTCGTATTAAAGGGCTGTCTATAACGGCAAACGCACTGTCAACCTCCTGCTATCCGCAAAGATGGCCGCCAACAGCGAAGGTCAGCCTCCACTGCATCCCCACCTCCGGCGCGACAAGGATGGCACTCGTCTCATTGTCAAGGGCAAACCCTTTCTTATGCTCGCCGGTGAGCTGCACAACTCCTCTCTCAGCTCGGCTCGCTACATGGCCGACGTATGGCCGGCTATGAAGAAACAGGGCATCAACACCCTGCTCGGCTCCGTCTCCTGGGAACAGATCGAGCCCATCGAGGGGGTGTTTGACTTCTCTGAGCTAGACAAGGTCATACTCGGCGCGCGGGAACATGATATACACCTCGTGCTCTTGTGGTTTGGGGCGTACAAGAACGCTTCCAGCATATACGCCCCCCCGTGGGTAAAGCAGGACTCGAAGCGTTTTCCGCGGGCACGGAGTATTAAAGCAGGCGGCGGCCGAAATATTCTCGATGTTGTAACGCCCTTCTCTAAGGAGTGTATGGAGGCGGACGCAAAGGCGTTCGGCGTGCTGTTGGCCCACCTGAGAGTCTTCGATATAGACCACTCTACAGTGGTCATGATCCAGGTTGAAAACGAGCCGGGAATCCTCGGTGACTCAAGGGATAGGTCTTCGCTAGCTGAAGCGGCGTTTAGGGATCCTGTTCCGGAAACCCTACTCCATCACCTAGCCGACAACCAACATCCGCAATTTACGAAGCGGTTTTCCAATGTTCCTCAAGGCGGACGACACTCATGGGAAGAGGCCTTTGGACCCGGAGAGGCTGCTGATGAAGTCTTTATGGCGTTCCACTTTTCCCGCTACTTCGAAAAGGTCGCCGCGTCGGGTAAGGCCGCCTACCCGATTCCCCTCTACGCCAACGCCTGGCTCAACCTCGACAACCTCGATGCCGTAGATAGCTCCCACGCTCCGTTCGTGGTATCTACCGCCGTCGTGGCCGGCGGTTCCGGGCCGGGCAAGTACCCTTCCGGTGGACCCTGCGCTCACGTGCTCGACGTCTGGCGATTTGGAGCGCCCTCATTGGACTTAATTGCGCCAGACCTATACTTTCACGACTACGAGATGGTCTGTAAGGATTATACCGATAAGGGAAACCCGCTCTTTATCCCTGAACAGAGACGTGACGAGCACGGTGCTCGCAGGGTATGGCTGGCCTATGGAACGTATGGTGCGCTAGGGGTCAGCCCGTTCGGCATTGATACCGGGCCGGAAGCCGTTGGCAGGGAGTACAGGTTGCTGAGCCAAGTCAAGGATTTTGTCTTGGGTGCTCCTCCCGCCGAACGCTTCGGGTTCTTCTTTGACGGCGTGCTGGATCCCTCGATTGTTGAAAAGCCATGGACTAGGATATTCGGAGAAATTCAAGTCACGGTTGAGCGAGCATTTGTCTTTGGTAAACAGGGCCCTGGTGGAGGCATGATCATCAGATTGGCCGATCATAAGTTCCTCCTCGTCGGATACGGATTCCAGGCTAGCTTCAAGAGTGTGAAAAAGGGGTGTACTTTTACGGGTATCCTAAGCGCCAAGGAACTGGAAGTTACTGGAGACGGCAATTTCCGTCAGCTGCGCGTATTTAATGGCGATGAGACGAGAGGCGGCATATCTCTGGTCATGCCGAACGAAGAGCCCGACTACGGGGATGTCCCCATTGCGACTTCCATACCATCTCGCACCGCTATTGCTGAGATAGAGGTGTATACACTATTCGAGGAATCTTGACTACTCTTATACTAATATCCAAACAATATTTCGTGGTCACCCAATAGCTGCTCTTCGTAGTTCCGCTCTGTGTGCCGTCCTAGATCTCAACTTCTGGGGTACTCGCCTTGCGGGGGTTCTTAGCCGCTTCTATGATGATGAGCTCTTCCAAGGTGCGGCCTTTGGTCTTAATGAAGGAGACGTAGATGAAGCTATAGTCCATGACTTATGTAGTAGTACTGCAGTACTATTCTATAGTTCTAGTCCCAACTGTGACGATCTGGGACTCATTGTGAGGGTCTCACGTATACATAGAGGTGGATGGTGTTTCAAGATGAACAATCGATATTAAGAACAATTATAGTTGACTCTAGATACAAGACGTAGCGCGAGGAAGCAAAAGAAAGGTAGCTTCCTCGCGTTCGGGGGAACCCATATACACCATGTGGGTTTCCCGCAGATCATATCTCCATCCGTTCTGTATGCTTCATGTATATCCCTGGCACTCATCAAGCCAGAATCTGGGACAGACTAGGGAGGAACCTGGCAAGCAGCTCCTAGGAGGTGATGCAAGAGAAAAGCACTGCGGAAGCATTGTGGGTTTGAAGAGCTTTCGCAAATCCGGCTTTCCAGGCAGACGTAAACCGAGTAGTCTCATCACTAGTGTGCCATTTCCTCCGTGGAAGAATTAGGAATTGCCTTGGCATTAGTTTCCCGTCAACTGACGCGTCCAGACTCTTACCTTTAGGTTTGTATGAACCATGCACCTCCTAGTCCGGATATCATAATTCCAAGGGCCTGAATTTCCCACGGACAAATTGTGGAGTACATCGTGGACAAATTGTGGAGTAGGAGCTCCCCGACCCTCCATCTCGAGGATACAGTGGTCCCTGTTTGCGGGGGAACACAATCGATCAGAAAGAAGCGTCGGGAATCTACTAACTCTCAAAATTATAAATATTTGAATGAGTTCTAGAACAATGCGTCTGCGTGGCACATCTCGAACTCGTCACTTTGAGCTATTAACCTCGAACCAGCTCCTCGACGCCATTATGGGCATTATCGACGTGGACAAGGTGTTAGCAGAGCTGACGATTCATGAGAAGATTAAGCTGCTAGCTGGTCAAGATACATGGTGCACTTTCGCCATTGAGAGATTGAACATCCCCTCAATCAGAGTACATATCTGCCACCAATGCCCCCAAGCTGCTGGCCACTTGTCTTAACGTATCGCCGTAACAGACTACCGATGGACCACACGGTGCTCGAGGCGTCTCTTTCTTCAATGGTGTATGCCCTATCCAGTCGAATGTTCTGACCGTTGTTCGCCGCTGATATATTTTTTTTTCCAACAGCCCCCTGGGATGCTCCTCCCGTCCGCCACAGCGATGGGAGCGACGTTCGATCGAGATCTCATGGCCGCAGTAGGTAAGATGCTTGGCAGGGAGACTCGTGAGAAGGGTTGCCAGGTCCTGCTGGCACCGACAGTGTGTCTGCAGCGCTCGCCACTGATCGGACGAGGATTTGAGGCCTTCGGCGAAGATCCCTGGCTCAGCGGCACGCTCGCATCGGACTACATCAACGGTGTGCAGTCAGAGGGAGTCGCGTGCTCCATCAAGCACTACGCTGCTCACGACCAGTCTACTATGTCGCCGGAGGACTCAATTTGGGCTTCTGAGAGAACGCTCAGGGAGGTTCACTTGCTGCCTTTCCAGATTGCGATGACGCAAGCCAACCCCTGGTCGTTGATGACGTCCTACCACAGAATCAATGGAACTCACATATGCGAGGACCCATGGATTATCAACCAGATACTTCGAAATGACTGGGGCTGGAACGGACTAGTTATGAGTGACTGGTTTGGAACATACAGCACCGCTGAGGCGCTCAATGCCGGAATGGACCTCGAGATGCCGGGACCTACAAGATGGAGAGGTCCGCTGCTGCTGTGGTCTATCGTTTCCAAGAAAGTGAAGGAGGCGACGCTTGACGTCGCCGTGAAGAATCTCTTGAACTTGACCAACAAGGTGCGGCCTTCTCTCGAGCCTGTCCTCTCATCAACGGCGGGTAATAGCCCTGAGAAGGGAGAGCTTTGCCGCAAGGTTGCCGCGGAATCAATTGTTCTTCTCAAGAACGAAAAGGGTATTCTACCTCTCGATACGAAACTCGGCGGCAAGACGTATGCTCTGATCGGACCAGGAGCTTTATACCCGGCCGTCAGTGGAGGTGGCTCAGCGGACTTGATACCATACTACGTCAGTAAGCCACTGGATGCGTTGAAAGAGCTGGTTGGGGCCGAGAATGTGACGGCGACTGTTGGGTGTTACGGTAAGTGACGACGAGTTTCATCCAGAGCATGCTCTTCCTAGCGTTGTAGACACATTACTGATTCTCAACGTTCAGGGCATCTTTTCACGCCCCTTCTCTCGTCGTCCGTCACGGTCCCTGGTACCGACCAGGAGGGGTATTACCTGGAGTACTTCATGCAAGAACCAGACAGCACCGGGATTACGGAACCGTTGGCTATCACAACAACTACCCAGGCCCAAATGTACTTCGCTGACAACCTGCCCGACGGAGTCACTGAGGGGTACTGGATCAGAGTCTCGACGACTTATACAGCGGAAGCCACTTGCATGATCCAGCTGGGCTTGTGTGTCCTCGGAAAGGGCCGACTTTATGTTGACGGGGTTGAGAAAATCGACCTGTTCACGAGCCAGCCGGAAAAGACTCTCCAGACACCCATGTTCGACCAGGCCAGCATGGAGGTTACCACCCTGGTCGATGCGAAGAAGGGCCAAAAGTACGAGATTGTTGTTCTTTTGCAGAATGAGAGTCTGGCAGCTGGCGTTGGTGCGCTGAATGCAGGCGGCCTACGCATCGGCTGTTGTGAGCACTTCGACCCAGTCATGAAACTGTCAGAGACTGTGGAACTGGCTCGGGCTGTCGACTATCCCATTGTCATTGCCGGGCTGAATGCCGACTGGGAAAGTGAGGCGATGGATCGAAAATCACTAGCATTGGCCCGGGAGGTTGACGAACTCATTGAAGCTGTTATCGAGGCTAATCCCAACTCTGTATGTTCGCCTTTCTCTTTATGGTTTGCCATGCTTTAACAGAGCTTGAAGATGCTAAGGGTTACCAGATCATTGTCATGCAAGCCGGGTGTCCCATCACTCTTCCATGGGTTGTCTCGGCCAAGACTCTACTCCATGCCTGGTACGGCGGCCAAGAGACAGGCAACGCAATCATGGACGTTCTGTTCGGGAAAATCAATCCCAGTGGAAGGCTCAGTGTCACGTTCCCGAAGAGACTGGAGGATACACCAGCCTTCTTGTCGTTTGGCAAGCAGGACAAGATGCTTCACTACGGCGAGGGCGTGTTTATCGGGCATCGCTACTACGAGAAGCTTCAGAACTCACCGCTTTTTTACTTTGGGTACGGGTTGTCATATACGACCTTCGCGTACTACGACTTGAAGGTTCCCATGGAAGTGGACCTTGCCAGCCAGGACACGTTCGAAGTATCCGTCAAGGTACAAAACACTGGGAGTCGCCACGGCGCCGAGGTCGTTCAGGTCTACGTCTCAGATCTCAAGAGCTCTGTTCAACGGCCTATTAAGGAGTTAAAGGGCTACCTCAAAGTCCATGTTCCAGTCGATGGTACTGTGGATGTTTCTGTTACGCTTGACAAGTATGCACTCTCTTTTTGGAGCCAAGAGCATAGTAAATGGTTGGCAGAGGCTGGAACATTTGAAATTGTCATCGCGAAGAGCGCTGATCCTCAGGACGAGGTTCTCCAACAACGCTTTGATCTTGTCGCTGACTACTTGTGGTTGGGATTATAAATAGTGGTTCAACCCACGTAGTTAGACTTGACAGAGCCTAGATATATACTGCTATATAACCCTACCGGCTTTGGGTTATCTGTAATGGTGCCTTAGAGCACAATATTCAGTACAGTACCTCTAGAGCATGTGTTCTTATCCAGACTCCCAAGGAGCTATAACCGCCAGAGAGTCATAAAGTCAGATGTCAAACGCTACCTATACTAAAGGCGATACACTAAGAAGAGCCTAACTTGGGAGTCCACAGTGCGTTATTCCTTCAGCCGGCCGGATATCATATAGAGTTACATACTTTCTCTATGGACACGTCCATCTCAAAAACGGCAACTTTGCCCTGATCTTAATCTTAATCGCTTGATCAGGCATCAGAGGATCCTAGTTCTGATTTTCTGTGATAGGAGGAGGCGGTCGGGTTTTATAGCATGTTGTATCGCGGGATCAGGATTGAGTGTTTGCTTGCTCGCAATCGAGGAGGGGATCGCAAGTGCACGCATTTTTCATTCCTACTTTCTACCCGTAGATACCTATTTCTGAATCTGCACATTTTTTAACAAGGACTCGCTAAGAGGCAGATCAGACAATCGAATTCAACAATTGGTAAAACAACGGGAAATTGTCAACAAGAACGGACTCTTGTGGCCGCGTTCAACGTTGTTGATTCTCAAAGAAACGTAGTGCATCAAAAAGAGAGGGCTTTCTGGTCTTCAGAACTTTGAAGTGGTGCGAGTAGTGAGAGTCTGATACCGGCTCACTAGGCTAGGCCAAAGCTCATAACACACAGTAGTCGGCTTTTACCTGCCACATACACCACACTATACTGTAACCTTTTAAACTCAACAACCTTACACCTTCCAAATCACTTTCTGCCGATTTGTTCACCCGTTTCGGCCACTTTCGCAACTTGCCCGAGCATCACCATGTCCCAACGTAGCGCACATGGCTGGCCAGAATAGGAGGGGAAAAATCTTGTCCTATAGTTGGATGCCCATCCGGAGCTGTCGTGGAATACCCTCTCCGACGCATATTATGAAGAATATCAGGTGCATCGAAGCGTTGAGTCTTTACGAGGAAAAAAGCACCATATTCTGCGAAAGCGAGTTGCACTGGTGCCAAATCTGCCCCAAATCCAAGCAAACAAAAGCAAGCAGGCGCTGTGCGACGCTCAGTGGTCTATAGTGCTTTATAGTCGAGTCTTCCTGCTAAGGCCTCTACCAAAAGGAACATCGATAAATAGTTTCAAACAATTCTAGCGGCCGCCCTAAACAGCCTGACGACAGTAATAAAACAAGTCAAACGAACCCTATATCAGGTACGAAACACAACCTCTTCACATTTTACAAGCTGACTCTTTGTCACAGACCACGTCACGCCAGCAGCGCTTCTGTACCAGCCTAAAAGAACACGGTCGTTATCCTGGAGGTGGGACTATATGCACCGTGTCTGCGCTGCTAGGAAGCTAAGATACCGGCGAACAGAGCGTGCACTTCAGCAGCATTTATCGGCTAGATCGCTATATAGCGATGTCCAAGGAACAATGGCCAACTATCTTGATAAATAGGTCCTGGTGCATGTTCCTACACCAAAGTCTACGATCAGCAATGAAGCCTTAGCATAAGGAATATAAGCCTAGTAGTATATCATTCCATGTATTCCGTATAGAAAGGAGCAATCGCCCTTCTTCGGAATGATAACAATATAGTGGAAGCCCTAAACCCGAAGGTAAGGATTCGAGCGCGATAGTGGTGCCCTAGGAACAGGCCCGCCTACACATTTTCATCCTTGTCATGCAAAACCAGGAGGATTTAATCGGAGTGTTATGTGGACCGGTAAGTACTGCGGACAGCGTATAAGGATTCACGATACTATAAGTGTTCCCGTAGGGAGACAAGACCTGGTAGCAAGGGGGCTCTAGGAAAATGGAAATACGGTATTCTTGTTGTCTCAAGGTAATACGTCTTCTTAGCTTTGGTAGGATCGATAGTCGAAAGCAGGGTAATCTTTAGGGTGAATCGTACGATTTGTTTTGACCTACACCCAGGTCACGAGGAAATTAGTTTGACAGAGACCGTGGAATCACGAGCGTAGCTGTCGATTTTTAGCGGAACCGCAAATCATTCGACTACTTAGTTTAGACGACCCATAGAATCGCCTGCTCGGTGAGAATATACGGTGGTCATGTAGGATTTAGGCCCGGGCTTCTGCCCTACATGTTTTCTAGGTTGCTCGTGATTAAGCCCTAAAAGAGAAGTCCAGAGAATTAGGACAGAACCACCACAGTCTCGACCTACTCATATAGGGCTATTAGAATAGACCAGCATTGTACTAGAAAGATCTCTCTCGCTACAGTCGTAATCAAGATAAGGAGGGTGATTGAGATAAAGTTTAGGGGCCGCAGGAGGGCCGGCCCACAACCTCAATCCATTTTCGGCAGCCAATCGGTTCGTCGGTTTTAGTGCAAAAACCGGAGATATTTTTACATAAGCTCTTAAGATCTGTCTATGATTAGCATAGTTTCTACAGGCTCTCTGCTAGACATATCGGACTGGTTATTGAATAGGGTTGATAATAGGGTTATGTCGGATTCAACGAGAGTATTCTCTTGCGCGAAGCTTTATGCAGGACAGAAGACATAGCTTCTAGAACGTTCTACAGACAGATAGACAAAGGGCAGCTTGCTATTTAACAGGAGAACTTACTTTCCTGTGATAGGAACCAGGAAAGCATAACCACGGATCGGGATTTAGCCTACCATTCTATTACCAGAATTCCGCGTGATATTCAAAATACCTCACCTGCCTAGACCGTACCTCGGCCGTACCTCCTAAGCAATAGAGTCCTTTTCGATCGGACACTAACGGCCGTCAAGTTTAGGCTTATAGATCGGTCTAGACCTTTATAAATCCTTCACTTCTTCTCCGGGCTATAAATAGAACCTCCTTAAACTAGTGTCCCGTGGGTCGTCGCTAGGATCTATATCGTAGAACCGTACCTACGTCTACCTAAATTCGCGTATTGTGTTTGATTAGTCCGTCGGGCGCTATTTATATCTAGAGTCTTATTAATATAATAGTAGCGTTATAATCTTACGAGGGGGTTAGCGATCACGCGAACCTACTCGTAGGCCTAGTTACACATTTTATATGGTTATCCTAGGCTCGGTTTCCTATAAAGGCTTTCTAATAAGCTCTAGGTTTTTAGTTATACCCTCCCGAAGGACAATCCTTATCCTAAGTGTAATGGAGTGCACCCAGGTCAATACACGTCTCACCAACTAGGCCAAAAAGACCACTATGTCAGCCGTCAGGCTGACATGCCTGGGACCGATACATATACTACTCAGTACGCACAATTGAACCCGTGGATCAGCCACGCCGTTACACTAAGCTTAAGAGTATTGTTAGTATAAGCGTATTATTAAGCTTATCTTATCTTGATCTAAGCTTATTATCAAAAGGCTTAATACCTGTTACCCCTAGAAGGTCTATTAATGGTTTAAACCTAATAGCCTTCTGTCAGGACCCCGACCTGCCAGGTGCCTGATGGATGCCTGAGGGTATACGGCGAAAGCCCTGGTCCTCGCATTGCGAGGGTAGCTGATCGCATGCATAGGCCAGGATGGCCGTGTATGTCGCTAAACACATTAGCTAATCGCACCATGTATTTATTGTGCTCGCTGGTCCTCGCATGGAGGACCAGCAATTAGTCTCTTAATACACCTGCACGTACATTCGCCGATAGACTCTACTTCCCGAACTCATACTGCTACCCTAGGACCTCGCAGGGCCCTAACACCTTCCTATGATCCGAAGACTATAAGTCTTCGGATCAATGATCATTACATTAATGATCTTCTGACCTATAATTTGTAATACCTTATAGAACTACGCAATTCTACGCCGTTCTATTAGGTAAGAAGGTCAGCTATATATAGGACCTCGAAGAAGGGTCCTAAAAATACAACCATTATCTACTTTTATTCAATTAATTAATTGAATCATCCCTATACCTCACCGTCGCCTACTATCGTGACTATCATTACACCTCACTGTCGCTTATATAATAATATATTATATAAGCCTTACCGTATCGAAAGATAACCCCTAAGCATTCGACACCTCTGCTTATAGAGGAGAACTCTAGAATTTATGCTAAGCTTCGCGCGCTTTACCGGCGATTTAAACTTCGGAATTTTTACCTATTAGCCGTGCGTCTCGATTATTATACGGGCGAACGATAGTATAGGAATACTTCCTCCTAGCTAACGGATAAAATCAAGAAGAAACATCCGTCGCGGGAGTTAGGTGATAGTGATCTAAAGGAATATCTAGATGAATACGTTCGACTTAGTCAAAAGTATAATAAATAGGCTAAAGAATTAGGTAGCCCTAGTTATTTACTTACGTTACTATTAGAAATTATAGAAAGAGAGTGAGTTATAGAACGTTGATAGATCCCAATTTTAGGGGCTAATATTATAACTATATTATAGATACATAGACAGGCACTTTTCTCAATATATTCTAGTAGTATAATAATGAATTGTATGAAAATTGACGAATGTTAAGTGCTGACTTTGGGGTCAGAAAGTATGAAAAAAAGTGAGATAAAAGCTAGGGGTCTTTCTAACCCCTAAATTAATTGCTACCCCGCCTAATCATTATAGTCTAAGATAATTGAGGTGATTTAATTCGTCTATATATATCGAATTCAACCTTAGGCCCCGGTCGCAACCTTAACTAGCCTAGTTAGCCGTACCCCATGAAAACATCTCGAATTTTCAATCGCGAATTTCTTAATAACTAGTAGGCTGCGTACGCTTAAATTAAGGTGAGATATAATTAAAATACCCTATTATAACTAGTCAAAATTTGAGAGTGATTAGACCATCGTAGCTTTCTCTAGTTAGGTCGAGAAATTAATTCCCAGTCAGGGGGTCCCACTTTTTTCTCCTATAGTAAACTGAAAGCCCTAATTCCTAGTCAGCCTGACTAGGCCACCCCCGTGGGATAGACTAGCATTATCGACGTTGTTCTATTCGTCTAGAGTGCTGTGGTAGCGTCTTAGGTGCTAATCGTATACCGTAATGGTACACCCCAACAAAACATCTCTAATTTTCAATCGCTATTTTCTCAATAATTACTAGGCTGTGCATGCTCCGAAGCGAATTGGAGATATTTCACGTAGTCTATTATAACTCATAAAAATTTTAGATCGATCGGAGTTCATTAGACCTCTCCAGTCTAACGAGGAAAAGAACCTGCAGTCTAACGGGCCCCACTTTTTATGTCCCATAGTTAACGGAAAGCCCTAACCTGCAGTCTAGTAGACTGGGCCACCCCCGTGGGATAGGGCCATAATTCTAAAATTTGATGTGATTCGCATACTCTTGACTAATAATCACTATGTTTGTTTGTGAATTATGCTGTCACACTGTGATGCACTCAATGACTCTTGCGTACTATAAGAAGATGGTGCTCTTCTAAGTGTGTTTTTTTATTTCCTCAAACTTAGCATGACAGGACTCGTATCCAACCATTCCGAGACTCTGTAGTTCCTTGATGAAGATATCCATCACTGTCGGCCCCTCTGCATTCTTTTTCCTAGAACATACTGTTTTTTTATAGATTTCCTCCTCTCCAGTCGATTTCCAGTTCATGAACCACGCAATCCGTTTACAGCGTCGCCCTTTGAATTCGACTTCGCCGGACACTAAGGCGGTGACCTGTGTCAAAGCCGCGCCGGTAGGGTCTTTTGTTTCGTGAGGTAGAAAGCCGGGGTTTATCATCCTTGGAAATCTATAATAGGGGTCCGAATCCAAGAGAGCAACAATATCTTCGGCCGGAAAATAGACTATCCAGACCTCATAGATCATATTAGGACGACGACGTTTAGAAAAGCAATCCAGTATGAACTTCTGAGAAGTATACATGTACCGATGAATGAAGATAGCCTTGTCGTTAGGGCTGCTGCGGAAATTGTCTGGGGAACCGGGATCCGGTAAGAAAATAACTTCTTTCATGGTTTGTGTCATTATATCCGACTGGCGAAACTCGTCTCGCCGAGCTCTTCGCCGCCAATCTTTGATCATCGCGTTAGATGAAACTTGTCTTTAGGGGGAGGGAGTTTGTATCTAATCTTACGTATAATAACCCATAGTCTCTGGTTATCTTCGATGGGAACTGTCCAAGTGATTTGGCGACAGCCATCGACTTCCCGCACCGCCTTAAGAATGAGCTTCCAGTCGATGTTGGTCTGCTTAAGGATCGAGTTGTAGGAATAGTCAAGATCAAGCCATTCAATGAACGGCCCTGTTGTCGCTTGTTCCTGTTCCACGCTCTTCGAGATTTTATCCTCCTGTGCTGAGCTCGGGTCTTGGCTGACCAGGGTCTTCGATTGACTTCTTGTGACTGGCATTTTGAGTTGATAGTTAATGAAGAAAGAAAACTAACAGATCAAGCGTTTCGGTTTTGTCCTAAGCGATGACTAATAGATGGAACTTGCCTAGGTGCCTAGGTGAGAGAATCCGAGATTAGTGTGATGTTCCCTGTTCCCGGTGGACTCCACAAAAGATCCAAGCCCCGCGCATAAATACTCCACATGTGTATTGAAATATATTATTACGCTAACCTTAAAGAGGCCGGGCTAACTATAACACGTAAGTGATAGTCAAAGTCCACGCACACGGTTTCTGAAACCTTTGTCAGAAATCAAGGTTTTAATTAGTTACAGTCTATAAATTGGCCCCCCCCATGTGAATACTGCATGGAAACTGGAGGAACGTACAGTGGTCTTGCATAAATATTTGACCTCCGATACTTCGGCTAAAGGCCCACTTTTTAATACTGCTAGCAGAAGCCTCGGAACTTCAATTCAATTTAACAACTACTATAGTATGCAGTTCACGGATATTTTCGCTAAATGGTCATGCTCTGGGCCTCTTTTGCCGCGTGTAAGAGATGTTATTAAGGTAAGACAGCTGCCAAAATGTGTTGAAACGCGGCATACTAACAGAGTAGGCGGTATAAAAGCGGCCAGGCTAGAAGTGGATCCCGAAGTACTCAAGGTCAAATATGCAACGTCCCTGTACGTCCAGTGAATTAGCTTAGTAATTAGCTTCTACATCAAAAAGTCTCGTAAATGGGGGTGATACAAGGCAGAATGTTCGATATCTTTAACTGGTCCAATAAATTACTGGATTACATAAATCCAACACTGTCACGGGCTCTACCCATTAGGTAATAAACCCATCGAAATCGGGCATCCGACCTTTGGCGGCTTTGTCCCATCGTAAGCGGGTGTCGGTGTTGGCGGCTTGGCATAGCTACGCGAAATAAATCACCGAACTAGTTCCAGTGTTTCCCTTCCTTTGGCCTGCACCATTTTCACTCATCTCTCGCTTGGCTTATCGGAGGCATGTTCAATTCGGGTCCCTACAAGCGTGCATCCTGCTCGTACCCGATCTGTAGCACGCATTGCCGTGTCAGTACGTCTCATTAAGTTCTCCTAGAGACAGCAAGGGAAAGAAAAGTTCAAATGACGCCCACTACTCACTACTCTCACCACCCCGGCAGAGATTTAGCGTATGGTATTTGCATGTCTATCGCCCAGCGATCTCTAGGCGGTGAGTCTTACGAATAGGGACTTTCGCACTCTTGCGGAACCATTTCTCTACGCCCGTATTGAATGGACATAGACGGTCTCTCAGAAACCACTCCCCCCCGATTGCCCAGTTTTTGAAATGCATTATGCAAAAGCCAGAACTGACCAATTTCGTTCACGAGTTAATCCTCGGCGGAGACAGTTTTGGCGATTACGAATGGCATAACTCGAAATATCAGAGTCTAAAACTCCAAGTCTACGAAGATGTCACGAATCAGCTAGTGGAATACATCGAAAAACTTTAGGTTCCCTATACCGACGACTAAATCTAAGAGCTACGTACTGGGTCGATAGACGCATTTGCAACGCTTTTGATATCACAACTTCCCAAGCTAAAACGTCTCTACCTAGGCAAAAATCTCACCCGAGAGGAGCCGCTTAATAAGCATAATATTCCGCTCGGCTCTCTGCGAGGAGTCCGAGTCCCGGGATGGCCATATTTTATCGTTTACACATCTTTAAGACGTATCAGCCCAATGTCCCGATCTTGATTTTAATATCCGTAGGTACATGTTAGGACCCTGCGAGGTCCTAGAGTAGCAGTATGAGTTCGGGAAGTAGAGTCTATCAGCGAATGTACCTGCAGGTGTATTAAGAGACTAATTGCTGGTCCTCTATACGAGGACCAGCGAGCACAATAAATCATTACATGGTGCGCTTAACTAATCTATTTAGCGACATGCACGACCATCCTGGCCCATGCGTGTGATCAGCTACCCTCGCATTGCGAGGGCCAAGGCTCGCTATATGCCTTCAGGCATCTATCAGGCACCTAGCAGGTCGGAGTCCTAACAGTTTAAATCATTAATAGACCTTCTAATAATAGGCATAGCTATTAAGCTTTTAATAATAGCTTAGATTAAGATAAGTTAAGATAAGCTTATTATTAATACGCTTATACTAACTTAACAATTATACGCTTCTCTCTCTAATTATTCGAGTTCTCTCATCTCTTACTCGGTGACCGCGCCCTAGGCTGGTTTAGGGGCGGTCGGTTCGGTCGGCAGGAATAGCCTAGTCGGTTCATAGATTGGTTCTATGGTCGGGGGTTCGACGGTTCTAGGATTTCTAACTAGCCTATTTAAGGGGTCTTCGCTAGGCTGCCGAACCTAGGGTTCGATGAAGCGTTAAGAGCGACGCGATGCCATAGTCGAAATAGGTGGGTTCTCCCGGGCAAACCTAGATTGGTAGAGCGTTCAGAATTGTGAGTCTTTAGGTTTAGGTAGGTAAGCGAGGTAGATGACCCAGTTATGCGTGTATTACAATAGGGTGTATTGTATGAAGAGACTGAACGCTGGCAAGTTCCACGGTCCAGCGAGAAATGCTTATATATAAGAACTGGCCAAGTCGAGGGCGGTGAGACCCTCGCTGGCACCATTTCAATACTTTCCGAGCCCTGAGGCATCCACCAATGCCTTAGGCCGAGTCAACATCCTCAGTCAGGTAGAGGTCCTGACAGCAACAGCTTGATGAGTATGAAAACCATCAATATCACAATCATCACTTGGCCTCATGTCGTAAGTTTATGCCCAGTGTAGTGAGCAGGGTATTTGGATGTTGAGGAAGATTGCATGCCTGGCGAAGTGACAATCGTTCCTTAATGAGAACCGTGCGAGAGATTCTTAGTAGACTTGTCTCTTCCACTTGAGCTGGGCATCACTGGAGGCTGCTTTAAATTTGCGTCGTACTGCGGCTCTCCGGAAAGCTCATAGCTCGCATCATGCTCCTTCATCCATTGCTCGTAATCGGTTTGCGGCCGGTCTCGTTTGGGCAGTGCGTGTAACTTTTGTTGTAAAGCCATGTTGCTGTGAGAAATGCTCTGGCGGGAGATGAGCTTTGGCCGTTTGGATTGCGCCATCATCGGTAACTCGATGAGCGGCAGACAGTGTAAAATTACCGAAGTCAAAGTATGTTCGCTCCTTAATATTTTCAGTGAGTAGGCGGCATAATAAGCAACTTCATGTACCCTAGGCTTTTGCGCTAGTACGGCTCCACCCGGCCATTTCCCGTAACGTTACGTGCCTTTTTCAAGGCTGGTAGTAATGAGGCAAACTTCAGGATATGAATATTTGCGTCCAGACTGCATTTTGCGAGGCTATATCCAGGACCTCAGAAAACGGTGGGAGCTATTGTCGGAACAGCTTTTGACCCAATCGCATAGACTAATCACAAATAGTCGTCTGCTTTGGTTATCTTCGTACACATTAATTTGCATGCGCTCGACCATGGCTAAGGCTCTTGGCTAAGTTACAATGATACATTCTGACTATGTCTTACAATACCAATTCCCAACCTATACCGACAGCTATCGATGTCAACTCTGGAAGAGGTAAAATACCGGAGAATCCACACCATGTCGGAATGTGTGGAGCTTTGTTTTGTCATATGTTGTATTCAGTAACTAACGTGATTGTAATAATCGGTAGATAGATTGCCCTAGTGACCTTATAAAATTGTATGGCAACAGAGACGTATACACTCTTTGCTACTCTTTGCTATCTTATTCGGACGTGCAACGTAGGCCCACAGCTGTTTCCGACATAATCCTGTCAAACGTCCTCCATAGCTTGGCGGACGTCACATCATCCGGTCGATTTTTCGGAACCTCATTGGTCGACTACGGTAATGAGCGTACTGTATCCTCTGGAATCAATACACTATATACGTGTAATTCCTCAATATGCATACCATGACGTCATATTAAAAGCTTCTCCGCTTTACAAAAAGCTCTGGCACGCCCTCATCGCTAATTCGCATCTTTCTATCATATCTGTTGAGGCTTCTATAGTGACTAGGAATACCTAACCTTTTTTTCAGTACTAAGAAACCTTGGTATGTCGTACGTGGTTGGGTAATACCGCCATCCTTCCAAAGTTCTCTCTTTACGTGCAAGAGCGAAATGGATCGATTAGCTTCTGATTCCCGAGCGAATAGTACACGAAAACGAATGACTTAAATACAACCCCACCCTTATATATAACTGGTGGTTGCCTTTGCGGCCGGCTAAGATACAGGGCCGCGATAGGAGAAACTTATGCTTTTCCACCTAGAGTAAGTCCTGTGCTTGATTTTGACATTATGACAAGCATTATTAACTGGATGTTAGCCACATACCTGTTCCTGTACCCACTGTCGTAAACACACCGGGGCACCCTTTGCACTTTTCCTGACCTTCACATGTCCACAGCTTGGCTGGCCTAGCCCAGAATCAAGCGTGCCAATGAACTCTATGTCGGCTGATGATGATTTGCAAAACACACTAAGAATTACAATCTCGTGATGTGCATGGGCTGTCTTCTTGGCAGTCTGGAGATTTCCCCGTTGCCGAATACTCACATACACCGGGGAGGTATCGTGGGTTTTGTGGGAAATGCGGATCTACGATGTACTGGCGGTGTCCGAATGAGGATGGGGACGAGATTGAAATGGCCGTTGGAACTGTGGATGAAGAATGGTTGCGCAAATATGGACGGGAGCTTTGTGAGCCAGAGCGAGGTCAGTTTTATGCTGAAAATGAGGTATATGGAGTTGGATTCGGTGGGGAGTTTAAGCAAGGGCTCGGAGGCCCGAGATCTAAGGAGGGAAGCCGAAGCGAGAGACTTGATTAGCTTTAGTGGAAACATCAAAAAGGGCAACAAATGGCATGGGAAAATATTTGAAAAGAGGGAACATCCAAGTTAACTTCCAAAGCCTAGATGCTACTGTCTGAAATCCGGTCGCGGTCCAACGTTGGACCGTCACTTACGCAAAACTGCGGTCGCGCTTGTTGCAATGTGGCATAGTTATCTAGGACTCGATTTGGGCGGGTGCTTGAGACCTCGATCCTGGAACAAGCTGCAAGTTCGGGCCTAGAGCATATGATTCATAGTTTCTAGTCGCTTTACTGTGCGACATCTTCTCGGATGGTTTAGGCAGATGTCAAAAACCACAGTAGCAACCTGTCGTCATGATATATAGATGTGTGCGACTACCGGAGATAGTTGGATTATGCCATATCGGGCTTAAGTAGTGAATTTAAACGATTAAGTGCCAGCCACCGCATCCCGATAAGAACACTCACCATTTCTCAGCCTGCTGGCAATCCTGCAAAGCGCTGAAGCTCCTCTCGACTGACAACCGGAATATTCCATTCCCTGAGAGTCGACCCCAGAGCATCATACTTCCATGTCTCGTCGTCCCGCTCCGCCAGAATCGTCACAATCTGCCGCTGAACGTCGTTCATTTGCTCAAACGACAGTCTTTCTTCATTATTAGGGCTGGGGCCAAAAGCGAGCCTCAAAGAAAGACTCGCTAGGTCCGCAGAGTCCACGCCTTGGGTGCGAGATGGCCTATCCACCACATCGGACATCGCATCTGGGTAATCATCTATGCTGATGATTGCCAGGATGGCACCACTATATCCAATGAGGTCTCCCGTGTAAAAATGGAACCCAGTCCTGTTCCTCTCCTTATACTTAGAAGAGATAAAAGAGGGATCCGCCATACAACGGGCTAATGCGGCGACATGCTCTGGTCCATGATGTTACAGCTGTACCAGACTTACTGCGGCTGCCCATTGAACTAATGGGTGTGAGTGGGTTGAATACACGCGAAGATGAGAAACTCGATCTTCGGCGTCATCAGGTACAGCTCCGTCCAGACGGCCGTTCAGCAGGCCGAGGGCAATAATTGCACTGGCTAGAGCGGCAGGATCTCTCTCCTGCTCAAGAGTGCGTTGCAAGACCGTAATACGGCCCTGACCACTGGGGCCGAAAAATTCTCTTGGTGAGCTTGATCTTATTCTTGGTGACTAATTCAATGTGTTGTCTCCGTATAGCTTGGTATCACGTCGCGACTTCGTCGTATCACCGCTCTATGTGTCTCGGCCCAAGAGCAATGTATGAGAACGGGTTCGAGGAAATGAGGTCACATAACTAGACGTGAAGGCCAGCAGATAAGACACTAATTCAGCCACTCTTACGAAGCGCGATCCATGCTTGACTAGGAAACGAGAGTGCTTTGACCGGGGTCGAAATTTACGTTAGCGCTTGAGGAATTCGCGTTTGCGTCCAAGCTTGGTACTGACTACGTTTTGTGATCATAAACAGTCTGTAACGTGATCTCCAGCGTAGCAAAAGTACATTTATTCGGAGATTATTTTCATTGCCAAGTCCTTTGCGTTCCGTGTTTTATACCTTGTTAGGAAACATATCTCAGTATATACATTAGTTATTTAATTATTATGTGACACTACCTAATTATATCCGTCTCTAGGTACGCCGCCCTACTATTTAGGCTTTCTACTAACTTAGGTAGTATACATATATTATATACTATATAAATTTCACTTTATTAGCACGACCTAATATACGGTTACATATTAGTAAAACCTTGTATAAGTTTAACCTAATACTAGATATATTAAGTTGTAGTCTAATCGGGTGATATAACAGGGTATAGAATACAATGAAATTCGAGGGTGGAAAGTGGAATTCCGAGTTTTGATAGGGTGCGATAAAGTACTACCACCCTAACCGCCGGCCTATGAACAATAACGGCCCGGAATACGCTGTGAATAGATTGTGCAAAGTCCCCTTATTCCATATACATATTTGATTGATTTCTTATATGATCTACCAAAGTTCCGTGATTCACTGGTGACGTTCATTGTGGATACTCGCAAGGTCGTTCTGGTATTTTCTTCGCACAATCCAGCATGAGGCTAATAAACACGTTGGCTGTTGTTTCCTTTGCATGAGGAATTACCACCCTATAGGAAATAAAAGATCACTAAAGAGCCACAAATAATTATAATACGTAGTCTACCTAGTATTTATAGACAAGAGCTTGTGTGCTCGTTCATAAGCAAGATAAACTGTGGTTCTCCTTTATGAAACTTCCATGGAAAACGAGCTTCACGGAGGTTAAGTGCCGATAAGTTGGTTCTTGCCTGATAAATCAAGCGGTGAGGTGCCATAACTAACCAACTGGTTTCGTAAATTTTAACAAAGGAAACTATGATTTCAAAGTGTATAATACCACTCGTTCATGCCCTCAATCTGACAATGTGTCTCCTTGGCCTTTTTGTTCGTTTTCCAAAAGTGAAAGTCCATCATCAGGATTAAGCATATACTGACCATTGTAATCCCAAATGTTACCCAAATGCCTGTCGTATAATGCGGACTCTCACTAGATTTGAACGTGACGCTTGCAATGATGCCTCCAAGGCCCCCTCCAATCAGACAGGTCGCTGATGCGACTCCGCGCTTGGAATGGGAAGTGATGTTGTTCGCTTGAAATGCCAGCACGCCGGGGATACAAAACTGCAGGAATCCGACACCTTAAACATGATGTGAGATATAGATCCTTTAATAACGAAACTAAAATCTCACCTAGAAAGATCCCAAAATACCTTGTCCCGCTTGCACCGCCATAGGCAGTGATTACCATCCCCACGGCTGTCAAGAGTTGGTGAAGTGCAATGACCGGCCCGCGAATCTGGTATTTGTCGGTTAACCAGCCACCCAAGTAGGTAGATATAGCAGCGAGGATGTACGGAGGGGCGCTAAGAAGCTGGCTCTGTGTGCTGGTAAAGCCCATGCCCATAAGGATGACTGTCTTGAAGTAGCTGTACGCATAGCCGGGTAGAGTGGAGGCCATGAGATTGAATGCCCAGACATACAACTTCCAGTCCTTAAGATGATGAAGCACACCTTCAAATGTTACTAGATCTTCCTCCGCATCTCCACGATCGTTGTTAATGCGAGCGATGATGAAGTCCTTTTCCTCCGGCTTTAGAAATTTATCTGCTTGGGTCGGAAAGTCGATGATAATAAACCACCCAATGAGACAAACACCACTGGTGATCGCTCCCTCGATTATAAATATCCCTAGAGGATAACCCCTGTCAGGCATTACTATCGAGTGCAGTAGGCGTGGACTCACATCGCCATCCGTTTAGGCCATAGGTACCCTTAAGCAAGGTCAAGGCATACGCAAAGATCGCGGCAAAGGCATTCAGTATAACAGACACCAGCCAGAAGCTAGCAAGTCTTTTTCCCACTTCAAATCGTGTGTACCAACATGTGATCAGATATGTGCAACCTAGAAGGTTAGTAACGTCTACCTCAAGGACACGGCCTATTCTGATATACCTGGGAGGAAACCCGCTTCCATAATGCCTGTACAAAGGCGCCTGATCAGTCCCACAATCTATACCTTGAAGGAAAGACATCGCTTTACCTAAGAGAGTCCGGCAAACCGCCATTGTGCTCCAACTTTGGGTGAAACCCATGCCGATCAGGATTGCCCCAAAGCTAAAGCCAAGAAATGCCAACCAGTTTGCTGCACCAGCTTTAGGGAGTATCATATTCTAGGTATTGATTCATTAGCGAGTATTAGCGAGTATTCCTAACGTAGGACCGCGGACATACGCTAGGTATCTCGAATACACTAGGAAAATACAACGTCAGACAATCGTTGGCGCCAAAAACGCTCCACACCAACAGGATAAGACTTACATATAGGCCACAAAAAATACCATGACAATGATGGTATATCTATTACCGATGTCAAGTCCGAGATCCTCCTCCATTCCCGCCACAAAGGCAAGACCAAGGTTTGTCCGATCAATGAGAGATATGGAATACATAATCCCAAGTATTGGGAGGAGGCGAAGGTCAACGCGTCGACTAGTCAGGACACTATCATTAGCTGGTTTATGATATCAATGTTGAGATGCAGAAAGCACGCGGAGGACGCACATAACCCTTTTCTGATGCGCCTCATCGATACCATACACGGGTGATTCAATGACGGACTTGCTCTGCTGGGTCTCTTTTCCCTCAAGCTGGATAGATTCCACATCCCCCACCTTCGCAGTTTTCTTGTTCGGGGCTTGCTTGAAAGGGGTCATTTTCATGAGTTGATGGTATTATTTATATTTCAAGGAAGCGTAGAAGTAATGAAGACCGAGTGAATTGGGGTCACCTATATAGTATCTTAATAGCCTACTTAAGAGAGCGTTAACCGAGCTTATCTAACACGGTAGCAAAAGTGCCTCGGGATAGGGATGACAATCAAATAATCCGGGGAACTGCCAATATTTACCCCGCAAGTCTGCGCTTGTTGCCAAGGACCATGGGAGGGCATGCAGGGCTGGGAAGGTCTTGGGTACCTTGGCATTAGGAGGCGTGGCCTGGTAGATTTGAAGGTAGTTTCTAAGTACAACTGATGTGTACTCCCATTGGTAAGAAGCACTTCATGGTTAGGAATGTTGATATAAAGTGTGGAATTGTACGGTCAGTATTCCGACACTTTTCTTTATTGGTCTTAGTATTTTCCCATTAAAGATATTTTATGATGCTTACTGACTAGAGAGCTGCAACAACGATAGCTATTAGAAGTCTTGATTTGGCACACAGAGGTAGGATAACTCGGTGGTGGAGTCCTTGAGGATATGGAGAAATACGAAAGCCTCTCCAGTGCAGAGATACCCGTACCGAACCCCTTTGTCGATCATGTATGAGAAAAAAATGTATAACAATAGCGGCGAAGAGAAACTCAAATGTGTCACCTTCTTGCTCGATAACATCGCGAGCCGGTTCTATCCTATGTAACCTCGCAACCAATTTAGGTACATCTCAAGTATCATTTCACTGCGTGGCAATTAGACTTTCGGAGGCAATTGCGGAGGCGCAAAGTCCCCATCTTTAGCGACATATTCTGGTTGGCGTCACTACTTCAAATTATCGTATAGAGAATCGGACTCTATTATATAAGCTAGAAGCTTGGGAGAGGATTTTGATGACGCTCAGATGAAAGTAGACATAAGGGATTTACAGATTTACAGTTCTCTTCTACACTAGAGTGACGGCCTGGAATTTCTGCATTCTCAGTCCTAGCCCGTCTAATTGTTTTCGGCTGCTCCCTTGCACAAATCACTTGGTGGCGAGCAAGTGGATAGTCCGCAGTAGCTTTGACACTCCATTTTCCTATGTTGGACCCCATCGCAGTCATATATCCAGAAAACTTGATCAAATTTGTGCTCATATAGCATCGATAATGCTCTAAAGCGCCCTACCAAGGACTTCGCGCTAAACCATCTAATACTCTATCGCCAACCATTCGATCCACTTCACCTCAGGCGCCCGGATCTCGTCCTCGGAAGAGTCACACAGCGGCGTCAAAAACGGGATCTGTTCATCAGGATGAGTATCGTAAGCCGCTTTGGTCGATGCTCATTCTTTGCTTTTGGCCGTAATCAGATAGTTCACGTGCTCTTACTCGACGATACAACCTACGCCGGCTTCCCAGAGATCCCCAAAAAAGGCTCGCAAAAGGTTTCGCGGAGTCTCCGCCGTGACAAATAGGCATTTAATATACTGCCTTAGAGAGACGAATGGCGGCAAAGTATTGAAATGAAGGGTTGGCGTGGTGGCGATGGGATCAGAGCACCGTTGGTAAGGAAGACAGGTGACGACGAAGGCGGCGATTGACTGTACCATCGGCATATATTGACCGTGGTCCAGAAAGTGCTGGACACAGTTCTTATAGTGGCAGAACCAGCAGGCGGGATCATTGCTCTCAAATTTGCCGTCATGGAAAACCATCCCCACCTCGAGAGTCTTAGCACGGTGCCGGCGCATTGTCAAGTAGTGGTCAGTCTCCCATTAATGGGTTCTGGATTCGGGCAAAATTTCTCACGACAGACTATGGTGCACTCGACCGGCAGCAGGAGCAATCAAGATGGAATAAGGCATACGAAAAGGGGGCGGTGAGGGAAGCGAGGCTTGTAAGTGATGAACCCCCAATTAGATCGCTATACTACGTGCCACTGAGGCTGATGGCGATCGGATGGTCAGAAGAGATATGCGTATGAAAAGTATGAAAAGAAGAAGCCTGAGTCTCAGGGTGACTAAAAGTCCTGATCTTGGATTTCCAAAATGTTACTAACGCTCGCCATCCTGCAATTTTTATATTTGCTTATCGTATGTTTAGGATCACCGTGCTGGCTTGGGTGTTTGAACGTCACTTAGCTATTAGCGAATTAAAATGCGGTGAACCAGGTGGTCCTCCACGCCTTGATGCACACTTTGCCCTACTGTGATACGTTTCCCTATGTATTTATGCAGATGCAACGATGACCAAATTCGTTATAAATATTAAAGCTATAGATATGCGCTAGTCGTGGTCTCAGCTTATGCTTTAGAGTGCGTAGAGGTGACCGGACGACCAAATTCTTTTACCGGGATATTGTGCGGGCTAGTAGGGCAGGTGCACTAATCGAAGCATAGCCAGTCAAAATGTAAGACTGCGGCTGTCCACCAGATTCACAAATTGCAGGGTACCCCTCCATAGCACTACTTTAACAGTTAGATTCTGTGCTCCGTCTTGGAAAAGGATACCTGCTTTGGCTCCCCTGTTCCAACATTCAAAACACGCTGTACTAGCCTTTCTAGGCCGCTTCTGGAAATGAGGGACATGCCTTAACCGAGAGGTTTAGGTGCCAATCTCTTTGTGGAAATCTGCGAAGTCATCCTACATTGACATCAGAGATGTAGGTTAGGTGGCTTTCGTGTAACATTCCCAGCCGTACAATCTTCCCCTTTGCCAGCTATTTTGGCGAAAGTTTATCTGACAGGTTCGGCTAGTGAAGAAAAGGAAATGGGATAACTAGCAATTAACACACAAATTTCTTTGTCTTATCACCGCGCATCGCACAAAAACGATCTCTTCATGAAGTACCAAACAGGGTTCAAACAAAGCTACAGAGGGCCAGAAGGTTTGGCATTCGGTTCGTTGGAAAAAGTGATGCGACTCAAGGCTTACTTGCATATCCGGCCATGTACATTCGAGCAAGATACTAGTCCGTGGTGGCCTTGAGTTGTGGATACGACTGTTTCAACCAATTGAAAATAGTACTGAATATGAACATTGGATGGTTTCAAAAATACCGATCGTGGCTCGTCACAACCTGTTGAACCTGCGATAAGTACATACTGCATTCTCATGGCCGTGTGTATCATTAATAACATACTAATACATAGTCAATGTCCTCTCAAAACATGCTAGGCTTAGAGTTGGAAGTAGGGCCACCGATGTGGCGCGGGGAAAGAGTGAAAGAGTATACAATTCGTAGAGGCCAAAATTGTCCACTAATGTAGAGAGTGTGATGCTCATGCGAATCAAACAGCGCACCTCAAGCTCCGATCTATTCCAAGTCTATACGTGACTTGGTCAAAATTGAAATGCTTATCTTCTGAGTACTGTACAACCAACTTACTTGAATCGCTTACTACAGATAGTATGTTCCGCGAGATTCGCACAGGAGCAATTCAGCGGCTCCGCCCCATTAGACGGTATGCCCTGAATCATTCAACAGTCAATACTTCTTTATTGACGCCCTAAATCCTTTTATTAAATAGTTCCCGCGTTAGTTATGAACCAGATGAAAGCTAAAACTACAACTGATAGACAAGACATCGAACATTTGCAGTTTTCTTGACGTTATGTACGTATCTAAATAAACAGACATGATAGGGGCTGTGGTTGTGAACAAGACAAGATCGGCTGTCCTGAGTTATCATAACTAAATTATCGCTCAGTTTAATACCCTCAATTTGCCATCGTCCTCATGTATGTATGACCTGGTAGACGGTGTGTCAGACGGTGCGTTTAGGAAGCCGCAAAAAAAAAAAAAAGAAAGAAAGAAAAGATTAAAGTTGAGGTGAGGCGAACGACTTGCGTAGCCAGCCTCAAAGTTTATCGAAATTAAACAAAAACACACAGGGAAATGACTAACTACTCTGTTCAGGAGGAACATTTCGATGTCGTTGGAAAGCGGAAAATAAGATTTGCGGACAGAAAATGCTGCGGGCTGGTTTTTAATAACCAAATCGTGTAAAATAGAGGGGAGTGGTGATTTGAAGGGATATTTTAACCCTGGTCAATTAATTTCTAGGTATACAATTACTGATCAGATGTATAGCATTTGGTGTGCAAAACGAGTAAATATTACAAATAGATATACTTCAAATCCCGATTGCACAGATTGTTCATTTCGTTGAATCTAGCAATATAGTGTCCTTGCCATGAAACGACGTTCTTAGATCCATTTAACTAGCCTTTCGCATTCCTCTGCATGCACCAGGAAATAATTTTCCGACTTCCTAGCTAAAATTCTACCCAGAGGAGTAGCATCTGCGTGTTTGTTGTATCCCGCAGCATTTTATTGGATATCGACTAATGAACTCTGTCAGTTGCCAGCCGAACGAGCAAAGCCTGATCTTGTTCTGATGTTGCGATTTTGCGTTTGTGGGTCCTAGGCCAGAGTACTCGAGGTCAAATACTTTTGTTATACCACTGTACCTTCTCCTTTACTTTTGTAGTACAGTATATAAAATACTTTCAGAAAATATAATGGCGATATACATAACAGATGACTTAAAGACTTCTAGATAGGCCACAATGTCTTGGGCTGCTTTGTGCCAGTATTCTACCGGCTTTAGCGGTATTAGTAGCCAAACTCCGCTCCGCCTACCTCCGAAATGGCAGTGATAAGCCCCTTTCTGATTAGCCCCTCAAATTTTAAGGCCACTTATCCAAAAAATACACCTCTCTACATATAACCAACGTGAACTGCCCTACACTAAATTTGAGCAACGCCATTCCGATCTACTGCAATCCTAAGATGGCATCGAAAACCTGGCTTGTCACTGGTGCATCTTCTGGCCTCGGAGCCGCAATCGCAGAGGCAGCCCTTCAAGCTGGTCACTCAGTGATCGCCACGGCCCGCAACCCCACCAAAGCAGCTGAAGCCAATCCACAGATTTCTAACCTCGGCGGCATTTGGATCGAGCTTGATGTGACGAGCTCCGACACCTCCAAAGCAGTGGAATGTGCAGTCAATGAGGCCGGTGGTGTTATTGATGTGGTTGTCAACAATGCCGGTTATTCATTGCTAGGCAGTATCGAGGACATGAGCGAGGCCGAAATCGAGGCTCAGTTCAGCACAAATGTCTACGGTCCCGTTCGTGTGTTGAAGGGTGCTCTTCCTTTTATGCGGACGAGGAAGTCTGGCACTGTTGTCAATATTAGTAGCAGTGCTGGGGTTGATGGACTGCCCGCATGCGCGATGTACGCCGGTACGAAGTTTGCTCTTGAAGGTGAGTCCACTTAAGCTAATCATAACATGATATGTAACTATCTGAAGTGATGGCTTGCTAATACAAAATAAGCAGGCATGTCTGAAAGCCTCGCGAGAGAGCTAGCGCCATTCAATATTCGAGTACTCCTCGTCGAGCCAGGATCACTTCGGACCAACTTTTGGACCGCTTACGTCGAGCCTGCAGCCGGCGTAAATAAAGGCTATGCCGGGACCCCCTAGAACATGTCCTCCAGACATTCAAGTCAAACAAAGGCGTCCAGCCTGGCGATGCTGTCAAATGTGCTCAGAGAGTTCTGGAAGTCGTAGACGGTACCGGCATGGGTGCCGGGAAGGGAGACCTGTTTCGCTTGCCACTTGGCTCGGATTGCTATGATCGCTTCCAAAATAAAATTAAGAACTTACAGGACAACTTGCTGCAAGCGAAGGACATTGCCCATTCAACTAGCTACTCATGACCCACTTCCTAACTAACTGCAATTCGCTGACTTTGGCCGGAAAAAAATACAAATGTTTTAACATGGAACAATTTTCACAATACAACTTCGACTGTTGAGGTGTGATTAGTGAAAAATGGCTTTGTCTTATATTATGGATAAATCGTGTAGTCTCGACAGGTAACAAATGACGTTTATTATTAGAAACCAATTGTTGCTTGATTAGCCAAATATAGCCTAGCATAGCCTCGGGTACAAGCCGAGAAACAAAGCATGAATGTCCGGTGGATATAATGTTTTCGAATTCTACTGTATCCGGAATCCTAAAAAATCCGCCTTGACGCGTGTCCCAAAACAAGTGTAATGTTTTTAATCACCAAACAAGAAGGCCGAGCCTCGGGAGGAAGCCATAATACCTTTCCCCCGTTTACTGTTATCCACTCCTGCCGCTGTATAAAGTAACTAACTTATATATTCGCTTGAGGTGAACTAGAGGTATGGTTGCCACAGCTAAACTGAATATCAATGGATCCCAGATGTGTGGTTAAATATGAATCATCTTGAGAGAATTCTAGGTTAGTGAATGTAGTGAGTTTTGCGTTCAGTGTGGCAAAAAAAAAAAAAAAAATATCGGATTAAGCTATCTGAGGGTCCAGCTGATTTCGGTAGTGGTGTTTGCGGCGGTGCTCCTATGTGACCAACTCGATGTCACCTCAACAAAACAGGATATATGTTAGTAAGCAATGGGATGGTCCAGCATGATCTGGGAAAACGCGTTACCAGCGGCAGTTGGTAGCCTTGAGCTCGTGAATCTCTGCCGTGAAAGAACCATTCACCATATTCTGGCTGAAATGATGTACCTTCATGCCCCGTCAGCAGTACTATATTAATGACAATAGGTGAAAATATATAACTTATAAGTTAATACGTGAGTTAAGTAAAAAGTCAGAATTGTGTAGGACTAATTTTGATCTTGTATGATCTAGAAGGAAAGTGAGATAAGAGGTGGGCATTATGAAAACCCCCCAATGTAATTACTACTATCCCCGAGCGCACAACCCCCCCCCCAAATCATTATAGGCAAGGATAACCGAGGTGTTCGATTCGTGTGAAGTGCTAAAGTGACACCTTAGGTGCCGGCCGCCTCCCGTTTAGCCTATTTCCCTATACCCCATCAAAATATCTCTAATTTATTTTATCGCCAATTTCTCGATAACTCCGAGGCCGTGAATGCTCCGAAGTAAATAGGAGATAATCCAGATATTCTTTCATAAATTGCCAAATTTGAGATCGATCAGAGCTGATTACACTGCTGCAGTCAGGATAGGAAAAAACCTCCCGTGGGGAGCAACTTTTTCCTCCCATAGTAAAGGAAAAGCCCTAACCGACAGTCACCGCGGGGGGACAGGCGCCCACTCAAGGCTTAGCTCAGGCTCAGTGAGCGAATCAGAGCACTTAGGTGACGACCAGAGCATATTCCGTGAGCGGATCAGGGCGCTTAGGGGCGTGCTTAGATTTACTCAACGAGCAAAAAGCGGCAAGGGCTAAACACTAAAAAGGAAAGGGAGCGCCAAGAAGTAGCAGCTGAAATCACGTACCAAGGTTGAATTTAGTCGAAATATGCATACTTGATGGGGCCGAACTCAGCTTTATGCGGTAAGAACTGGATCCCCGACAAAGAGCAAGTCACCAAATACTAGTTCTAGAACTGGGGAGCCGAGTATCTCCGGCATGAAACTTGTCCTAACCGCAATCAGGGCAAGACCGATTGCGAATTTTGCACTATCATGTCGAAGCTGCATTTGGATGTTGAGAGTCGATTCCATATGGGAGGGCCATTGACGAGCCAGAACGCCGTCAAATGACGCCAATAGTGGATACTATCACCTATATGCCATGCGCGAGACACGCATCTTCGTTAAATGTCGAGCGTCTGCCCTTGCGCTGTGGTTGAGAAAGAGCCGGAAATTCTATTCTCGGTCCCGTTGTTCTTCAAAAGGCGACAATTGACCCGGTCGCATACGTGTAACTCCGAGAAAAAGTGCCAATTGCGATCAATATAGGTCTGTATTGGTCCCGCTCTGCGTCCAGGTTTTTTTTTCCAGAGATTTCTAACTGTTGAAATCCAGCTGCAATGAATTCAGGCAATGAGAATGGCTCCGGGGTGGTGGCAAAGTTGTCTCCTAGCGTGGTGGACGACTCTAAACAATTCCAAAAGCTGGAGCGAGAAGTGGCTTCAGACGATGAATATCCGCTTCCAACTGCAGAGGAAAGCAATACGCTTCGCAAGGTTGCGGGCTCCTTGCCTTTGGTCTCGTTCGCATTATGTCTAGTGGAATTTGCTGAGCGCGCATCCTACTACGGTGCAAAAACCGTATTCAGCAACTTCATCCAATTCCCACTCCCTGAAGGTATGTATCTCAAACGGCGTGTTTAGGAAATTTACTAATGCGACTGAAGGTGGTAACGGAGCAGGTGCCCCCCCGCGAGACACTCAGAAAACGGCTGGCGCCTTAGGGATGGGACTCCAAGCATCATCCGGACTGACACTGTTGTTTCTCTTTCTTTCATACGTGATCCCGATTTTTGGTGGTTGGTGGGCTGATGTCCATGTTGGTCGATTTCAGGCAATCTGTGTGGGCGTCTTGATCTGCGGAGTTGCCCATATTATCCAGGTCTTCGGCGCCATCCCCTCCATTCTCCAGAAGGGCACAGCCCACGTGGCTCCGCCATTCATCATCGGCCTGCTGCTTCTGGCCTTTGGCGCAGGCATATTCAAGCCTAACGTTTCGCCTCTCATCCTTGATCAAAATCCCCACAAGAAGGCCTATACTAAAACACTGAAATCGGGAGAAAAGGTCATCGTGGACCCCGAAGCTACGACAAACAGAATTATGCTTCTCTTCTATGGCTTTGTGAATGTCGGTGCTTTCTTTATGCTTGCGACTACATACTCCGAGAAATATGTTGGATTCTGGCTCTCCTTTTTGCTGGCAGGCCTTATCTATCTCTTACTGCCTATTCTTCTTCTGGTTATGTATAAGAGGACATACAAGCGGCCTCCGGCTGGGAGCTCGGAGGTCTCGCAGGCGTTCAAAATTATTGGGACTGCTCTTCGTCAGAGCAATTTCCAGTTCTGGCGTGAGGGCTTCTGGGATAAGGCAACATCCAGCAGCCTCCAGAAGAAGGGTATCACCGTGAGCTGGACAGATAAAGCCGTTAAGGATGTTTCCAGAACAGTCGGTACGTCAAATTTACTCATGATAAGATCCCCATCCTCCTTGCTTTAATCTTTTCTTGGACTGTTTTATCTTCCATCCGATGTTCTAATACATTTTAGCTGCCTGCGATATCTTCTGGTTCTACCCGATCTGGAACCTCAACGATGGCGGCATCGGATCTGTATCGACGAATCAAGGCGCTTCAATGGTTACTAATGGCGCACCCAACGATGTTCTCAGCAATTTCAACGCATTGACAATCATTTTCGTCATTCCAATTCTTACCTTCATAATCTACCCTACTCTCCGTCGCTACAAGATCAACTTCGGCCCAATCAGCCGCATCACGTTTGGCTTTTGCCTAGCGACCCTCGCTGGTCTCGCGGGTGCTCTAGTCCAGTGGCGTGTTTACGCGCTATCTCCTTGCGGTAACCAAGCGTCAACTTGTGATGAAGTAGCCCCCATTAGCATCTGGTGGCAGCTTGCGAATACTATTCTGAGTGCTTTGAGTGAATGTTTCTGCAATGTTACTGCCTATGAGCTCGCTTATGCACGTGCCCCGCATGGAATGAAGGGTCTGGTGGTGGCCTTTTTCCTCTTTATGAATGCTTTGTCTAGTGCAATTGGTGAGATTTTGCTTCCAGCGACTGCTGACCCGTGGTTGGTCTGGATCTGGGGTGCACCGGCTGTGGCGCTTGCTTTGCAGACGATTGTTTTCTGGTTCAGATTCAGACACCTCAATAATGAAGCGTGGACAGAAGAAGAAGAGCCTACTACTGTGGTCCAGAGGGATGAAAAGGTTTGATTTAATCGCATCGTTCTGGTGGCCAGTACTCAGGTAATTTATGAGAAAAATTTAGCAACATTCGTGCCATACCATATCAAGGATAGAAGTTACCGGTGATTAGCCTTTTACTTTTGGCAAAGCATAGAGAGGAGGGCTGTGTAGGTGCGTTAGTTCCATAATTCTCGCATATGAGTTGACCAACCCGTCACCTTTCAAGGAGGCGCATCCGCCTTTATCGATGACTACTTCCGCTGGTGAGTAGGTCACTCAGCCGAAGAGAACTTAGCCAAGATTCAATCTAAAGACATCCCCCGCATTGAAGCATAGGCTCGATGTACCGAGTCCTGTTTTTCGTAGCCGAAAAAGCTGCGCTTACTCATTTCACTAGGAAAAGACTCGAACGGCTCTAGGGTTAAGCGGTTATAAACGGGAAGATAATCGAAGCGTCGCCTACGGCTAGACTTCTCCAAAACCCAATTTGCGTCCCGCCCAACCCGCACTGGGGGAGAAGTCTACCAGCGTTTCTACTTCCCCTACTAGTGCTAGCAGCAATAGCACTGGCGGACCCCGGGTCCAACCCAGGGTGGAATCCCTGATCACTGCAATAAATGGGTAATGCAGAAGGACGCTAAGTACTGTCAAGACATGGCGGACGCCGCAGGAATCTCCCTCGATTGTCTCTACGAGATGAACCCTGCTCTCAACACGAAGAAGGGTGAGCGTCAGGGGCTGTTGACGGGAGACGCATAATGCATTGGAACTTCTTCCAAGAAATGTAAATAGTTACGCGTAGAAACAATAACTTATCCTATCGCTCTATGGATGGGGCAGATGAAGACTGTTCAGATGATGGGACAAGCCACACAACCCCGGTTCGGCACATGTGTAACTTAACAGCTGCGAATGCTGGTCCTTCTCCTAATCACTTCTCATGGCAGCAGAAACCTCTCGGTGGGGGAGGCGATGTTTGGAGCAAAGATGTCTTCGTCGTTCATGGAAACAAAAGAGCTGTTGTAGGGGTCCTTCTGAGCAGCCTTCCATATTTCATCCATCGACCACTCGTCCGCGTGCCAGCACCGAGCAACGTAGAAGTGATTAAGAAGTTGCTGAAGGCGAACGCGCACATAGCCTTGGTAACCCCTCGGATCGGAGTCCCGGCTTTCTGGATCAAAGTCGGGATCAACAGCCCAGATCCATTTATCGCCAGGTCTGCGAGTATCCAAGACCGACGCCGCGGCGTCGTGGTCCAGAAATAAGAACATGTTCCGGAGAATGCTTTCCGTAATTCCATCCTGGGTGGCGTCAAACTTGCCTGCGGCCAAATCGAGGCGTAGATACGGCGTTTGCTTCACGGGTGGCAGAAATCGGAGATAGTCGAAGTGCTTACGCAGTTGGTTCACCGTCGCTAAGAAAGACTCATCGCCGCCGGTTCTAGAAGGCTGATCAAGGCGCTCAAGGTACCACTGGGATCTAATCTGTATTGAAGAGCCAATAGCCACGTGCGCCCAGTGGAACAAGGTAGTTTGTTTTTGTTCATGGGACTCCTGGCGTTCGGGATCCTCGCGCTTCCACTGAGGGCTTTCGAAGATTACCTAGCCCCATGGGTGTTTGCCCTTTTCTTCTTGCCATAGTTGGCGCAGCCAGGTGTGGCCGCTTTCTAGCATCCGCTCTAGATCTTCTCTGTCCTGGGTTTCTCTTATTTCCTCGGTTCGTTGGAGAAGCTCCACCTCTGCATTTTTCAATGCATCCGCTTCGTATTCCGCATAGAAAGAGGTTCGAAAATTCTCGAGACGCTCGACTGTTTGAGAGTAGTGTTCTTCAGAGACTAGTTTGAGATCCTCGTAACAATCAAGACGGACATCTTCTTCCGGATAGCTGATTCGACCCCAATAACGGCTATTAAGTAGATCAAGCTCCAATTCTGTAAGCTCTCTAGGTGATTGAGCCGCTTTTTTCCTAAGCCCCTGAGCCTTTGCTCAGAGTTGTTGCAGCGGCAATGTTTGCCCCTTGGGTTGAGACGTCAGGAAAGTCGAGAAACCGAACGCGTTCCTCTGTAGTAGCGGCAGACAGGTTGCTTTCGAGTTCTTGGAAAGTTGCTAGCAGCTCAGCAGCGTCATCGAGGTTACATAGGACGCGGATGGAAGATGAGAATAGCTTCTCCATGGTTGGAAAGATACAATAGGAGATCGAGAGGCGAAAGTGAAGCTAAGAAGTGCCAAGAGTACGCCGTACGGGCGACAACACTGACCACGAATGATTTTAGTCTGCTAAACGGCATAATATGGCACTGGGAGACCCAAACTGCAGAAGCAACGGGTTTCACACTTCGCGACTGGCCTCACCTCATTCTCGACAAACGGATGAAATCAACAAATACAAATTTTGCCCAAGGAGTAAAAGTATATATTTCATACATGGAACTGGTTGACGAAACACAAATTTATTGATATACCCCTAAAACTTATTCAATGCAGGGCCAATTTCCTCAAAATTTGTATTATGGGTTAACCCTAAGCTAGTTCTCTCACTTCGCATTAACTATGTAGCTAGTTGGCTTAATAAACGCTGTTTATTAAATGACATATATTGTCGATTGTACGTTCAATAGCAGGTATTGCCAGACTTGATTGACTCAAAGTCGATCATAAAGGCAGAAATGATACCTAAGGCTGTATATCTAGAGAGCCTTGATAAGACAGCGTATGTTTATGTTGGTCTTCTAATCACAACCTTTAGGCACTATTTAACACGCTTATACCAGAATATAACGCGAGTGCCACTTCTTTCGAGTACTTAAACGGATTATCTAGATATATTCGGTAGTTGACCAGACTAAGGTTAAGATCGACGCGGGCGAGTCCTCTAGTCCCACTAAACATTCAGTTTTCTCTATGCTAAAGCGTATAAACGGAAAGCTTTAGCTCGTCAAAGTAAAGCTCATGTTTAGACTCGGAACAGTAAGTAGAGAGAAGGTGGCTGTTCTTGCTAAACTCCTAGAGGTTTCTCATATATATGTCAACTCTTCTAACAAATCTATTACTCACTCTTAGGGCTAGCATAGGTGTTAGAAGCGTTTGAGGCTCCCAACACCGTTCTTGGCATTTATATTTCAATTGATTGATTGTCTTTTTAACCTTCTTGAACCCATTTTAGGAGGCTCAAAGATTTGTTTAAAGGAGACCTCAAACATGTTTGACAAAGAGCTTTTTGTACTGGTCGCTAAGCGATCCACAAGTGCGCCTAAATGCTTGGGCTTTCGGGGGCTTTCCCCACCCCGGGTCTGGAGTCCGTTTGCGCCTAGGGTCGGGTGGAGGGCTGGAGATACTGGCCCTCTAAATGTTTCTTATGAGGTCTACTCTCTAGCTTAGTTTCTTGGATGAATGGACTCTTTTGATTAAGACTTGCCGACTCACATCAGAGAAGTCTAATCCGAGAATGCTCACTCTATGGTCTCCTCTAGAAGCTGGATTTGGTGTTATGAAGTGTCTGGTAATCCCGTGCTGCTTGCCATTCACGTGGATGTAGTGAGCCATGTTTGGTGTTGCTACAGTAAATCTAGAAGATGTTGTTCTTATGAAGTTCACATTACGCCATGCGATTTCATAACAAATTTATTTTTAGTACTGTATGCTTTTAGCACGGGTCCCTGTTTCATTAGGATTGGAGCGGTACATTCAGAGGAAGGACATTTTGGATGAATATACATCCATTGAACAAGTGAGCGCAAAGAAAGGCTCTATTAGTCAGGCTATCAGTTCATTCGCTTGCAAAAGACAAGCGTTCATCTATTTCTGGGCAAGAGTGAAAGGTGAGCCATTTCGGACTATGGGGTCACAGCCTTGGGGACAGTGACTGCGGTTTGAGGATCAGTATGGGGGCAAGCCGGTGATCAAGTGGCGTGCACTGATTGCACGGTGGAGTGGGTTATGTCGACTAGTGATGAAACCCTGAATGTGTTGTCTACAGTTCAATGCCAAGGAGCTATGCAGGGCTGTGGTTCTTGAGACAAGGGCCTAGAGCAGCTGTGGGCCCACTACTTCGGGCTGTGGATGTAAGTTCATGGACGTACGTCCACAACTCTCGAACTGGCGCAACGGCTTAGTGGCTTCAAGATACTCTGACTTCTACATCACCAAGGCTGCAGCTTCAGCCTTTTTTGATCTAGCTACGATTTCTCTTCAGGCTCAGAGTAACGCTAGACCGGATTAGGTCGACGCTACGCTTACGCTAAGTGGGGACCAGGGAGCGGGACTCGCCTCAGGTACACCAACCACAGGCATTGAGCCCTGAGACCGGAGGCTAATCGGATCACCGTTTGCCTACCTTGGCACATAGCACGTTTTATAATACATGGTTTTATAAGGGTAATAATATCTTGATCTAAGTTTGTAAGTCTCGTTATGCTAATCTCCTTTACTGTCTCTGAGTCGTAAGTCGAGGGTGTGGAGAGGGTGGAGACTCGAGAGGATCCCGAACTATGACTTTCGGGGGTCTTACATATTGACCCCAACCCCCCTTCTCCTTTTGGAGGAATGTCCAAAAGGTTCATGCGAGGTACAGGGATCGGACATATGCACTAATCCGAGACTCCTTTTAGGCAACAAGCCCGTCATCATGTAGGTGATGTTCAGCTGGCTGATGTGGATCCCGAATCGAAAAACCTATAAGACCCGACTTTAAAACAAGTTACAGGGCTTCCATTCTGCTGGCGATGTTCTTCTTGGTGGGAAATATGGCAGAAAAGTGGACAATGTTCCTTGAGGCTGAAATGATTCCTACAGTACAACAAAGATTTGGTGGGTGCCTGGGTCATAGAAAATGCGAGTGATTTGGAGGGTGCGCGCCAATAATATTCAATAAAGACCCTTTGTTGTACCGTTACATCCGTTTCCCCGTCGCCCTAAATCATACTAGTCAGGGCGGGGATCGACTGTTTCCGAGATTAAGTGGAATCAACCCACACCGAGACTCGTCCGGAGCTTGGATTGGCCAAGCCCTCAATCCGGTCAAAGATCGACCGCTGGCTTGGAGCCACCCGTCCTCATCAGATTGCTTTAGCGAACGCTCGGGCCCATGAATAATCTGTCACTTGTTTAGTGTCTCGTATTCTCCATCGCGAATTTCGTGATTCGGTTTACGTACAGAATCCCACCTGCGCAATGTCGTGTATGCACCTCATACCTCGGCTCCATGCCGTGTTTTCGAGCCATGAGGGACGGCCAACAAAGCCAACAACTCTTCGATACCTTGTGTTCATCTCCTGATATCTCACATTAGAAAGAAAGAAAGATACTCAACTCCTCTCCCGGGCCACTATTGACGTTAAAAATTGATCTCTATATGACTGCGAGTTAATCAGTGCAGATGAGCCGATCCACCCCCGCGAGTCTGCCGCAAGTGACGTCTCCGGTGAATCCCAGCTACGCGGAGGATGAAGAGCACCCCACCATCAAAGGCAAGAGAAAGCCATCTGGTCCCGACAAGCGAGAGAGCTGCCAGCGACTCAAGACAATCAGAGCGTGCGACATTTGCAAAGAGAAAAAGACTCGCTGCAGCGGGACTCGTCCATGTGCGCGTTGCCAACGACTGTCGTTTGTCTGTGAATACGAAACGACCTACTCCAGGGGACTCGGCCCGCCGCCGCCACCACCACCGCTGGAACTGACCTTCGACGGTCGGCCAGACGAGCAGCAGTACTTCAAACATGACGCGAGTTTCCCAACATCCATTCAACAGCCCGTTCAGCATGAGGCTGCCCATAGTGCTCCTACGCGCAGTACCGATCTCTTGACCGCGGACTTCCAGGGAGGCTACCTAGACTTGGCGTCAGGAACTTCGTTTATCAACCGGATATGTCAGCGCCTCAACCAAGACAAGACGCCGTCCACCGGAGCCGTGAGCGTGTCGGACGGGCTCCATGGTGAACTCTCAGGCAGCCCATCTGTCACTAGGTTTGGGGATAAGCCGTATTCAAGCCTCTATAAGCTTGATTTCACCCTTCCTCCGTTGGAGAGGGCACTGGAGATGGTCGAAACGTACTTTGAATATGCCGTTGTGACCTACCGGTTCTTGCATCGTGGTCATGTCGAGCAATGGCTTCGTCAGATCTACCAGAGCAACATTTCAGCAAAAAACCCGCCCACAGACCTGATGGTGGGCCGGTGCTGTATTGTGTACAGCGTTCTTGCGATTGGTACACTTTATGAGAGGCGAACTCCCGAGCCCGACGTAGATTATGATGAGCAGAGGTAAGCCCGAAAACGGCGCATTGATCTCCCAGTCCATTCGCTGATTACCTGAAGCGAACGCTGGTTTGCCCTCTCCAAGCGGATGTCGTCCATTGAGTCGGGCGCACCACAGCTGGAGACAGTACAAGCGAGACTGAACCGAAGTCTTTACCTACTGGCATCGTCCCGAGCCAGTGAGTGCTGGTTCGCGTTCGGCACCACCGTTCAGTTCTTGACCGCTCTTGACTTACATCGCAAATGGCCGTCCACTATGGTCGAGCAGGGTAAGGGCACATACATGGAGCAAGAACTTCGGAAGAGAACCTTTTGGAGTGTGTACACGTTGGACAAGTATCTGAGCGTGATGTTCGGCCGACCACGGTTGCTGCACGATGAGGATATCGATCAAGAGCTTCCGGACGAGGTGAAGGATCAAGACTTGTTGATCAATGATCCGAGCATGCGATCTGGCGTGCCCGATAATGCGATGATCGCATCCGTACTGCATTACCGGTCAGTGTCTGAATTGAAGCACTATTCGAAGAGAAATCCAATTCCAGCTAACAATTAGCAGACTCTCACGGGTGCTGGCAGATATTTCAAGGAAGTTGTATACCGTCAATCCCCCGGGAGGGTCCCCTTTTGAGGCGGCCATCCTGTTAACCCTCGAGTTAGAACGATGGAAGGAGGTCGCAGCCCCATTGATGGATCGCTGGCGATCTCAGATTCAACAGCTCGCCTACTCGCACGCAATTATTTACATCACGCGATTATTTCTCTTAAATGACTGCAAAGATATTCCGCAATCGAGCGTCGCCACTTATGTTCACAAATGTATCGGGGCCGCCGAGGAAGTAATGACTATCATCAACGGACTCGCCAGCCGAAAGGCTCTCATCCATGGGTTTTGGTTCACCCATTACGTGTGCTTCTGTGCCATTACCGTGGTGTACATCCACATCATCAAACAGCATCAAGCGTCGGGCGATCCATCGAAGGTGGAAAATAGCAGTCGGCTGCAATATCTGTTCAGCCTCGCAGAGACCTGCCAACAACATCTAGGTAAGGCCACCTGCCGGAGCAGTCCCAACCGTCGCTACGGCATTATTCTGGAGCAGTTGCGTCTGCAAGTCCACCGACAAGTCGTCTCCAGTCTCCGACCAAGCGTTCAAATGGAGACAGAAGAAAATAGCCACAAGGGCCTTTCCAAAGCAGACAGTTTCCTTCCGCCTAGCTTTCTTCCCGCGCCTATTACGGACATCTCCCCGAAGCCCAATATGGCATTCGACGCACTGCCCGCCGACCTCTTTGCTTCTCATCTTGTGGACGACTCATTCAAGTTATATGATAGCTTTGGATTCCCAGACAGCTCTGATACTTCAGCTTGGTGGGCACAACTGGACTCCTGCGTAAGCTTGGTCATCATTTTTGTTGTGTCAAGCAAGCTGACCCGTTTTAGGCGTACACTGATCTTTCCGAGGAACCGACCATCTTCCGGTTTTAGAGCACACTACGGTCTTGTAATAGATTTCGTGTCGACTGCGTGAAGTTATTTAAGGTGGCCTTCTAGCATTAATGCCTAGGCGACTTGGTTATACGCCGATCGTGACTATCAAGCCCTGTAGAGGAGAAAATCAAAGCCATTCCTATGTCACCTTGTGAATCTAGATAATGAATCAATGAGAGCATGAAGTCCTATCTCTATCACGTCTAGCCTTTCTCAGGTATTACCAATACCTTCTTCTATTTTTTTCTTTTCCTTCCTGCTTCATAGGTAGAGGAGTTGACGATGAATCCATTGTAGTTTCTGCTACTCATTAAATGTACACAAAAAAGAAGTCCACAACTTGCTATACTCAAAAAATGACTTATGTAAGTTATATAACAGCGAGGCCGCTGCACAAAAGACGTCCAATATACTAGGTTAAATTCTTCGGCAGGTGAGCAGCCTTGAATTCATTAGTCGCTTGGTTGAACACCAGTAATACTTGTTCCAATTATTGATTGTCTTACTGAGTATTGTAAAGTCCAGTAAAATCTAAGTTTCATCATTTTCCCTCTGGTGAAGAGCCTGCCTGGTTTTTGTGTAGGTGTGTAATCAGCCTAACTTCCCAGGTACATCTCTATATAAATTCGTATGCAGTATCAACTTTCGGCACTCCACTTCCGCCAACCATTGCCCCTCTCATGAGGTAGTGTCATCCAATGTTCAAAATCTGAATCCACGCCTGCAGCCACGAATTTAACCAGCGAAGCTCCCAGTAACAAATACCTTCTCATGCTTCATCAACAAGCTGCAGACCAAGCAAATGGCTCCCGCAGCGATAATGGGCACGTAGGCCAACTGGATCGCCCCGGTGATACCACGAATTGCGGCTGCATATTCCTCGGAACTCGCAGAGCGGAGGAGCTGGCTCCCCACACCCGAGATTGCATTGGAGATCTCGTCCTCGCTAGCCAGAGGGAACACCTGCTTCAGGGCCTGTTGCGCGAAGTTCACAAACAGGGCGCCGGATATACCCGTGCCGAAGACGATCCCCATCATCTGTCCGACGGTCATGAAGCCCACGCAGAAGGGGATCTCCTCCGGCTTGACCTTCATCTGTGCGATCGCGAAGCCGGCCTGGCAGAAACAGCCCACGCCGGTGCCCAGGATAATGGTGTAGCCGTAGATTTTGGCGTCGGATGTGTGTTCGTCCACGGTGTCTGTTTTGTAGCGAGGCTTGTTAGAACGTGTTTCGTGGTATATGAGGAGTACATGCGACGGGGGACTTACAGAGGAGGACACCGCCGATTAACTCGAGAGCAGCGCCGAAAATGTACCAGGGGTAGTAGTAGCCAGTCTTGCCCATAAATTGACCGTTGATCAGGTTGAAGGCCACCAAGAGCAGAATGAAGGGCAGGAGATGGACGGAGGTCTCAACGGCTGTGCTTCCGCGGGTGAATTGGTAGTAGATGGGCAAGTAGTAGATGCCGATGAAGCTGCCAAACGTCGCCAACACTGTACGTAGTTAGACATTTACGCCATGCTTGTGTAGTAAATGTTAGGAGTACTCACTCATAGTGAGGAAGAGAACGATCAAGGTACGGCTCTTCCAGAAATGCATGGGGAACATGCGGTTCTGGAAGCTGGTTCCCAGGTTGAAAGTTTGTTGCACCACAAACAGGACCAACAGGACGCCGGCGCCCACAAACAGACCAATGCTGTTCGAACTGCTCCAGGTCCACAGAACGCCGCCGAAGTTCATGGCCATAATCGCGCATAAAAGGGTACCAATAGACAGCAGTGCTCCAATGTAGTCGATCTGGCCAAACCGCTTGAGGATGGGGACATCCTTCTGGGGCCTGAAGTCGGGCAAGAGGAGGATGTAGATCGGAGCCACGACCGCTCCGACCAGAAGGTTCAGGTAGAATGCCCAACGCCAGGTCGCCTTGCTGTCGCCGAGGGCACCACCAACCACTGGACCCAGCACGGTGCCGATACCCCAAATGAACCCAGTCAGGCTGAGATACTTCGGACGTTCAATGTTGTCTGTGGTCACTGACATCAATGTCAACAGACCCATGTACATTCCACAACCACCGGCACCCGCGATGGCACGACCGACGATGAAGCTGTTGATGTCTGGAGCGCCTCCGCAGAGAGCCGACGCGCCCATGAACACGACCGTGCTTCCGATGTAAAGCTTCTTTGCGGAGAAGGTGCCATACGCCTTGGACCAGATCAAGGTCGTAGCCGCTGACGCCAGAGCAAAGGAGACACCCAGCCAAGGAACCAGACTAACATGACCAAAGGTTTCGACGACTTTCGGCTGAACATTGGCCACCACAGTATTGTCGAGCGCATACAAGAACAAGGACGAAAGCAATGCAGTGACTACTAGGGCCCACTGTGAATATTGGGTTAGCGAGGGATCAATAAGCATGGATGGTTCGATGTCTTACTCTAACGCCGTGCACGTCTCTTGGGGATTGTGGCTTCTCAATTGTAGCCTCTGAGGGCGGCTCAGAGGGAGAGGAGCGCAGAGAATCACTTGGAGTTTTCATTGTCGCGGTGCAAGTATTGACGAAATGTTGGCTGGTTCAAATGTGAAGCTGAGACTGGGAGTTTTTGTTTGGGATTGGCTTTTGCCGTTTGTACTGATGATTGTGGCTGAGGTGAGTGTCATTATAACTCCAATTGCCAGGGACACCAGTAACTATTTATCGTCATGGTGCCCGGTCGATTTGTCTTTCCGATGCTCTTGTCCAGCAGGCACGTTGCCGAGACGGAGTTGATTGCGCTGGCCGCGTCGGTGCCCATGACCGAAACGGACCCGGAAACTCGACTAGGCCAGGGAATTTCCTCAGCTGTTGGGCCCTTCTCGGAATGCCTCTGCGCCAAGCTTGAGGATCTCCGACGGAAATAGTGTGGAGTCAAGACAGTCGAAGCTACTATTCGCCCGGATACCCTATGGGTCCCGGAAATGCTTTGAAATCCAGCCTCGAAAAGCATCATCAATGGTATATTCCCCTATCAGGAGACACGGTCGTGATGGTTAGTTATGTTATTATAAGAATAACGGCTGGACTTGTTCAAATGATGGGATTTTGCACCTCTCAACCGCTTTAATTTCTCCGGCTGAATTCCTGCCCAAATCTTGCCCTGATATCATGTCCGCCCAAACGGTGACGTTCCAGCGCCAGTCGACAGAACCCGCCAGTGTCATCCGCATTTACCGTCACGATGCTGTAGGCGACGCTCCGATTCCCGCGAATTCGGTTCTGCTGAAGTTCCTGGCTGCTCCCGTGAATCCCCAGGATCTGCTGGTGATTGCCGGCCGGTATCCCGTCCAGCCACACCATCGCTATAACGACGAACCCATCCCGGGATACGATGGGGTGGCTCGTGTCGAGCGCGTCGGCACGGATGTTGATGCGTTGAAGCCCGGGGACCACGTTATCCCCCGTGCCCACGGCTTGGGGACCTGGCGCACGGAAGCCGTGGTTCCGGCGGCAGCCGTGCTGAAAGTGTCGAAGAGTTTGGAACCGACAACCGCCAGTCTGCTGAAGACAGGTTGCTCGACGGCTTATCTTCTGTTAGAGAGCTGTCCCTCCCTGTGTCCGGGAGAGTGGGTCGTTCTGAATGCCGCGACGGGATGGATTGCGCGGATGGTGGTGCAGTTTGCCCTGCTCAAGGGCTGTCCAAGTATCTGTGTGATTCGAGACCGGGATGATGTCGAGGCTACACGACAGTCACTTCTCGATCAAGGCGCTCGTGTGGTTGTCACCGAGTCTCAACTTGCCAAAGAAGGCCCGGCCGCGATTGCGGCCGGGAAGCGTGTCACTCTCGCACTGGACGCGGTCTTCGGACAATCTGGTCAACGACTCGCCGCCATGCTCGCTCCTGGGGCTACCTACATCAATTACGGGTCGCTGGGAGGTGCGGGCGGCCAATTAGTCCTGAGCCAGGAACTAATCTTCTGGAAACAAATCACTTTCAGGAACTTCCGACTGTCCCAGGCGCTGAGTCGATACACGGAGGACGCACAGATTGACCTCCTTTCGTGGTTCACCGAGCTCTTCGAAGAAGGGAAGATCACTGCGCCACCGGTCAACCGTGTAGACTGGGAAGAGGACAGAGATGGTGGAAACCTCGAGAAGAAGGTCCAGTCGGTGTTGGCTAGAGCCGGTGGGAAAGTAGGACCGACCGTCGGGTGCACCAAGCACGTCGTGCAGTTCTGAGTTTCTCTCTGTTGTCTCTGCTCTGTATTCTTACGCGCATATGACAAGCCTATCATGGGTTCCTTCAGCCTATCAATTGTACCTGCCGATGTAGTCGATTTTTGTAGACTAGAGCATAGAATGTATATAGGAACACTCTTCGCAACAGGAGTATAGTAACTTAGTGCACACCTGCGAATTTCTGTAGGGACGAAAGGTCACGCGAAGAACACACCTATCGTGATACTGGATCTTTTCATGTTCTTAATAGCCCCCGACATTGCCAAGTTAACGATGTTAAAAAACGCAAACCCGAATAATCGCAAGATTTGCCTTGAATAACACTCAAGAATCGTCACGATTGTGTTTATAGTCCTACGTAGTAGCAGGTCTCTTGACATATATTGGAGTCAAGTCACTATCTGGGATCTTGTTGTCCATGTTGGCTGCAATCTATAAAGAGTACATCAATGGGGCTGGCGATATATACATCTGTTCCCATGATGAGGCACATACAAGAAACATGTGATAATGTCGGTCCAGGTGACATAGAATGAGCATAAAAGGGATCTCAGCAGTGCTACAAACATCCGAGTCTTTCTGAACCTATAACTACAATTGTCTCGAATTTTTCTGATGCCGGTTCGCGGTCATTTCTTGAACCTGCGACACGGAGAACTCGCAAATGCGAGATAGAACAGTTTCTATATGTAGATCGTCATGAATAGGAAAAGGGAAAAAAGTCGTATCTTGTGTGTATTACTTCGGTGGATGACTATATTTTGAGACGCTTGGAAGGTTTGGTCCAAAAGTGCCAACTTGCGATCGCAATCGGCCCACAACATACTGGGCACGGCTTTACTCATGTGAATATGCACTAGTGGAATAATATATGAAATACTTGGAAAGGTAGTCAATCTATATACATTTCAAGGGCATGACCCCCAGTTGTCAACCCCACGGCTCTAATCCGTATAAGCGCTTTCCTGTTCGATGGTGGTTGCGTTGTACTTCCGGAGCGTGTCCTCCAATCCCGGAATTGGCGCATCGAAGTCAATCAAGCAGCTATTCATGGTGCGGGCGAGAAACGCGTAGATCGACTGAGTGTAGAAGAGATCCATCAAAGCCTCATCTCCAAGGACCTGTTTAGCCTTGAGCACCGTGTCCTTGTTGACACGATCGCGCAGACAAAGGTCTTCAACAACCGCGCTGATCAGTCTTTGGCGATCAGAGAAGAGCTCCGTCGAGCTCAAGTCCCCCGAGCGGAGGCCCGCCAGTTGCGCGTCGGTGTACCCGAAGACCCGGGCCACGGGCTCATTGACATCCCACTCGTACGGAGCATCCAGCAGGGACGCGGTGCGCAAGACAACCAGTTGCCAGTCCTTCGAGCGCAAGCTGCGCTCGGGCGACCAGGCACAGGTCAGCAGTTTCATGAAGGTTGGGAAAAAGGTGGGCGCATTGGCGACCAGCTGGGGATAGATTGTTAGTATATCGCTCTCCCATCATAGAAGACCATGGAGAGGATATGAGAATATACCTTAAAGATGTTGCGCTCGAAGGGAAGTGTTTTCAGGGCCGCGCTGACCTCCTCCGGAGCCGTTGTGGAGTCCACGTACGGCAGGAGGTGGTTGTTGGTCATGTCGCGGTTGTCCCAGGAAGTCATGATGACAGAAGAGTCGAAGTCGATGAAATTTATTATGAAGAAGGAAGGCGGGAGTGTGTGTTTTGGTCGGTTTTCAATGTGTTGGTGGTGATCGGGGCTGATGATTGCTGCTGAGCTGGAGTTTTTGATGGGTTCGTCGGTGGCTTTTATAACGTAGGATTTGTAGTTATGAACCTGATGGACACGGGAGGTCAATAATGAGCCAGCGAACAGAAACAATCATTTCCGGTGATTCCTTCCGTTGGTAGTCGGCAGTTAGGGCTTTCCGGGTCAGTCGCCCCGCAGTGTTTCCGCTCTGCGCTCTCCCTCTCCTCTCTTTCTCCTCCTCTCACTAAATCCTTGGCACTTGGCGTTGTCGATCCGGAGAGCGCCATCGTGTGTTTGCACAGACCCAATCATCTCGTGAAATTCTCCGAGATGTCGAAGCACGCGGCCGTGCTCCCACGGTGGGCCCAACACACGGACGGCAACTAGATTGGATGCTACCATACCGTTTGTTAGTCCTTTCCGCCCCCTGTACATGCCTGGCCGATATGGCGCAAGAGACAGGTTCCGGATCGTGCATACTAACTCGACCCAACTCAGTCCGTTGATCCCGGGGCGGGAACCTGCGACATCACCACGGAAGCTTGCATCGCTGAAGTCGAACGGCTGCTACGGAGGGGAATGGGGACATAGCGCACAGCATGGCACGGAGACATTCTTGGTTACGGGGAAGGCGATGTTCAGGATGGCTTTAGCCATGATCAAGAAAGGCTATAAGAACGGGCATGGAGGCACCCAGCCGTCAACCCATCAACACTTGAAACAGAAATCAGCAAAAGCATTCATCATTTGAGAAACACCATCGCGATTTTTACTTTCACACACCAAGACAAAAGTCACTATCAATAGCGTCATTATGAGCCTCATCCAGCTGAACACCATGGACTTCTTGTCCGCCGATCCTTTCAGCCATGCGGAAGTTCTGTACGACCAACACTTGGGCGATATTGAGAGCCTGCTCCATGGTCATGACCTGGAAGTGGAATGGCCGGCGACTCCGGCGCAATGCCAAATCCTGGAATCGGACGATATGCCCTGGTGCAAGATCAGTCTGATCTTGCCACGGCAGTCCGCGCCCGATGTGAATCGAATTCAGTCGAGCTGGACCCAGATCTGCTCCCACCGTGAGTTTCCATTTTTCTTGGCTTGAGCCCGAATTCCCAGCATGCCTAACACATAAACACAGACTGTGGCCTTCGTACAGTCTTCCGTTTGGATCCCCGGTCGGGGCAGACGTATCAGCGGGTGGTGTATCGCACTCCAGATATCCAGTGGGATACAAAACCCGTTGGAAGCAATGCCTCTTCCTCCAACTCATCGTTGGCGGATGTTCCGGCGGAGGATGATCTGGCACAGTTGATTGTCTGTCGCGACCCCAGCACCGGCAGCTATCGCTTGACACTCCGTGCAAGGCGGGCAGCCGTCGACGGTACCTCCCTCGAGATTATCAAGCGCAACTTCGTCCTGTTGTATTGTGGTTTACCCTTGCCGGAACACACTCCACTGGCGACGTACCAACGTTTCCTCAGAGAGACAAAAGACACGACCAGCAGCATTGCGTTCTGGAAGGCTCAGCTCAGTGGTGCCGTGCCACCCGTCGCTCTCCCCTGGGAGACAGGGCTATCGGATGTGAATGTGTCTCAAGACCGCCAGGCTCTTCGCCTCCATCTCGATGACAATTCCCACCCGGGGTTATCTCAGATTGAGCATGCCTCGGGCCTGCCACGCAAACTCATCTTTGAAACCCTCTGGGCCTATGTCTTGCACTGCCATTCCGGTGCCAGCGATGTTCTCTTCGCGGCCGTAGAGCGTGATGCGAGCTTCCCAGATGCCGCCTCGTGCGTGGGATACCTCGACCACACATATCCCGTCCGATTGTCGGTGTCCAGCGACGAGACGTTTGTCGGCCTTTCCAACCGCCTCACCACCTTCCATCAGTCCGCATCCCCGCATGCCTACCTGGGATACAACGCTTTATCCCAGGAACTCTCAAAGCCCCTTGAGTCGGTCCTAAGATACTCTCCGGATCCGAATGGGCCGACGCTGGCCGGGCAGTTGGCGCCGTTCCCTCTGGCAATGTTCATCAATGGGACCGGTGTAATCACTTTGACACTGTGCCACTCGCCCCTCACGGCGACTGCAGATGCCCAGCTGCTCCTCGAACATTTCTCGCATGCCCTGTACAGTGCGCTCAATAAATTCTACCTTCCTCACGCTCGTCTTGAGGAGATCGAACTGGGCTCGCGGGAAGAAAAGCTGGCTCAGGTGCACACGGCCAAGGCTTTAGCTCGTCAGCACCAAATATCGACCATTACCCGTCTTTTTGAGGAACAGGTCATGCACAGCCCGCAAGCCGCTGCGGTGGAGTTTGAGGAGGACGCCCCACTCAGCTATGCAGAGCTCAACGCTCGTGCGAATCGGATGGCACGCGCGCTACCTCCACTCACGGGCAAGGTCGTCCCAGTCTGTCTGGACCGCTCGGCTGATCTCATTATCAGTGTACTTGCCATTCTGAAGTCGGGTGGAGCATACACGGTCCTCGATCCAGAGGGACCACTTGAAAGGAACAGTCGAATTATCGAAACTTGCTCCGCGACTATGGTCCTGACGAGCCGTCGTTATGCATCTTCGTATCCCAGTGCTCTCGCAATAGAAGACTATATGGTTGCCACAGACAACGAAGAGTCTTCTGCGAACCTGGACATCGAAATCAGCAGTGAGGACCCATGCTACGTGGTGTTCACTTCCGGCTCGACTGGTATGCCGAAGGGTGCGGTTGTCACTCATGGGGCGGCCACGAATGGAATGGCGTACCATAGCCTGAATGGCAAACAGCGCTGGTTGCTGTTCTATAATCCAACCTTCTCTGCCGCACAGCGGACGATGCTCTCGACTCTGACCCATGGAGGTACTCTCCTCTTAGCCACCAAGCAAAGGCTGACGACGCGCCTGGCTGACACCATCCGCACCATGCAGGTGGATGCCCTCGGGATCACGCCGTCGGCACTATCTCTCATGGAGCCCAACGATGTACCCGATTTGAAACAAGTCACGCTAGTGGGTGAGAGCATTTCCCGCGAGCTCGTTACCACCTGGGCAGATCACGTCGACCTGCGGAACACGTTCGGCCTGAGTGAATGTGCCCAACTGAACTTCGGAAAGCGTCTCTCGCGCAGCAGCAACCCCGGCATCGTCGGACGCCCCACAGACACTACGCAAGCGTATGTTTTGAAACCCGGCACGACCGAGCTGACCCCGATGGGCGTCGCAGGTGAACTGTGCCTGGCGGGACCGCAGTTAGCATTGGGCTACCTCACCTCGAGCACCGATATAAAGAAAGCTACTGCATCGGTCTTCGTGGAAAACCCCTTCGGCATGGGACGCATGTACAGGACGGGGGATGTCGCGAGGATCCATGCAGACACCTCTATTGAGATCCTGGGCCGCATGGACTTCCAAGTCAAGCTCAACGGACAAAAGGTCAATCCGGCGGAGGTGAACCGGGTTCTATCCCAACATGAAGCTGTCCAAAGTTGTGCAACAGTTGCCATTGAGATGCGAGAACGACTCGTATTGGTGGCAGCGATCGTCCTGGCTTCCGAACATCAGTGGAGTAGAATGGTTTCCTCGATCCGTGACCACAGTAAGCAAAAGCTGCCGGCGTATATGGTCCCTTCACTGTGGATGCAAATGTCGAAACTTCCTGCCAATGGAAACGGAAAAGTTGATGTTCGAGCCATTGAGCGCGAAGCACTTGCGAAAGGCTGGGAAGGTCTGGTTGAAGCGGCAGCTTCAGATGCCGCTGTAGAGGCTATCACCGACCCAATTGAACAGCAGATCGCTAGTGTTTGGGCCGACGTGCTTGGTTTGCCGCAACAGTCTATCAATCGTGACACCGCCTTCCTCTCGCTGGGAGGGACTTCCATTGAAGGCATTAAAGTCACTTCAGAGTTGCGGAAACGCGGGATTGCCATTGATCTTGGGGATGTACTCGGCAACGCCACCTTGAAGGAGACAGTATCTTACGTGACAGTCGTGGAAGATAGCAGTGATGACTTGCAGCCATTTGCTCTCGTTCAAGACCACGAAGCGCAGCAGGAACTCAATGCCGACCCTCACATCAGCGATGCCTATCCAGCCACTCCGTTGCAAGAGAGCCTGCTCGCTACTCTGGGCGAGGACCAGGGAATGTATACCTACCAGAGGACGTGGGATGTTGGCCGTCTTGATATCCGCAAGCTGCGAGACAGCTTCAATACCGTTCTCGAGTCGAGCGACATCCTCCGCACATCGTTCAAGGCCCAGGGCCGCAGCCTGCTCCAGGTGGTCCGAAACGATATCGCTTTGCCTTGGGTGGAGTCCACGGAAGACCTTGGGGAATACCTTGCGCAAGATAAGCAGCTACCGTTCTCCCTTTCTGGTCCGTTGTTCCGAGTGGCTATCGTCTCTGGACAAGTTCTTGTTGTCACTATGCATCACTCCCTGTTTGATTACTGGTCGCATCGCTTCGTGTACCAGGATGTCGCAGATGTCTACCTGGGTCTTCAACTCCGCCCACGGCCGCAGTTCAAACAGTTCGTGAAGCATAACGCGACTACATCGGCAATGGAGCATGACCGCTTCTGGAGAACGTATCTTACCAACACGGAACCAAGCGTTATCAACACGGTTCCCGTAACCCAAACAACCGTTGCCCAACGCAAGCTTCCCGAGGGTCCTCTTCGCCGGTCGCTTCAACTCCACGGGCTCTCACTAGGCGCCGTCCTGTATGGAGCGTGGGCCATTGTTCTCTCGAACCACACTCGCCATGCCGATGTGATATTTGCAACCACTCTCTCCGGTCGGGATGTTCCCGTGCTTGATGTTGACCGTCTTGATGGTCCTACTCTGACTACAGTGCCCCAGAAAGTGAATGTGGCACCCGAGACAACTCTCTTACAGCTAGCCCAGACTGTACAGGCCAATCTGTTTAAAATATTGAAGCACTCACAGCATGGCATGCGCAATGCCCTTGCTGTGGGAAACCTTCCAGCGAGTGGCCTTGATACAATGGTGAACATTCTGGTGAAAGACCATGATGGGGAGCAAGTCAACCAGATCTTCCAGCGTTACGGGGATCGGTCCACCTGGGAATCTGAATTCACAACTTTGGAAGTTGAGAATGATGATGAGACACTGGTTATGAAGCTCTCATCAAAGATGGAGCCTCGCCGTGTCAAGTTTCTCCTCGAGTCCTACGAAAAGGTGCTCCGGGCATTCATGCAGACCCCAACGCAACGTCTCTCAACCCTGGACATCATTGGGGAGGCAGAGACCGAATTCCTGTACAATGAAATTTCAAACAGAAAGAGTCTCCATGTACCCCGTCCTTCGCTTCTGCATGCGAGCTTTGAGGATCACGCCCGAGGATTTCCTGACACTCACGCCATCGACTGGGATGGAACGACTCAGCTATCATATGCGGAGTTGAATGCCCGCGCCAATCGCGTTGCTCATTACCTGATCAAAAAGGGAGTGTGCGTTGGAGACGCCATCCCCCTCATGTTGGAGAAGTCTATTGATACCATCGTCGCGATACTCGGTGTCATGAAAGCTGGGGCTGCATATGTGCCTCTGAGCCCGGATAATCCGGTCGACCGCAACACATTCATCATAGATGATGTTAAGGCACGAACGATATTGACCGAAGCCGATTATGCCGATATGTTCTCTTTTATCCCTCATCTGGACATCGTTCGGATCGACACGCCAGAGATCGATCAGTTCCCTGCCTTCCCTACTACGGTTCACACCGTTCCTGACAATACCGCCTATATCATCTACACGTCCGGCAGCACGGGCATGCCAAAGGGTGTACAGGTGCCCCACCGTGCTGCAGCGGCGGCTGTCATCAGCATGGCGGTTGCTGAAAGCAGGTATTCCGGCGAGTGGAGAGCGGTCCAGTTTGCCAACTACGTTTTCGATGCCTCGGTGCAGGATATCTTCAACACTCTCAGCACCGGTGGAACTCTGTGCATGGCGCCTCCCGATAAGATGCAGTCGGACCTGCCAGGAGTCATCAACGCAATGTCAGCCAGACAGGCGATCCTCACTCCAACGGTCGCAAAGCTGCTTGATCCTAGCGAGGTGCCCTCTTTCGAAACATTGATCGTGGGTGGAGAGCCTCTTACATCAGATGTCATTGCACGCTGGAGTCCAGGCCATCGCATCCTCAACGTCTATGGCCCTACGGAGACTTCCATGGTAATCACAACGAAAGAGGTTGACCCTAGCGGTCGTCCGAGCAACATCGGCGCACCATTCCCAACAGTGATGGCCTTCATTCTGCACCCTGATGGTACTACGATGGTACCCTATGGTTCGGTTGGTGAGCTTTGTGTGGCTGGGCCCCAGGTAACCGACGGGTATGTCAACCGCGAGGATCTTACCAAGGCTGCGTTCATGGAGAATACATTGGGCACCGATCGCATGTACCGGACCGGAGATCTGGCGCGATGGCTCCCTGGTGGGGAGCTGGAATGTTTGGGCAGAAAGGATAACCAGGTCAAGATCCATGGCCATCGCATAGAGTTGACGGAAATCGAACAGGCGATCCTGAAGACCGGACTGGTTCAAGGAGCGGCCGTCCTGGCAGTCAACCACAATGGCAAGAAGCAACTCGTTGCCTTCTGCATCTTTACCGCTGGTTCCTGTGAGATCCAGGAAGCAGGTGACCACCAAGCTCATGTTCAAGACCTGCGAGCGGGGCTCAATACCCTGGCCCATTACATGGTTCCCAAATATATTCTCCCCATTGGAGACTTCCCCAAGATGCCCTCTCGCAAGACCGATCGGAAGCTTCTCGCCAAGTGGGTTGAGCAGCTGGACGCTCTCACCATCAGCCAGTATTCCTTCGAGGGTGACAGAATTCAACATAAGGTTGTTCCCGTGGAAACCGAGGAAGAGTCTAAACTGCAAGACATGTGGTCTAAGATTCTTGGTCTCCCCCCATCTGGCATTGGAAAGAAGGCCGACTTCCTGGCTCTGGGTGGCGACTCCATTGCAGCCATTAGCCTGGCTAGTGTTGCTCGCAGTGCTGGATACCTCCTCAGTGTTAAGGATATACTGAAGAATCCGATCTTGGAGAATCTCACACCAATGATGCGCCTTGACACAAGAGTTGCTCAAGTACTGAAGCCGAGCTACAAAGCCCCAGCAAGTGTGCTAGATGCCATTTACGAGCAGGATTTGACCATCGGTGGTAATGTTGAGTATAGTAAGCAACGGCCTGCTGTGTTTTGAGATCTCATACGAAGATGATTGCGGCTAACTATTCCAAGTTTATCCATCTCCCCCAGGACAAGCCCAGTTCCTCGAAGAGGGTGACCGCCCCGAACAGATGTGGGTGCTCATGGCCGTTCGGAAAATGCCCGAATCCGCCAGTTACCAGGACTGGATCCACAACACTAGTCGTCTGACGGAGATCAATGACATCCTGCGCACCACTTGGCTTCGTACCTCGCAGGCCCAGTGGGTGGGTGTGGTCATGAAGCACGCGGGATTGGACGTACCCATCATTCCCTGCGACAGCGAGGAGAAACAGTCGGAGTTCATCGAGGAGTTCTGGAATGACCGCTTCCAATTTGGAAAGCCTTTCGTCAAATACGCCATCCTTCTGCACTCTGACAATAGCTGGGATGTGGCCATCAAAATGAACCATGCTGCATACGATGGAACCTTGCTTCGCATATTTGATGACCACTTTACCGCTATCCGTCGAGGCATGCCAATCCCCAGCCATGGCGAGTTCAAGGACTTTGCCAATTTCATATTCCACTCAGACAAGAACGAATCGCTACGCTTCTGGGCCGAGACAATGAAAGACAAGCATTACATCTGGCCCCAGGCAGAGAGCCCGAAGATCACCGCTGCCATTCGGGAGATTATCCCCCGGAACCTGGAACCTGTAGCTCGCGTACAGGGAGTAACCGTCCCGATTCTCTTTCAAGCCGCCTATCAACTCTGGCTTTGCCGCGCAAGCGGCCAGAACGACGTCAGCTTTGATTATCTTCTTAGCGGTCGCAACGTGGACATGGTCGATGTCGACCCCCAGACCATCAATGGTACCTTGGCCAACTTCCTCCCGGTCCGTGCGCAAATCGATCCTCAGAGCGCCCTCGGCGACTACCTAGAGACCGTTCAGGACATCTTCTGGGGAATTACCGAGCATGGTGATGTCGGCCTGCATGAAATCTTCAATGCAAGTGGTCTGTCGCGGACTACCGCAAGCAATCGTTGCCTTTTTCTCTACCAACCATTTGAACCTGCTGCAAACAGTGAGGAATCCGAGTCCGATAGGTGGCTGGTCATGGCAAAATCGAAGGTCCGCATGTACCAGCCGTACGCTCTGGTGGTGGAGGTCGCCAAGTCACTTAACAACCGGAACCGACTCACTGTCATGTATGACACGGATGTCTTCAACGAGGAGGGTGCACACCGGATCGCTTCTGAGATTGCAGCCCTGGTGGACCAGATTGCGGATCTCAGCGGGCAAAACGTATCCCTGCAGCAGTTCCTCCATTGACTCGTCATTCATGACCCTTCCTTACTTGCTGTTCCAAATAGTAAGTATATACATAGATCTTACTTTCTCTCTTGCTACCCTTCTTCACTTTCATTCTGCAGTATTGCTGTCGATGTTTCCTTTGTTGCTTTCTTTGTTATATTTGTTTCCTGTCTGTTATGGCTCTTATGTGAAAGTATATACTCCATACGTTGAATAAAAATTGGCTTTGTCGAAACCTCTCCGAGTAAAAGTAATGAAACCGTACAAATCTGGTGTGGAGCCCTGCTATTTTGTATGACTTTGAACCTCTTGAGGCAAAGGTTAGCCACCTTTACTTAGGACCCTTTATGATGATCGAATAAAGCCAACAATACTAGTATGTTTCAATTTCTTCACATTAGCTTTTCTAGGTCACTGAAGTACATGAATCTACGTGTTTACAGTATAAGTTTAGGTCTTAGATATGAACCCGACCCAAAGCGAGGCCTACTTCGACCTAAATTATGTATACGGGAGTCTTTTCGTCTCTCTGTCTCTTCTTCTTTCCTCGCTAGTTAAATGTCTCCAGACGAATAGACTCTTACTACTTAAGACTTGCCATTTCTAGAGTGCTCTAATTAGCTGGCTAGGATCATTTAGCCTGTTTATATCGTTAGCGAAATAAGTGCTGCATACTACTAGATGCCTTATTCTCTGACTTATATTGAAGATGCTTACATACGTATAACTATGTTCCAGCCCTCACTTTCTAAGGTAAGTGTAAGACATATATTTCTGCAAGGTCACCATACTATGGCAATGTTTGATATACTAACCCAGACAGTAGTAGAAAACGGTAATTTATATTGATTAGTTAGCAGCGTTATGATGGCAGAGACCAGGATTTTATGCAAGAACAGGCTTTCGTGGGGCCCCATTGGGGCCCCATCGTGGGCCGGGGTTTGGGCTCTGGGCCCGAGATCCGGACCAACTGTGGGCTTCGCGGAAGACTGGGCTTGGCACAAAGTGTTTTTGCTAGTTTAACCAAGGGGAGTAGGGCCAAACAGCGGATCTGCAACGACCACCTCTCCCGTTGCTCCATCTGGAAAGTAGACTTCGGGAATGACAGAGCCAAAAAGAGCACGGAGATCATATCCAGCGAGAGTTGGGTTGTCTTCTGAAGTTTGCCCTAGGTTTTCCGGTATGATAGGATAGCATAAGAAGTCGCTTGGACCGTCCCATTCGCCAAGATAATCGGAGCCCGGGTTGCCTTCTCGGTTTCCTAGGGCGAGCTGCCCATTCTAAACCAGTGATTAGCTACCTTGTTCATGGCCACCGTCAATTCTTGCATGTTTGGTCAGATTTCTCATACCAAATTATTCCCCGTTTCTCGCGCAACTGCCCCTACAGGCTCCCCTATAGCTCCCTCAGCCTGGCGGGAGGGCATAGACGATTGTGCCTGGGCCTTAACCTCGACATCTCGCACATATTGTCGCGCAATGTGGGCAAATTCACCAACAAGGGAAGAGGGCATTACTCCCTTTGATTTATACTCCTGTAAGCTGAAGTGCCCGGCTGCGACTTCAAGGAGCGAAAGGTTATCCCTTGTTTCCGCATGTCTCGGATTGTGTACCACGAAGTCAAATAGGATAAAGATCGCCACAAGCGGCATAATAGAGAGGATACTGATAGCATCAACGTTAGTACGCTTTTCTTTTTTTGAAGCATAGCAAAATAGTAGTAGGGTAAAGAAAAACCTGGCGTCTTAGCATCTTACAAGATTGGTGTATGTGGTGCGGTATCCACAAATTGTATCAACTCGATGACCATCCTTGCTGCCGTCATAAGTGCACGCTTGTTCTCTTCTGTTCTCGGAGATGATTCATTCGCACTCAGGTACAATGTTAGCCTTGCCAATGCAATCACCAAACTGTAATATCTGAAATGCGTATACATTGCTGGCATTTTCGTGGCAGGGTCTGAAAAGGTGACAAATTGTGGATGTAGACCCGGCCTGAAATTCTCTGGGATTGCCATTCTCCAGCGCTCAAGGCGGCCCTCGATCTGGTCGATGGCAGAGTAATAAGATTCCAGGGAGTTCATAGTGGCGCTTACGGAGAACAGAGAAGCATAGGCTTGAGAGAGAATGCGGCTGAAGCAGATGGTGGATAGAAACCAATTGAAGTCTCCGTACATGGCTTCTGGGGCATCTGGGATGGGACAGCCAATGTCATAGTCTGCGATGATCTATTGAAATATCAATAATTCATTCCAACTGCTCAAAAAGTTCTGTTCACTGTAACGACGAAAAGAAACTTATGATAACTTACAGAATTGACTTGACCATGGAAGCACATGTGCTTTTCCATGTAGTAAATGACCCAGAAGGTGCGCCGACAAGTTGCCGTATATGGCTCTTCTTCGTTTCCGATAGACTTGTGATAACGAAGGCCTTGAGCCATACGAGCAGCTTCCGTGATCAGGACTTCATCGATTTGGAGGCAGCATGTGTTCATGGCGAAGATTGACTGATTAAGCTCTGTGTCAGTTCATTGGGTTATACAAGCTCATCAAGCAGACAGAAGCAAGCCTACCATAGCCACAAGAGCCTTTCTCGCTCGTTAGCATTTTGTTGGAGCTATCCTTTCAGCCAATAAAAGCTTACCTGAAGCCCTATTAAATGCTCCCGGGGTAATAGAATATCCGCAATTAGACCGAGGGCGACCTGGAAGAGCTCCCAGGCTTCCCCCTTTCCTGGCTCCCAAGTGCCACCTTCATGGTATTGACAGCCTAAGGCAAGCACCGTGTGATATAGAGCAGAGAACGCTGGGTTGGCCTTTAGTAGCTCCCTAATATTCGGCCCCAATGCTCTATTTCTGAAGTCTCGTTGGTCGAGGAAGGGGTACACAGAGTGCAAGTTTTGGAAGTAAGCTTCAATGTACGTATTAGTATGAAGGTTCGCAAACGTATAAAGGAAAACGTACCGTCGACATATGAGGCTGCGACGTCTCGTGGGACCTCTTCTATTCTGGAGGGCTTCATGAATGAGACTGGTGTCATATTTGAGGATGAGCCTCCCCGAGCTAGTAGACGGGTTTTAATGATGGCTTCCATGGCTTCTACAAGCCGGCGTAGAGTGTCGTTTCCGAGGAGCTCTGACAGGGTGTTGATCTTTTTCTCGGAAAAGAAAGCGAGACTTGAACTGCGGGCTGGATATATAAAGAAAGAAAGGGTCAGTCTCTCCTGTAGTGATCAGGCCTACTAGTTTGTCCCACCATCTTGTTCCTTTGTCTGGAACTTGCGTCAGCATCATAGTCACTCCTCTATATCAGGGCTTGAATGGACGAACGCGAAGTACCGCAAAATCATCCCGTAGGATCCCGCTCACGGGATGATCAGCTAGTAAGTGGTCTATGAAAAAAAGGGGACCGATTGTAGACGATTGGATGGCTCATTTGGGGCAACAGCGCTCATGTCTGCTGGGTGTGGTGTTTCATTTTGCCACTCTGGAGCCTGATCTGTTTACCCCGCCAGTAAATCTTCAACCTGATCGTTACAGAACCATATCATCGCCGGGGCCATTCTCACTTACGTGTATTATCGGCGTGTTTATGGGCTTTAAGCCTTCGCTTGATTTTCGTGAACTGGCAAATCTCTCCCCGTTTCTAGAGACCACAGTAACGTAAGAGCCGGCTTAACAGCGTGTTAATTTATTACAGTCAGTCTCAATCTTACCGCACAATGTGTGCATTTGGAACCTCCCCCAGGGACCACTGATAAACCACCAGTTAGAAGATTCAATGATAGGATAACTTCAATCTAGATATCCCGGGGATCCACATACTGATGCACCGAACCTTTCGGTTCCTGCATTGGTCACAGGACTTGCAAGTTTTGGATCGGGCAGTGGCTCTTTCTTCGATCTCCATGGGTTGTTATGTTGGTTCGGAGGCTGAGTTATGAGCTACAACGAAGTCTTTCAGCTGCCGAAGAATCCGACAGTAAGGCTAGGGGTCTCAAGTTGGGTGGGTATTAGTAATCCCGAATGTCCGAAGTCGCTCATTAGCTTTTACCACTGCATTGAGCTTTTCACTTTCAAAACAATGTGAGCGGCAAACCTTCAAAGAGACCGTTCGTACGAAGACATTCAACTAGAGAAGGGAAAGCGAGGAAAAGAGGAGCAGAGCTATTAACAACTGAATCCCCAACCAGCCAATCACAATCTCCTTTCCTGACCGCCTCATCGGTTCTGCCATCTCAACCTCAGCAACCGATGCGTCGTCTCATTCGTCGCAAACAAAACTACCCTTTATTCAGTCAAGGTTTGTGAGAAGTGCCCCCATCCTACTAATTGATCCTCTTCAGGTTAGTTTTGTCGACAACATGCCTGCGAGGCGCAACGACCGAGGAAACGCGACTCCTCACCGCCGCTCTAAACGCGTCACTCAGCCTTCTCGCCGCTTGGTCTGGCATGTTCCGCTAGACACGCGATCCCTTAATGTCCCAACAAAACGAATCTGCACAATATAACATGGAGGAGACACCCCAGTTGACCAGGCAGCCGGTCGTGACATCGAATCCGAATTACTTCTTCGTAGTGCTGCAGTCGTACGCGGAACTTTCCGTCCAGTCCAAACGCACGTCCTTAACGTACGAAAGGCGTTGCAGACGATCAACAATGAAGCAGGCTCGTACCGCAAAGAATTAAAACATTCCCGTACAGAGCTTGCCGACGGGCAATGGAAGATATATGAATCCCAACAGTAGATCACTAGCTTGAAGGTTGCTTATTCAGTTGTTGCAGCAGGATCTCGCTAGGACTTCTCTGCAGTGGTCCTGAATTTACGAAATGCCAATGACGAAACTAAGGGACTGGTAGACGACCTTATGTATACCAGAGAGAAGGTCCGCACAATGCGTAAGGATAAGGCCACCGCGAACGTGGATATTATCGGGTTAAAGCCGACCTCTCCGACCACTGTGAAAGACCTTATCGACTCCGGGTAAAGCGATACGAATCTCTACGGAGCTACGCAGTTGCTGAGCGCTGTGCCAGGAGCCAAGCCTCAAGGTAATAACGGGTTCTGGTCAAATGAACGATGTCAAGAAATATAGGGACTATAACAGCTGGACTTAAGAGAGGGCTTTAATCGCATCATCCAAGAAGAGAATGATATTATGCTGGTACTCTACACAGTTCTATGCCTATAGCTGTCGAAAAGATAATTTGGCTGAGTGAAAAGAAAGAGCGGATCTATGACTATCTACCTATCTTGATAGATGGACGCAGAATCGCTGCTTATCCGCCGCATTGCGCAGCGTGGAGAATCAGTTTTCCCAGACAGGTTTCACGAGCTATAACGACCGCTACGATGCCGCAAATGTCGACAGTACGGCAAAACCACGAAGAAGACCGGTACCCGAAGCTCGAAGCCTACGGCTGGGGGTAACCATCGCATTGGCCGGTGCACACATCCAATTTTACGCTTTGCACTCATCACAAGGCATAACCAAACTGGACCATACTATCTTTCCTATAGCGTGAATACACTGAACCCGTTTTCTAATTGCCAGCTGGCCGCCTCAAGGTATCTGTTAAGCTCACAATACTGAGATGGAGTGGCAAATTTTCTACTTGACCAAACTCAGCTGCACCCAGTATCATCAAGTGATCGGGATGCTTTGCAAACACATGTAGACTCCGACTGTATGCTGGCGGCTGCGGTGTGGCGTGAATCTCCCACTGATCAGGCTGGCCGTTCGCTCGGTTGGTAAAAATGCTGCCATGATCAGCGTCACTGACGACGATGGTTCCATTGACACCCCCGACTGGGGACCAGACAACATAAGGAGACGAGCTTGGCTGTATCCCGTCTACGACGATTGGATAACCATAGACAAAGCGAAAATCGAATGGGTTACCAGACAATCGATAGTAGAGCGGATAGCCTGCCCCAGACCAGCTGTCTCCCCTGGAAACTCGTGCACCAGAATCCACTTTTCCAACGGTGGAATATAGGAAATAACCGTCATTCCAGGACGGGCAGTATAGTTGAGATATGCCACATCATCTATCACGGAGCTCCAGGATTTCAAATCTGTGGATTCCTGGTGAGCAAGCTTCTGGCCATGCAGCGTGTCACGCTGATCAGAGTAAAACACGCAAACTGTGTGGTTGCAAAACCTGTAATTCTGCTATTTAGCGCCTTGGACAAAAAAGAAAGGGGAAGAGCAGCTCACAGAATGAATGGCTCCCAAATCCATGGATTCCCACTTGTAGTATCCAGTCAACTGCCTTTCGCCACATTGCTGACGAATTTCCATGTGTAATCTTTGTCTTCACTAGCGTATATATCGACATTCGTGCTTTGGTTCCCCAGCTGTTTCCACTGGCCAGAACCGTGCCGGCTGGGAAATTGCCAACGGGAAACGGCATCTCTGCCAGCGCTGGCTGAGCCGCCATCCCCAGTCCATTAACCTGGTCTGGCATGTTGGAGACCCAGGACCAGGTAGCACCACCATCTGCACTTCGAAAGATCGGGAAATATGGAGTTTTATTCCCCCATACGAGGCTGTCGCAAGGAGGCTTCCATCGGATAGTTCGACTTGTCGCGGATAGAGAACACTATGGTCGGAGTCAGGCTGGAAGATGATATTTTCTGCAAAGTCGATCAGGGCCATGGTGGTGCTTTCTTGGGAGGCTTAACCGATACGACACATTTAAGGCTGGTCTGACTGAGGAACAAATTTTTGGTGAGCATGCTTCTAAATCTGGTATATGTGAGAAAGTTACTAGTTGCAGCTACTTGGCTTCGGTTTATCTCTCTTGAGTTGCCATTTGATCAACGTTACCGATCGTTATATATTATTTGGTGTCCATGTACTGGGACTCTTCTATTACTGTTCAACTTAGGAAAATATTCATGCCGACGAGTTCGAAAGCTCATGGAATCACCAATCCCCGCATGCACATGAACTTAGCCAGTAACATTGCTAAGCCGGCGTATCCTGAAGATTTAGGCTAAGTTGAAGTTATCCTAATTCATGATCCATATGGATAATCTTTCAGTTTAAGAATCCTTCATTTAGCCTAATCGAATTGATATCCTTTACATGAATTAATAATCTTTGTGATTTAGCCTAGGCACAGCGTTTGCACTACTAGGTACTGCTAACTACCTACTTGCGATAATTGCTCACTCTCCTATGCATAGGCAATTTAGCACCAGATGTATACAGCTCTGCGACGACTTACTCGGGCATCGCAGACAATCTCCGCCTATTCAGATTACATTGCAAGGAAAACCAAGCTACTGGGGTGAGACTACCTACAAAGATGACAGTGCCTAAGGCTCTCGGCAACTGCCATCATGGATGTTGAGTTTGGCCGGGAAGCTTTACCAGTTTTTATTGTCAACCAGGTGCCACCATTCATCGATATCTTTGCCTGTCACTCCTCTTTCTCTATATATTCTCTTCTTTCCTCTCTAGCTTACTTGTCTTTTATTAGCATCTACTCCTCTCTTTGCAAAATTGCTCATTTTTTTAAGTTGAGTCTGTCTTCTCATGAATGTCTGTAATGACATTGTATATTTGAGAGTTTTTTTAATCAAGTTATTACTTTCCAGATGGTGGTCATTGACAATCAAAAATTTCCCAGAAGCGTCTTTCGAAGATGCTTTTTCGATGTCGGTATTGTCCAAAACTGTGGCTACACCGGATGTAACCTGAAAATGCGGGAAAAGTAGCAAAGAACTCGTCGTGGGAAATATTACCCCTCACTCGTTCAGGAGCGGGGATCTCGAGGCTGCGCGAAAGCATTTCTTCCAGAATTTTACGGCGGAGTACATCCTGGTCTGCGCTAAACCCGTAATTTAGCCTAGTCATTGAAAAAGAAATTCTACTAGCGAGTCTCACTATATACAGTAAAGTCTATATAAGTATCCGGCCATCACTTAATGTCGCCTTATCAAGTCTGTCCAGCATAAAGTGACCCACGAATGTTTTCTATTCCTTGGGGCAGGAGAGTAAACAATGATGACATTATCAATGCCCTTTCGGGCGGGTACAAAAGTACTACTGTCACTCATAGCAGTCCACACGAGCGTCCAGGCGTCATCTATCTGCACCGTTAATAGCTCAGCACCGACAACAGCCTACAATGCATCAACAAGCTACCTTGGATGTTATGCAGATCCCAGCGTGACCATCTTGTCCGCAGCGAAACTTAGCACAATTGTGATGACGCCACAGTACTGTGCCAACTGGTGTGGTCAACGGGGTTTTGAATATGGAGGTATAGAATTCGGGACGTAAGTGAACTTCACTTTGGCTGATATAGGTGTTAAGTGATACAATTACCTAAAGGTATGCTTGAATAGGCAATGTTTTTGCGGGAGTGTGCCCGAATTTAGCACCGCGAGCAAGAACAATGACAGCAGCTGCAACTCGCAATGTCCGATTGAACCATCCAGCTCATGCGGAGGGACCTATATGTAAGTCATATAAAGAGTAAAAGATAACGTGACTCCGTTTTTCTGATATTTCTAGGATGTCGTTGTATCAAATTTTAAATGCGCGAGCGAACGCAACGAACACCGGTTTCGTGCCAGCCTGCCAAACGAAACCCCTCTGCAGTCACCAAGTCTGTGATACTTCATGGAGCATTGCTGAGCGAGTGAGTTCACTTGTCAATTCACTGACCTTGGAGGAAAAGATCCTTAATGTTGTCGATGCTTCAGCCGGATCTGAACGCCTCGGGTTGCCATCATACGAATGGTGGAATGAAGCAACCCATGGTGTTGGCTCTGCACCAGGCGTGCAATTCACCTCAAAGCCAGCCAATTTCAGTTATGCCACCAGCTTCCCTGCACCAATCCTGACAGCGGCGTCCTTCGATGACGCTCTATTTCGTGCAATAGCTAATGTAATTGGCATGCAATAGCTAATGTAATTGGCAAGGAAGGACGAGCGTTTGCCAACCACGGGTTTTCTGGATTCGATTTCTGGGCTCCAAATATTAATGGTTTCAGAGATCCTCGGTGGGGAAGAGGGCAAGAGACACCTGGTGAGGATATATTTGTTGTGCAGAGCTATATCCGCAATTTCGTCCCGGGACTTCAGGGTGACGACCCTGAGGACAAGCAAGTCATTGCAACATGCAAGCACTTCGCGGTCTACGACTTGGAGACAGGTAGATACGGAAGTAACTATACACCTACCCAGCAGGACCTGAGTGACTACTTCCTGGCTCCGTTCAAGACCTGCGTACGTGACGCGGGAGTAGGAAGCGTCATGTGTTCATACAACGCAGTTTCAGGGATCCCAGCTTGTGCGAACGAATACCTTCTTGAAGAGGTGCTGAGAAAGCACTGGAATTTCACTGCGGACTATAACTATGTCGTGTCTGACTGCGGAGCAGTTACAGACATCTGGCAATACCACAATTTCACTGACACCGAAGAAGGTGCAGCATCTGTTGCTCTAAATGCCGGAGTTGATTTGGAATGTGGTTCTTCGTACCTGAAACTCAACGAATCTCTTGCAGAAAAACAGACCTTGGTCCATGCCTTGGACCAGGCGCTGACAAGGCTATATTCGGCATTGTTTACGGTCGGATTCTTCGATGGCGGAAAGTACAGGGATCTCGATCTCTCGGACGTTTCTACCCCTGCCGCACAAGCTCTCGCGTATGAGGCTGCAGTCGAAGGCATGACGCTTCTCAAAAATGACAAGCTTCTTCCCCTGGGTCCTTCGCATAAATTCAAAAGCGTTGCCGTAGTTGGGCCGTTTGCAAATGCCACGACTCAAATGCAAGGGGACTACTCAGGTATTGCACCATTCTTAGTAAGCCCATTGGAAGCACTCGAGGGCTACCATGGGTGGGAAGTGAATTATGCTATGGGCACAGCGATCAATGATCAGAACACAACCGAATTCGCCTTGGCTCTTGCAGCCGCAGAGAAGTTTGATTTGATAATCTACCTCGGTGGCATTGACAATTCTATGGAGGCTGAAACGCTTGACCGAACTTCGCTCACTTGGCCACGAAACCAACTCGATCTCATCACAAATCTATCGAAGCTTTCTATGCCTATGATCGTTGTCCAATTTGGCGGCGGCCAGCTCGATGACAGCGCCCTCCTGCAGAATGAAGGAATTCAAGCTCTGGTTTGGGCCGGATATCCTAGTCAAAGTGGCGGCCCTGCTCTGCTTGATGTCCTTCTTGGCAGAAGATCACCGGCTGGCAGACTACCGGTCACACAATATCCAGCCAGCTATGCCAATGGAGTAAGCGTTTTCGACATCAACCTTCGCCCTAATTTAAATGGTTCATATCCTGGGCGAACGTGCAAATGGTACACTGGAAAGCCTGTGATCCCATTCGGCTACGGGCTTCATTACACGAAGTTCAATTTTGAGTGGGAGGAAGCTTTGGACCGTGAGTATAACATTCAGCAGCTTATGACCTCCTGCCAAACAATAACTAGCGGCCCGATTAGCGACAATACGCCCTTTGCCACTGTCAAAGCGCGGGTAAAAAATGTTGGCCATGAAGCTTCCGATTATGTTAGCTTGTTATTCCTTTCAAGCGACAATGCAGGCCCGACTCCACGACCAAATAAATCCCTGGTGTCTTACCTGCGCCTCCACAATATTACAAGTGGAAGCGAAGAAGTATCAGACTTGCCTCTTACCCTCGGCTCATTGGCCAGAGCCGATGAGAATGGAAGCCTCGTTATTTTTCCAGGGCATTATAAGATTGCATTGGACATATTCGAAAGTTTGACTTTCGAATTTTCGTTACAAGGGTATCCAGCGGTGATCGATACGCTTCCCATGTCTGATGTACGGTATAATGTTACTGTACCAGTTCATATTGAGCCAGCGTCCACTGAAGCACATTGATGATGTTTTATTACTATTATTATTCTTGCCACGCGGATTTAATACCAAAAGCCGCCAAATTATGAGGACCTTATAGCTTTTCTACCATACCGAAGTCCATACCTTGTAGGCGGATTATAAATTGCATGCTTCTCACTTGCTTTTTCCGCGCTCGCTGCTCGTATCCTCCGCGTGTGGTATATGGAATATCCCCCTCTCTCTGTAGCAGGAATGGAGAGATTGAACGGTGCGTTTGTAACCTATAAGGTATTAGTGGTTTCGGGAACGTGGCGATATACGATTCGTGTATGTTGACGGGGGAATCTATTTTCGACTCCGACTATACTGGTACGAAGTATGGCGAGATATCCGATGAAGCGAATTTTGTGAGTTCCCCGAATGAGAGCCTTCATAGAGTATATCGGCCACTGATTCCATGCATCAACCCATTTCGGAAAGTGGTTTTTCGTAGTGGAAGGAGGTCGACAAAGAATAACGAAAGTATGTAAGTGTGAATTCCAATATTGATGAGACGTTAACCTGGAAAATTCAATAATCTAATCTATCTGTTTTCGTCCCCACCAACTTGTAACCCTTTATAAATCAATGCGAAAGCTCCTGCATCAATATCACCTCCGAACCAGGATATTCCGGAAAGTCGACGTCTTCGAATTCACAGGTTCTTCCATGGCTGCTTCCAAACCCATTTGTTTGTAAACTGCCATTTGGTCTATATAAATGCCGTGACTGACGTCCGCACATGTGTACTACGGGAACGCTGTAAATGCCCAATCAGACCAACATTGGAGACGGGCATAATTCTCCACGGTCACTTATGCTCTCGTTACCAACATGAACTCATTGGCGGGATCTCACTTGGAATGGTGACAGTGGGTGGCTAAGGCTGATTGTTGCGAAGATTCAGATGCCCCAATAGCTCAGCCATAACACCCGCACCACAACATTGGAGCATCGTCCTTTCCACGTACCTCGAGCGATCACTGAGCATGACCTGGGCATTACTAGACATTTCCTGAGCGTTCACTGAGTATCATCTGACTGCATATTAAACAAAGCCAGTTGTTACTGGGTAACCACCCTGTGCTGTGAAATAATCAGTAAGAAGGACCCTAAGCGCCGTTATAAAGCGGTGGCACCTCCATCGAGGATTTTAAGCCACGGCTTAAAATCCAATACATATAGCCACATATACATATCTTTGACCGTGAATATAACGTTCCGAAATTCCTACCTTCTTTACGGTTTCTATTCGGAATATGGTTATGGACAAGATTGCTTGATATGTTAATGCATGTAAGCTCTTGTTTATGGATGGTCGCAACCAGCTGACAAAATGACTTGAGCTTCAGGGGCCAGTGTGCTTGTAAATTAGCGGGAATATAGGGATTCCGTTTTCTTGACTTACGCAATTCACGGTCTTGCTGTGTTAGTCCTTTTTGGGTTCTAGGTCCAGGCCTAAGTCTTGATTTTCTGTGGTAGATCCCGTAGATCCTTCTCGCCATATCCATACTTAGCTGAAGTATTGCTAGGTAATATTTATCGCTAGAACTGTCACGCACTATTATTTCATATGGGCATATTAACAGTAAGATAATGTTCTCTCTATAGTGAAGTGATTGACTGAGTAATTGGTGAAATTGGCGAGACCATGAGCAATTATTGTCATTCAAACAGACCTAGCGAACTTCTTTGGTATCCGCCTTATCCATTGTAATCCACGCTGCAAACATGAGGATAATGTCAACATTGAACGCTGAATGGAAGCAATTTCCGCTGGGTAGACATTCCTTATGTCGGTATAATGAAATGGTTCTCTCAACCAGACAACCCACTGTCGATTGCACTCCAGTGCAGTCACATATTTCGAATGTGCAACCTTCAATTCCGCTTCCATCGGTAATACAGGATTTCATTGTCAAGAGCCCTCTGCTGGCGTCTTCCCACATGCACTGATAATGGCCTTCAATAAATCTACATGTTGTCACCAAATGTCCGCCTCGAAAATAGATTGAACTACCGTCCGCCCCATTTCTCAAATTGCGTTTTTGAATAACTGCTATAACATCATCTTCTTGGCCTGCGATATCTGGCTTAAGAAAAGGATAATCCTCATGCCGGTACACGTAGATATCACTCATACATAAGTCGGCTTCCGGGATAGAATCTTTGGCTATTCCAAGATTCAGGATACTTGGAAGCCAGAGTCCAAGAAATGGAATGGCATGAGCTTTGTCGCCTATCAATTGGACCTGTAGTATGAGCTTTGGTCGGAGGCGAAACTTTTGACTGGTCTTTGTTGATGAGCCAAGTAAAACATCGTATTGTTGCATCGTTCGGGGTGTGTGATTACTGTGGACCACGGTATTAGAACTTCTGTAAATTGACAAAGTATGAGAAGCTTGACCAGACCTTTCCTCGCCATCGCGGTTGCTGTTATACTGGAGGGACTCAGGATCGCTCATATCAGTGTTAATGCACGACTATAATTCAGGAGATTGACCTCACACTTTTCAAATGGCATTTTTGAGTGATGGGGGCGGAGTCATATATCCTGAAGTTTCTAGAACCACTGAACCACTGTTCATAAAGGAGTGAATTTGAAACAGGTCGCCCTGTTAGATTGAAGATTTCAGCTTCACCTAGAGCAACTTGTCCATAATGATCCATTTTTATCCACTTAAAATATCTGCATCCATGTTATTACTGGCCCTGTATCTGAAGTGAAGAATAATGCAGCCTACAATAAATTTGATGAATTCTCGAGCTCGGTATTCGGCAGAGTAAGAGTGAGTGTTTGCCTTATCTCGGTGCTCGGTGGAAGGAACAAACTATCAATGCGACCAGATAAATTCATATTATGCTCCCCACTGCTAAATCTCGCCCAGCTCGCTGCCTAACACGGAGGCTTTAGCTTTATATTATGGTTGTGATTTGTCACAGTCAGCATATCTTGCATCATGCATTTATTAGCCTCCTGTTGCGCGTATGTCAGCCTCATCCCGATCAGTTCGCTGATTTAACTTCGCACAACCCTCGCCGGTGGATGTTCGATAGGCCTTCTACTTTGGGCAATAATTAGTATGCAGTATCTACGCAGCCTTGTTGTCTGATTGCATCGACAGGATGAGGATTGAACAAATGGTTCGGAATTCGGGAATGCTTGGCAGACTCATGTTCGGTCTTCGGTGGCACTAGAGAAGACCCACCTATATCTAAACACTCGACGAGATAATAGGCGTTTTTTGTGAGGACTGCTAGTCTGTGGCAAAAGCAAAGTAACCCGTGATTTAAATGTCTACCTAATCTTAGGAATAGGTCGAGGCGCGTTGCAACCCCCGCCCCCCCTCCAACCACCCCCAACACGGCCAATGATAAGTGCAATACAAATAATGACTTATGAGTGGAACAGCGCAGATTACCGACACTCAGCATTTTATCATTTCTAGATGAATTGGGAGCAAATAGCCTCTTAGCTATAGCCGGGGCCTTTACCGTTACACTGCAGCCTGGCGAAACGGAAATGAATTGCATCACCCCCGTGGGATAGAACACATGACTTCGCCGGATGATTCGGATGTTGAGGAAATCCACACTTTGGGAATCCTCCACCAAGATCTGCGGCCTGTCAATATCCTTTGGAATGAGAAAATCAATCAGGTGTTGATTATCGAATTTCACCGTTCTACTTTATTGGATTGTCCGTTCATGTTAAAGCGATCACAGTCAGATAACTACATTTCAGATAGTACTTCTATAGTCCTTTTCTCCAACTTCACCCATGTATCTTTTTTTAAGAATGCATCACTTCCTTCAATCATCTCCTATGATTCCTCTTAGAGTACTGCATAGTTGAAGAAAATATTCAATGTTGATTGTGCCGCTAACATCCAACGTAATTCCAGTGCCTGATACAAAAGCACACGTCTGGATGTGAGCGCTTCTTTATTGCGCGACTCATGAGATGCCTTTGCTCCTAAGACCATCTCTTTACCCATAATGCAATTGAAGTGTAGGTGGGACGCATGTCCCTGTCTGTCCCTCGAGATATCCAGTGTGCTAGCTAGAAACACTTGGAGTGTCCCCAAACAATCCACCGAACTTCGATCAAAATCTCCACTGCTTCATCCAATTCTCCATTAGAGGAGCATCGATCGCCTTCAATTGTCTCAATGTCTTGCTTGCCTCCTGGGTTTTCAGCGTCTCGGTCCATGGACCAGGCTTCTCTGCCATTGCGATCGCTTTGAAGAAGTCGAGGATCTTTAGCGCAGGCTTGTCTTTCAGGTCATCCTCTGTGGCGTTGACGACAGAATCCAGAGTTTTGATCCACTGTTGTAGACTGACCGGCTCAGCATCGAAATGATTGGTAATGGCTGGAACGAGAGACTGCCAGTTGGCAGCTCTTGGATTTACGAGGTGGAAGGCCGCACAAGGCTCATCTTCTTGTGTGATACGCCGAGTGCGGACAATATCGGTGATGACCTTTGCAGTTATATCCTGGCGAACTTAGCCACTAGATAGGGAAGGATAGTTAAGATCGAGCTTACCACTGGAAGCCACTGCACTGACACAGATCCCAAAGAACTTGGGATCTGCCTGATCGTCTTGGATGTTGCAATCAACGATGGTACCCATTCCTGTTTATTCCACATCCCCTTCTCTGTAGTTGGGCCGCCAATCTGGCCCACGCGATGGATACTGGTTGGGACACCGCATCTCGCGGATGCGCCTGCGCAGATCCTTTCAGAGACATGTTTTGACTCACCGTATCCTTGGCGCAGGGCGACACTGGGATCATTAAAAATTATCTCTGGGATAGAGAGACCCTTTTCAGGATTGTAGCCTTCAATGGTAGAGATGGAAGAAATGAAATGAATATGGGCTGTCTTTTCACTCGCAATGCTGAAATCAACCAGTCGACGAACACCCTCAATGTGAGGTTTCTCAAATGACTCTACCTGATGATTGAAGTTCACTTTCCAAGCATTATGAATTATAGTATCAACTTCACGCAGAAGAACCTCGTACTTTGCTTCATCGAGGCCCAGTCTTTCTTCGCCAAGCTGTGCCTGAAGAAACTCCAGGCGACGTGGGAAGTGGTCGAATGTCGCGAGACCCTTTTCATGTAAGCTCTGCAGCTGTCTCGATGCGGCGTCTATCGATCGGTTGAGACAGTAAATTTTAGATACGCTGTGATCGCGTAGGAGCTCGTACAACAGATAGCTCCCCAGTGAGCCGGTTGAACCTGTCAAAATGACCGTGTGACTTTTTCCCAGATCGTCGGAGTATTTCGAGACAAGTTCAGCCAACCGGGCTTCCCTATCACTGTCACTTTCAGACATTGAAGTGGCAGGTGGCGAGTCCCGCCCTTTGAGAAGATTTAAAACATATCCAGAGAGATGAGAAATTGTCGAGTGGGAGTACAGCTGCTGACTGTTGAATGCTGCGGCCCCAATATCCGGTCGTGCAGATCGTAGGGCCCCCTGCAGAATCTGCCCCAGTCGCAGCGTTTGGAGGGAATCAAGACCCAAGCCAAAGATGTCCGCATTTTCATCAATTGAGGAGACAGTCAATATATCGACCAGAACCTTGGTGATATAGGCTTTAATGTGTGAAACTGAATCCTCCTTGCCAATTTGTGCAACGTCTCCCTGAGCGTGGCTTGCATATAGAGATTCGATCTCATCCGCATAGTCGATCAATACAGAACGCCGCTGAATACTGCCTTTGGGGGTAAGTTTGAACCGCTTGGAGGCAGAGGTTATGCCGATGCGATCCTTCATGAGACGAGCGTGGCCCGGGGCAGATTCATTCGCCGTCTTGATCACAGGCCAAATCTCCTCGACGAGGGAGTCCTGCTGGCCATTCCAAATATCCCATTGAGGCTCTATGAGAGCGCTAGACTGGAATCGACCCTGGCCCAATATAACAGCGCGTTCGACAAGTGGGTGTGACGAAATGATTTCCTCCATGGAAGTAGGGTTGAATTTCTCGCCGTTGCTGAGGACAATCACATCATCCAATCGGCCATGATACAGCCAAGCCCCGCTCTTCTCGGGATGCTGGGCAAATATATCCCCCGTAAAATATTCCTGCTTTTGTGGATAAGTGTGGAAGACAGGATGTGCATCTCTACTCCGTCCACGAGGTACGACAAGTTCGTAAAGGCTGTCACCGATATCACGCATTTCGAGTCCATGACTTGGGTTCCACTCCAGGTATCTCCAGTCGTTGTTGTCTTGATGCTTCAAAGTACCGAATAGGCCACATTCGCTTGATCCTAGAACAGATTGTAGGTGGGTTATCTCAGCGATGCGATCGCCGACTTGTGGGGCCAATGGCGCTCCTCCGAAGGCAACCATGCGGAATTTCTGTAAACATTGCATTCCAAGGTCGGAAGAGCTGAGTTCCTCCAGAATAGAAGGTGGAAGAATTGCTGTCTCGGGTTTCTTCTCCGCAATGACCTGAGACAGCAGGTCGGCTGTCAGAGGCTTATCGGGGCTCAGAACAAAGGGCGTTCTGAAGAATATCGGCGTCACCATGTTGAGAAGACCCATGAAGTGGAAGAAGGGGCTCATGGTAAAGAAAAGCTTTCCCTGTTCAGCGACGGCTACCAGACTGCTCTCCCTATTGGGTGGAAGGGGAAGACGCCCAGTCTGCATTTGATTAGCGAAAGGAAATCAGCGAATAGGACTTGGCTATTGGAAAATGCTATTCTCACATTTTTGAGCGCTTGAAAATACCCATTTGTCATCGGAACTGGCTTGGGCAGACCTAGGTTGTAACAGTCAAGATGTTAGAGACACGGGGTCATGCAGGAGCCCTTTAGCATTGGAAGGCCTACCAGTTGTCCCAGAGCTATGAATGTAAACCGCCACTCTATCTTCCGTGTCGCTGACTGGGTCATTCGTCGGAGTAGTGATAGTTGGTGGGCTAAACCTAAAAATCTCCCAAAGACCGGGCACCTCCCATACCCACAAGGAAGGCTCCGCCTCTCTCAATTCATTAACTTGACGGCGACGCTCAGGACTATACAGGATTTTGACGCAGTTCGTAGCCCCCAACACATGGAGTGATGCCTGTTCCGAATTCCTGGGAGAGAGCAGGAGCGCCTTTGAATTTAATTAGATATCAATCCCACGGGAATGTAGATTGCAAAGACCCACTGTGTGTCGCAGCCTCATACAGGCGAAGACAAATGCAGCATATCTGATATCATTGGCACCGAGATAAGCCAACGTCGACGGCTCATTGGAAGATGCGACGTTGCCCTCGATCCAGAGAACCATCTGTTGGATAGCATCCGCCAGGTCAACAAATTTTACATCTCTCCAACCGTCAGAGATGCTAGATGAGAATGGTTGAACGCAGTAGAGTCTTTCGGGTTCTTCTGCGATGATGGTGTCAAGGTTCCGCAGTACCGTGTGCTGAGAAAGCCCGATTGATCCCATTTTGATAAGTCTTTTCTGGAAGAATATTTTAACAATTGGGGGTTCTTGGAAGTAGAAAACTGGGTGTCTAGGATTTCTTTTCAATCCGTCAAGGCCCTTGAGCATGGCACGGGTGCGTGATATAACTGCATCTGCATCTTCCTGCAGTATGCAATAGTATAGTGGAGGTCGCAGCTAGTTCGGCCGCATATTTGAGGGGCGTGGATGATCGATGGGGCGGGCGTTCGACCACAACCTGCATGATGCATGTAGGATTAGAAAGCTTTCGAATAGAAAGCTTTCGAGAAAGGAACTTGGAAACAAATGATTATGAGATCTGAACATATCTGACCCGGAAGAGCTTGTGTCATGATATTACATTTAGGCCTGGTAAGTCCCCAGGGCTAGACATTTTACATGATGATTTTAGAAAGTATTGCCATTTCATCGTATAAAGAAAGATAAATGAATAGGGATCTCCCCAGCACCTAACACTAATCGCAGGTACACGTACACTGTACCAAAATTCGAATCAAGTAGCGGTGTGTTTGCAACTCATTCACTCGACGAAACTAGGTTCAGCCAGCCCTTGTTTTTTGCTTCTTATCCTACTCAGGAAACGATCTGATCATTCAGCTTGATCAACCAACTTGTGTGACGTGGGTCGACGTACGCAGAAAAAGCAAAATAAATGACACATCAAAAACCAACTCTGGCCTAGGCGACCCACCACCCTCTGGAAACATCAGTCGGGAATAGATAGGGAAATTGCCCGAAGGGCGTGGTTCATTTGATGTGGCTGTAATAGCCAGTAGGTGCACACAAACTAGGGTCATGTATCCGATTCTAAATAGAAACAAGATCGCATCTCAAGATTCGCTAGCTGCATATATCCTATGTACGAGCAACAGCTTCTATTAGTTTCCAGCACTCTACCTTTGTTAGGAAACAAAGGCACTAGATGTTTCTCAGACCAAGAATAAAGATCTTGCCTGAGAATCTTGTCAACTAGTCTATTCTAGTGCTGGCATTCCATATCTTCAAGCAACAGAAATAAGATCTTGCGGAGACACCGTGCGACATTCCTCTTATCTTCTTGGGCCAACCTCTCGCCGTCATAGAAATTGAGACAATCAAATTCTGAAGTTAAAACAATAGAGTGAAATTGGGCTTCTACATTCGTTGTTGAGGTGAATAAATTGCGCTCACCAGGAGAAAGATGAGGATAGTTTCCCAGAATTTCAACTTCGAGTATATTTATGCTTGAAGAACATCATGCACACATAAACACACACATATATAATGATTGCGTGGTCATTCATACGGGGTTTTATTCCCCACCATACAAGTCCGCAATCCCTTGATAATCTGACCTATGACATTATGGCACATAAGCTGTGAGGTGACGTATCTAGGGAGGGGTTGGGTGTTTTATATTATGTGGCTGGCTGATTTTTGACTGTAATTGTTGGGTCGCACTCGCGCAGGCTACGAGACGGCAAATTACTCAAATAGTGAACGGCAGCGTTGCAGCTGAACTAGTTCACCGCACATTAGAGCTGAGAGCTGCTGATCCGTGATATGGAGGTGCGGTTAACCACAATTTTCTATTTGCCAAACATGATTGGTTTCGGGAAAACAGTCTAGACTCCTAGAGCTTAGAGTATCCGTGAGAACTAATATGGGCGTTACCCTCGAGAAAATACCAGCGAGAAAGCTTCCAACAGTGGATCTATTTGGACGGGTGTTCGGTGCAACGAACCTCAAACTTTGGACCCAATAGTGCTTGCGCCAATGAAAAAAAAAAAAAAAAAAAAAAAATGACGAGAGTTGAGGGCATCTGGACACGGAAAAGAACATCCTTGGCTATGGCCGGGACGGTGGAAAGCCTGTCGTAGTTGTCCCACCCATATATATTGTTGGTGCGTTTTCTTTTGGCATCGCTATGCACAGCGTTTCATCTCGGTAAGCTCGTGATATTATCGTGCTAAGCAAACCTGCGAAAAAGTCTACGGCAGTTTTATCCTTACAATCAAGCTGTTGGACCTCTGGACACTCGGGGTATCAGAGATCGATGTCTTGCTCTTGACGACATAGTCTGCTTCCATTTATGATCTGTGACTTTAAGCTCAGAATTAAGCCTCAACTACTCTTCAAAAGAACACAGAATTTCGAAGGATATGCACGGTGCATTGAGATCTTGCAACCGCAATCGCACTTTGATTAGCTCAACCAGCTATTATACCTTCATGTAGTGGGTTTTGCGTTCGGTGTGGCAAAAAATATCGAATGAGCTATCTGAGAGTCGAGCTGGCTTCGGTAGTAGGTGTATGCGGCGGCGCCCCTACAGTAAAATTGTTCCGTGTCTATGCGGCAGTTGGTAGCCTTGAGCTCGTAGATCTCTGCTGTGAATGGACCATCCACCATATTCTGGGTGAAATCATGTACCTTCAGCACAGGGCAGGGCAGATGGTTTCGACGTGGTACTGCACTATAAAGTGACCGGTTAAGTAGCATTCTGGCCGTTTTGAGTCTCGCAGCGTTATTTAACCAGTTTGTTTCGTCGTCCACAATCCAACGCATCCGGAAACGCGGAAACCCCCTCACTGTCGGACGTAGCAGCTGGTCACTTCCACACTGTTAGATTACAACTCCGGAGGGTTCCTGCCCACGTCACTTGTAAACCAATTTTTACATATCGCATGGCAGTACGTGTTAATGACTTTGGCAATAATCAACAACAACACAACTCGGTGGACTGGGCTCGTCGATAGCGGGATCCACATTGGTTGACCGAGGCATCGGCCGTTCTGGATCTTATAATGACACTCATTCCTTGTCTAACATTGACTCAGTCTCCACGCAGTTACATCAAACGAAGAGCAACAATAATAGTATGTCGAGTTGCAGTATAACATCATGGAGACCTGGGAAGTAAAGGACTATCTGTACTATCCTGTAACGCCGGAGAAGATCGTGCATGGCGGGACTGAGAATCCGATGACGGCTCCCTTTAATATTCAGAGCTTGCTTGGGTTTGTGTTCCGGAGTTTAGGCATGATCAGTAGATGGAAACCTATCCACATGAATTCTTCAAGTATACATATTCAACAAGTAACTAGGTGAAACTCCACCCGAAAGACCATTCTATAAAGAATGCTAGAACAAATCTAGCATAACATCTGCACCAGAATAAAATAGAATAAACACAATGCCTATCTAGAAAATCTCCGTAACATATCGCTCCTCAGACAACGTCCCCAGCATATTCTCGAACACGGCCTTGACTCCTTTGGCGAGATCCCCCGAACCGCAGACATAGATTGTCGCGTTCCGAGCCCACAGATCCTGGATGGCCTCGGTTTCTGCCGCCAGCCGGTGTTGCACATACCGGCATCCCTTGGCCAGGTAGTGGTCCGGGGCTTTGCTGTACGCCCTCCGAACCTTAACCACGCCCGCAGATTCAAATTCGGATAATTCCTCGTCGTAAAGATCATCCAGGTGGGGACCGCGACAGCCGAAGAACAACAGCGCCTTTGCGAGTGGTTTGCCCTGTTGCAACCAGAACATGCGTTCTTGGATAAAGCTGCGGAAGGGGGCAAGGCCGCTGCCAGCGCAGGCCATGATGATCGGTGTGCTGTACTGGTCCGTCGGGAGATGGAAAGCTTCTTTGGCTGGTCGCGGAGATATGTAGAGAATAGACCCTAATGTGAGCGAAGCGAGATAGTTTGATCCGACGCCCAGATACCGGCCATTGCCGTTCCATGCTGGCTCGTTGACCACGGAGAAGGTGAACGAACCGTGCGAGGGTTTGAAGGAGGGGGCTGTGGAAAGGGAATACGTGCGAACGCGCAAAGCGGGGAGCATGGAGATAAATGCGGCAATAGGGAGTGGGACGGTAGGGAATTGTTCGAGGAGGTCCAATACTGAGACGCGCTTATCTCGGATGAGTGAATCGTAGGAATCGTAGAAACGGAGCAAGTCTCGTTTGTCTCCATCTGACGGTGCGGATAAGGCGAGCGCTTTGAGATTCTAAATTTTCTTCAGTTAGCCGTGCGTGTTAAGTTACAGTTGCAAAAGGATCTCATGGACGTACATTTCGCGTTGCCGGTTGGGACAGCTCTAGATACGAGCTGAACAGCTCGGCCGCCGATACAGGGGTGGCGTGGGGCAGACCGAGCGTGTTGAACGACTTGATCGTGATGCCGTGATCCGGTGCGAGATGGAATCGAGCCAGGACTCTTGAGACCGCGCTGGGCGGATTGACCGGGAGGACATTGAGATGATCGCCTGGGCGCAGGGTCGCTTCGCCTAGGATGTGGAATTCTATATGTCGCTTCTCCGGGGTCCCGGTGCTGCTTAGTTTCCGGATAGCGGTCACCTTGGCCTCGACGAGCCCCTGGTGCATTTCCACCCTGGTTGGCTTGCAGAGGCTGATTTGGAGTTGGTGCAGGTCGAGTGGTTCGATGTCGCTGCTGCTGGATAGAAGAAATGTCTCTCGGAGAGCGGGCAGCAGACTGGTTTCTTCCCACGCTTCGAGATCCGAGAAGAGATCGCCGACGGCGGCGTTGGCGGCGCCTCGCGTAGCGAGACGCGTGGCTCCCGCGTTGTGCATCAGGTTGTCGATCAAGATCGGGATGCGATAGAATGTTTTGGTCCAGTCTTGGTGGCCGCAGCCGAAGACTGCATAGAAGACGCCTTGGAGAGACGGGACATTGCCGCTTTCAAGCCAGGCGACAAACTTCTTCGCATCGTCTGTGGGCTGCCCATCGTAGGTGGTGGTTATTATGATCACTGGCTGATCTCTCGGTAGGTTGTTGACGGCACTGTCGAGCGGGGCGAGCTTCTGGTCGGTAAAGCTGCGGGCCATCATGGTCGATGCTAGCCGGTGGGTGAGAGCTTTGCACGTCCCGCTGTTAGAGCCGTAGAAGAAGGAAACCGGCTGCCCTCCCGCCGCTTCCTGGCCGTTCCCATTCCCGGTGAGATGAGTTGACGACGCCAGGCTCGCAGCAGCGCCCGCCGACATACGGCGCTGGGATAGCCCCGTGGCACTCTGACCGCGACGCAACATGGCTCGGACCCGGAAACCATCGGGCTTGATAGTGAGAGTCTCTTTGATTCGCAGTTCGTAGGACGGGTCATCTGCTACCAAGTCAAACGTTTGAAGGACCATGGCAACCACCAGTTGGGCTTCCTGCCAGGCAAAGACCCTGCCAATGCAGCCACGTTCACCGTTGCCAAAGGGCTTCCACGAGTTTGGTGGGAGCTTGGAGAAGTTCTCTTCTAGCATTCGTTCCGGGCGGAATTCGCCCGCGTCAGGCCTAAAGACGGTCTGGTCTCGCAGACAGACAGGCAACAGCAGGTTGACGGACTGGCCCGGATTGATCCTCCATTTCCCGCCCAGCACCTCCGGCTTCTTCGGGGTTACGGTAAATCCCGGTGCGGTGGGCATCAGGCGCAGACTCTCCTTCATGATGGCGTCGATGTAGGGAAGCTTTGCGAGATGCTGCACCGTGATCGGGTCGACACCGGCGATCTCATCGACTTCGTTCTGGGCCGCCTCCAAGACGAGCGGGTGTTGCAGCAGATAATAGAATGTGAATGAGAGCAGGCCGGAGGTGGTCTCATGGCCCGCGATCAGAAAGGTGATGATGTTGCTGATAATCAAGTCGTCGCTCATACCTTCGCCGGTGACTGGGTCCCGCCCGTTCAGCAGTGTGTTCAGGAGGTCATCAACCGACTCCGGTTTGTCTCTACGCTCTTTGATGATATCGCCAGCCATGCTCCTCATCGCCTCAATGTTCTTGGACATGTGCCGCTGCGCCTTGACACGCATAGAGTTTGCAATTCCGGGAAGCGTGGACTGGAGGTCGGCTTCCTTCAGCACGTATAGCATAGATTTCACGAACGGGTGCATAGACTCGCTGTTGTAAAAGCTGTTCAACCGGAAGCCCATCGTGCAGAGGGCAATGGTCTCTAATGTGAGGCGTGTAAAGTCATCGCTGATATTGATACTGGTCGAACTCCCCTGGCGGGCCCTGCACCAACAACAACCAAACCACCCTAATCAGCCTTTTGGTTCTTGTCACTTTGTTTTTGAAACCGATATTCAAGGATCCATACCACTTGAAACACAATTGTTGTGCGACATCGCTCATATCATCGAACATGTCCCGGATCCGTAGCGGGCCAAAGGCAGGCATCAGAATCCGATGGGCGATGCCCCAGCCGCGCTCTCCGTGGTAGGCTGTGAAGAGGCCATCGTTGGCCAGCATTCGTAACTTTTGGATCCCAGCGATGACGGCCTTGTGGAAGCGGGTTTCGTCACAGAGCTCATCGACCAGCGCCTGGCTGGTTGCAAAGATCTGCTTCTTGCCGTTGATGGTGATTTGGAAGAGGGGTCCTAGAGTGACTGATTAGTGATGGTGATTTCGCTTTCGCATCGGAAGGCAGTGAATTGTACCGAACTCGTCGGCCATTTCGACAATAGATTGTAGGCCATGCTCGAGGTCGATGTCGAACAAATTTCCTACTACCGGCAGGGCTGAATAAACGGTCAGTTTGTAAAGGAAAAAAGAACGGAAAGCAACAACAGTAGTTTCGGGTGAGAGTGCTAGTTATAGGCTTACTTACGTTTAGGTCCGGGAATGCACTCCATATCTTTCATCGTTTTCGACTGGGTCGTAGTTATGCTTCGAAGAGATAATATCAACGCGGTGAATAAATGGACAAAGTAGAGGGAGGTTCGATTGAGCGTTTTGGAATAATATCATCGCTATTTATACACCGTAGCGCGTTTCACCAACATAGCATAGCCTCATAAGTTGAACTATCTAATGATGCCATGAGTTATCAGACTCCGAAGCGGGGCGTTATTATTGCGTGGCCGGGAGATCTCTCTGGGCTCGGGGTTCGGTGTTCGGTGTGCCCAGCATGAAACTAGTATATCCAGACACTCACTCGGCGGCGTCTCACCGAGATTAGTTATCTATAACTACATAGCGAGGCGCAGTTATTCCCCACATCTCTGCATGGAATCATAACCCTAATTTCCACCTCTGAGCCGACACCGATCCAGAAGGAGTCTTGACCTTTGACTGGATGGAGAAAGTAGTGTCTAGCCTTGGTCCGCTCAATATCTCATATGAGGTAATTTTGTTCAGAACAGTTGGGAATAGATTAAAGATATAACAAAGATTGAATTAATCTCTTATGGAGGGAATGTCCAAAAGGCTTTCCGATCACATCACTTGGTAACTAATTCATTGCCATCACTAACTCATCAGGTGGCTTCTCCCTCGATCGTATCTACAGTTCCTGAGTCGTTGCATTCTGTCTCTCTCTGCAGCTGCTGAGTCAATCGTATTCCCCTCCAGTAATGCCCCTCTCGCCTCAACTCCACCCGAATCCAGAATAACGTCACCACAACCCAGATCCCCGCCCAAATAGCAGGCACCAACCAGCCAAGCTGCAACAAGTGACCCCCGAACCTAAGTCTCTCATCATCTATTACATTTTGGAGGTCAGACACACATACCGTGTAAGCCAGCTCATGGTCCGCAATCACAATTCCCGCTAACGTTCCCCCCGCCACCATCACTTGAGGAACCGCCCATAGCATCGTTACTCGATGCAGCAAACCACGAAAGGGTGGACTGGCCTTGTACCGCTGATCTAGGCGGCCTCGGAACCTGGTCCCTCCTTTGCCGTCTACCGCGATGATGTCTTCCAGAAGAGGATAGATGGCGGGACGCATTGGCTCGCCTTTCTGGATAGAGGAGATGCGGAATGGGGCGGGTTTCTCAAAGACGTACAGGGCCTCGAAAACTAGCATCTCGAGGGCGAAGATGAAAAAGACCGAAGGCACGGGCATGGCGAGCATGCGCATCCAGGGTGGGTCGGGAATGGTTCCGATAACGAGTTCGGCGATGATGATGACCCAGGAGACGAGGACGTTCCAGTGGGTGAAATCAAACTGCATGGATCTAGTTAGAGGATATTGTTGCCGGAGCGGTATGAAGGAGAGCGGAATATTAAGGAAGGGTTGTCACATAGTAGCGGCCTGCGTTCGGAACGCGACAGCTGGATTTCTTCCGCCACAGATGCCACGATCTCTGTAAGGACTCGGTCACAAATGTTCCGAATAAAGTCACAGTCAAGACACTGAAGACTGTGGAAGGCAACTGCCAGTTAGATCTCAACAGAGCAAAAACTAGAGTTAAGCGTACTAGTCGTAGACGACCACGTCGTTGTTCTGGTCAGGAGGTAATAGAGCCCAACGGGGAGTACAACCGAGTCCAAAAGCACCATCAGCCAAAAGATCAGGATGCGCAGTTTCCGTTTCGCCAGGCTGTAGTTCAACGGTAGAGGCTCCAAGAATTGCTGGGAATCGGACATCTTGTTGCGCAGGTGAACACACAGCAGAAGAGAAAAGCCACAACAACAACAGAAAGAGATTGAGTATTACTATACTTCGGCTGTTCTACGGATGGCGCACTTATTATTCCTACTGTACTTCAGCCGTAGGAGAAGTAAGCTTCAGATTAGGTTTCACTCTGAGACATAATGCCGTGGTGGAGAAGCACGCCTCTTTTTTAGCCTCACCGAACACCGAGAAACGTCAGCCTGCAATTCCCGAAGACCGAAAGGCTATTCCATTTGAACACGGTGGAAGAGGAAGTCATTCTAGAAGGTCCCGTCAATAGGGGCAGCTGTCCAAGTATTAAATGCCATTGGTGAGCCGAGAAGGGCCAGAAAAAGGAACAACTCGCAACTGTCACTATTTATATTTACAAGGTCGTCTCCCGCAGATACACTGAGAACTCTCCAACAACACGCAACCATGGAAGAGAGCACTATTTCAAAAAGGCACCCCAATTCCACCAATACCGAGTTGCCCTGTGTGTCTAAACCTGGCCTGGAAGAAAAAGGAAAAGAAGAAGAATACAATGACGTCGACCGAACAATTCATAGACTGGCAAGCCGTGTCTCACGACACACCGTGGCCTCGGACGTGACCAGGCCCTACAACGCTATTTTTCATCCCCTCCCCGGCTCGGATCTCGACCCACAGTCCTCAAGTTTCGACACTCGGGCTTGGGTGGAAGCGCTCGTCCGATACGAGAGCGAGGATCTCGAGTCAGGACGACGCCGTAAGTCCGGTGTCTCCTTCCGCAATCTGGATGTATACGGCTTCGGCATGTCCACCGACTATCAGAAGACCGTGGGAAACAGCATCCTGTCACTAATGACGCAACGGCGCAAACGACGGATCGATATCCTCCACGGCCTCGAGGGGCTGGTCAACGCCGGCGAGATGCTTTTAGTGCTTGGGCCGCCGGGTTCGGGGTGTTCGACCCTGTTAAAGACAATCGCTGGGCAAATGGAAGGGTTGTTTTTGGGCGACGAGGCCATGATGAACTATCGAGGTGTGTATGGCAGGGTCCTGGACCATTCGCACTAGAAACCTTGAAATCACTTTCTTACTTCTGTATCTACTTCTAGGCGTCTCCAGCAAAGAGATGCACACATACTTCCGAGGAGAGGCCATTTTTGCAGGCGAGAACGACGTTCATTTTCCGATGCTGTCGGTGAGGGACACGCTGGCTTTCGCAGCCCATGCCAGAGCACCACGAGAGTTGCCGGCCGGGCTGAAGGCTGAGGAATTCTCCATGCTCGTGCGGGACGTCATCATGGCCATGTTCGGTATCTCGCATACGGCGAACACAGTGGTCGGGAATGACTTCGTCAGAGGGATCAGTGGAGGAGAACGGAAACGAGTGAGCATTGCCGAAGCATCGCTGAGCGACGCCGCGTTGCAATGCTGGGACAACAGTACGCGCGGGCTGGACAGCGCCAATGCAGTGGAATTCTGCAGAACGCTTCGCACGGCCACCGAGCTTTTACAATCCACCGTCCTGGTGTCCCTGTATCAAGCGCCCCAGGAGGCATATCATGTACGTCCAGGCGACACCCCCGCCCCCAACTTTCTACTCTTGCTATCGGTGAAAAGCATGCTGGCTCACCATGCGGAAGCTTTTCGACAAGGTCACAGTCCTGTATGAAGGACGGCAGATTTTCTTCGGGCAGACATCTGAAGCACGCACATATTTTGAAGAGTTGGGTTTTGAGTGTAAGACTCCACAAGGTCATGACCCGTATTCTCCTTGTTCCTAACGTGAACATCCCCAGGCCCCGAGCGACAGACAACGCCGGACTTCCTCACCTCAATGACCAGCCAGAAGGAACGTCTCGTGCGGCCAGGGTTTGAAGATACAGCCCCACGCACAGCAACAGAATTCGAGGAAAGATGGAAGAAAAGCCACCAGCACCAACAGCTGATGCTTCGAATTGAGGCGTACGAAAGTAAATTCAGACTGGGAAGCAAATGTCTAGACGAGTTCGTGGCCTCACGCAGGGCCCAACAGGCAAGCGGCCAAAGAATGAAGTCGCCGTATACGCTGTCATACATGCAACAGACGCGTTTGTGTCTTTGGCGGGGTTGGAAACGCCTGCTTGCTGATCCCTCCTTGGCGTATATCCAGCTTGGAGGCAATACCATCATGGCCCTGGTCTTGGGCAGCATCTTCTTCAATCTACACAACGACACGAACAGCTTCTATGGCCGAGGAGGGTTGATCTTCTTCGCACTACTGCTGAGCGCTTTTGCCAGTGTTCTTGAGGTAACGACAACCAATTAACTGCTGTCTCGTACAACGCTAACCATCATCAGATCTTGACGCTCTACGAGCAACGGCTGATTGTAGAGAAACATCATCAGTTTGCTCTCTACCATCCATCTGCCGAGGCTGTCGCCAGTATGCTAACTGACATCCCATATAAATTGCTCAACACGCTGTGCTTCAACCTCACGTTATATCTCATGGCGAACCTACGGCGTGAAGCCGGGCCCCTTTTCTTTTTCATTTTTGTTGCGTTCCTCAGCACAATAGTGACATCCAGCCTGTTCCGGACAATTGCATCCGTATCGCGTACCATGTCGCAGGCGATGGTGCCAGCCGCTTTACTGGTCCTAGGCTTGATCATGTACACCGGCTTCACGATGCCAACCATGTACATGCCTGGATGGTCACGGTGGATGGCCTATGTCAATCCGCTCAGTTATGCCTTCGAGTCTCTGATGATCAATGAGTTCCATGATCGCGCATTCTCATGCTCGGTCGTCGTTCCCTCGGGGCAGGACTACAGCGCCATCAGCATCAATAACCGGGCCTGTGCGGAGGTCGGAAACACACTTGGCTCGACGACAATCCAGGGAGACATATACATCAACGACAAATTCCAATATTACCATTCCAACAAATGGCGGTAAGCGTCTTCAATCATCTTTGTGAGCGCCGTTTGGGCTAGATAGGGAAAAGCCACTGACGTTCCACCAGCAACGTGGGAATCCTCGTCGCCTTTTGGGTTATCTTCACGGTCGCCTACCTGGCGGCAACCGAGCTGCTCAGTATGGCTAAGAGCAAAGGTGAAGTTCTCATCTTCCGCCGAAGCCATTTCGTCAACAAGAAATCCACACGCCGAATGGCCGAGGCCGACGACGAAGAGGCCCTCGGCGCCGAAATGGCCACGATGGAGCAGCCAGCCGCGAGAGACGAGACGCAAGTTCCCTCCCATGATGGCCAGATCTTCCAATGGCAAGACGTATGTTACGATATCAAGAATAAGGGAGAGGTCCGGCGTATCTTGGACCACGTCGACGGGTGGGTTCAACCTGGAACTTTGACCTCCTTGATGGTACGTGTATAAATGTCACTGTTCCAGCGCTGTGATAAGCCTAACACGAGATGAATCCCAGGGTGTTTCCGGTGCCGGCAAAACAACTCTTCTCAACGTTCTCGCCAACCGCGTCACGACCGGCGTCGTCACCGGCACCATGCTTGTCGACGGCAGGCCCAGCGGTGCCTCCTTCCAGCGAAAAACAGGCTACGTGCAGCAGCAAGATGTTCATCTCTCGACCTGCAGTGTACGCGAGTCACTTGAGTTCAGTGCACTTCTCCGCCAGTCGGCGAGCGTCTCGCGAGAGGAGAAACTCGCCTACGTGGACGAAGTGATCAAGCTGCTCGAGATGGAAGAGTACGCGGATGCCATCGTTGGCGTCCCTGGTGAAGGATTGAACATCGAGCAGCGCAGACGTCTCACCATTGGCATCGAGCTGGCCGCGAAGCCCGAGTTGCTCCTGTTTCTGGACGAACCGACCTCCGGACTGGACTCGCAGACCTCGTGGGCGATTTGCCAACTGCTGAAACGACTTGCATGCAGTGGCCAGGCAATTCTATGCACAATCCACCAGCCATCTGCCATTCTGTTCCAGGAATTCGACAACTTGCTGCTTCTCACGAAAGGTGGGAAAACCGTATACTTTGGAGGTTTGTCGGCTGCTCTCTCTCTCTTTTTTCTTCTTCTCCCCCCTTCCCCCCACGTGGGGTAGCAACGTACATATACTGATGATAAGGTTCTTTTACCTTTCTAGAAATCGGCGAGAGCTCGGCAGCTCTCATCCGATATCTAGAGTGTAATGGAGCAAGCCCGTGCCCTCCTGACGCTAACCCGGCCGAGTGGATGTTAACCGTGATCGGCGCCGCACCTGGGTCGCAAACCACAGTCGATTGGCCGAAAGTCTGGCGAGACTCGCTTGAATATCAGTCCGTCAAGGTGAAACTACACGAAATTCGAACCTCGAGGGCTACCATAGGTGGCAACCTACAAATGCACCCATCCAGTTACTCAAACAACGGGTCGTATGCCGCATCATTTCTGGCGCAGTGGTGGTTCGTTCAGAAACGTGTTGCGGCGCAATATTGGCGAACGCCGTCGTATATTTATTCCAAAATCGCCCTTACAGTGGCCTCCGTGAGTATCCATCTGACGGCAACTGACCAGTCTTGGAAGACATCTGAACGTCTTATATCTAACTGACATTGATTTGCCGCAGGCTCTATTCATCGGTTTCAGCTTTTACAATGCGCGTAATACTATTCAGGGACTACAAAACCAGATGTACGCCGTGATGATGCTATTAAGTATGTTCGGACAGCTCAGCGAGCAGATTATGCCCCAGTTCATCAACCAGCGGGAAATTTACGAAGCGCGCGAGAGGCCATCCAAGATATATGATTGGAAAGGTACGGTGTCCCTGCAGTAATAATCAATGCTGGCAACATACTCATACACACATACACTGGACTAACACAATCAATCGACAAGTCTTGATGATGAGTAACCTCGTGATTGAGATCTTCTGGAACACCTTGATGGCCGTGATGGCCTACTTTTGCTGGTACTATCCCATCGGACTATACCAGAACGCCGTTTCCACGCACGAAGTCATCTCCCGCGGCGGTCTGGTGTTCTTGTTTATCTGGGCATTTATGATGTTCACCAGTACCTTCACGCACATCCTCATTGCTGGGATTGACAGTGCCGATTCGGCTGGGAGTGTTGGGAACGTCTGCTATATGCTGTGTATCTCCTTCTGCGGGTACGTACCATGTTCATGTCTTCCCTGTTTTCCCCTTTGGGCTTATACGTCTGTTCCGTCTGAACAAAACTCTAACTCATTATTCTCGTACCGAAAATAGCATCCTCGTCAAAAAGGCTTCCCTGTCCGGATTCTGGACATTCATGTACTACGTATCCCCGTTCACGTGGCTCGCATCCGGTCTTCTTTCGACTGGTGTAGCTAACACAAGGATCGTGTGTGCATCCAATGAGTATGTCAAATTCCTTCCGCCGGCGGGACAGTCGTGCGGCTCATATATGGCCTCCTATATCTCCTCGTCCGGTGGGTATTTGATTGATCCATACAACACCGAGCACTGTGAATTTTGCCAACTGAGCAATACGAATGAGTATCTCGGCACGGTCAACATCCGATACGAGGATCGCTGGAGGAATTTGGGCATTGTCCTGGTGTATGTTGTGGTTAATGCCGTGGGTGCTTTGGGTGTGTATTGGTTAGTTCGGGTGCCAAAGAGAAAAGGGGGTTTGGGGAAGCGGAAGGAAGAATGAAGCAGAGAATGGCATTTCACAGCTGGTCTTACTGGAATAGATTATATTGGAAGGTGGAGCCCTGAAAACTAGTCGTAGTTATAAATATATATAGATATTCAATTTTAACCACAAGTCTTATCTTTGTAATTTTTGCAATACATGTAGGACCTCTCCAGTATAGCTCGCGCAATCAAAAGGAGAACCGCGATGCCGCTGGCATCACCTACTACCACGACAAGATCATCTGTAGGAGAAGACACTTGTGCAACATTATTTAATGGATTTTTGTTACAGATTTCATTTATAAGATAGTCATTTCTAGCATTTAATTCAATCATTATTACACCTATTTTTGCACTACGTGCTGGTGGGATAGAATAAGTCTCGACAAGCCTCGACCACCGCTGGTTTCGGCGGTGGGGAATTTTCTAAATGTCTTGGTTCACTTATTCCGCGGTTCCGTGCTCTTGCCGCCACTTGTTATCCTAGATCATCTTAAATCCGGATTGATGAAGAGGTATATGATAATACAATCATTTCCGAACAGACTAGATCATTCATGCTTTGTCTAGAACATCCAATTATAAATAGAAGATGCCATAATCCTACGTGGTTATAACCTAAGGTGTTAGGTCCATCAATCTATTATGCAATAATGACCCAGTGAGAACAATGGGAAAAGCTCTAAGATCCTTGGAACATTTGGCGTGTAATTTTGGTGTCAAAGAGTTCGTTTACCAGCCCCGAAGGATATGGAGTGAACTTACTGGAAAAGAAAGAAAAGAAAGAAGCTTTTCATCAATTCTCGGCCAATGCTTCTTTCGTTCTGTCAGATATAAGATACATGAACTAAAGTAGCATGCAGGAGTTAAAGCAGGTGTTTCAATTGGGGCTGACTTCGGGCTTGCTGTGACATGGGAAGTGTGATCAATTTGTCTGCCTTCCGTGTGTAGGGATTTAGCTAATTGAAAAGAGATCCCCATTCATTAAGCTCTCGGTGTCTAGGCGGGTTAGACTTTCTAGTAGTAAAGTTACAGGCTCAAACACGACCAATGGTGCAACCAAGTGGGGGCGGGGGGCTGTGTGGGCAAATTCGAAATGTGCTTATGAGGGGCGACATGTTCATCATTTCCTACAACAATGAAACAATATTTCCTGTAATCTATGTAATTACTAGATGGATACCCTTTTATAGGCGCACTCGTGATTATGAGAATTGTCAAAAGTACACAACCCTAGGCTAATCGACTTACTCCGCTAAATCCCATTTGGGACGTAACAATTCAAATACCCTATGGCACAAGAAGTATTGCAGTGGCATATCAATAGCTTAAACTCATCCGGAAAACCTAAGATTGTCAGGCTGGACGATGGTCTCAGTTACAAGGTAGATTAAATCTTAGGATTCTTTTTGAAACACGTTTAGAGCTGTTTTTTTCGAAGGAACGGAGCCAATCACAATTTTCCGCATACACGAGCACTTCGGACATGTCAGATTTTATTAAGCTTTTTTTTGTTTCTTGGATTCGGAATGATGAAATTTCCGTCCTTCACCCGTTTCGAGCAAGCGAGGTACACACTGGGGCAATTAGCCCTGCGATGATCGTAGCGATGATCGTTGTCTTGGCAACCGGTATAAGCACTAGTCTTTAACAGGCACTAGCGGTACATTCTGAACAAATTCTCCTATCCTTCCCCTACCTTGGGGGCCGGGCAACGTACTAACCCGTGTCTCTATAGCGAATAGAATACTTGGAAGGTCAATTGCGAATAGCTTGCTGTGATATGTATGTGTTGTGATAGGATGTTAGAATAAAATTTCACATTGATACCCGTTTCAAGGGTCGGCGAGACCTTCAACCAATAAAGTTACAAGGATTCAAATGTGGGCCGTCCTTGATGCTCGTCTTCAACCAAAGTACGACGCATCTCATGGCGAATCCATGGCCTAGAATGTTCATCGTATGCTGAAGGATTCAACTCAGCATTGAATACTATGCCAATTAGAGAGAAGAATTCATCTATTGCCAACACGATGGGAACTCTCCTGTCCTGCTATTTCCCCTTGACTGGGATGCGGCCCTCCGGTTCCCGTAGAGTCTTCTCCGTGGCTGAATGCTCATAATTCGAGGTTAATCCATCATTTTGGCTTGAAATTACGTTATGCAAATTCCCAATAGAACCAAGCCAAGCATGGCTGCCTTCGAGAGCCGTCATATCATTGCCTCATTCTGCCAAGACTTTGAAAGTAATTGTCAAGTTTCATGCCCCGCCTGCTTGCAGTAAGATCCCCAAACAGTGTTCGTCGCCGGTCTCAGCGGCGTAATGCAGCGGCAGCCAACCGGCCGCGTCAACCATGCTTGTATTGGCACTATACCGAAGCAGCTCACGTACGATGTTGTGATGACCGCCCCGAACGGCTGCATGAAGTGCTGTGGACCCTGTTCCGTCGACTGCATTAGGATCAGCGCCGCGATCAAGGAGAAGTCGAACCGCCGCGAAATGACCTCGTGTAATAGCGATATGTAGGGGCATCGTCCAAGTTCTCGACCCTGCTCCACTATCGGGCATAACGTCGCGATTGCTCCTTCGTCCACCAGGCCGAGTGGGTGTATTTGCGGGCAATGTGATAGGGGTTCTCTGCTGCTGTTCTGCCATTAAAAGTTCCTCGGCGTAAGTATAGCAGCTATCGCATAAATTTGTAGTATGAAAGGCTGGTGAGGCTGGTGAGCTATGAGGTATGCATGAGTGTATTGACAACAGGTCTCTTACGTTTGCTCGGGCTCGCGGAAGGATTTGGATCCATGATGCATGTACAGGGGCCGAATTGGAGTCGATCCTCAAGTGGCAAACTAGAAGATGCCAAGTAGAGGTCCCTGCATTCGGGGCTTTGCGCTAAAGACGGCTCGTTGGAGAACAAAGTTTCCGTGGACAGGCTATCGGCTTTGTTTGATGTATGGCTCGGTCCGAACAAAGCTGACGAAGGCAGATCCTCTTGGCAATGGCTCACAGGAGGCATACAGCTGCGTTGGCTGGTTGATATCGCTGGGCGATATTTCTCCGAGTATGGCTTCACACTCGATCTGCTATGGTCTTCTAGTAGTCGTGATCTCTTGGTTTCTGTCTTCGCATTCTCACCTATTTCTGTTAGTTATGATTCAATGTTGGTGGAGTAGACAATGTACGATGTTTGCGCTGTGCTATCCTGTTGCGCTCCCTTCGCCTTTCGAGGGCCAAGCTATCTTGGTCCATCATGATGATTCGATTTGAGGGAACTTGTCAAAGAGATAGCGCACTTCAATGGTTCGGTAGTATGGGTTCATAGAATTTTAAGGCAACCCCAAATGCAGAGGAAACTGGTGCTTATATAGCCAAGCTAATGTCGATGTGGCGACTAGCCTCCTGATCTACCGGGAAGGACAGCGAATTCGGGCCGGCAAGATGCATCTTTGTTCTACAGTTACATTGTGGATATATTGGACTTTAGCTACGCCATTGTGACCCACTTTCTTGGCTACATAATGAAGAAATGCATAACATAATGGATTGTTTCATTGATGCCTCGAGACTTGATGAAAGCTCCGACGGATCTCACGTGTCATTTCTCCAGCTGATGACTTGTTGATTCCAGGCTCGAATCTAGCTTTCACCACATGATGCCTCATGCCCTGGATAAAAACCAGTTTGGGGAACCTGTAGCATAATAGTATGTTTACGATGAAATAAGCTTCAGTTGGCACTTTGAAATGAGTTATTCAAATTAAGGGGATGAGGGAGCAAGTGCAGAGATGAAGACTGACTAGTTCATTAGCTTGAGGGTCCACCGGGAGAAGTTATTCCGAAATTATTCCTTGAGCACTCTTTCTATATCCATGGTCTCTTAAAACAGTTTTAAGTAGAACTTCAGCATTATTCTGAACTTCACGGTTTGGATTGGCATGACCCTCGGTTATTGTTTCTATTGATCTACACGTCTACATAATAATTGTGCATTACTACAAATTTAGATTCCATTGATAATATGATTGAGCGGCAGGACATTTTGTGATTCATGGCTTCTCCAGGCATGAAATGCCTGCTCCGCCAACCATGAATCTATTGATCAGCATTAAACCTGCTATATAGAGAATAGTTCAGGAGAAATGCTCTCCATTAAATGGGATCTCTCTCTCATTGAAGAGAGATCAGGCTAAAACAACCTCGCTGGCCTTGACGTACATGCTTCCGTAGCGTCATTCATCGTGTAATTTTAACACATTTGATATGCCGATCTATATTCTCAAGAAAATAAGGCATTGTAGTGGTGACACCAGTGGCAGTAGCACAGAATGCCTGGGACCATATTCAGCTTAGTTTACCCTACAGGAATAGGCCGTTCATGCACCACAATATGACTGCTTTCTCTTCGGCTTTTTGACTTCTTGACACAGTATCAAGTTACGAAGCCACTCTACATCTCCTGCCGATTGGGGGAGTGGGTTGGTTGTATGCTCTTTGTTGATATCAAATAGTCTGCTATCATACTGTAGACTGCCATCGTGCCATCCCCATTTCATGATATAGTATTTTTGAAATATTGTTATCTCTTAAAATTCAAACATTCATTTTGAGCTGCAAACACATAGAAACATCAAATCCAAAATTTGTGGCGATTTACATTCTTCCTTTCCATTCCAGCATATTCCTGATACCCTCACTTTCTTCATCACTTTAATCAATATATCCCAATCTATTTTTCTTCGCACAGCGTGACCATAATACTCTTATACTTCAAGCATGGACACGGAGCTCGGCAACCTCAACATAAGGAAATGTCTTCACGTCAATGTCAGCTTGAGTAATCTTCGCCTCGATAGCTGCTGCGTTAAGAGCAGCGCGGGCAATGGCATCAGTGTCACAAAGTGTGACGGAGTTCACACCTGGTCTGGCACCAGCAGCGGTCACCCAGTGGACTCCTTCAGTTGGAACACCGACAGCAAAGCGCTTTGGGTGCACACGGCCATGGGTGTCAATGAGATGGTATGGGCTCCCAGTCACATCGAGACCACCAGTCTCGTATCCGTCAATAGTGTGAGCGCGGCATTGACCCGTTTTGAACAAATGAGAAAGAAGCTCATCCCCCGTGTTGCGGAGTGTCGGCTCTGGCAAGCGGGCTTCGATCAATGTTGTAACCCGGATTGGCTCGCCTGGCACCTCGGGCGAGTGGACTAGCCAGGCCTCCTCCTGGGCCTTTACCTGGGGATGGGGACCCAGGACTTCCAAAACTCCCGCTTCCATGAGCGCAATCATTTGCTCAATACGTTTGCGGGGAGGTCCAATTGACACATAGGCGTTGAGCGGTGTGTACCAGCGATCGAGGTGCTTCCGATGAGAAGTACCGGTCAATCCATTGTGATCTACGATGAGTCGCAGTTCGTTTCGCAGATCGCGCATCACATCCAAAGCTGCCTTTAGTGGACCGTTCAAATTTCCAAGTGCGGCCTCCTTGGCATCTTCGCGAAGGTAGTCGATCAACCACTCACGCCATTGAGTGGTCGTATTGAAAACCCGGTCACCCTGTGGACGCTGGATACGGTCCCAGGACCACCGCTTCTCTTTTGAAATACCAAACTCATGAAGAACTTGCGCTTCCTGTGGACTGTTTGGCTCAGTTTCTAGGAACCTCTTCTGGAAGTCGGTTTGTTCCGACCCATCACGCCTCAGTAGAGCCAAGTAATAAACGGTTTCCACTTCTTTGGAGACAAGAGGCCAGATATCCTGGAGGAAGTCAGGCGCTTGTCCAGCAGCAGAATGCTTGCGGAAAGCATTGATGACTTCTTCAGTGAAGACGAGGGGCATGTGGCGGCCATATGCCCCTTTGCCGTTATCACCACGGGAGTGGTATGGAATGCCACGACGAGATCCCGCAATCATCCGAGGCTCATTGCCCGATGGGTGATATTTCAAGCCGTTAGGAGTCTCTGAGAAGCTACCACCGCGGGATGTTGTTAACAAAGCCATGTAGTCGAAGAAGTTGAGACCAAGACCACGCAGAAAAACCTGCTCTCCAGGAGCAATAACAGACAGATCAACATCTGCCGGGTTCGAGGGTGGAATATGATGGAGACCATTCAGCTCTGCGTAAGCATTGAGTTTCAGTTGTTCAATGTCCGGAAGCAGGGAGACGTGACCCTGTGCAAGAATGACAGCTGCGAGGCTAGAAAGGGTGCGGCCATTCGACAGCTTGAGCGTTTGCTGGCCATAGCATGTGTCGTCCAAGCGGACAGCAAAAGCAGAATGAACCTCAATTTGCACTTGGGGTGGTGCTTGTCGCACAGTCTCTTGGAAGATCCATTCAAGATATTGTCCGTACTGAGCACGGGTTCCATAATCATCAGGCCCAATGCCAGGGATCTTGTCGGCAGCCCAGTTGTAGAGACTTGGCCCTGGACGGATTGGGCCTGCGCAGACAATGCTGTCATCAGTGAACAGGGTCACCTGGGATGTGACGGTGTTCATCAGAAGTTCATCCGACTGCTCTGTACGCCATACACGACCCGCACCTGGAGGCGATGGATCAACGATATGGACCGTCAGTCGTGCTGCTGGGGCAAGGAACTCCGGTGCTGAGGCGCAAAGACGCTCCAGAGCGCTAGTTCCTCGAGGTCCAGCACCGACAATGGCAACATGGGTATGCACCTCAGTAGATTGAATGGCGGAAGGCATTGTGATTTTGGTTTCAGGAAAGATAAATATGACGAAGTAGGACTTTTCAACAAAGACAGCAGAAGTAGGTTTCCAATCTTAGCGCTTATACTCTTCGTATGCCTGAGTCTTCTCAGAAAAGGCCTTTGGAAAGTTGTTACGTATAATGCAGAGGAATCCCAAGCCCCTTTTATATTCTGTCAGTACATCAGGCCCTCAATTGAGCCTTTTCATGAGCTGACATCGTTGATCTCGCCATTAAAACGCCACCGTGACGAGCGGTGCCTTTCATGATTCACACGTGCAGCGTTACGGACCAATAGTCCACAGTATGAGCATCAACTAGGCTCTTCTGACGATGAAACACCTCGAAAGCCCGCCCGGCTTCGGGCAAATGGACGTCGTGAGTGTTAGAGAATTGAAGATCTCGATGCAGTGATCGGGATCCACACTCTTTCAATCTACCTTTAGGGTAAGAGAGCCACGAAACCCGATGCCGAATCTTGTTTTTCGGCCCGCATTTCTTTTGCACTAGGACAAAAAGTGGATTCTGTTTTGCAAGAAGAATAATATATGAGGCTACTAAACGATGACCTTGCATGCAGATAGTGACCTTGCATACGAGCTATGACAGTGCGGGCATCAGCAGCGCAGATCAAAGGTAACTATGTGACGCTGAGAAATTTCCGGTGGTCCGAATTTCATATGCAGCTCAGTATTCTACAGGAATATGAAGACGAATTATTGGACAGAGCGTGGTTGAGGAATATTCTTAGCATCCGAACAACGAGCTACAAGCGAATTGATGATCCCAACTCCCTCACAATGGGACATGTGGCTACTGATTCCGATAGGCTAATTGGTAGAGTAAGTTGAATAGTCATGACGGGTTGATGGCAACAGACCTCTATATTTTATAATCGCAAAAAACTCTGGTTCTTTTTCACAAATGAATGCGGCTAGATGGGAGTCTGAGTAGGATTGAGACTTGAGAGTTTCCTTTTTTATTTGTATCAATGCCATGTATCCAAATAGATGGTCTGTCCTTCGTATGGGAGCATTAAATGAGAACCAAGCACCGGCATGATACAAATATTCCAAGCTACTTGTCATTTTCATCTTAAAACAACGAGAAGCGATGTCTCCATCCATACCAAATCAGGCCTCCGGACGCTTGTATTCGCCTTTCTCTATCATCTCATTTATGGTTTTCTCAGTCACCATCATTGCCTCGACACCAGCAGGGGTGCCACAGTAGACTGTTGCCTGCAGAACAGCCTCTCTGATTTCTATCTCTGAAAGACCGTTGTTTATAGCACCACGGGTGTGCAAGGCGAGCTCAAGCCATGCTTTCTGGGCAATGATGATTCCAATATCTGCAGAGTATCACCGGTAGATATTAGCAATCTCGGGCTCTCGCTGTCAATCACCAAACCAAGCGGAAAATTGACTTACTCAGAAGGCTGCGCTGCTTTCGGTCTAGCCCCGGGCGTTGCCAGATAGTACCCCATGCCCATTCCGTGATGAGCTGTTGTCCGGGCATCGTGAAGGGTGTGGCATTTTGCAACGCATTGTTGACATACTCGTCCCCAAGGACTGCTCTCCGCACCTTGACTCCCTCTTCAAAGAGGTCCTTGTGCAGCTCATCAAACTTCGAGATGTCGGACATGTTTGCAGAAATTTTGAACTATGAATACGATATGAGTTGGGATGCAGGGTCGCAATGGCAATTCCGATTCTCGGGAAAGTAAACCACGGTGGTTTTTCACTGCTTTTTGGCAACACTTCGCTATTCGACATCGGGGAATATTATAAGACCAACAAGTGGAATTTAAGTGAGGGATTTCTTCATCCAGTGTCCCTCTGATCAGATTAAGTTCGTGTGTGTGGGCTAACTTTCGGTCATCGGGCCCACTTGAGATCTTCCCGTCAGCGGTATGAAACACCTGTGGGGCCGAATCACCCATTGACAGTTAGCCTGCAAGCCATGAGGCTTCCCGCGTGCTTTTTTCAGCTTAGTGGCAATGATAATCGCCAGAAACATGCAGGAATAATTTCAGCCTGTGGGGCTTCACTCTTAATCCGCAATATCCGCTCAATCCGGTGAAAAGATGGCCTTCCCCATACAAGAGCGACCCCAAATCACTTTCGTGTTCGTAAGACGAAGACCATTTTCCTAACTGAGAGCCTGCCCCACCAAGATGGCAGGAAAAATACTGAGCTCACTGCAGCTAAACCCACTTATGTGTCATAACCACGGTCTAGATCCAAGAACTGCAAGTTGTCATGCCCGATGACAAAAACGCAATACTACATGCTGGAAAGTATAGTGTCGAGATCTAGTTACTACTAAACAATAGGTCTCATATTTACATAGCTGTAGTGGAAATTTCGTTGAACAGGAATGCAATTAACCCCGTAGCTGATCTAGTGCAACAATATGTCGGAGAAACAATTTGCACCGTATTCCAAGACTCTTGGCATTTATAGCGAGTTCTTTCTTCTTGTGGGTCGGCTAAAACCTGCGCCATGTCTGCTTCGTGGGAAGCTTCGTGGAGAACCTTTGGTGTATGCAAAACCTCACCTGGTGCCGTGAATGCCTTCAAGAACGGTCTGAAGAACTTTGTAACAGAATTGCTCTAATCTCACGCTTCAGAATCCATGTGAGCCGGTTTGTATTGCATCATATCTCTCACAGGTCGTCGAAAGAGGCTTTTTTTAGCCTCTGGGGAAAGACCTTGCGCAAAGGGTTGACAAGAGTTTAAATCCTCTGAAAATGCACCCCAACCGTTCCTCATCAAGTGCGGAGAGACATCAGAATGGTAATTATGACGCTGGAAACGTTATCTTTCAATTGCTAGTGGTTGACGGTCAGCCACTGTCAGCACGACAATACCGAAAATAAAGGGCAATAGGAAGATAGCGGCGACATCTTATCATTCCCGGCCTTATGAACATGGCCAGTCTTACCTTACGTTAAGCCAAGAAACTAGATAAGGTAAATTTGCCCATTTGGATTGTTTGAAATGCCAATGCTAAGTGGATTAGGTAGACAGTATAACAGAGCTCCCCATAATCCGGGCGAATATATGGGTCTATCTGTCAAGAGCTCCATAAAATTAGCCGCAGCTCTCTTTCATACATTCCTAGCTGAATGCGGCTTATTACACATATCAACTGGACAAGATTGCTAAGAACTGTTAAATCATTATGTTATCACTTATCTCTTTATCGCTCTAGGGACATTGTTTGTGGTCGATAGGCGCTTGGTTTTGTTTGGTTCAAAGTGAATTTGTATGATTTCCAGAGTCATCATATTGCTAATTTATGTTTCTATCAATGATTAGGCCTATAGACAATGTGTTTCTCATTCCTGAAACTTGTTTTTGTTTTCCTCTACCCAATGCTGAAACTTGACCGGGTGCTTTCCAGTGTACTTTTGAATATTTCCAACAGCTTCCTCAAACCCAGTCGCATGGAAGGATGCGCCTGCATTCTGCATAACATCATGTATCATCCAACTAGCCACAGGAGGGGGAACCCCTGTTCTCAACAAATTCTGCAGAGCTTGATCTGCCCCAATTTTATGGATCTCGACGTGCGTCCCCAGAATTCCACTAATCACGGCTATAGCGTCCTTTAATGCCATTTTCTCCGCCCCAACCAGCCCCACGATATGCTGTGCAGTGCCATGCGCCAGTATAGTTCCACACACACGTCCGATATCCGATGGGGAAATCCAGTCAAATTGGGCCTCCGGGTTGGGCAACTCGACCAAGCCCTTCCTGATGCCACGCTTGTGTTGAAATATATTGCTTGCGAAATAGGCCGGTCGGATGGCGGTAAAGTTTTCGACCCCAAATATATCCTCCAACGCGATTTCTACCTGTGCGTGATGCCAAGCAATAAAATCGGTAGGCGACACATCCCGGGGGTTACCATCAACGGTGAAGCTACTCAACAGAACAACAGACTCGACACCGGCTTCTTTGAGCGCCAGCAGGCCAGGTCGCATGCCATCGTCGGTCCCAAACACAGCGTAAATAAAGACCACTTTTGCGCCAGTCTCATTAACAGCGGCTTTGACTGTCTCAGGCTTAGTGAGATCTGCTTGAATCTTTTCGAGAGAGATGTCGTCCAAGTTCGGAATAGATTTTGCGATGTTCCGCATGGCCAGGAAGACCTTCGCACTTTCCTGGTGAGCTTGAAGGGCCGCCGCAGAGCCAACATCTCCCGCTGCACCGAAAACGAGAACACGTGGTGTTGTGGCCATTGATTTAGGATTTATGGATACCTGGGCTCCACTGTTACTGGCTTTGTCTTTGATTGAAGAAATGAGCGCCTAGGATGAATGGGAAGAGAAAGCAATTTGGAGGGGTTGAGTGGCGGTGTGTGCTTCGGGCCTCACATGAGATGCATAAGCAATTTGCTCACCTTACTGTTATCTTGGATATTTCAATATGTCTATGCAGTGAACATACATCCCCTACCAAAAGTTCCTTCCCACTCCACTTTTTCGGGTCCTCATGTAAAATATATATATCACTTACACTGTATATAGCACAATAAAATTTTCGCTTAATATTTTGTATAATACCCCTTAGCCTTGCGTACTGCCTTTAGACGTCTTCCCATGCTCAATATTAGCGCATCTATCTTCGACTAATCTAATGCGTTCCATGCTTCCACCAGGCATTTTTTAAAATAAAGCTAGTCTGCTTCCGACCTTCCTTGGTCAATAAGCTCCGGAAATAATGCAAAAAGCTTCACTTTTAACCAGCGCCATACCGGTTCAATTGGGTTCAAATCGGGTGAGTGCGCGGGCCAATCCTCGACGTATACTCCGTGAGTTTCAAACCACTCTTTCGTGTCCTTCGCTAGATAAATCCTCGCGTTATCTTGCTGAAATACTAAATTAGGGGTGTAGATTGGTTTTTCGAGCGTCGAAATATACGACTTCGTAGTATAGCCCCTCCCCGAACGCGAGTCCTCGTCTCTTTCTATAATAATTAGGTCTGTTCGACCCCCTAGCTAAATTCCGGCCTAAACCATTTATGAAATGACTTTTACGTGAGCCTTAGCATTCACAAGATCTTTTCGAAGGCCCTCCGAGGTCGTACGAAAGCACTATTGTGGTCTAAAGTTCGAGGTTCGTTGCACCGAACACTCGTCCGAGAAGATCCACGATTAGAAGCTCTAGCGTGGCTATTTTCGCGCAAATTTTAGCCTCTTCCTTGCTAGAGGAGGCTTAATTGGTATTTTCTATTTCGATCGCCGTTTTCCGAGTCCGAATCGCTTTAAAATTCGACGTATAGTGGAGGGTGACGGATTCTGAGCTGTAGCAGCACTTAGCTGTTTATAGGTCCAAAATAGATGCCGACGTGCTTATAAATAGAGGTAAGAGCAAGCGCGCTCACTAATAATTACGGGACGGCCGCTTTTCTCACGATTTTCGAGGGTGTTGTCTTCTAAATAGCGTTTTAGCGTATTGTAGATTGTACGCCGAGAGCACCCAAAGTTATTAGCTAATTTCACCTGCGAGATACCGCTCTTATGAGCAGATACAATAGCTGACCTTTGTATAGCAGTAAGCTGCGCCGTTTCGCTAATTTTTGCAGCAATTTTCATTACAATCGGAGCAATAGGGGAGGTGTAGGAAGAAAAATAAAACGGTGGGTTGGTTGCCGGGTCAAATTGTAGTGGGGCAGTGGGAAAGAACATTTGACTAGTATCTGTAAGCCATCCCTTGAACCCATAGATTCCCGAGGAATCGAGCCCAAAGCCTTTGACACTTAGGTTGTATTTGAATATCCCACAAGTTTCTACAATATGAAACTCATACATACAGGGGGAGTAGAGCACAAACATTTGATTTCGTCTTTTGAGTGGGTATTTATATCTACCTTGTGACTAGGCTTAAAGCATGAAGGCCTAAGGGCTCGATTATAGACCCAAATAGATCTGCACCAGCAAAGATCTCAAAGCCGAAACCAAGGTAGACTATTCGGGGAATTGGAGGTTACTATGATGACCCACTATCAGGTAGTAATATTAGACGGGGCTTGACACGGGATTGTTTGATGAGAAGCCATCAATATCATACCGAGATAGGGATAGTGAAATGCGCACGAATTTATCACGTATCTTCTCACCTCCCTTTATTTCCGTCGCCATCCCCTCGCTTTCCTTTTTACTTCTTGGCTATATAAGCAACCACACAGTCAAACCATAACAACCATAACAACCATACAAAATGTCCACCACAACCACCTCCGTCAGCTCAACCAGCACCGCCTGCGGCGGTAGCGCCTAGCAAACTCCCTCAACGGATGCGGCCTGCGCCGCCGTTGTTCGTGCTAACATTACCAATGCTATGACACAGTGCTGCGGGGACGCGACAACCCACAAGTACAACAATGACTGCGGAATCTACTGTCTCGCCCAGGGACAGGATGTCAAGAAACTCCAGACCTGTCTCACCAGCAAGAGTGGCAACTACAATGTTTTCTGTAATGCCGCCCAGAACGCAACTGCAACTGCCATTGGCTCCCAAGTCTACCTCAATCGGCACGAGCACCAGTACTAGCACCGGCTCTACCACTACCTCGACCCACAATGCCGCCGTTGTGAACCTGCCGGTTTCGAAGTCTGGTCTTGGACTGATTGCTCTGCTTTTCGGCTCCGCTTTCATGGCTGTCATTTCTTAAGGCGACCGTCGACTTGGGCTTCTTTGTTTAATATTCGATTTCGAATTTGGAGCGGATGAGCGACCGTGTGCTTTTCCTTCGCATTTGGAGATGGCCCTTCTTTTTTACGATGTAAACTAGCATTTGAGATACAGAATGAGCTTGAACCGTACTTAATCAGGTACCTTTGTATGTTCATGGCTCTTTCTATCTATCTTTCAACATGCATATGATATTTCGAGATTGATCAACAAGGAGGTCGAAAACAATGAGCCGCCTCAGTTCGGAGAAGCTCTACCTAACTAGGTAATTTTTATCGATGATACATCAAGTGGTCATTATTATACGAAATATGAACCATGAATTTGATTCATGGCCATTGTGGTGGCGACGCGAAGCATAAATCTATCCCCAGGCCGACGGCCTTATTAATTCTAACGGCAGACTTCCGCATCCGTTCTATACTGAGCATTAAAAAACAGGTTCTATCACAATAGAATGTTCCAGTCGTGTAATGAAGTCACACATTGTCTTTCTTCGCATAGTTATCAAATCAAGCGAAACATTGTATGATCCTTACCATAGGCATGGGATATCGTAAATGGCAAGTGGATGTCTTTTCTGCCTAAATGATCATGTATTTAATGTGTTCCCACTCTTTGCTCCAAGCACTTTACATACTACGTACTTCCCACCCTCAACAATCCTCTCACAATTCAAGCTGGTTCTGACATACCCCGAATTAATCTTCTATCATTTAACATGTTTCCCCGAACAAAATCACTATTTGCAATTATCACACTGTATCTGGCCTTGATTCAAGGGATCGCAGGTCAATCCGATGATCTACCCGCTAGTCAATCTACTCATCAATCCGATTGCACAAGTGATCAGATCCAGAAAGGTGATGTGAAGAATTGCATATGTCACGGGAGCGATCATTCATGCGACAACAAGTGTCCAGTAACTCCGCCAGGTTTAAAGTGTGCAGCAGGTGCATCAGCGAAGGAATCACAGGTTTACTTACAAGATTGTGCTGCAACTTGCGCGGGAGAGCACAACCACTGTTGTTCCGGTTGTTGGATATGGTTCCAAGAAGTCTGTTCCTGCTTGCAGAACGGTGGATGCCCGAAAGGCAGCACCTCCTCGGCCTACTGGCTTAAAGTCAATAGCCAATTAGCCTCCACGAATGTACTGATACCAAACATTCTCAATTTGCAAACATCTCAGCCAGCACTGGCAATCGACGTGTGGAACTTTGGCCAACAGACTGCGTCTAACCCAAAGAAACAGGCGCTGGCTATCAACTCTGCGCATTCGATCACTGAGAACCAAATCCACATGCACATCTGTGACCCGAATACCGACATGCAGCAAACCCTAGCCGACCTTTATAAAGGTCACGGCTCCCCTGCCTTTTACAGTACACTGAAAGACATTCCCTCACCACCACTCACGCCTCCGAGTAGAATGTTCTGCCGGGCAGCGCAAACCAAGTTTCAACTTATCCTAGGAGCTACAATCTCGGATGATATCAACACAGTCCTGAAGAGGCCAGACATATGCGACTATTATGTGGGTGCTGCAGTGATAATAGACAAGAATGACTATATGTGGTCATGTGTGACAGCTGATCATGAAAGCACAGAAGTTAAAAGGTTCTGTGCTTAATGTGGCCGGAGATATTTGTCAATTGCCTTATTCCATTTGTTGATTCGGTTTCTCCCCAAATTATATTCAGTTGAACCTGTACTTTGGAAATTGCGTATCAATGTTACTATAGTGGACTGAGATTGATGCAGTTTGCTTAGGGAATGAAAGTTGGGATTCCACACTAACTTACTATTTCAAATACTCTTTTTTAAACCACCATTATAAGGCACTCTATCAACAACATCTGTCACTCAATTCCCACAATTTTAATAGAGAGCCTTCGGAACAAGTGTACAAGTCGCTATGTAATTTTATCTTGCCACTTACACCTTTTTTTCCTTATTAAGAGCCTATGTCATCCATGAGACTCAAGCGGGCTACAGTGGACGAGCGGTGAAACAAAAAGAAAACAAAATTAGATGACGTAGCAAAGTGAGTGGCACAGCTTCCACGACAACTTCTATCTCAGCCTCAACATACAGAAAACTCATTGTTTACGCAGATCTAACCCTAATCAACAGATACACTAACGCAAATAACTTGCAATTTTAATCGTAAATTTTAGTCGCCGTAGGTAATAATACTATTCAGGATAGGAGTATAAAAGTCACCACACGGAACTGAAGGGCTGTGTGCAATTACAGCGAACAAGACGACCATTCGGTTGCAATCTATCAGATATTTCTTGGCTGCCTCTTGCCGTTGCCTGATTACAAAAAGCTGGTCGTCTAGCTATTGTCAGGTGGACATGCTTTGCTCCTATATAACCTCCTCACACAACATCCGCAAGGTCCGCTTGGCTTTCTGGTAGCTATCAGAGCCAATAGGGAAGCAATAGCTCCCTTCGGTCGGCCATCAGGCGAACTTGGGTTACTCGGTAGCTTGTCAAATCCAATACCGCTGAATCGGATGGCATGGTCTAGAAAAACCAATATTAATTACCAGCATTTGGACTCTAGAGTATCTGCTCCGAAGATGCTCAGTTCCTGGTTATTCACCAGATCCGTGTCACTGTAGAAAGACATAAATTTGTAGTCCTCAAGTTGGTGATGAGATGCTGTACCAAGAAGCGCCAAGTCAAGATGCAGGCTAGGCAACCTCTCTCTCGCATCAGTGCGGAACAAATTCGGGAAGATTGTTTCAAGCACCCCCGTACGACCCTGATTAATTACCTTGTGAGGGAGACAAAGAAAACAAGCCCAGACCTTGTACGATTACTGTCAGAAATCGCGCTAGGTAGTCAGTTTTCGTTTCGCTTTAGTGTATCCCTCGATTCCAGCGAGCATCATATAGGACTTGCTCATAGAGACATGTGACATATCGACCCCTTGTTGTTGGAGCGCATGATGGAATGCCCGAAAGTTTGCGGCTGAAGGTCGATAATGACCACTGATAACATCAGCACAAGATCAGTGGATATTGCCTTCTATGGTATACTGGCTGTGATCTAACATACCTCAGCGGTGCCAGGCTACGTAGTTGACCGTGTTTGATCTTGATCATTCCAGCTGCGGCGATGCGAGCACCTCTAAGAAATGAGGAGTGTTGGAAGGCGCCCGATTTTTTAATTCCAATGTACAAGCGAAAAGAACTGTCTGCGACCTTATAATTCTTTAATAAATGGTCAAAATCTAAATCAGCGCACTGGAGACTTACAAAGATCCACATATTTTCCTTTTCGGTGGACTTGCCCATCATTCGTTTGAATGCAGTGGTCGGGCTAGCATGGAGGACTTTCTTCATCACCTTTGCAGCCTTGTACTCCTCTTCCGTGAAAGGTTTCGTCTCCTCGTCGGATAAAGCACTGTCCATGCTTGTTGTAGAGGATGACGTAGAAGAAGATGATGGTGATGATGATGAAGAGCTGCAGATAGATGCAGACTCCGTGGTGGTTTCATTGCCAATAAATTGCGGTGCATCATCCTCTATGTCTACAATCCCATCGAGACTGTCTTTGAAGCGTGCACTGTTTGTCCACACTAGCTCGTTACTTTTGTCCCATCGAAACAACCCAGCTTCGTCCACTGTGACCAAATAATTCAGGCGTTGCTCGCGGGTGAGATAACGAACTTGCTGTTTCTCGAGCCGTTCTCGTGGGCATTGCTCAAGTTCCAAATTCCGTCCTTCGCCATAGTCGAGCCAATAAAAGAAATTTTGGTTGGTTGGTGAGTTCTGCCAATAGTTGTGGTATGAGCGCAGATTGCTTCCATGTCGATGTTTCAGATCCACAATTTCCAAGAAGTATTTGAGATCCATCACCTTGGCCTCTGCCCCCGATGAGACCACGTCAATGTAGGTTGACTTGCTCCCGGTGGAAGGCGATCCCGAAACACGGTCATCGTCACCGCCGGCTCGTCTAGCAACGCTGACCGCTCGTTGCCAGTTCCGTCGGGCTTGGTTGAAGCCATCATCCGCCGGCGCGACTTGGAGATTTGCGGGTCGATGAAGTTGGTGCCACTGGGCTTCGCGGACGGCCTAGGGGCAAAACACAGTCAGAGTTGTAGGGGTATAAGTAGTTCAGAACCGTACCTCCGCCCATCGTGCCGAAGCCGATAACCCAAACCCACGAAGCTCTCTTCGTGTGCGGTAGCCACGATACACCCTCTAACAGAAGAGATATGTTTCAGCTGGAGTTGTTGCCCACGGGTCCATCAACTGTACCTGAACCGTTCGTGCCGCCCGCTCAATGACGTCACGCCCCTCGGGCGAGGGAGTGCGGGCCATGGAGGAAATACCTACTTGAAAAAGGATAGTACAATATATTCAGGTTCGGTTTTAGTAAAGAAAAGCCGATGAGAGGGAAGTTTGGAGTGTCAACGCCAGGTGGGCGGGACGTGCAGTTCAAGATCTTTGTCATCCCGGCTTTTAGCCTCTCAAGGTGGGAGTCCATCTTATCACTTGTCATATTTCGTGGCAGAAAACGAAAACCAACCTACAATATCTTCTGGTCTTCTGATGTTTTCATTGGCACTTCTTCTCTTCAGATTTTGATCTGGGCCTCCTTCTCCACATTATAAAGAAATCTATTAAGGATTGGAGATACCCCTCAGAGCTCTCTTCTCTTTACTGCAGGCCGGTATAGATCCCGGGAAGTTATTTCTCCTTTGAGATCTCTCCGCAAATCACGTCAGGTTTAGCGTCGGAAGTCTTCCCTATCTGTCCCCACTATATGTACTGGACTCCGATCATCCGGCCAAGTCCCCTGGCCACCCCTCATGAGGAGATGAGGGGACTCCGGGTGCTCACTCCGGGTGCTCTACATATAAATATATCGAATTTGTTTGGAGGACCTTGGTAGAATTCATCGTCCTTATTGCGGAATACTATCACAATGGCACCCTCCCTTCACCCTCTTATCGACAACGGTATCACACCCGGCTCCAGTAGCTTCTCCGGTGGGAAGCTCCACTGCCGCTGCCCTTCGAACCAGGTGGAAGTCACATTGAAGAGCAATGTAGCCCACAACCACGCCTGTGGCTGCTCCAAGTGCTGGAAACCTGAGGGCGCCCTCTTTTCCATTGTTGGCGTGATTCCACGAGACGCCCTTTCCGTCACGGCGAACGCATCCAAGCTATCCATTGTGGACAAAGACGCCACAATTCAGCGCAACGCCTGCAAGGACTGTGGTGTCCACCTCTTTGGTCGCATTGAGAAAGACCACCCCTTCAAAGGACTCGACTTTGTTCATGTCGAATTATCTGATGAAAAGGGGTGGCAGGAACCACAATTCGCAGGTTTCGTGTCCTCAATCATTGAGCAAGGCTCTCACCCCAACCAAATGGACGAAGTGAGAGACAAGTTCAGGGCTGTTGGCCTGCAGACATACGATGTTCTATCCCCAGCGCTGATGGATTTGATTTCGACTTTCACGGCACAAAAGTCGGGCATCAGATTTGCCAACCTGTGATATAAAATTGTTGTTGCAACTTTACGTCCGATAACATGACTTTATGGTGGCTGGTAAAGAGTTATAGTTGGTCGGGGAAGTTTTTGTGATGGATAAGAAAAGAATGTCGTGCTTTTGGATATTAGGACCTTTGTGTGGATTCGGATGTCAAATATATCTAAGCGAGTCAGCATTGATGTGCCAATTGTATCTTACAGGCAATGTTCGTTCACTTTGCGCTAGTATAGCCTAACCTAGATCTGTTGACATTCACTGAATGACTTTGTCGAATAGCTTGAGCTTATGACTCCTGCTTGGGCATAAACATATGGATTTCATTGTATATGTACCAGACTATGTCACGCGTTAGACGATTGCTTCATCCCTTGATTGGCGACACATGATTCAAAGGGTCGTGTTCCTTCTGCCGGCGTTGATAGATTCTTGTTAATTCCACTCCGAGTTTCTGATCACATGCGGGATTTGAGCTTTCCTGTCGTATCGAGGAGCGGGTAATCATGACGTTTTGTTGTGCTACGAACACGCTCGCCATCTTCGGGTGTGATGTATCGAGCTTCCACTGCTGGGTTGTACCCCAAACCTGAAACTTTGCTAATTACCTTATCTGAAATAGCCTCGGTCGCCTTTCCATCAGCCCGTTTATAGATTGTTACAACCACAGCTCCTCCCAGTCCAAGATTATGCTGCAACGCGACATCTGTGCCAGAGACTAGACGGTTGTTTGCCCATCCGCGGAGTTGCCAGGTAAGCTCGGCACACTGAGCAAGGCCCGTGGCCCCGAGTGGATGGCCTTTGGATATCAAGCCCCCGGATGGATTGATCACTGGGCCACGGCCGCCGTAGGTAATATCTCCACGCCGAACCATCTCATGGGCTTTTCCTGGTTCCGAAAATCCAAGTGCATCAAGCAAAAGAAGCTCATTGGTGGAGAAGCAATCATGAAGCTCGCAGACCTTGACATCTTTCGCTTCCACTCCAGCTTCCTTCATCGCCAGTCGTGCGGCTTGCCGCGACATGTTGAATCCAACAAGGTCAATTGCGCTTCGGGAATATACTTCGGGTCCATCCGTCATTGACTGTTGACCGGCCATCAGTATTGCCTGTGATCTGAGGTGAGGTCGCGCATCCAAGAATCGTTGAGATACAATGACTGCTGCTGCTGCTCCGTCGCTTGTTGGAGAGCATTGGAGCTTAGTCAAAGGGCCATAAATCTGGGTCTTGGGGTCCAAGATCTGGTCAAGCGAGTATGCAGTCCGGAACTGGGCATACGGGTTCCGTTGGGAATGCTCATGCGAAATTCGAGCGATTTCAGCGAAGTCCTCCGCTTTGGCGCCATATCTATACCCATGGTAAATATCACATCTGTGATTTGACTCTTCTGGTACCATACTTGTCCATATATTCCTGTCCCGCATTGCCAAAGTATTGTGCATTCCTAGGACTCGAATGCTTCCCGTAAGTATCCTCCATCATTGTTGTGGATGGCCCCAATGGACTCGGTCTGTCATCCCATACACTCTTGATTGACCCCGGCCGCATCTGTTCGAAGCCGACCACGAGCACGCAGTCAACCACTCCCCCTTTCACCAAAGTACGCGCAAGGTGCAAGCCACTAGAGCCCGTTGCGCACGCATTGTTAGTATTATAAATGGGGATGCCCGTCATTCCGAGCTGGTACAGAATCCGCTGGCCTGAAGTCGTGTCCCCGTAGCAGTAACAGGCAACGCCCGTCTGGACATCATCGTATGTAATATGGGCATCGGTCAGTGCCTTGACTGCAGCTTCATAGCCAAGTTCAGGGTCTGAAGAGAGAGGATAAAAGAGCCCCAGTCAGTTCCGGTTATACAATGAGCGGCCAAAGCAGTTCTCACATTCACGGGTGCGACGAGGCTTCAGGAACTGGGTCATGCCCACTCCGAGAACATAAGATTGTGATGCCATCGTAATAGCTTACTCTATTGTACTTGTGACATCAAGAATAGTCGTATATATATGTTGGGTGATTAGCCGAGCTTCCGAGGTACGTTGGCCTCCCCCTCACCTAGCATAAACCGACAGTTAATAAGTGGTCGGCTGTATAAATGCCAATTTATTCACAACCGACGACCGAATAGCTTGATAACGTGTAAAAGTTATAGCTTTCCCCACAACCCCGCAATCTCCCCTGGCGCTATACTCCGTACATGAATTCGTCTTCACTCACAGTTACACCATGTCTGATAGTCTTCATTCCCAACCTCCAGCGACCAATCATTTTCGGCTATCCTTCCCAGCACCCAAGGTGCTTCTCGTGACGATCGATCGGGAGAAGCAACGGAATTCTCTACCCGCCGAGGCGCATTGGGAAGCCCATGGCTTATTCTCGTGGTTCGACGATGAGCCCACTTTACTTGTCGCAATAGTTACAGGCGCGGGCGACAAAGCATTTTGTGCTGGACAAGACTTGGCTGAGCAGAGTACGTCTCGCCGCGGCCCCAAAACTGCAGCCCAACTGGCAGTAATGAACCATCCTCCGACCGGTTTCATGGGCCTTAGCCAGCGGAGGGGGAGGAAGCCTGTGATTGCCGCAGTAAATGGGTTTGCACTAGGAGGAGGGTTTGAGATATGTCTCAATTGGTACGTTCAACTACGTGTTCTTTGAGTCTGGGACTTACATATTCAGTGACATGGTGGTCGCATCACCTCAGGCTCAGTTTGGGCTGCCTGAGGTCTCAGTTGGATTATACGCGGCCGCCGGAGGGCTGCCTCGGTTGATGCGCATTGTTGGCCTCCAGCTTGCTTCCGAAATTGCTATGACCGGTCGCAAGTTGACCGCTCAAGAAGCACTGGGATATCAACTGGTTAATCGGGTCACCCAGGCATCAGAGTCTGTCATTGACGAGTCCCTCAAACTTGCGGCCCAAATCGTGAGTTTTTCGCCGGATGGAATCATTGTTACGCGTCAAGGCTTGCGTGAGGCGTGGGAAAATCCGAGCGTTGAGCATGCCACTTCCCGAACTAGACATGAATATGTGAATCGATTAGTTGCAGGGGATAACTTCAAGATTGGCGTTGAGGCTTTCGCTAAGAAGACAAAGCCCAAATGGGTTCCTTCGCATCTATGACGGCTAGTAGATTTCAGACGCCACTTTGTGTACTAGTTTGCTATCCTCAATCAAATACGTTAGACCAGAGATGCAAAGTAACTAAAAAGATCCAATTCCAGTTAAGTTGAGCATAATACGGCCTTTGTGTAGAAAAGTGACATTGCACTGATTGACCTCCGCATATGAATACACTTGCTCGGGCCGAGGTTTCACTTCGCACGTTTTACCCCATAATAACAGGCTGGATCCTCTCTAAATATCCCATCTCTACATCTTTACATGGTGATTAAACTGCAATATGCCTCCCATTATTGTCGGTGTGGCCGATATCCGAAATCGTTCAGTTACAGTCGAAGATGCTAAAGAGCCCGCCACTTTGATGCTAGAGGCCATCCAAGGGGCCATCAACGATGCAAGCAGCTCTGCCGAAACTGCGCAAATCCTTCAAAACAACATTGACAGTATCAGTGTGGTTCGTACATGGACTTGGCCTTATCGTGACTTGCCAGGCCTGTTGTCACATCACCTGGGTATTATACCGCAACACCAGTCGTACAGTGATCATGGAGGTAACCAGCCAGCGAAGCTACTTGACGAAGCAGCCATGCGGATTGCGAAGGGAGAAACAAAGGTTGCGGTCCTTACGGGCGGCGAAGCGTTGGCCTCTTGTGCGTGCAGACAACTCTTCAACCTGAAATTTCACTTATCAAAGGATAGTGGCCGCATGTGTTAAGAATGGCAAGATGCCGCCTCCAGGCTGGTCAGCCCCGGCAGAAAATGTGACTGATGTATTCTCTCCTACCACAAGAGGGCTCAGAAAAGGTGTGTTCCCATATCTCCTACGTGATCTTTTGGTGAGTTAACGGTTTCCAGATATTGGAGGACTTCACGCCGTGGGGTCACCAATTCACGTCTATCCGCTCTACGAAAATGGGTTCCGAGCTCACCGCAAGCAGACAATTCAAGCCAACCACCGGGAGTCAGCAGCTTTGTATGCCTACTTCAGTCAAATCGCATCGCAAAATCGGTATTCCTGGAATTATGGCATGGAAGCCCAAACCACCGATTCTATTGGAACTCTGTCCAAAAAGAACCGGATGATTTGCTTTCCATGTAGGCCTGTCCATATTGTTTCTTGTACGCCAATAAGTCTAACCATAGTGGTGACAGATCCGCTCTTGATGAATGCCTTCAATACTGTCAACTTGGCATCAGCTTGCATCTTGACCTCAACGGAATATGCCACCCAGCTTGGGATCCCCAGAGGCAGGTGGATATATCCTCTTGGTGGCGCTGGGTTTAACGAACGTGATAATTGTGAGTCTGCACCTTTTCACCTGATAGGAAAGATGCCTGACGCTGTGAGCCGCCAGTTTGGGACCGTCCAAACTTCTTCGAGAGTTCCGCAATCTCGAAATCGCTCGATCATTGTCTTGAATTGAGCCACCTAACTCCTGACGATATAGATCTTTACGATCTCTATTCGTATGTAATTCAATTCCAGTGTCCCCCAGTTAGGAATCATCTAACAAATCCTAGGTGCTTTCCTATTGTACCCAAACTTGCATGCCATCACCTAGGTCTTTCTATCACAAAGCCTCAAAAGCCGCTTACTTTATTAGGGGGCCTGACGTCTTTTGGAGGTGCTGGGAATAACTACTCTATGCATGTATGCACTTTTCTGATTTCTTTGCCTTTGGGAACAGTCATCACTAATGCATAGTACAAGGCGATTACCGAAATGACCCGTCAGTTACGTGGCAGCCGCAGCCGCAACGGGCTTATTCTTGCAAACGGTGGTGTTTTATCGTATCAGCATTCAGTCTGTCTTTCTTCCCAGGCCCCCAAGGAAGAGAGACCTTATCCAGATAACAAATTTTCGAGTCTGGTGGATTCAGATCTTGTGCCCTCAGTCGACTTTGAGGCAGAAGGAGAAGCAATAATCGAGGTCAGTGGGCCCAATATTATCACGGTTTAAGAATACCTGTCTGTGCAATAACCTGACTTATCCCAGACGTACACAATTGAATTCACCCGGGATGGCAGCCCATTGAGGGCTTACATCGTTGGTCGACTTGCTGGCACTAACCACCGATTTTTGGCGAATGAGAGCGACCAGGCTACTCTGTTACGTTTGTCTTCAATGAATGAAGAGCCAATTGGGAAGACTGGCTTCGTTATCCCTGATCCTGAGGGGGATAGGGGCCAGAGGAGAAATCTGTTCTCGTTAGATAGCAGCTCCAAGCTTTAGGATCTTTCGGGCATTATGCCGTGCAATGGGAGTTTAGCTCTACTTGTTTTTAGCAAGTATTGAGTTACTTGGACGATTCATCAATGATAGGATGACAAAATGTTTCTAGATAATTTGCAACGTACTCTTGTATTTTGCTGATCGTTAAATATGGCAGTTGAAGGATTCTTGGAATTTGCGGGCGATGGCATCCCCACACGCATCTCGATACTTAGGAATTCCACCGTAGTAATAAAGCAGCTCCACTGGTTTTCCAGGAATATTGGCACCAGTATACCACGATTTCGCTTTAGAAAACAAGGTCATCTTAGAGATTGTTTCCATTTGGGCTTGCCAGTCCTGCACTGCGGCCGAGTGAGGTTCCACTGCTTGAATACCGTCAGACTGCATCTTCTTTATCATGTCCCTGATGAAGTTTGCTTGGAATTCTATGAAAACAGGCCCATTTGTAAAAGGAGTCGGTGCCTGAACGGAATATGGCAAAAACATATTAGGAAACCGGGGGGCCATAAGTCCCAGGAAAGTTGAGACGCCCTTGCGCCAGCGTTTGCCGAGATCCACCCCGTCGATGTCGCAAATTCCCATGCTACCCAGGCTACCGGTGCTCGCATCGAACCCCGTGGCGATTGCAATGACATCAACTTCATGGATATTTCCATCAGCTGTTACAATACCGCAAGATGTCACCTCAACAATCGGGTGAGCATTGGTATCGATCACATGGACATTGGGGCTGTTGAATTGTTCAAAGTAATCCTGCTCGAGGGAAGGTCTCTTGGCGCCAAAAGGATGCGGTGGATTGAGAGGAGCTAGTAGATCCCTTTTCATGGGGTCATTGATGCGTTCACGCGTCCTCTTAGCCCAGACGTCGTAAGCCACTCGATTTCCTTCCGGATTCAAGAGCAGATCCATATATGCTCCAGACCAAAATCGAAAGCCACCTTCGTCGTAAAGCTGATTCAAGGCCTTGTCACATTCCTCGGGCGAGTAATCAGCGAACAATTTAGAACTTCCTCCATCTGGTAGGCCTCCTGCAGTCTCCCAGCAGCGGGAAAAGAGCTCCGCTGTCTCAGCCCGCATCTTGTCTTGGGTGATTGGGTCGAGCTTTGGTGCATGGGCAGACAAAGATTTGGGGTTCTTTGGAAGACAAATGTTTCCGAGGCCTCCTTAGCCCATTCCTGGACAATCTGCACGCCTGTTGAGCCGGTGCCAATGATCGCGACACGCTTCCCTCGTACATCCACTTCCTCGGGCCATTGGCATGAGTGGTGGATTGTACCCCGGAAAGAATCGATGCCCTTCCAGGATGGCACATATTGTTGCGAAGCGAAACCGACCGCAGGAATGAAATATTTGGCCAGCACTGTCTGTCCATTGTCTGTTTTGATGGTCCACTTCGAGGCGTCAAATTGAGCTGAAACGACGCGTGAGTTGAATATGCAGTCCTTGCTAATGGATAGCGTACGGTCGACGTGCTGGAAATATGCCTGCAGTTCCTGCTGTGCTGGATACACTTCCGACCACTTCCAAGTCTTCCACACCTCCTCGATATTGAACCCGTAGACAGGAGCTGGGCAATCTACTCGAGCGCCCGGATATTTATTCCAATGCCATGTTCCGCCCACGTCGGAGCCAGCGTCGATGATTTTCACATTGAGATTCAATTGATCTCTCAGTCGGTGGAGGAGGTAGATTCCTGAGAATCCAGCACCGACAATCACAGCATCCAATTCCATTTCCATCGTCAAGTTTCCGGGGGTTGGAAAGAGGACAATTGGAGATAGATACATCAGTGACTTCCCCCCGCATTGCCGATCAATGAAAGCCGAGGTCGAGTAGAGACCGAGATTACAGGGGACGAGGTATACACGTCGAGTATTGGGAAATATTACCTGAAATGTGAGTTGCCGCCAGACTCGTCTCGGACCTTTTGCATCCTGGAGCTGTCTGACACCTCACCTCGAGTTGAGGTGGTAATACGTTGGTTGGCCTTGACTCTGTCTACTCAAGCAATGGCAACCATTCTGAGACGTGTAAGGAGGGTTTTAAAGGCGAAGGACTCAGCTAACACCCACAGATTGGAGCTCGTCCATTCCTGCGAGCATCGCGGTCTCTTCCGTCATTCCAGTCGTGTTTCCACACGCGCGCGACCGAGTATCTTCAGACTCATGACCCTGACCTATCGGAGTCTCAGCGAACGGTACGAGAGGCAATCGCTAGGATCTGCTCGGATTTTCCTGACGAGTACTGGGCGCGTGTGGATGAGTTGAAACAATTCCCGACCGAGCTCTATGAGGCATTGGCACGACAGGGCTGGCTGGGCATTTGCTTGCCGCAGCGATATGGAGGCTCTGAGCTCGGCATCTCCGAAGCAGCGGTGATGATGCAAACTATTGCAGAGTCCGGGGGAGGCATGACGGGTGCCTCGTCCATACACATGAATATCTTTGGCCTCGAGCCCGTCGCCAAGTTTGGCACCGGCGAGCAGAAAGAACGCTGGCTTGTTCCACTCATCGCGGGTCGTCAACGGGCATGTTTTGGCGTCACAGAACCCAACACTGGCTTGGATACGCTGCAATTACAGGCCACGGCACGTCGATCGGGGGACCATTATCTGCTTTCGGGACAGAAAGTCTGGATATCTACTGCTCAAAAGGCAGACAAGATCCTCATTCTCGTGCGTACGGCCCCACGCGACCGAGAGAAGCCATCCCAGGGACTCTCGCTCTTCTACACAGGTCTACAAGTGCCCGAAGTCCAGATCACCGAGATCCCCAAGATGGGTCGGGCTGCTGTTGACACTAATTCACTGTTCTTTGACAACTGGCGTGTCCCAATGAGAGATCGTGTCGGCCAGGAACATGAAGGGTTTCGAATGATTCTGCATGGGATGAATGCCGAAAGAATCCTCATCGGCGCAGAGGCTCTCGGTCTAGGGTTCGCGGCGTTGCGTCGAGCATCCTTATATGCCAAAGACCGACATGTATTCGGGCGCCCTATTGGTCAGAATCAGGGCATTCAGCACCCCCTCGCAGACAGCTGGATGAAACTGGAGGCTGCCCGGATGATGATCTATCGGGCTGCTCAACTATATGACCAGGGATACACCGGCGGTGAGTATGCCAACGCTGGAAAGTATTTGGCTGCAGAGGCGGCGTTTGAGGCTTGCGAGCGAGCCATTTTAGCCCATGGAGGGATGGGTTATGCTAAAGAATACCACGTTGAGCGATATCTTCGAGAAGTCTTTATTCCTCGCATCGCCCCAGTGAGTCGAGAAATGATCTTGAACTACATCGGAGAGCGCATGCTTGGTCTTCCCAAGTCGTACTGAACATGTTGTATTTATCTAACTCATGATATGTTGAGCAACATGTAGACCTAAATTCTTCAGTAAATTTCTGTCTGTGCATGATCCTCAGTTCCCATGAAACCCCTTATCCGTCCTATTCGGTGAATTTCGGTCCTTCAAACTCGGCATACAAGTTTATATTACCGCGGTATTCCATGGGCGGGGAGAGTATTCGATCGTCCCTTGTGCGGGGTTATCTATCACTTTAAAAGTCACTATTTCTCAGTTGCGCTGCTTCTACTTCCACCCTCAAATAGCCCGGCTTGTGTACCTGGACACAATGATGATCAGAATGCCGAAAAAGCACCCAATTAAGGCTGCTGTGCAGGCCATGAGATACCGTAATGGCCAATCTTCTCCATGGTGTCGACGTCAGCTTCGTTGGAATCACTCTGCTGTGCATTCAAGCGGACCGTTGTCAGGAGTCCGGATTTTGGATCTAACGCGTGTTCTCGCTGTACGTCTAGCAATACAAAAAGAAACGAAAGAAAAGAGAAAAACAACTTACATAGACCAGGGACCATTCTGTACACAAATACTCGCTGATTATGGTGCAAAAGTTCTCAAGGTGGAGAATCCAAAAGGAGGTGTATGAAACTACTCATCAACCACAATCTTAATAGTTACTGACTAGCTATAGGATGATACTCGATTATGGCGAACCGTAGCAGAGAAAGACATCTGGAATGCTACAGACAAAGATATCTCTGCGTACTTTTGTACGATCAACAGAAACAAGCAGTCCATTACTTTAAATCTGAAAGAGGAAAAAGGGAGAGAGATCCTTTTTCGCCTTGTCGAAAATTCCGATGTGGTGTCAGTAATCATTCTGATACCCAGCAATTATCTGCTAATTATAACAGTGTAGACAATTTCGTCCCAGGAAAAATGGATAGCATGGGCATCGGATACGAAAGGCTACGTCAAATTAATCCCTCGATCATACACGCAAGCGTCTCTGGTTCGTGCTCAAGGCATTCTTTCAAAGTCGGAAACCCCGAAATTGACTTTCGTACAGGGTACGGGCGCAGGGGACCATATGCCCATCGTGCAGGCTACGATGCTATTGCTGCAGCTGAAGCAGGCATGCTTGACATAACAGGCGAACGCGATGGTCCACCAACACGACCTGGGCTTGGCCTTACTGACATGAGCACTGGTCTATATCTGCACGGAGCAATTATCGCTGCTCTCTATTCTCGCAAAGACACAGGACAAGGACAGAAGATTGATGCGTCTCTATTTGAGAGCCAAGTGTCCTTACTTTCCAATGTCGCAATGTCGTGGCTCAATGTGGGCGAACGAGCAGCCCGTTGGGGCACAGAGCATCCAAGTATTGTTCCATACCAAGCATTTGAGACAGAAAATGGCTACTTGGTACTGGGTGCTACAAATAACCGACAATTTCGAGTTCTTTGCCAGTTGATGGGGGAATCGGAGCTGGCGACTGACCCACGCTTTGTGGACAATAGCTCACGGGTTCAAAACAGATTGGAATTAAAGGAGATATTTGAGCGGATCCTCCGCAAAAAGACAACTCAAGCATGGCTGGCTGTCTTAGAGGGAAGTGGGATGCCCTATGGCCCTATCAACACCATCGAACAGGTCTTCTCGCACCCGCAGACTGCCGCCGGGGATATGGTGCAAAGTCTTCCTCATGAGGCCGCGATTTCGGGTAAAATCAAAGTTTTAGGTTTGTTTTACTTTTTGGCGCACTCAACAGCATACATTCGCTGACCAGCCATTCAGGGGTTCCTGTTAAGTTCAGTGAGACAAAGCCCACGATCCGACATTCTCCGCCAAGCCTAGGAGAACACACGGATTCCACTTTGATAGGCATGGGATTCTCACCAAAGGAGGTAGCTGCTCTGCGGGAGCAGGGGATTGTGTAATGATATTTCGCCTTGGAATGCTCTGGCCTCCTCTCCAAGACTACGTGGGAGTCGAGGGGGAACACGTTGTCTCATTGGTAACTCCAAGCTGGTGGTCCAGATGGAGCTCTTGAGCTAGTGTTGAAGCAACCGAAGGTTGATCCACCTGCCCGCTGGTAAGATGCTACCTTTGAAGCGACTTAACTACTTGAGAAGCAGTACTGATTGTGATTAGACCTAAACAACCAAAATTAAATCTACTATTGCATGGTAGAATCCGATTCCAGCAGTAACCAGCACACTTTGTCATTTTCCTCGAATCATCAGGGGGTGCGCTTTCGCGATCCCATCCCGGCAGCGCAGCCGTAGGGCAGGGAGGACAAAGTTGTATTCAATGCCAGAGTCAATGGCTCCTGCGGTGAGGAGGAGCGCATCTAGCTAGATCGTCGCTTTGTTAGCGAAGAGGGTGCAACCATTCTGGTACACGATCAAGGATTTAAAGTGTGGATTGATTGGGTGCACGCCATCTGTTTGCTAAACGTGCTAGAGAGATTACACATGAGGCCATCTGATACGAGCTTGGTGGCGAAAAATGGACTTCTGCGTTGTCAGAGGAACTTGAGGTGCGCACGTATCCCTCCACGAAGGCTCTGTTCCTACAAAAGCATGAGCACGAAGAAGAAAAGTAGCTTTTGTGGAGCTTTTAACACTCGCTCTATTGCTTTCGGGGAACCCTTTGCTCCTATGCGGTGCTTTGCGTGACTCTAATGGTTGGATAGGTAGGCCAATAGTGAAAATGAGAAAGATACCGAAGATTGAAAGTATATCAATAAATTGATGAGGTTTAACAGACTTTGCTGGTCTATCCAGGTGATACACATGATCAAGGATAGTAGTAAATCCCACGATCAACATCCTCCTTGAGTTGTTCGTTTATCCGGAGATATCCCTCCCTCCTCAAATACGGGAAATCTCGATCAATCAGTTGAGCAACGATCCCACCAAACACAATACTTCCTGCCACGTTTAGATGAGTGTAGTCGGCGGCGTTCAGGTTGTATGTATAGGCATTTGTTGGCCCAATTGCATTCAGATATTTGGTGCTGACCTGGTTCAAATTAATATACCTGGAGCCTGAGTGATGGGCAGCTGAGATTGTAGCGGCGGTCTCGTTGGCCAGACTCATGATGATAGATGGATGTCCCGTAGAATTCTCATAGTTTCGTCGAGATAACGGCGTGACCAGGATTGGTGTGGCTCCAGCATTGAAAACCTCGGTCACGAATGTTTCAAGATTCTCTGTGTATTGTGATAGCGAGATATTTGCTGTTGCCTTTTGATCATTGTGGCCAAATTGAATAGTGACGAAAGGAATATATTGGTCCCGGACTTGTCTAACGGTTTTCAAGACGTTGTCCCAATCACCTCCAGCGCGAAAACTGACTGTGGTAGCCCCGTTGTGACCGAAATTTGTGCCAGCGGCTCCCTGGAATAGTGTTGTGTTGAGAAAGCCATCTCCCCACCCTCCGCCATTTGCAGACTGAGTAGCAGTGGTACTATCCCCTGCTAGAATAAAAAAGGGTGCTTTGGGCGACTGCTTGGCTGCGGGCGAAAGGGGATGTGCCTGGACGCACGCCAACACACTAAGAAAAGCTAACTTGGCAATCCTCAGTGTCATATTGCCTGTGTGCTGTTGTGTTTCTCTTGATATATGCTTCAATCAGTCGGGGTTAAACCAAAGAGCACCTCTCCGCGGCGCTTTATATTGCGCGGGCCAAAGGATCACTGAATAGACCTTCTCCATATTACATGAGGTAGACGCAATACAGGAGAATGAAACTTCCACCAACAGGAGAAGCAATATGCTGATATATGCGGAGCTACGCATTCACTTGCGGGGTTGCATGAAGGGTGGGACGAAATTGACCGAAGCCCTGCAAGGACCAGCATCGTTCGCGGCCAAATAGACCGAGCAATGAGGGCATCTAAATGTCCGAGTTTTCGAATTTTCCACCGGTTTAAGCTGCTACTGTCAATTCGATAAATGAACCCATACGTCATTGGATCTCGGATTTTTGGCCTTCTCTTCATGATACATGCTCGTATGGAAGCTTCAATCAGTTTCATTTCTATTCTTGACCACCTAGTCATTTGTACCTGTCTGTCCTCTTTTCCTATGATAATAGTAAGCAATTCGATGGGATGCTCTATGGAGACAAGCCAACACAACTAAAATCTTGAAATCTAGTGATCCAAAAAAACCCCCCAGACTACCGGTCATTTTCGACCTGACCGCTGACTGTCACGGATCCCATGAGTCAAAAGCTGCCAGTTCTGTCCATCTGTTTTCCAGCTCTTTTCTCATCCATGAAGTGCGCCAGCCAAGCACCTTCTCTACACGAGACATAAATTCCAACGACCCTTGCTGCTCGACTGGGTGCCGTAGACAATAACCAACTAGAGTGAAATTAGTGCTAGTGAGGCGACAAAGATTTGGGGCACGAACAACGATGCAGTAAATGGGATGCCATGAAATAGGCATTCTCTACACTTTCGTTGGACAAGGAAAGACCAATAACCATCACTAAATTATCGGCAATTGTTTTCTACTAGCCCATATTAGCCACCCAACTCTAAAGTAAGAAATTGAAAATACTTGCCTCTTTAATACGCCGCGAGCAAGCGATTTCATAATCACTCATGTGGTGTGGTGGAGTGTCGGATAAAGTGAGAAAAATGCATGCCGAGTAGTAATACTGCATCCCGACCACTATGTGGGCAATCAGTACTCGCATACTTCAAAATAAACCATGACTGGAGGTATACCTGCAGGGGGGATATCATCCATAGCTCAGGAAAGGGTCTGTCGACAGATATGTCTGGTGCCTGGTACCGTAGTGGCTGCCAGGTCATGGGCTTCGTTCGGTTCCATTCAATCACACTTTCCGAGATGTTGCGCCAGGCTTCTCGATCCACAATTCTCCCAGGCGCATCGGAACAGAGTTGGATTATACGTGCACAATGATAAATGATCACGTTGGCACAGGCGGCATCATCATGGCGGTGAAACATAGATGAGCGCTCGTAGTTTTGCATGTTTAACTGCAAGGGTTGATACTGGACTATCGATGCGTAGATAGCCTGTCGCAGAAACTGCCAGCTCACTGCCTCTGCCAGTCCACCCGACGATGCAGAGCGTGCCACAAGATTGACTAGTCTGTTGGATCCTAGCAGGTGAAACTGCTGGTCAGTATTGTTCTCCAGCTCTTCATATATACGGAGGATCACAACCGCAATGAGCATATTTTCATCACAGTTCGTTTCGGCTTGGTCTAATGCCGCGATCAATAGCTGCAGGCATTGTCCATGATAAGTCGAGGCCTCCCAGTCACTATCGCCGGCCAAGATAGCATCGTGGCGTGCAGATAGGGCCAAAATTGCCTTTAACACCATCGAATTCTGCAGCGCTCGTCTTGGGACTTCAGTGCTGAAGTGAGATTGGACATCACAAATGTCGGCCTAGTGCGGTCAGACATCGCCATTTACTGTAAAGGGCTCGTGACTCACCCAGGGTGCTATTTTCTGGATAAAATAGCGCATCAGGGATGCTTCCCTCAATGATAATGTTGATTCATTACCGGAAGGATGACTTAGTGGACCGCTGGTCGGGTACTGTTGAGATTCATCCTCGTGGATCGCAGGGCTACCAGCGCGAGCTTTGTCTATGTCCACCATATAAAGTTCACGGTTTCCTCCACGGTCGTGCTCTGATATGTTGGTTGATGATCGATCCTTTTCGTCTGGCGACGCGTTTTTCTCGTCTCCAGCTAATACATCATTCGTCTCAAGGACAAACGTCGCTATGTCCGATTAGTGCATGCCCAAGGCCTCCATGTCTGACGGCTTACCAGGGCGAGACACATCCACCCAGACTTGCTCCTCATCCCAGGCCAGATCGAACCGTGCAGGGGCCCCATTGCTCTTCTGATAGACATGGTGAACAGCCTTGAACTGGAAGCGGGGATCGAGATGACAGGCCCGACCAAGCCGTGAGCATGGGGTGCAGGCCGAGGCACCAGCGGGAATCACACATCGGATATGGCGAGTGCGACACCTTTCACAACCCTTGCCTACTCTCATAGGGATGTCAGGTCGAGATGGGTGCCATTGGGATTATAGAACAACAATCCCCAGATGCGTCGGGGAATTCCCCGCATTTGCTGAGTCATCTGGGAAAGTTTGCGGAATCCACGGTTTGTGGCGACTGATCCACGGTCGAGAGGAAGTGTATAAAGTACGGCAGATTCGAAGATTCGAAGATTCTCCGTTCTCTCAGTGATGTCAGATATCTGACATCCTTGGAAGACCAATGTTGTTGCCTACGCTATTCTCAACGGCACATAAAAATAGCAACCTCCTTGCCGAGACCTGTCAAACAGCGCAGTTGCTTTCTTTCAGAAACACGACTGTATGATTTTCAATAATTGTATTATGTATTCCGCACGAGCGAGCATTTTGTCTCCCGCTGCCGGCGGAAAATATGCGTCGAGTAAGCCGTAGGCAGAAGGAAATACCTCTGATCCGCGGTGGGTCTTGATAATTCACATCTGAATATGGCCAATCAACACTCGGATGCCCAGTTTCGATACCAATCCACCACTAAGGAGCTATCGGCAGAATTTAGTACCTGATGGACAGACACAGGGCCAAGAAAAAGGTGTCGACTCCGCCTCCCTCTTGATCTTAAAAATGTCAATGCCCAGGGCTTTCACGCACGCGTTTATCTCGACAGGTGACTCCCGGTGAGATTCTGTACAGATGATTCTCTTCGACTTTCTTCTGATTGCCACTACATGGCAAATAGTTCTTGGTGCTTCAGGTGCCTGTGAGGGTTCTCCACTTTGACCTCATAACAAAATTCTTGCTCATGCCATCCAGGTTCAAGCAGTGTAACCATTTCCAGTCAAGGCGATGCCGACAATCTGAGCAGTTGTGACACATTTGAAGGAAGCATCACAATCTCCTCTTCAGTAAATGGAGCAATCACACTCAATAATGTGGAGGAGATTAAGGGATCGTTAATCGCTGAGGGTGTATCGGGGCTCACGGAGCTCATCGCCCCTGATTTGGACACTCTAGACGGGGCTTTAACGTTGAGCAACCTCGCCTCACTCGACACCCTAACTATGGGTGCGCTGTCACGCGTATCTTCGGGTATTACCATTACAGGGAATCCCAAGTTGAAAACTCTCGGTTTTGCGGAGTTAGAAGAAGTCGACGGATTGTTGGAATTGACGGGCTCATTTACAAGGTATGATAGGAGTATGTGACATATTTCGCTCCCGGAGACGCTGACGAATGTTTTCAGCGTGTCGCTTCCTTCGCTCGACCAAGCCAAAGGACAAACAACAATTAACGGCGCCAGCTCTATGTCATGCAGCAGTTTGAATGGATTACAATCTCAGGGCGTTTTTAAGGGCAGCTATTCGTGTGGTGCGGGCTCCTCCGGTCTCAGCGCAGGAGCTAAGGGTGGAATAGCAGTCGGCGTGATCTTGAGTGTTCTCCTGCTTCTTTTGCTTCTCTGGTTCGTGCTTCGGCGGCGTCGGCAGAAACGAAGACTGGGAGATGCCGAACCGACTGTTTCGTCTCCATCCACTGCCGTGATACAAGACGAAAAGGTGTCACTTTCCGAAGAAAGAGTCTCACCAGCAAGTGAGCCGCAGAATCTTATGATTCGAAAGCCGGTGGGATCGGCGATACTCTTGGACGGTCGCTCGATCCATGAGGCTCCGATAGCGGCCACTCCTGTCCAAGAATGTCACGAACTAGATGCAGGGCCAGTTTTGAGCTCACACCAGCGACCTATACACGCGGAACAAGATGATCCCTATGACCCAGTGACGAAAGTAAATGGTTTGGGAGAACAGGAAAATGGTCATTTAACACAGCCTTGATTTCACATATACCCTCTTTCGAATGATGCAACTCGTTAATTTCATTCAATTTCGCTGGATTCTGAGAGAAGTCTAGGCAATCCCCTTGGTTACCATAGGTGACCTTGTAACCCGTATCACTATTAGTGGTAAATTCTTGACGCTGGAGTGGAAGCCGACAGTTAAATCTGACCATCAACTTTCTTTCGTAGAGATGCGTAAAAGGTGATTTCCTTGGAACGACGCTACGCTCTTCGGCTCTCATTGAGTGTATGAGTCGCCAACTATCTCTATCTTATCCCACTCTGAATGAGATTATAATTAAGGATATCCTGGTCGTGCAATCTATAGCTAGAATAACTAGGCTCTTCTTTTGGTTTATGGACTCATTCAAGTTCTATTGACATTGAAATACCACGCGAAAATACATGCTCTCATTTATTCATTTTGGTCGCCATTCAACCAGTGCACAACCCATTTGTCCATTTAAACGATGACCTTGTGGCCGGCAGCCTTCTCTTCAGGCTCACCGAAGATGTCAATATTCCAACGAGGCTTGTCTGGAGGATATTAGCATGTATTACCTGTGATAAATGATCAATCTGAAAACGTACTAGCAGTGAAAGGAGTGTTGTAGCGTCTGCGGTTCTGGCCCAAAGAGCTGACCTTCTGAACCTCCTCAGGGGTGAGCTCCACTTCCTTGAAGTTGTCACGGATGCGTGACGGGGTGACCGACTTGGGAATGACACTGTGGCCGCCAACTTGGGACCATGCGAGGCTTTATATAGTTAGTATCGAATTGCCCACTTCGGGGGACAGGGGTAATGATCGTACATGACATGAGCAGGGCTGACTTCCTGACCAGTGCGCTTCGAGACTGACTCGGCAACCTCCTTGACCTCAGGGCGGGTGATAAGAAGGGGAATGCCAAGCATGTTGTTACCGAAAGCCTAGAAGGTTCAGTCAGTATTAGGCAACAGACTCCACAGAGACATGGCAAACACACCGAGTAAGCAGTGACGTGGATGCCCTTCTTCTGACAATACTCGATCAAGTCGTTGCTCTGGAGGACGGGGTGGCGCTCAATCTGGTTCGCAGCGGGAACAACACCGGTTCCGTTGATGATAGCCTCAAGCTGTTGGAAAATGGTAAGCTGGTATAGAGACATTCTTGATATTTTGAAGTACGAACATGTTCAATCGTGTGGTTAGAGACACCGACGGAGCGAGCCTTGCTCTTGGGGAGCTGGGTCATAGCTGAGAAACGTCAGTTGCGAGCATTCTTTCGGCCTAAGCCCAGGACGATCCTACCTTTCCAGGTATCCACAATAGAGACGCCATCGTCAATTACCACGTCACCACCCTCAACGTTGCTGTTGGCAACGAGGGGGAAGTATGAGTCACCCTTCTGGAAGGCCACGGGCCAGTGAACAAGGTATAGCTAGATCAATTAGCGGAATTCTTCTGTTGAAGGATACAGTACTCCTACATCAAGGTAGTCCAGCTCCAGCTCGGCAAGACACTCATCGAGGGAAGCCTCCACAACTTCCGGGCGGTGCTGGCTGCATCCAGTCAGTACTTGTGCAGGAAAGGAATATCTGGGTAGTGGCGTACCTGTTCCACAACTTGGAGGTCTAGGAGAGTAGATGTCAGTTTCTGAGAACGCGCATGCCTCCTCAAGGCCAATTGATGTGCTTTGACTTACGATGAAAAGGTCCTCACGCTTCAGACCAGGAACATCCTTGTAGGCACGCTTGATACCCTCGGCAACCTCGCGCTGGTTCTGGTAGCTGGATAGAGGAGAAGGTCAGGAAAATGTGCGAAATCCAAAACTCTAGCGAACAAATTGCATACATGGTGGCCAAATCCTACAGCGAGTTAGTACCAACCTCTCCAAGGACAATATGTGTACTTACCAGGTGGCGGTAACCGGCCTTCAAGGCCTCATAAACAGCCTCGCCGACCTGGCCAGGGGCGGATTGCCAGGTACCAAAGCCCAGCTGGCTATAATGTGGGGTCAGCAATGTTGTTCCAGTATCGCCCAGGTATACCTACGGGATCTGGTGACCGGAGTTGAGAGTGACTTTCTTTCCGAGAGACATTGTAGAGCTTGTCAAAAAATAATAGATAGAGTTGAGAGGAAAAAGAGAAAGTTGGGGGAGATGCCAATCTTAATAGCCCAGATCCCGGCGGGGTTCATAGAAACATCCCACGCGTCTTCTCGGAGCAGACTCCACCGAGACTCGGGGTAACTGGAGTAGCATAGTGTTACAGTCTGCTCTTCAGACTCTATGCCTTTTTGTTCCCTCATAGAATATACATTACATATAAACTGCCAGTACTACCCTAGTTGTATAGGTCCCACCTGGTCGGAGCTTCCCCGTCTCAAACATGACGTCACATCCACCGTCGATGGTGGAATCCCTTTTTCCTTCTCTCAACTCTCTCAATCCTTATAAGTTATTTACCGACAGTGCTGTATCGGGCACTCAATTCGGAATAACTTCAATCCTTTCATTGGCGGGGCGGGGCTCGGACCAACTCCGGCTTCGTCGGTGCGATCGCTCCGGTGTTGGGCCGAGAGACGATGCCGAGCCATAGATGAGATGCTCTGTTGTATCAAGGTTGGAGTATAGAAAATGACTCCAACACTGACCAGATATGAAATTTGAAATCAATTTTGCAATTCTCTTTTCACATCTGCGTATAACTCTGGCCAATCTACAAATCCCGCTTGTCAATTGCCTGTGAACAACCCCGCTCCTTGCATGATGATCATTGCTTCTAACATTATAACTCATTGGCTGCTTTGCCTCTCCACAGTGCTACATGTGTGCAAAATGTATGCCCAACGCTTGGTGAAGAGAGTCACAGGACTCCCTGCTTGCTATGTACGTTAGCTTGGGTTCTCAGCCACTACTGTATATATCATAGCCAGATATACGAAGGCAGCACATATGCATCATGAGTGTAGAGATGTATTATACCATGTATCCAGATTAATTGCCCAAGTTATCATCTTCATTTCTAATACCCTTTGAAGTAAATATGTCTGAATTCCTTCGCAGTGACCGAGGGCTTGTAGAAGTGTACTGTGGTGAATATCATTCTCTTCTAGGAATGTCCTTCATTAACAATGTCAGATAACTTTTGGAGGTCGCATTCTCGATCTGATGCTACTGTCGATGAAACAATATGGTCGAATCGCTGCCTGGTAAGCCTACAATGCGCCCTTCCAGTCCATCTCGGTTGATTGACATCTAGACAATGGAACAATATCCAACTATAACAAAGACTCTGATCCAGTCCCTTCGAAGAACTTTTATATCAGTTCACCCATGTTATCTCCAAGTTACAATCCATTTCTTACGGTTTGCAGGAAAATGTATCTAACCGAGTCGAGATTCTTGTACTCATCGTATTTGATCACATTCACAAAGCCATCGGGGTGCAAGAGCGGCTTGTGCAAGCCTGGAAGGATGGTAAAATTGTTGTTGCTGATGAGATCGAGACAGTCGTCCAGTCTAGGTTTGAAGACGTCTCGCGTACTAGGTTAAATTTGTTTGATGGATCAAACACTGGGTAGTTTGCGACTGAGTTATTCTAGTAAGGCTTACACACGAGGTCGAAGTGCGGTTGAGTAAGTCAACTGGTCATTATTTCTGGCCAATATGAGATCTCGCCTGCGTCTTCCTTGACAGTGCCCAGTCTAAATGTTGCCCTAAGGTAGACTTTGATATAGCGTATATATGATTTACTTAGCACTTCCTTATCCCAAGCTTTGATCAATGCATGGAATCACATTAAGACTTCATAAAAGGACCACAGCACGTAACTAGAGGATCCACGACAGAACAAGGCTACTGTTTCATAAAGACATCAAGAAGAGCAGGATAGTTCGGTGTACCCAGTCCTGTCACCGGGTCCCATCCTTCAGCCGCAGAGAAGCCATCGGTACCGCAACCAGCATTTGAACCTTTGGTTACGTCGAAGAATGCTTCCGGGTGCGCGTACAAGACCGGGTTGACGAATCCGACGGTAGATTTTCCAGCGGCTAATCGCTCCTCATTAATGCGAGTGAGGATCGAAGCGAATACAGGTGCAGAGGCAGATGTGCCACCAATCGAGGTAGGCAGACCTCGGTTGTAGATGACGACCTTGTCCCCAATGGCAGCCACATCTGGATATCCACGACCGATCCTGTTGTAAACTCCACCATTGGCACCAAAGCTGCTGTTATCCACGCTTTCATAGTAGGGATATGAGGGCTTGGCCTTTGCAAAGTAGTCGGCAACTGCCTGCGCCTGATAATCCGGCGCCTTGTAGATGTTGCTGAAACCACCGCCCGACGGGAAACTGGTCACAGCCTCCTCTGTATGATCCTCGGGCGATGCACCCAATGGGATGATGGTGGCTCCAACAGCTGTTAAGTAAGGACATGAGGCGGGGAAATCGGGAGCGAAGATCTTGCCCTGGGTACCAAGACAATTACTGGGAGTAGGATCACCTCCACGTCCGGCCACACCTGAGTCACCCGAGGCGACCACTACCGAGACACCCATGGTGCCCAGCTTCATGAACTCGGCACATTGTCGCCGCTGGTAGGAAATGGGGAGATCTGCCTCAGCAGAGCCGTATGAAATTGACACGACCTTGGGCGGGTCATACACGCCACACTGCAGGGAGCCCTTGTAACCGCCCTCTTGCGGGTTGGGGTATGGAGGATCCAATGGCGAGATTTCGCTGCAGTATGATCCATCAATAGCATCCAAAAAGGTATTCAAGAATCCCCTGAATGTGTAGGAGTTCTCATAAACCATATCATCGCTTTGAAACAGAATAGAGTTCTGCGGCCAGATAATCGGATAGGAGATCTGGAAATCCAGATCAGATTCAGGCCCAGCATTGATAAGAGATGTAGGAGCCTGGGCACCATCGACTGCTTTGAGAGTCGGGTGTGTGCCGGTGGGGATTTTCCTGGTAGCAAGTTAGCCTAACGATGTGATCAACCAGGATAAGTGTTGGCATACGAGTACAACGTCGAGAAGAACAAGTCGAGATCTTCTTGAGCGTAGACGTCCCCAATTCCCTCAAAGATTCCCAGTTCATTGCCCTTTGTCGCTGAAGTTCCCTGGCTGATGTTGTACATTTCTGTCCTTCTGTTAGCATATCTAATACATAAAAGGCAGGATTTGCTGAATGTCACGAACGCTGGATGCATTGGGGGTAACAGCGATGGAGCAAAATCCCGCGATATTGGCTAGGAGTTCCTCCACTGGTAGGAGTATTGGCTCAAGAACAGGGGGCTGTCCGTTCGAGAACCGTTTCTGGAGCGAACTGGTCGGTTTTCGAACACCGGTCACCTCCCGCAGACCGATTCCTGGAGTGATGTAGTCAACATGCTCACGCACAGAGCTTGGGACATGATATCTGAAACCACCAGTCAGCCAGGGCATGTTCATGTTTATAAGTTGAGGAATGAAATCCTTACTCGCGACACGCCACATGTGAACGGCCCGTTTCGGAATGAGAATAGACGTAATACTTCGTGTGCAGCAGCTTCTCCAACTCCTCTGCATCCGCATCAAATTGAATCCATTGCTTATTGACTGACTGGGTTATGCGATCTTTCGCGATACCAGCCGACTCCAACCAGGAACGCACATCATCCACGCTTTTCTGGGCAGGGGCAAAGAGGTCGTGCACCTCTTCGCTAGAAAGATGCTGTCCATAGCGGCTCGAGAGTGGGTTCGATCTACGTGGGTTAGTTGGACGCTCATAGAGGATGGGTGAGCAACATACAAATCCATGAGTAGCTCATGACCGTAGTCAAGGTTAGACTGCGTCAAGCCGATCCGTACAGGGAGGGAGACTTTGCCGTCGAGCTTCTTGCCTTCCATCCAAGTGTTTGGAATGAAATCACGGCGCTCATGCAGCTCATAATGTTGGGTGGGTGCAGCTAAGCTACTGACAGCCGCCAGACCCATGAGCAGAATGGAGGACTTCATGATTTTGAGTTGCGTTTACCAGTCAGGTCATGAACAAGTAGAGATTGAAGTAAACACTATGCGACACAATGAGCTTTATATGGCCACCCACACTAGGTAGGATCGTTCTCTGAACTAGCTCCGTGAATATCTTTTGCACATAGCGCACCCATCCCATGGACAGTAGCAGACAGTCAACCTAAACCGGTGCCGCCATGGTCTTGCGCCTCGTGGTGGATCCCTGATAGACGTTGAACACGGGCCTGGATTGGGCCTTCAGGGCCAAGCGCCACTGATTCGGTGGATTGGCATCACTCATCAGGCAAGACTCCAGTCGATCGCCGATGCTAAGGCCCCGAAGGGAAAGAAGACGGGGTATGATAAAGCTTATGCTGGACGCTACATTAACTTTGGCCTGATAACCGGCAGGCGCCGCAGGTTTGTCCTAAGTACCTAGGCATTATTGCTCAGAAGAACTCAAATCAAAGCTCCTCGGAAGGTTAAGAGGGGAAGATATTGGAGGTCACGCGAGCCCATGTGAAGGTTATCGATACGGAGAGTATATCTCTCCTCTAAGGGTTGCTTTCTTCGGCGACTTTTAAGGAATGGGGAAATCGCAATCGCATACTCGATAGATCGGCCTGCGCGAGGTGGGAAGGATGCACTTCCAAGTGGCCTGATAATGACCTTTGTGCTCGTTAGTTGAAACCTCCGATGGCACACAATCGCGCCAACCTGACGAACTGCTCGGAATAACGAGTGACGATGGTCCCATGTGATATGAATGGAATCAACAGTCCATGCATAATCATAACCTCGGTAGATATTGGACTGTGATCAAAGGGGCCAATGGTTTGAATAAGAGCAGCTGATCGCCATGGGAGTCCATTCGAAAGAAGCGAAGTTGGTCTTTGAAAAGCAATCCGTCAAATCTTAAACAGGGAGCGGTTGATGTGATTTGATGCCGAAGTGAGGCCGACGATCCTGATTCCACCCCTGAATCCCCCGCAGTCCCGGAATCTCCAGGGAAAGAGGGTCCGAATCCTTCTCCATTCACCATGGCGTTTGGGGGACCAAGCGAGCTGAAGAGGGGAAGTGTCGAGTGAAAGAGGCCCGATTTCGTGGCCAGAATTGATCTTGAACTTCTAGGACTGGACTATTGTTGTTAATATTGCCAAATATATGTAGCTCCGGCGAGCTCTGCAATTTACTGCCTTACAGGAAATGGCTACACTGGGGATATGCAGACCCCACATACTACAGGACAAAGACCGTTGTAACGTCCGCCATCCACTATGCAGCCAAGACGCCGCAGATAGATGATCTCAGAACATGGTATTAAAGAGCCAGTTGATACAGGAAACCAAGCCAACATGGTTGCACTGTTAACACAACGTGCATGTGCCTTTTACAGGCATCCATGTGAGCATAATAGTCAATACTTCCATGCTCGTCCTTGGGCGTATGATGTGCGCCGGAACGGAACGTATTGTTTCGGCTGATGGCGTTTGTTGTTGGTATGCAGGTGATTAGGCATTGACTAGTCTCAATGTCAGAAACCGTGAGAGCTCTAGGTGAACTGAGAGCATTTTGAATGCCTATTGGCTGGACTTTCGTTCAAAATCTCGGAAGTCAGGGCAGGCGTTTTGGACAGCGTGGAACTGAAGTCAGTCACGGGATGCCCATTGCTCAGTCGTTGCTCTAAGTCTGTCGCTTTCAGGGCGCCGCAAAAAGTGTGTTTCAACTGCTGCGTCCAAATTGCTACCGAGAGGCGACAGAACGAATTGGTGTGATGTTCAGGGGTGGAATCCCCTTTGGTAGGGTAACGTTCAGGGCCCGCACCATTTCCACAATAAATCCACCAACTGCTGTCTGTGCAGTGGCTTGGCAATGTAGTCGGTCATTCCCCTAGCCAGATATGTTTCGGCATCTCCCTTCAAGGCATTGCCCGTGAGAGCGATGATAGGGACGTCGACCTTCATCTGCCGAATGAGCTCTGTGGCCGTCAAGCCATCCATGACAGGCATGTTAATATCCATCAGGATCACATTGTAGCTCAAAGGCTTTTGTTTAACCAGGCGCACCGCTTCTGCGCCATCCCAAGCCGCATCGACGCGCTCAAACCCGAGGCTACCGAGAAGTTTCAGCATGATAGTTTGATTGACCTTGTTATCCTCAACTAAGAGGATGTGATTATACGGCGCGACTTCTTGTAGCGCGGCGGAGTGGTCAAGGGCCACCGGTATCGCGGGAGCGAGCTTCTTCTTTGCGTGCGCGACTGGAAGATCCACACGAGCCATTCTGGCTGTCATCCAGAAGACACTGCCGGGTCCATCTGGATTGGCATGGAACCCAACGGCTCCATCCATCAATTCAGCCAAACTCTTGCAAATCGAGAGTCCAAGACCGGTGCCTTGGTATCTTTTGGTGGCCGTGTCTGCGAACCGCGTAAATGGGGTGAAGAGGGTGCCCACGGCAGACTCGGGGACACCGATGCCAGAGTCCACCACTTCAGTGGAAACCACATACAGATTGGGGTCTTTGTCGTCGACGGCATATGTGGCGTTGATCTGTACGTGGCCATTTTCGGTAAATTTGACTGCGTTGCTGACCAGATTCTGTAGAACTTGGCGAAATCGGAGCGGGTCGCCTTTGACGTTCAAAGGGAAGTCTGGTTCAATGGTCGTCTGAAGCTTCACTCCGGGCTTTAGGGTCGGTCGGCAATTACGCACGACTGCATTGATCACGGTTGGGACATCCAGTACATCAGCATTCAAGGGGAAAGATCCCGATGACAATTTGGAGTAGTCCAGCACGTCATTGATGACCTGGAGCAGAATAGAGGTGGAATCTTCCAGGATGGATGCATATTCCCGCTGCTCGTCATTCAACTCGGTCCTTATCAGCATGGTTAGGGCCAAAAACATGCCATTCATGGGCGTTCGCAGTTCGTGCGACATGTTCGCCAGAAAGTCGGACTTAAGTCTCGCGGATTCTTCAAAGGCGTCAATCAAGCGCGACTCGGCTGCCCGGCGCTCGGTCAGATCGCGAGTCACCTTGACGAAGCCTATATGGCTGCCATTTTGATAGATGGGGGTGATCATCACATTGGCCCAGAATCGGGTGCCATCCTTGCGGTAGCGCCAGCCTTCATCCTCGACCTTTCCTTCTTGGATACAGACCTCCAGCTCGCGGGCGGGTTTGTCGATCTCGCGATCGTCGCGACCGTAGAAAACGGAGAAATGCCGACCGATAATCTCCGTGGACGAGTATCCCTTGAGGATCGCAGCGCCTGAGTTCCAGGTCGCAATGTGGCCCCGTGTGTCCAGCATAAAAATGGCATACTCCTTCACCGTGTCAACCAGGATCTTGTAGGTTTCGTTTAGGTAGGTCTGTTCGCTCATCAAATTGATCGGTTCGCGTTTCGTCCTCTGGGCTTCCAGCAGGACATAGAGGAGGGCGTCATTCCGAAAGATGGGCATCACGCTCAGCGAGTAATAGGCGCCGTCCACCTGGACACTCTCGATCACCTGCACCTCCCGGGTGGATAGGGCAGTGCTGATGGCACCACTGAGGGAGGCGACGTTCGGGGAAGGAACAATGGACGGAGGGAGGTCGTAGACACTGGTGGTCAGTAGTTCATCTCGTGACCACCTGAAGGCGGCCACATGGCTGTTGGAGACTTGGACAATGCGCAGTGAGTGATCGAGGACGAGCGTGGGTTTCCTGGAAGGGTCAGTAAGAGGGCAAGGGAGAGGAGAGGAAGACACGTACGGAGTTAACCGGTAGATGTCGCTCAACGACGTATCTTCAAGTTTGTTCTCATCCTCATCCGGAGGAGTGATCATCGTGACATTGTTAACCGGGCAGTCAATACGGAGGTGGAGCATCTGATCCACTGGAAGCATAACGGGGCCCGGATGATCATCGAGTGAAGATGAGTTGTGTCAAAGATCAAAGATAAAAGATCAAAGATTAAAGATAAAAGATTAAAGATCAAAAGATCGAGATGCAAGACCCATAAGGGACGGGAATTGACTAGTTCCTGGTATGGCAGACGGACAAGGTTGAGTGGACGGGAATGACCCCCGGCGGGGAAAAGGGTGGAGTTGAAAAATGTGAGGGAAAACGAACAAACGAAGGAAGAACAGAACAGAGAAAATGAATAGAATATAAACAGAATATGGGAATATAGGAATATAGGAATGAGGAATATAAGAATATAGAAATATAAGAATGAGGGATATAGGAATGGGGAATAAATGTGGAAAGACTAAAATACGCCTACGACGTAATGACTCCTTACTAGTATGTACTTTTGTTACGCCTTCTATATCTATAAGCTTATATCACATTGTCGCGCTCGACCTTCTCCACCATCTTCACCACTGCATCTGCGATTCCATAAGAGAACGCATATCCGCCTCCCCCAAACCCGTATGCCGATAGCACTACTCGGTGATCTTTTCGCTCCGAGTCCAGGCGGAAGCCTCCCCTTCGCGAGGGCCGGATGCCAATGATATGGCTCACGGCCTCTGAAGCAGGGTGTTTGGGGACGATCTCCGGTGCTAAGAGATGTGCGCGGGCAATTTCATCGCGAGCAATGTCCATATCGACCTCGGGAGAACTGGAATGGTGTTAGCTGGGAATCATAGATGGGCTGGGAGATGTATACAGGTCATCTTGCTGTTTCACACCACCTAGAACTACCCCTTTGGACAGTGGCCGGGGGATCACGTAGGTGTATTCTTTGCCATTCCGGAAGTAGAGCGTATTGCACTGATCGGTGGCCAAAAACACATTTTGTCCTCGTTCTGGGAAACAACGGTCGTCTTGCACATCCGTCAGGGTTTTGCTTCCTAGGCCACTTGCATTGATAAAGACCCGAGACTCGGGGAACAATTCATATAATTCTTGGAGAGACTCGACCCGTTTGCGAATAAATCGACCCCCTAGTGATGTGACCTGTCTCCCCAAGTAAGGCATATGTCGGGTGGGATCTGTGACCAGGGTCTCATAGGACCAGGCACAGTTGAAGTGGGATGGGTATTCCCCAGGATTCATCTCACGAAACTAGACAGGTATTAGTGTAGTCCATCAATGATCCGAGTAGCATAGTACTTTGGAGACCACCGTCTTGCCCCATATCGCCGAGTCAGGGGCCGGTTGCTGTTCAAGATACTCGCGAGCACCAACAATGCTCACGCCGGAGTCGGGATCCTCTGCCATCTTCAAAAGTATACGATGGGTGACAGCTTGCAGGTACCGTTGATCAGGAGTGATGCCGCCAGCGGCATGCCACGCAGCACCAGCCCAGGCCGATGCATAGTAGATATTCTGATCTCCGGGGAGATATTCAGCCACCAGCACCACTGGAAAGCCATTCTGTAATAGTTGTCGAGCAGTTGCACAACCAATGATTCCGGCACCGAGGATAATCACCGGCCGCTGAGAGAAGGGCAGTTCATTCCCCATAGTGGAATGATATAGGAGAAGACTGTAGTCCTCCCCAGATAAAGACGCGAGGGGCAATACGGCATACTCCGTACTATATAGCAGAGAGAGTCTCCTTTGAAGGTCCTCTCGCCCGTTTACCGTATGTGAAGCTATCTTACTCTGGCAATTATTAAGTGGGTCAACGGCCTCTGCCGACAGCACCGCAATTCTCCTCTCCTCTGCATGTCTCTTGGCCCAATACCATCTCTCTCTCGTCTGGGGCTCGAACTAGAAAGACTTGGCTGGTATCAATTTCGGCCTGGGATGTGTTTTACGTTGTAAATGCCTCCGCTTATTGGCTGTTCCCTGCCGTCAGAGTCTGCGCTTGTCACACATCCCTGCAACTGGAGACTATCCACGCAGCCCCAGAGTGCCTAAAATTGCCTAAAACTGCCTATCGCGATTCAACACTCGGCTCAAGCCGACTCATATCACTAAAAGGGTTCATTCTGAACATTCCGTGACCCGGGGAATTGGGTTGCCCGGGGTGGACCGGGTTCGCGATGGAGACTGAGAAATATCGGCGAAATTCCTCGGTGGGTGCTCAGCCCACTACGATCGAGACCGTTTGGCTGGAGGCGATTGGATTGAAACATCTGGGCTTGAGTGGAGTTTCTGACTGGTTCACTAGCATTCTCCGGATCATGTCCGCGATGACATCGCCATTCTGCACGATCGGGATGCCGAGAAGATCCTACCTTACGAGGCCGATGACTCGCCATTTCCAGAGGTGCGGGCTGTCATTCAGCCAGTCAATGACCTGACACTGCCTGTAAATACGGTCCGCATGTGGACCATTGGCCTCATATTCACTATTGTATGTCTGATGCGACCGGAGAAGTGACAAGAAGCTAACGGCAGCAGATCGGCAGTGGATTGAATCAATTGTTCAGCTTGCGACAGCCTAGTGTGACCATCAGTGCTTTAGTTGCCCAACTGCTGGCCTTCCCTGTGGGATGCGCCTGGGCGAAATGCATACCCCTTGGAATGCTGAATCCTGATCGGCACTTCAATATCAAGGAACATGCCTTGATCACCATCATGGCCAATGTTTCTATTGGCTCTGCTGCTGCAACTCAGATCATTGAAGCACTGGTTAAATTTTATAATATGCCGTCGCAGGGCGGCTTTGAAATCTTGCTGTGTATCACTACGCAATTGTTCGGCTTCGGCTTGGCCGGCATGGCCTCGCGCTGGCTTGTTGGACCAGCAGCAATGCTGTGGCCGCAGGTCCTGTCAAATGCTGCGCTTCTGACTACTCTACACTCTCGTGTGAATGCCGTCGCAGACGGCTGGCGAATTACACGTCTCCGCTTCTTCCTTTATGTATTCGTCGCTGGTGGCATCTGGTATCTCGCGCCAGGCTATCTCTTCACGGGTCTCAGTACCTTCAACTTTATTTGTTGGATTGTGCCGTCCAATGTGGTGGTCAATCAGCTTTTTGGACAAACGACAGGACTGGGCATGTCGATGTTAACCTTTGACTGGGCCCAAGTAGTCTACGCCAACCAAAGTCCTTTACTGGTTCCTTTCTGGGCTGGTCTTAATGTCATGGGATCATTTGCGCTCTTCTTCTGGCTTGTTTGCCCCCTTGTCTACTACACTAACACGTGGTATTCCGCGTATCTGCCGCTCCTCAATTCCAACACTTTTGACAACACTGGAAGTACCTACAACACTAGCCGCATCATGAACGCGGCCGGCCAAGTCAACCAAACTGCCTATCGGGACTACTCGCCCATGTTCCTACCGGCTGGCTATGCAATCACGTTTGGTGTTGCCTTTGCTAATCTGACTGGTATCTTCTTTCACGTTGGACTGTACCATGGCAAGGACTTGTGGCAGCAATGGAAGGGTACGAGCAAGCAAGATGTCCATGGTCGACTGATGTCTGTCTATCGCCATGTGCCCTGGTGGTGGTTTGTCGCAATTACAGTCCTAATGTTTGCGCTGAGCATTGTTACCAATGAGGTATGGCACACCGGGCTACCGGCTTGGGGTGTGTTGGTGGCTTTCGTGATGCCCATGGTCTACATAATCCCAGTGGGCATCATTAAAGCCGTGACAAACATCAGCAGTAACCAGCTGAACTTACTCACCGAATTCATTGGTGGGTATGCCTTTCTCGGGCGGCCAGTAGCCAACATGGCGTTCAAATTCTATGGCTATGTTGCTGTCGAGCAAGGACTTGAGTAAGTGATCTTCTCCGAAGCACAAGCACACGAATTAACATCGCAACTAGATTTGTTGCGGATATGAAGCTGGCTCATTATATGCACATCGCACCGCGGACCCTGTTCGTTGCTCAAGGCCTTGCCACGCTGGTTGGGGCTATCGTTCAGTGTGGAGTGACAGTGTTCATGATCACCCGAATCAAGGGCGTCTGCACGTCTGATGCAGAGGGAAATTTCACATGTCCCCATGGGAGAGTCACATACTCTTCCTCGCTTATTTGGGGTGAGTTTTATTCCTTTTATTGTCAACTCATCCTACAACTGGCCGCTAACCGATCTACAGGCGCCATTGGCCCAGGTCGACTGTTCTCTTCTGGGCAAATCTACAGCAACCTACTTTGGTTTTTCCTTGTTGGTCCTGCCGCAGTGGTGATCACATATCTATTGGGTCGTCGGTGGAGAGCCGTCAACTATCTCTCCTGGCCTGTTGCGTTTGGCGCCATGAGCCAGGTTCCACCCGCTACTGGTATCAGCTTCTCCTCTTGGTGGGTTGTCAACATGATCTTCAACGGTCTACTGCGTCGCAGCAGACCCGCGTGGTGGTCAAAATACAGTGAGTATCCACAATCCCACATGGAGCTTCTGTTGCTGCTCTCTTACTAATTGTCTACAGATTATGTTTTGTCTGCCGCGCTAGACTGCGGCGTTGCAGTAGCGACAGTGATCATATTCTTCTGCATTACTCTCCCTGCTGGCTCGTTGAGCTGGTGGGGCAACAATGTGTCTGCGAACACAGCGGACGGTCAAGGCACTCCCTACAAGAACCTACCGGTGCAGGGCTACTTTGGGCCTCCGAGGGGGTCGTGGGAGTGACCTTACTTCTGTACTATATTTACTTTTTCCATATTAGCGCTTGCGTACATAATCATCGGTGACTCCGCTTGAGCTTTATATACATCTACAGTATCGTTCACATATGAGTGTCGGGATGGTCTAGGATACTGTTTAAGGATTGGCTTAAATTGGGCATCCATCTTCTTATCGTCATATTTCGTCTTTGATGTCATGTGAATCATAATCTCATCAAGCCTTAACCGAGCGGCCACTCACATAGACCCTGGCAATATTCCGATCATCGCCAGTCATTAGAAACTTCTCAAAGATTACGTCAATAGTGTCCTCCTCTTCCACCAGACACATCACTCCCGGTCGGTCAAGATCTAGGGTGTGAATCTCCAGCGCATCAAACTCTTTACCGACTGCGAAGTTTCCAATCCGATCATCGAGTCCACAAACCTGTGCACCACCTAGAGTGGCAAGGAAAAAGCACTCCGACAGAGACAATGCAGGGTCTCGGCCTTCAGTCTTCGTCTGCTGCGCATTTGACACAATAAAGGCCTGCTTCATGGCGTCTAGGATCGATGACGAGTAACCGCCGCCACTGTCCGTACCTAGTCCCACCTTGATACCGCGACGCAAGTACTCCCTCACGGGTGCGATCATAAACTCTTGCATAGTAGTGTTTGCGATTGGGCAATGGGCAACACCACAGCCAAGCTCCTGGATGCGGCGCATTTCCTCTTCTTGCAGGAAAATGCAGTGCGCAAGGATGGATCGATCATTCAACAAATTAAATTTCTGATAGAGATCCGCTTCTGTCTGGAAGTCAGGGAAGAGCTGATTTGTGAATTCGATTTCTTGCTTTGCCTCATTGAAATGGGTTTGGATTGGCAAATCGGGATGTTCACGAGCAATGGCACCCAGCCCATCCAATAACTCTGGCTCACAGGATATTGCAAAGCGTGGCGTAATAATCGGCTTCACCAGCTGGAATCCTGGGTCAAGTTGGCGGACATGCTGGATAAGCTCATGTGTTTCCCGCAGCGACTCCGAGACGGAGGAATCCCTGTACCAGTCTGGAGCATTCCGATTCATGTTACACTTTCCCACCAAAGCGCGTTGGCCTTTTTCAAAGCAGATGTCCGCCAGGATCCGAGTTGCCTCGCCATGGTGGGAACCGTAGTAAGATGCTGTAGTGATTCCCTGCTGCAAGAACCCCGCAACGCAAGAGGCATACGTGCGTTTGGCATATTCGGGATCTTCAAACTTCGCCTCGTGCGTAAATGTGACCTTGTTTAACCAGTCAAGCAGCGAGATCCCTCTTCCAACACCGCGTTGTGCCCACTGAGGTGCATGGTTGTGGGTGTCAACGAAACCAGGACACAGAAACTCCCCGCGCTTGAGATATTTCACTGGGAAGATGTCGGGCGCATAGCCATTCTCTGAGACAAGCGAGTTGATCTGATCACGTTCTACACCTGCTTGGAAAGCCTGGATCTTGCCATCTTTGCCCACGAGAATGAAGCAATCCTCCAAGATCTGGAGTTCGTCTGGGGTCTTGGCATGAATGGCTGTGCCGTGAAAGGCGAGAGGTAAACCCGAAGCAGGGGTAGTCTTCTTGTCCAGTTCCTCCATTATAAAGAAAGTACAGAGAGAAATGCAAGTGAAGAGAGATGTCTTATCAACAGAGGAGGGGTTGACATTAATAATCAGACGTCAGGCCTATGTTGACATCTAGATACATCACATCTGCAGTGACTGAGATACATACATGTGCAGTGAGACTCGACATATTATTCATATTTGCAATATCATCCAACAGCTAAACAAGCAGCTCAAAAGCAGAAAACACCCGATGCACTTTGACAACCAAGCCATCCATGAAGTCATAGAAAACATATTCGTAGAACTTGAACCGCTGTCCTGCAGGGACACCCATAAAATCCACATTGGGGGTCGAGATAAACTCAAGTCGACAAGCAACTTGGGAGGATTCCTCATCGATCACCATGGTGACGGCGTCGAAGCCCAATCCGGGGAGCTTTTGGACTGCATCGGCAACCAAAGTCTCAATCTCGTGGCGAGTCATGACTTTCTCGTTGTAAATCACTTTATCCGCCATGAAAGTCGCAAGATTGGGTCGCCAGCCTGTTCGGTCCGCATGCGAGTTGAGTTCCTCGAGGTAGTTCAGATAGTGAGCTCTGAGACCCGCGGCAGGCATGGCCGCTTTGGTGGAAGGCATGGTGGCCTTGAGCGGGTGAATGTGTGTATTTGGAGTAGCCATTGAGTCCTGGGATTTTCGAGACAAACATGTTAGTTGTCTGAAGGCTCGGTTGGAGATGGGATGTGTATAGGGCTTGGGCCGGATACCTTCAGTAGGGAAAGGCCGGCAGGTCTTCGACTCTCGCCTTGGGAAGTTCAAGAGTTGAACAAGGGAGAGTTAGAAATGGCATCTGGCTCTCTTGAACCAAAAATGTCTAGCTCATTGCGTAAATATTCATAACATATCCATCTAGAAGCAAAATACACAAACTCCAGAGCCGGAGTCGCGGCGCCTAGTTTAACTTCTCTATTTGATGAGCACCGTCCTATCCAAATGTGACGGACTCGTAAACTATTAACAGGAAAATAAAGCGTAGCCAAGATAGTAAACTCCGTCTATCTCCAACAGAGCTCTAAATACAGAGAAAAAGATGCGTTCAAAGGGTATAGTAAGATGCCATCTCCTCCTGGAACCAATTGTACGAGTAGAACAGTTGGTCCGCCATTTGCGGGTCGATCATTGGGATAGCCCCGCTGCCATCCACGAGGAGTACGTCGTCGAGAACAGGAGCCAGCGGAACTGGAGGGGGTGGTGGTGCAGCTAAAGACACAGAGGGCTGAGGCGGGATGAGTGCAGGTGGTGGTGGAGGTGGAGGTTGGAGGTGAGGGTGGTGTTGCTGCTGCAGCTCTAATTGCTGTTGCTGATAGGCCATTTGGCTGAAGATCGTCGTGCTCTGATGTCGGAATGTCTCTGCCAACTTGTCCACCCCGGGTCGACGCTTTCCAAATTCTTCCAAGAGGACAACAACCGCTTGAATTCCACGACGCATGGTCTGTTCGTCGGGGTTCCAAGGGGCCGGTTGCGACTCACGTAAGGAGCGCGCGTTCTGCTCAAGGCACCACAGAATGGTGATGCCCGCAAAATAGACTTGACTTAACGTCAACCAAATCCATTTGAGCTTGCCAACTGAATAGCTGTCCCAATAAGATCGAATGACCTGGACGCTGGAGTCACCGCAGCTGACAATGCTAAGGGCATCGGGCGTTGGATTCCGAGGACTAGGGCGGTACATCAAAAGTAACGTTGTGTAGTAGAGGTAATCGTAATACGAGGTGGAATAGAGGAGAGCCGATGGATATACTGGAGCAGCCATGCGCCAATCATCGACCTCCTGGCGGAATCGACCGAGTGTTGCGGCGGCCTCTTGGGGCGAGGGACGCGGCAGACTGCTGTATACTACGAAACGTTAGATAGAACCAGAATGAGGCACAGAGTCCACTTACGATATTGATAGATACGCGAAAAGATCCGCCTTAGGCGAATTACCTGCAACGGAATGGTCATCGCACTCGCGCCAGGCGCCTCAATTCCGTCGTCATTCAATTCGCGCAAAAGACCCACGCTGATATCGTCGTCGGCAATCCCTAATGGCCGGCCCAAAGTGCTAGCAATCAGGCGATCCAGATTATAAAGACTCCAGAAAGCGCGCTTGGACATTTCTTCCTCCACAATACTGGAGTATGATCGTGCTTTGTGTAAACCGAGACTAGTCGCTAACCTCATCGTGGTACCCAGGACATGCCAAATACTAGGCCCTGCTGTTGCAAACATGGTATACAGGGCCAGCCCCAATAGTGCTCGTACAGCCGGCAAATCCTCATTCTGCAATGCCAGTGGGAGAGTTTCCTGACTGGCACGGTAGAATTCGGCGGCCTGTGTTGGATCTGCCGATCCTATCAAGAGTGAAATGGCCATCACGATATGGTAGGAATTGTGCGTTTCCGGGGATGGGACACCCCCAGTATAGATGTGTCGCAGATTTCCCATGAACTCGAGGCGAGACATGAACGGGTATTGGTAACCCATGCTATCGAAATATTGACCAGCTATCCGTTCGGCTTCCTCCAGCGACGACAGGCGCATCACCCGTGGCGCGGCAGAAGGTCGCGCGACTGACGGTCGGCGATGCTCCAGCTGATCGCGAAAGATTTCCCCAACATTCGGTAGTTCAGTGCCCACTGCGGTCGATGCCTCCGATGGACCTGCAGTCGAGGAGCCACCACTGCCGGCAGGGCTCGGCATTGAGGTCGGACGATGCCCGGTCGCAATCAGAGCGGGCACTTGATACCACCAGTCCGGGTCTCCGTCGCCATCCACTGCAGTCCCTGTGGGTAGTTCCCCCACAGAAAGACCTGACTTGCGTCGCACAATATCTTCTAGCCATCGCACTCGTTTCTGGAGGTTCTCGAGCTGATCACGGGGAACGGAGGCACTGGCGACTTGGGGGCCGGGTGGGGGGATGGTGCATCGGACTCCAGCTCGGGTGCAGGCGGAGCAATTGGGGTATCGAAAATCGCATTTCTTCTTTCTCTTGCGACAAAAGTCACAGGCGGTCGACACTCGTTTGCTGCGCGAGGGCGAGGACTCTACCGGCTCATGGTACACCGGCTGCGGCTGCCATGTCGAAGGGGTGAGAGTGTTGATGGAGTCAAGACGAAACTTGCCCAGCTGGTCGCGGAAATCCTTATTCCCCATGCTGACACGGGCTCGAGTCCATCGCAGTCGCCATCGAGTGATCGAGTGTAGACTGGGGAGTGGCGGGGGGCGAGCTTTGCCCGGATTTCGCTTAGGGCCGAGTGCCGATCCGCTGCATGCTACATACTGTAGATGTACATACGTCTACACTAACTTATAACTTACATGACGGAGTGCGCCATTCAGCTGGGATTACTGCTGCATGTGTTTCTTGATCTACATATCCCCCTTGGCATCTATTTCGAATACGAGATCTGCCAGGAACCACCCCTGATAGCCCGTGGCTATACGAGATCTCCATACCAATGAACCTATACCTACAACAGGAGACAGACATATATAGACATTCGCAGAGACACAATACACGTACATGCTTCTCCAAACCAACACTTTGGAGTATATCCCCGACCCAGGGCCTTTCGGTTGCTGAAACAGCGACTTTTCCTTTGCTGGCCTTTCGACACTCAGGTGGACTGATCGGCATCACTCGTTCCTGACTGGGGGAAAATTGGGTCCCGTATCTATCTACACGACGATCCCCGAGATTGTTATTTTGGGATACGATGCGACTGCAACATTGTCCTTGAAGCTTCGATTCCAGGGGGCATAAAGAGGGGACATGCTTCCTCCTTTCTGTTGACAACACTCACTTCTTCCTCTACACTCATCATGAAGATCACTGCTCTCCCACTTCTGCTTGCTGCCGCTAGTGCCACTCCTCTCGAGACGCGCGCTAGCGGTGTCCAGGGCTTCGATATCTCCAGCTACCAAGGCACAGTCGACTTTGCTGGTGCATACAGTTCGGGTGCGCGCTTCGTCATGATCAAGGTGAATATTTATTCCAACATCATTACAGGTTGGACCATACTAACTACGTAGGCGACCGAGGGCACCACATACACCGACAAGACGTTCTCGAGTCACTATCAGGGTGCATCCTCCGCTGGCTTGATCCGCGGAGGATATCATTTCGCTCATCCTGATAGCTCCTCTGGTGCCAAACAGGCTGAATACTTCCTTGCCCATGGTGGTGGCTGGTCCAACGATGGCAAGACCCTACCCGGCATGCTGGACATTGAATACAACCCGTCCGGCGCAACTTGCTATGGGATCAGCGAGTCTGCCATGGTGGCCTGGATCAAGGATTTTGGTGAGACTTACAAGAGCAAGACTGGCCGCTACCCCATGATCTACACGACCGCAGACTGGTGGAATACCTGCACTGGAGGCAGCACAGCGTTCAGCAAGGATTACCCCTTGGTGTTGGCTCGGTACAGCACCTCTGTTGGCACCATCCCCGGTGGCTGGCCATATCAGAGCTTCTGGCAGAACTCGGACAAGTATACTTATGGTGGTGATTCGGACCTGTGGAATGGCAGCGAGGCCTCCCTCAAGACATTCGCCAAGGGTGCTTAGTGTTGGAATGTTTTCGGCTGTCTGTGGACCATTCTATTTCCGTTAGTAGGTTATAGTTGGGCATCGGAGGAGAGCATCCATGTATGTAAATAGTACCATCTGCCTGACTTTTATGGGAATTTAGTCGGTTTTCTCTGTGCCCTTGTCAATCCAGTTAAGTACTAATTTCAAACCCTTATACACCGATAAGTTGTAGATTCTCGCTTCCAGGGAGGAACCCACCATATAGATTCCCTAGATAAGGTAAGATCAACGCAACACTTCGGGCGGTCTGATTAGGGGGCGGCTGGCGTGACTGTATCCTTTTTGTTTTCTTCCTCCGTGTATCTCACGCAGACTAATATCATTAGTCTACGGCCTCTATTTATCTCTTTTATTCATTACAGCATTAGTAAACCCTTTAGGAAGAAAGCCTACGAACATTTCGGCGCAAGACGGCAGGGCGTCGGACCCATAGGGCGTCGAATTCTGTAGGGCGTCGGATCTCTCCCGACATGCCGAACTTCTCTTACTTATTTAGGACGCCGACTATCTACTGTTTCCCTTTCTATTTGTCTTTCTTTCCTCTTTCCCTCTTTCTTTCCTACTTTCGCCTTCAATCATGCACCTCATTCAATATGCTGTCGAAGCCGACGCGCCAGGCTTGGCTCGAATCAATGTCGAAAGTTTCCTAGGACGACATCTATTTGCTGAAGTGTTTCCAACAAGCAGCGTGCCTCAGATGTCGGAATATAAAACAAAAGTCGGCATGAAGCATCTTGCAAACCCAAATATGCACGTCTTGAAAATCCACGACGAGGCCAGCGGCGAGCTGGTAGCATATAGCCGGTGGCTGATACCCGAGGCTTTGGGATACGGTCCAACTGTGCCTACACTTAGTGAACAGGCTGTCGCGTTCGCCAAAGACCCTGTGGCATATGCTCCCCGGCCAATGAAAGAAGAGGTGTATAATGCCTTCAAGCAAATGCTGGAGAATGCCCGTAAACGATACACAACAGAGAATGATATTGGTATGTTAGCCCCGCATTGGAAGGTTCTGGTCTAACAAAAAGCATGCAGTACTTGACTTACTAGCAACTTTACCGGCATATCAGGGACGAGGATTTGGGTCTGCCATCTTGAAATGGGGAATTGAAAAGGCGGATACCTCTAAATCTCGCATCTTCCTTGAGGCTACCCCCGAGGGTGTCCCTCTTTATCTGAAGTATGGATGGAAGCAATTAGAGGAAGTGACCATGGACTATAGGCCATTCGGGGGCTATAGAAGCGAATCTTTTTACCTAATGATGAGAGATCCCTCGAATTGATATAGATCGGTTTCTGTTTATATACAACTTCGTACATCTACTGTATATCCATGGGTAAATACATTGCCGGTGCCGACGCACGTCACACCCCCGCATTATTCTTCAACTCTTCACTTCTTCCTTGATTCGCTTCTTCATTTTTGTTCACTTCTTGTTCTCTTTGGCAATGGCGAAACCCAAGTTTGCTATTCTCGACGACTATCAGGGCATTGCGCCCGCTTACTTTGCACATCTCGAGTCGCGCATTGATATCTCCAGTTTCCCCGAAACCCTCGACCCCCGCGATCCTAGACAGCACGATGCTCTCGTCCAACGACTCCTTCCCTTCGATGTGATTTTAGCAATGCGCGAGCGAACCCCCTTTGCTGCCAAGACAATCTCCGCGCTGCCGAATTTGAAACTCCTTCTGACCACCGGAACCCGCAATCTCTCGCTAGATCTCGAAGCATTTGCGCGTGCCAATATCCCAGTCGCGGGGACCGAAGGGCGACCTCCTGGCGTCAATTCTACCGTGCAACATACCTGGGCCTTGATTCTAGCGCTTGCTCGGAATGTGGCACGCGACGATGCGGCAGTGAAGCGGGGTGAATGGCAAGGCTCCCTGGGGTTAAATCTGTCTGCAAAGACCCTCGGACTGCTTGGTTTAGGGAAACTCGGATCCCAGGTGGGAAAGATTGCAGTGTTGGCCTTTGGGATGAAAGTGTCAGCCTGGTCGACCAATCTGACCCAAGAAAAGGCCGATGAGCAAGCTCAAGCCCAGGGCCTGCCTGCCGGATCATTTGTGGTCGCTCCATCCAAAGAGGAATTCTTTGCACAGGCCGACGTTGTGAGCTTGCACAATGTGCTCTCCGATCGAAGCCGCGGCATTGTCGGTACTCCCGAGTTGGCCAAGATGCGATCCACTGCGTTCATTGTCAACACTTCACGTGGGCCCTTAATCGATGAGGCTGCCCTCCTCGAGGCCCTGAATGCAGGCCGCATTCGTGGCGCGGCACTTGATGTGTTTGACCCGGAGCCATTGCCGCTTGACAGTCCATGGCGAACAACTCCGTGGGGTCAAGACGGGCGGAGTGAGGTGGTCTTGTCGCCCCACATGGGGTACGGCGAAGAAGAACTATTGCGAGGTTGGTATCGGGAAACAGCTGAGAATCTGGAGAGGTGGCTTAAGGGGGAAGAACTGGTACGCAAGATGAATTAATAGAGACGAATGAGGTATAAGTAAATATAGAAGTACAGAATAGAGTAGAAGCATCACATGTAATCCTACATGTCTCACCGGACACCAGAATGCGATCATCGGACGATCATATCCCCACGTCCTGAGTGATTTTAGTGTGTTTAGCGTCGTTAGTGACTGGGGTTCCGTTTTAGGCTTCGACTCCGGCTTGTCGTCATACTGCCTCGGTTTCGGAGCTGCGCATGTCCTCGGTTCAAGGGATGTAAATAAAAGCCACCTCGTTTCTCTTGCCTTTGCTTGCATTCTACTTTGTCTTTCCCTCTCTACCTCCCTCTCATTCTTACTCCTCAATATGGCCCCATCCGCAGACCCTATCCCCGCGCCCACTCTCGCCAGTGGGTTCCCTCCTCCGACCCATCCCGATCGCCTGCGTGTCGACCGCAGCACCAAAGCCTTTGGAAGCGGAGCGTACTCTCTGATTGATCTCCCCGCTGGCGCCGTCTTCGCCAAGATCACTACGGCCACTCCCGGCACAAAAGCCTACACCAGCGTGCAGACTGGCCCCGACACCCACATTGAGCTCAATTCCGACTTGGTCTACTGCAACCACTCTTGCGCACCATCGCTGAACTTCGATATGGGGCGTATGGAGGTGCGGGTCGTGGATGATCGGCCATTGAAGGTCGGCGACGCCCTTACCTTCTTCTACCCAAGCACCGAGTGGGACATGGATCAGCCATTCCAATGCACCTGTGGAGCGGGTGATGGAGTCTGCAGAGGCTGGATCTCTGGAGCCAAGACCATGTCACCAAAGGAATTGGATGGCTACTGGCTTAATGACCACATTGCGACTTTGTGCAATGAGAAGGGCAACTAAAGGGCACACTACTGAAATGAGGACATGAGATAGAGACCGAAAACAAAAGATAGAGAGAATAGATACCAAATGACACGTAAATAATGAAAATATACAAAATAAAAATTAAAGACGCTCTCGTTGTTCATAAATAGACAATCAGACATGCTCAACTCGCAGCCCCGCCGATGACTGCCATCTGGATCATCCTTCGTCGGTCAATTTCTTTCTTCAGCATCATCAGGCAAGTTGCAACCACGAGTGCCTCGTCCAATTCAAGTGACTGCAAAGCTGCTTCGTCGATTTGCAATTCTCCGCCATTGCCCGCAGTACATCGTGATGTGCCTGGTGTCCGAGAGTCTGCCCCGCGGACTAACTGTGCAATTCGGATATCTTGCTCTTTACTGTCGCTCTTTTCCCCTATCACTCTGAGAACAATGAGGTTTATTTTCTGTCCATCGGGTCGTTTCTCCTTGGCATATTCCCATTCAAAACACTTGCCCCCAGGCATCTCGAACCGCGCAGCGCGCGAGGTCCATTTCCCAACGACTGTCACAGATTGGTGATCGGTAGCCTGTAAGAGATGCAAAATGGGATCGCGATTCGGACCAAAGAAGTACTCCGTACGGATAAGATCTCCGCGCTTCGGGTGCGACAAGACCGCATTGCCTGACCAGCGTTTGTCGCGCGTAGAGACATAGGCTTCGCTGCCGTCTGCATTGTAGATAAAGATCTCTGTCTGTCGAGATGGCAGTGGAAGACGGAAGGCTGCAATGCCTTGCGCATTGATAGTCAAGATGCGCGATGGTTGAAAGGCAGTACTTTCATTGAGTGTACATAGAGTACTGCAGGATGCCACAGACAAGGCAGAGGAATGAACCTCCTCCTTGATATCAAGATTGGTAGTAGTGGTAGTGGTAGCCATGATGGTTGATCCCTCTCATCTCATACCTCGCGCCGCTTTATATCTTGTTCTGTGTCTTCCAATACGAGACTTGCCTAATCGGGCATGAAGGACAACCTAAAACCGCCGATCCATGGAACTTGAATCGTGGCTTGGCATCTCGTATCCGCTTCGCCTCGTGGCTCATCTGAGGCTTAGGATGACAGTCCCGTGTTTTCAACGAGCCTGACTTCAACTTATGGATTTACATTCAATGTGTGAATTCCATTTATATTAATCAAAAGCTAGCACCATCCTATTTGGTTCGGTGGTAACAGATTGCTGCCACTGCATGCAAATGTATATAGGTATCATGACAGAAACAAGGATTAAGTTAGAGCAACCAAGCATAATCTTCAGTCTCGTGAGCACGAATGAGGTCAGACGTTCGAAGCCCGCGAGTAGACCGATCCATAGGAAGGACTTCCTGGCCCACGGCCACTCCTAGTCGAACCCCATGTGTAGATCCTATCTGGCAGAGGGCTGTACGTAGCTGAGCCACTTGGGCTTCGGTGGCATAGCCACATTGCCTCACACTGAATATTGGTCACAGCACCTGGACAGCCTTGATGTCTGTCAGTCCACGACTCGAAAGAGGAGTTGGGCGTCCCAATGGACGGATCTCTCCTAGTGCGAATGGAAAAGTCTGGCAAATCTCGGTGGCCATGTCAATTATGATTTCCTGTGGTAAGCGCAGGAAATATATCGCTTCGTATCTCCATACTTTCCCTGTACAGCCACTAAATATCCGTGGATCTGTAGGAGTGTCCGTTGGAGAATGATTCTTGTGCCACGGGAATAATTCCAAACACCCGCCGAGGTGAGATCAGGATGAAGAATTCGCTTTTCCATCGGGTTTTGGGTGTTTGCGAGGTAGCCATGCTTCTGCTATGCCTCAATGCCACTGACTGAATTGCATGTTAAGGTGCTTGCCCTGTTCTGGGAAAGACATCACAGCCAATGCATTCGACTGGTCGGTCTTCTCAAAGGAGAGCAATTGCGAAACCGTGGGACAACATTCAGAATTTCGATGCTGCCTGTCATCTGATAGACGGCATATCCAACAGTCGGTCCAAATTAATCTGCATGGGATCTTTTAGGCCCACAAATTGAATCAACTGTGCAAATGTCAGCAAAAGCTTGCTCCACGCGTGACATCCTATACAATTCCATTTGTGTAAACGCGAAGTGAAACGGTGACCGGGTTGTAGGTCACTGAGTTGTCGAACACCACGCAGCTTCAGGAGGGCTGCCGGCAAGCTTGCAAGATGAGCCCCATCGGCTTTCTTATCCTGGCAGAGCGTATACAACAGAGGAATCGAACCCAGTGGTCCATGGCTGCCATCTGGCTCAGCGGGCAAGTGAACCGGTCAAGAAAATAACAATGCCCATGATTTTCCCACTAAGAGTCTAATAAGAATCGAGGAACTGACAGTCCAATATTGGACCACTTTGGAGCACTTGCAGTCCGAGAGACCAGCATCGTCCGTATTGTCAATTCTGGTCGATTGTTCGTGACTTCGTCTGGTTTCTCCTGAACAGCGTCTCAACTTGTATGATTTTCATTAACAAAGACCAACCGGATACTGGTCCAATACCCGGGGCAGATTTTCCCATAGATAGCACAATTCCCGCGAGACGGTTTCCCTCATCGCACTGCCACTCATTATATGTGTTGGTGCAATGGCCCAGTCTTGCTCGCCTTGACCTTGCGCTTCCTGCAAAGAGAGCCTCCTTGCCTCCGCTGACACCCTAGCATTTATTTCCGATAACGGAGGCATTGCACGGGCTTGAGGCAGTGAGTTGGAGAAGGTTGACTGAAACATTCCCGGTTGAGCTGTTGACCATCCCAACTGTAGTTTTGGCTCATGTAGCACAGTTTGGCTACTTCTTCCATTGAACTGGGCTTGTGGTTTAGTGGTATAATACTCCCTTAGCATGGGAGTGGTCCGGGGTTCGATTCCCCGCGAGTCCATTCTTTTTCGTTTTTGCTTTTTACATTTGCCTCAAAAACTAATTGGTAATAATCTCGGTAGTGCTTTGGTATTTTGATCAAATTGTCTTATGTGTGGCTCGCGTTCTTTTTATTCTCTGATACGCTTCCGCTTGATATACACAGATCTATATCTAATGTCTACATAACACTGCTTTTGTCTATGTAAGATACATCCAACCCTCACACCCGAGCCCAAATATTTTGAGCAGTCAGCAATGTACTCAATACCATGGTGGATCCAACCACAACATCTCCTGTGGGCATCCAGTTGAGAAGCTCCAGTGGAATGAGCAAATCACAGCTATCGACCACAATCTGCTGAATCAAAGCAGAGGAAGGAGTCGCCTTGACGGGAACAGCTTTCTCGGGCTCGACTTTCTTCTTCTCGCCATCTTTCTTGGCTGGTTGCTCTGAGGGGCCGAAAAGGAGCGCCCAGATACCACCTGCAACCGAGAAAGAGAGAGCATAGAGCCAGAAAGTATTGGCTTGGTCCATGACGGAATCATGCCAGGACACTGCATAGACACCCATAGCATGAAGCTGATTCATAGTCAGTGCCAATTTTCAGAGTAAAGCAAGCAACATACCGTAGTCAAGTCCTCCAGGACGAAATAGAGGCCAAAGCAGGTCCACTTAGCAAGTTCAATCAGTCCACCCACAGAGCCGAATCCATCCTTGCCTAGCAATGCAGACATGCGCTGGAAGGAGTCAATGAACCCGAAGAAACGGAAGTACCTCCGCGCTAGACACCAGACTCACGTTAGCATCTAAAGGGCCAAACATGCAGATTTCTTCTTCTATAGAGTGTACGCCGACTTACCCAATGCCAATTGCAACTTGACCGTCGTCAATTGCACGGCCAGGGCACTGCTGACGGTGAGCGCAGCGACAACCTGTGCCGTGCATTGGATCAGGCGAAGGGTCTTCTCCAGGCCAGCACCGGAGTTAACGAAACGAGAGAACTTTTGAATCATTTCTGCGGTGCTGTTTTATTCTCCGGGATGGACGTCTCAAGATTGTCTTTGTGTGTCGACGGGTTGGAGGCGGGCTGATCCCCGGCCACTCCAGGTGCGCTAGTCTTTGCTTATTCAGCCTTGCATGTTCTGGTATAAGAAGTAGTTGAAATGCTGTCAATCCCTTTTTTTTATATATGGTCATATATTACTGTTGAAGATGGTTGGACCTCGTGTTGGTGGTCTTTAACGGCATTGGTGTAGGTTTATAGCAATGTCCAGTCCGAAATATATATAATATAGATTGACAGTTTCAGCACCAGCTGGTACTCCGTAACTATGTTGAAGTTTGCAAAGTGGAATCAATTGAAACACGAAATGAGACAATGCTTGCAAAACATTAGTGATATATCGGCCCAGCTGTCTACGAGCAGGTTTATCACTGCTCAGCAATATTTCCAAATGTACTCCGTATTCTACCGTCCTTTGCCGCCTGAAATGTCTTGACCCAGACGATACCCACCGACCTTCTCCCATTCCACCTTCTGCCGCGTAATGGGGAGCTGTCTCCGCAGACCCTTGAATACACCCTCGGCTGTCTGGACAAAGGCCCGGTTCAGAGCCTCCTGATAATCTCGCTCCGCCGTTGCAATGCGCGACACAATAGATTCGGCGGAAACGGAAGGGATAGAAATGCTGACAGGCTTAGTAGTGTTGAGCGCCACGTTGCCGTCTTCGTAGTAGTGCACGTCGACGTGGATCTTGCCGGTCAGGGTGGTAGAAGAAGAGACAGGGACATGGTAGATTGTGCGGAAACGACCGTTCCTATTGAGATTTAACAGGCAGCCTTCCCCAGGCGGGGAGGCATCCAGTATGATTAGTTTTATCGAGATTGCCGAAGGAGAGTAGCCGCTCACCAGAAGTTGTTAGGGGAGTATCGGTTTGCGACCAAGAGAATGGCAATGGCGGAGTCATCCTCAATAGGGTAGACACCATAGGAGCAGTCGGGGTAGTGCTCACGGGCATGGGCACCGAACGACTTGAGCAGCGATTTACTAGACATGGTCAGTTTCTTCCCCAGGACTTTGATATTCGGGTTCCTTACATCAAATCCGCATTCTGAGACTCCAAAGGAGATGATTGGGCTGCAGAGGCAGTCTATTTCCATCATTCAAAACCGTGAGCCTTCAATACGCCGTCGCAGTCAATTGGATGCATCCTACCTGTGTGGTATGGTCGATCTCAAAGGAGGTCTGGCTTTCTGTATCGAAATAGCGGTTGCCCTCTACCTTGTTAAATTCGCTGACAATAACCTTCCAGGAGAGCGTCAGTATATCAACACGACCGGTGAGTGCTGTTGAAAGTTGACACCCACCTCCTGGCTTGATCCCGGCAGCTTGACTGTTGCGAGCTGCGCTTCATTGTACCGCTCGAATGCGGGAACCAGGGAAGGAATGATATCCTCGCCCTCGGAGGTCAGGGCTTGCACATCTAGTCCAGCGACAAGGATCAGCAATCAGGACCAATATTTATGTGGACAGGCCGGGGGTGCGGGGGTCGGGGATCGGGAGAGCATAGAATTCAGAGGGCTATTTACCGGCAACAACATCCGCGAGCTGAAGAGAGAGAACATGTCAGCAGTTGTTCAGGGCTTCGAGTGGACAGTGATCAGGGAATGAGTGTTCTGGGCCATTGTTGACATGCGTACCTCTCCGGGCGGGGCACCCTCGATGAATGAGGATGCCAGTTCGACAGTGGAAGCCATGGGGGAAGGAAGTAAAGGTTCAGAATAGGAACAGCAGCGAAAACGCCTCAGAAAGCAATTTAGGGCAAGAGAGATTGAGCACTGAAACGTTGTGATCGGAGGTGAGTTTGCGGAGAGAAGAGCTGGAGGCGGAGAGCGATAAGCACGTGGCCAGCCAAGTATCTACAGCTACAGCTACAGCCACTGTTTCTCGTAAAATGGCCGAAATATCATACCAATTGCATTAATGTGGTATCTTGAAGTCGCTGAAATAACGAATGTGTGTATCTTCATGGGATCCCCAACGCCATGCCGTGAAAAGCAGAGAAAATAAAGTGCAATACCCAAAAGAAAGAATCCCCCCGAATTAAGATAAATGCAAGCCAAGAACTTCCCGTTCAATCAATGCTCATGTTCATAAAACCATCGCTCGCCTCGGTCATCCCCTGCAGACCGATACGTTTCGTACCCCCTGGAGGAGTCATTCGATTGCCAGATTCCCGCTCAGAGAAAGGTGCTCCGAGTCCTGGCTTAGGTGGTGGACCCCAGATGTTTGGTCCAGCATCACTGATGTTAACATTGTGGGTATGGGTCATCACCGGGCTGCTATGGGCGCTCACACTGGGCGACACAGCCCGACGCTTAAAGAGATTGGGATCGAAGTCATCGTCACGACGCCGCTTGCGACAAATCTCGCCGATGGCTGCCATACCCTGTGGGTGAGGGGTAGAAGAGCGAGAGCGAGGCTTGGACGAGTCGGCAGCGGTAGAACCAATCGTTGTAGATGGGGTCATATCCATGGAAATATCATCGTCTGCGACAGATGGAGCACCCTGGCGCAGAGGAGGTGGGGTTCGGTATCGCTCATCGAATGAGTTCCAGAACTCAACGCCGCCAGAGTTGCGACTGGCTTGCTTGCTGAAACTGCCCTTGGATGGTGTGTCGATTCCGGCCTTGACGAGCGTGTCATCAGATGACACCCCATCAAACTGAGCAGGTGGCTCTAGCGATGGGAATTCGCCGAGTGCAGGCGTTGTTTCAGGCTCAGTATCCCGGACCTGCCGGACGACTTCTGCCTCCCTTTTCATATCACTGTCGACCGGAGCACCCTCCTCCATCAAAGCGGCGCGAATGCGTGCAAAAGTCTTCGTTTTTGGCTGTGACATGAGTTAGAATTTGCACTTTCGAGGCAGACAAGAAAATAACTTACAAGTAAACTCCCACGACGAGTCACAGCACGCCGAATGACTCCCAATGGCCCACCTTCTGAATGGGTGGCAGGAATCGGGCTTCCGCCGCGCGTCGCACGACTTTCGCCGTCGTCGCTCATATCGGACAGACGCAAGTCGCGAGTGCCCAAGCTGAGAGACTCTCTGCGAGTATGCGCAGTCTGTCGAGGTGCAAAGTAACCCGCGGAGTGCTCGACACTCTTCATGATTGGGGGAGAATGTGGCGTGGGACTAGGCTTCGAGCTGTTTCCACTTGCGCTGCTTGAGCTGTGTCGACTTCGTCCCTTGCGAAAACGAGCACGCTGGAAACTCATCAAACTGGCAGCAGCTTGTGAATAACCACCCATCCACTCATTTCCTGGACTTTGGATATTGCTAGCAAATGAGTTGGACGCATTACCCATGCGCGTTGCTTGTGGCGTATTGAGCATTATGTCGTCGCGGTCCCCCATCGATTCATCCTCCTCCTCGCTACTACTTGTGTCTGATTCCATCATATTTACACTCGACATGGAGCTTGATATCGTCGCACGATCCGCTGGGCCCGATGTCGAGAATGGAGGGACAGAGGTCGCGCCAGGCGATCCGCGCCGCTGGGGGATTGCCATACCCCGCCCTCCTACTGTTGGAGATGAATCGGGGGAGGATTCGGCGAGGGTGGAATGGTGGAGATTGGTACAGGCGCGAGAAAAGTCGAGGCCTCGAGATCGCCGTGGTAGAACGGATCCCGGGGATCCGTAAATATGTGATGGATCTAATTTGGGTGATAGAGGAGCGCGGTTAAGGGAGGGCGACGCGGCGGTTTTGGAAGGCAGGTTTAGTGATAAGCTGGGATGCGAAACACTTGAGCGTCTTGGAGTCGCAGGAAGAGCAGGAATCCCATCGTCTTTGCTTGGTGGGCGGCTCAAATCCCCGGTGGATGGCTGGGAGGTAGGTTTGGACGCATCAGATAACGAGCGTGAAGAGCGCGTCGTGGGTTCGAGTTGTAGATCTGGCGATTGCTGTGGTTGTGATAATTGTTGACTGAGCTTGCTCTCAAATATGTGAGCTGAAGTGCTGCGCCCTGGCGCTGAAGGTCGCGCCTGGGCCATTATCCGAGTGAACTTGATCTTCAATCTCGAGCAAGGCGCACGGCGGGCATCATTTCCCGGTATCAATTGGGATTTATACCACGACTGATGGCAGGATACACGCACGATGCCTTAAAGCGTTATTCACACGGTATACCAGTGGATGTGACGTCTAAGATCGGTATGAGGTCGCTGGCCCCAAGCGGTTAACATGCAGATCAGATGACACGCTAACCGGATACGGACACCCTTTACCATGTCATGAGCTATATAAATCTCCCGACAGCTCCAAATTGTGCAAACCATTTGATGTATTCGTATTTTAACGCTTATTTTGGCTCTCTCCACTGCACTAAATGTTTCAGGTCAACTAACGTATCCCTAATTATCCTTGCTGGACAATTCCACTGTACGTATATCAGACCCTTGCACTTCTACTTTATTCGCGATACTTTTCCACTGCAATTATGAAATTATTTGTGCAAGTTTAACGTTGGTACTTACAATTTTGATCATCTAGCAAATCCCAGCGAGAAATTCAAACAAAGAAGAGGCATAATTAACAAACCTGGAGAAGTGACCCTTTCAGCCCGGGAGTATAGGACTGGTTGACTGGCCTTCAACGGGACAACGCCTTCATTGAAACATAGTTAAATTAGTAATCTGTGAATTCAAATTTATTTCGTTATAATTACATGGACATCAAGCCAGACTCATGGCATTGCTGATTGGAACCACATGCCACTCCCAATCATTGCAGTCATCATGAAGAGAAGCTCCTTTGAGCAGATCAAAATCCCGTGTCTGCCATAATTTGGTGATCACTGCTCGGGTCCTTGCAATATTCGAGATGGTCGAATCGGCCATTGTTGCAAGGGCGCGCAGCACAATTGCCCGTCCAGACCCTGACTCGGTTTCAGAGTCAGGGAACACCTCGTCATCTGATGGATCAAGCTCCACAGCGGCCACAAAGACTGGCCATGTCACATTGGCCAGCAGGTTGCGATCGAGAAGATCCGAAATGAGCCGAAGGATCTGGCGGACATAACTTTTCACCAAAGGGGTGGTGGGAGAAGCCCCGTACACTGCACAGTGGAGGTATAGCACTGCTGCCAGTCGCTTGGCATCTGCAACTAGTGCAAGGACTTCATCGTCCCCCTCTCCGACCTCCTGAACCAAACCCTCCAGCTGGCGTTCAAGGGAAGCAGCACGCAGGGCATAAGAAGCCTTGTCAGCATCAGACGTATTTTGCCTCCTTGTTCGGCTCATATCTGTGATCTTTGCCAAAACTGAAACTAATTCGGGACTACAACCCATCCAAAGATCAATGTTTCGCTCGTCCGTTTTCCAATAGTCTGTGCCAAACAAGACCTCCTTAGCACAGGCTGTTCGACCCATAACATCTTGGAAAGCGAAAAATTGCTCTGCAAAACTCGTCACAGGATCCGATGGTGCTGTTGACTGAGATAGTGTATTTTGTTGTTTTCTTCGGAGTCGAATCAGATCATTGGCGCCTTTGAGATGGATCGTCCATTGTTGATCGCATTTGTCTACTATCTCATATAGACATAGCATGATCATGATAACCAACACTTCGGGATCCATGGAGCAGGTCAAACTTCCCTCGGAAGAGAGACGTCGGCGAAGGTCTCTCAGGGCCTCTGATTTGAACCGCAGTCCGATAGCACTGTAGCTCGGGTTGAGCCTTGACCAGTGGCATGCTCCCAATGCTTGAATCGCCTTGAAGAGAGTGGGAGATGCAGACAGGCAAAACGGAAGAATGACGGAAGCAAATGGTGACGAGAAAGCAGAGCTAGCTGTCGTTCGTGGACACACTTGTTGTAGATAATAATCGAATAGCTCTCCATGCCCCGATTTGGAGAGTTCTGGAAACAGCGCGAGGGAAGGCGGAAGACTAACATCGAAATTCATGGCCAGTCCACCGAGGTACGGGAGATGCTGTAGCCACGACCATAGTTGATCAGCCGTCTCATTTCTAGGAAATAGCGAGATAGAGCTCTGGCCAACGGTGATGATCGCATTCAGCTCGTTAAAGTCCACATTGACTTCATCTGGGCGTTCAAAAGTCGAAACACCGCTGTTTATAAAGCCCCAAGAGCGAACATTCGGTACAGGGCACCACTCCTGTATAGAAGAAATGGAACTAGGAGTGGATGGGCTCGCGGTTTGAGATTTGCTCCAAACGCCCGCACGACCAAAGGCCATGCCACGACTGGCGAATTCCGATTCCCATTTCAGAACCAGGTTCTTAGTGCATGGCAATCCTTTCTCCCAGCAGCGTGTGCAGCGAGGCTTTTTGGTGTCGCAGCGGACACGACTCGCGCGACATTCTTTGCAGCCATCGCGAGACCGGGTCTTGACCGGGCCCGTGCGGTCTGCAGCTTTTCTTCGTGGCATCTGAGAATTAATTTTACATGGTCTTGTGGATGAGCCCTGTCGGGGTCTGGATGAAGTTGGTCGAGTAGTTGAAGGAACAAAAAAATTGGGTCTCAGTGGCGATAAGGGTCTATCGTCCCCGCATATGTCAGAGCGGGAACCATTTGGCACTTTTATATACATTATACAGCAGAGTTGAATACTGTATATGTTTATTCTGAAAGGTACTCTGCTATTAAGACTGTTCCTTTTTCCATTCGGCTGCACAGTCACCAAATGTGACAAATTCGACATCCTGCTGCTTGAGCCATCTGATCATTCGGTCGATCATGCCAGCAACATGGGCCATTCCACTAGTATCCGGGTGCAGCACCAAAGGGAAGATGAACCCCTGGGGGCTAGAATCCTCCTCGGCCTTGTCAAGGGCTTCGCTGTACAGGAACTCAAACCGAGACTTCCAATTCTGCTCAATCGTCATCGGGCTAACAAACCCGTGAGAGTTCTCAGCAGCTGGAAGGAACTGCATCGGGGTCATATCCTCCATATACCAATTACAGGGAATTTCAACCAGGGTTTCGGAAGTCCTGGCCGCCGGGAGAGGGAGAGGCTTCATCCAAGTGGAAGCAGAATTGGAAGGCGAGAAGTCAATGGCCGTAGGCTCGGGCATTTTAGGGATGAAGTAGAGCGCCGAATCATGGTGCGTGAGAGAAGAATCTAGTTGATGGTTAGTATTTCATTGTAGGAAAAGAATTGCCACCGCATACCGTATAAGAATCCAAGTTCCTCCAGGACATTAATGGTATTCGTTCGCAATTGATATAAGGGAGCTCTCCACCCACGAGGCTTTTTTCCTGTCAAGTCGGTTGCCAACTGCATACATTTCGTGATAACGTCCCTCTCCTGAGACTCGGTCATTTGGGTGGAACCCTCGTGGGCATATCCATGACAGCCGATTTCCGCACCAGAATCGACAATCGCTTTGGTCTCTTTCGGAAATGACTCCATTGAATGGCCCGGAATGAACCAGGTCACCGAGGAAGCGATTTCATGTTTCTTAAAGAGTCGCAATAGGCGCGGCACTCCTACTTGGGCTGCGAAGAAGCCACTGCTGTAATCGGCGAGATTGGTTGTGGGAGAAGCACCGGTGCCTAAGAAGCCTGACACGGCATCGAAGTCGACCGAGAGTAGAATCCGAACTCGTGGTTTAGACATGGTGAACTTGAAGTGGTGGGGAGTAGAAAGTAGTGAGGAATAAAGTTGCCCGCTTTGGCCGAAAGGGAAAGACAAGGGGATCTCTTTTTTGCCGATCCCCTATACAACCCTCAGACCCGGTCTATACTTGCCATGTTAAGTGAAAACTAATTTGCTGGCTTCGTGTTTGAGAGACTATTGAGTTAATACCTTGGCAATTTCTGGATTGGCGTCTTCAATTACCATGCACTTCCTTAAATAGTATTGCACTCTAGCAGTTCAAGAGACGTAGATAGGACCGAAAGAATATAAGTCCGCTCTGGTAGTTCAGTGGTAGAATACTACTCTTCCAAAGTAGTGGCGGGGGTTCGATTCCCTCCCAGTGCATAGTTTTTGTTTTTGACTGATCAGATCGTTATCTATGAGTTAATAGAACACGCCCTTTGACCGACATGGCCCCGCATGCAATTTCTATGCGTCTTCTCCTATATCTTTACGGTCTTACCCTCTAAACAACCACCTTAACCTCATACAATGACCTCCCGCACATATCTCGCCTTTCAGCAAGACGCAAGTCTTCACAACCTTGAGACCATTGTGACCGCTGTTCACCCTTTCAATATACTGGACGAATCTAGCCGGCAGCTCTTCAAGGATGCCAACGATTGCCATGTCGTTGTGACCGAGAAGACCATCTTCCATCCCCAGGGAGGTGGTCAACCCTCCGACATAGGCGTGATCAAAGGCCCTGTTAGCACTTTCACCGTCACGGCAGTTCGCATGGATGCCAATGGACAAGTGCTTCACCTCGGCCTTTTCGGGGATTCATCTTCGCTTTTCAAGGACGGGGAAGCAGTTGAGCAGGCAATTGATGTCGAGAAGCGTCTGCTTTACTCCCGCCTTCATACCGCAGGCCATGTACTCGGTTCCGCAGTCCGACATCTGCTGGAGAAGGAGATCGAGAACTTCGATGAATTGAAGGCCTCTCACTTCCCCGACTCAGCAGCATGTGAATTCAAAGGCTCAATCGAGGGAAAATGGAAAGACCCTATCCAGCAGAGACTAGATGAATATGTCGCTGCCAAGATGCCCGTTCAGATCGAGTGGTGGGACGAAGATGATTTCCGTTCGCGCGGACTGGAACGATTGATACCAGATCGCAGTCTGGTCCCCGCTGGTGAAAAGTCCCGTGTGGTAAACATTGTTGGGGCTGAAGTGTATCCTTGTGGAGGCACGCATGTCGATACTACGGACTTGTGTGGGCCTGTGACAGTGAAGAAGATATCAAGAAAGACAGGCAACTCGCGTGTCAGCTATGTGGTGAAATAATATTGACCATACCAGGCACTCGGATACATGAGAGCCTAAAGAGCTCAATAGATTATGCCTTACGATACTCAACCGCTTGCATGAGAGAACCAAGAGATCTTGACAAGATAGGAACGCCAATGTGGTTATTTCAGTTTTAGAGAACATGGGTTAAAATTTACGTATAGTCAATACCCAGTTTATCGAGATGGCTCGGTTTCTTCAAGCTGATAGCTCTCCTGAGACGGGCCAGAACGTGGACTGAATGGCCGCGACAGAGCCTGCTCCTCGTCATCCAACTTAGTAAAGCCGTCCGGTCCAGCGAGGTCCGATTTGTCATAGGGGATATCACACAGAACCGAGCGCAGTGGCGGATAGTAACGGCGGTAGGAGAACCAGGCTATCAACATGCCCAGAAGTCCTCCGCATGTTACATCGTAGACATCGTGTCGATAATCATCCAAACGTGAGATGGCAACCAACAGAGCACATAGCAATGGAAAGAATGCCAACAGACAACGCCCAAGATCGGTGCGGGGCCTGAAGACGTGCATTTGACCGCACAAGAAACTATATATTGGGTAAGATTGAAGTTTCTCGGGGTTGGAGCTGACCAGTACTCACAGAGATAGGTAACCCAGACCACCAAAGGAGAAGCTGCTGTGTCCACTAGGAAAGCTCCTCCATCCCTCTTGTAGAATGTGCTGGTTTGGTTCTGTGCAGACGGTCCATGCGACCAACGCATTGCTCGATGTACCTCGAGAGGGTTTGCAGCGTGATAGTAAATCTGGACGTGGCCTTCCCACCGCATTCTTGATTATGTCCGTGAGGAGCGATGTCAACATCAAGGCGACGAGCAGCCCAAGTACCGTTACTTGTGTCTTTTGCACACCGGGACGACACATTGCGGACCAAGTAAGGATGATGAGAAAAGGAATGACGCCAGCGAATATAACAGACCACACTAGATCCATCAGTAAAAGATGTGTAGGTTATGCGATTGCGGAGAACTCACAAACAGGAACTCGTTCATGAACAGCAAATGGGTACTGGATGGCCCTATTGTCGAGGGAAAACATCCGATGAAATGGCTTCACGAGTTGCACCTAAACATCTGACAGTTAGTATCATATAAACCAGCTGGTAATGCGACTTACCAAGACCCAACCTGCTACTAGAAACCCCAATGCGATGTAGTCGGCGGCATAGGAGCGTTGCGCAAAACGAGCAGCGGCCCCGGCGAGCCCGACGCGCTGTAGAATTGGGGTTGACCCATTCCCCAAACCATTGTGAGGCATTTCGATGTACCCCCGATATCTCCAGAAACCCCGAGTCGATCAGAAGTTGAAGCGGCGCAGGTTGTCGACACATTGCGGCCGCACGGACCACACCGCTCTCCACTCACCTTCATCTTCACCTACGCCTTCGTTCTTCTTTCAATCTTCGCTTCTGCCCATACCCAGATCATGGCTGATCCGAGTCAGCCACCTGTCCCTACAGCCTTTGCGCCCCCACCACCGCTGTGGAAACACTTTACACGCGAGAATATCGACAAGCTCGAGCATATCAAAGCCGAAGCTTCCAAGGACGAAGATGGCCGGCCAAACAAGAAGAAGGAATGGTCAGCAGCAGAGCTGCGCGCTCTAGAGATCCCAGATGAGCTTAGATATCTCGTGCCCCCCGATATTCCAACGGGGCAGTATAGCGTCTTTGGGGAATTGCAAACGGTTTGTTCCCCCACCTGAGATGTCTACAGTAGAAGATGACTGACTGTGACTTAAGATGTCGACCGTGTTGCCATCGTTGAAAGACCAGGGAATTGAACAGCTCTACCCAGAACCTGCCACAGCCGACGCCGACCAGGACCCTTCGCATCCCTCACCTCCTCTCAACCATGCCTATTACCTCCTCAAGATCAGCAAGTCCCTCCTCCTCAATTTCCTGGAATTCGTCGGAATTCTATCTGTGTCCCCAGAGCAATATCAATCCAAGGTGGAGGATATGCGCAACCTATTTATCAACGCCCACCATCTTCTCAACCTCTACCGCCCGCACCAGGCCCGCGAGTCACTCATCATGATGATGGAAGAGCAGCTCAGCCACACTCGCGAGGAAATCAAGCAAATGGACAAGGTCAAGGCAGAGGTCGAGGGTGTCCTGGAGCAGTTGCAAGCTGAAGGCAACCGCGTGGGCTCCATCGAATCTACGGAGAATACCAACCCGAGCATAGCGCTGAAGGAGAAGGCAGATGCCCACTCTCGGCTGATTTGGGATTTACTCGGCAAAGAGGAGTGAAATCATTGGTGCTTGATTTATACGCCACAAAATTTTCGTCTGCGGATTGAACAACAGGACTGGTTCAACCGTCTCTTTCAAATGATATCGCGCTGGTTACCTAGCTTACAAAGCGTCAAGCTTGGCCATGAATTTTACACCCGAGCGATGCAGTCTCCCAAGAACAAGGGTACCCAAATTGGCAATGACGTTCGTTACAGTCTCGACTGGCGGCATGGGCGTGAGAACCCATTTCATCATGATAGTGACCAAGAATGTATGAATTGCATGTCATGTGGGTCGTGCTACCCCTGCACGAATATTGACAAGGGCTGCAAGCCTCGGCGATCAGGGACCTCCTAGCCGTGCGCCATACAGTGGATCGTGATCGACTGCCCCAAATCCATCACCTCAGCTCAGGTAGCCAGGGTGGCAGTCTGTTCTGAACGTGAAATGGAGCAAATTGCCTTCTGTTGCCTGCATAATAGCAGGAACCAGGATTCTACTCGACCAGATGGATTGAATGGTAGTTTCCTTTAATTAATGTGTATGAGACTATGTCGGTAGCTGAAGAGAATCTACCAAATATTTCCTGCATAATGCAATTCATGTCATCGTAAATCCTATTATTGATAGCCCGTAAACTGTGTATTAAGTGGTGGCCAGTTGCCGGAAAAGATCCCTCAATCATTTCGCCATGTGGCTGGCACGCTGCTCTGCCCAGGCCTTGTCAATGGCACATTCAGCCAGTCGCTTCAACTCCGTAACGAAGTCGGCGACCATCTTGAAGTGTACAAGCTCATTCTCTGGCAGTTTTCGTGAAAATACACGCTCCATCATGACAGTGGCAACCTTTAGTCGGTCCAAATCTTCGCGCGAATGTGGATCAAGTGGGTTTTGAAGGATGCTGCAGAAAATGGTGAGTAGCGCAGACATGGGGTAGAAGATGAGTGTCCTAGAACAGTTAGCTTTGACCTATGGATAGTATAAGACAACTTACCAGAATACCCCATCGACCACCACATGTTCTGCCGCCTCGAGGTAACAGAGACTGGATCGACTAGCCTCTACCGAAAGAGCCATACTCGAACTCACTCCATCCACCATGCCACTTTGCCCTTCCATCCATGATTTACACCTCCCACTTGCTTGGTGAATGATAGCCATGCACAAATGATAATTTAACCGCAGCAAGACACTGTGCATACCCATATTGGGATCAGATGTCTCTGGAGAAAATGACATGGTTGGACGCCATGTCGGAGGAACCGAAAGACGCCACTCTTCAAGCTCGTCATCTAGTTCCCGAATTGACTTGAGGAGCTCGGCATCGGATTTTCGAAGACTGCTCACGGAATAGAGCTCTCTGTGCGCACGAGACTTGATTATGCTCAGACGTAGGTCAAAGGGAAAGACTGGTCCCAGGAACGGCGCATCCTCGTCTTCCACGTCCAGGAATGCTCGTTCGAGATAGCCCGGCGGCAGTGTCAGGTCACAGTTTTCATCGCTGATCGTAGGCGGCTGGCCGGTGCGGAGTGAAATATCTTTGTCCATTGTGTAGCAGATCCAGAATAAGTTTCGTAGTTGTTGGTCCTTTTGCTGGCGGCGTTTATCAAACGAGTAGGCCTGGCCGTCCGGTATGTTCCCACCAAGCATAAAAATCAATCGTGCTGTGATTCCGGCATAGTAATTTGTTGCCTGCATATTTCCAGCCGATAGTTCAACGAGAGTCTAGTCACCAGTCAGTTGTTGTCAAAGTAGCATATAGAAATTGAGGGGCTAACTTACCAAAATGGTGAGAGCCTGGGCAGAGTCTAGACTAGGACTCTCTTGAAGCACTTGAGGCATCAAAAACTGTGCTCTCGTAGCAAGTAGATCATGGTCAACTGGAGTCATGTTCAAAGCAGCAACCATTTCCTTCACAAGAGGAAGGCGAGAAACGAAGGTAATAAATACAATGACACAGACTCGCGCACTAGCTTGTCCATAGCCGAAGGTTGGACCCGGATGTTTGTAAGCAGTTCTGATGGTCTCATCAAAGAGTTCAAAATCTATGATGGGAAAGATGCGTCGCATCACCTTTGAGGCCTTGAATGCCTCGAGGTGGACCTGCAAGACCCCGAAGTCAGGTAATTCGAATGGATTGAGAGCATTCATATTCATCAAAAGGGTATTGAAACTCTGGCCGCGCTCTTTTTCCCATGGTGCTCGTGCTGGGCTGAGTCTGTCAATTGAAATACTTTGCCCTGTACGAGCTTCAATCCACGCCCGACCCTCAGGGAAAAGAAATGGCGTGCCAGTAAGTAGGCTGATGACGCCCAATTCTTTTCCTGCAAAATGAACGCGAGCTGACGAGTCTGGGGGCTGATGGGTGCTGGGGGAATTGCTGGCCGTTGTACTGGCCCGAGGAGATTGAGACGTATCCTCACATTCTGTTCGGTGTCAATGAGGACTTTGTTAAATAATTTTCTGAATAGTAGTGTACCTGATATTTGATGTCGCGTCAAATTCTCTGCTAGCAGCCGCTCAATGCGGCTAATTCGCTCCGACAGCCGTGAGACTTTGGGGCGACTATATTGGTCAGACACATGTATAGGAAGTACAAAGGGAACAGGGGGTGACTGACCCCTCATCATCACCACCTTTCCTTTTTCTGTGCACTACACGATCGAATGTGCAAGGGATATTGTGGTGGCTGCACCAATTACACTGAGGAACCGCCGCGTCGCATTTAATCTTGGCGGCATTAGCGGCGGAATAGACTAGAGGGTCATAAGATATACCTTTCGCTTGTAGCATGAGTCACAAGCACGGGCGGCCCTCTTACGGGGTTCATCTGCGTTCGAAGGATCCATTGGAATGATGTCTACAGGACTTGATGCTCGGAGAGGGGAACTCCGCTGTATCCCGCTGACAAAGATACAAAAGATACCCCGCTGACTCAGCCATTTGCGAAATTTAGAGTTTCTTTAGTTGGAGAGTACAAAAGCTGGAGATGGTGGAAGTAGAGGAATGATAGACAAAGGGTTCTGATGTATTAGACGGTACATTATGGCTGGAATGGACGTCCTGGTATCGCGTAGGTGTGCAGAATCCAGATAAACTAAATCCCGAACGCTGATCACATATGCTCCGCGCATTGTTCTTGTTTTTGCCGCTCTACGCGGTCAGACGAGGTTCAACCGCAAGGAAATCCCGAGGAACTGGAAAAAATGGAGGAAATGGGGGAATTCGATCGAAATAGAGATGAATCGAGGCTGACGGCAGCCAGCTCACATCACAGTGCAGATACAGCAGTCGCACTCTTCATCTCCGCAGTCACATCCGAAGCATGGCTTGGAAACAGACTTGATGGGCTTTTTAATCGAGCTGCCGGAGCTGCTAGAAGGGAGGGTGAAGTTGAAAGGCTCGGAGACGGAGGTGGCAGCCATGGCGGAGAGAGGTGTTGGAACTGGGATACATCGCGATTAGATGAGCAACACAATCATACGAAATAGAAGCTTACCTCGGTCAAAGCCTCGAGTCAGGTGTGTAGGGCTGAAGACAGCGAGTTGGGGAATGAAGAAGGGAGAAAATATAGGCCAAGCAGGCAACCATATATCGTCTGTATCCCACTTTAGACTGAAACTGCCGAAATTTAAAACCCAAGAATGAGACTGAATGCCCGACTATTTAGTCCTGGAAATGTCTCCCAAGCTCTTTTTCGTGTCGATCAAAACGGGCCAGCCACACACGTCACAGGGTTCTACCTCATGAAGCCTGGGGGGACGACGAAGGTTGTACGAGGTTACAGGGAAAAGTTGGACGGTTACAAAATTCAAAGTGTAGAATCAAAGCATGCAGTCATTGACAGTATGTACAGCAGCAACTTTTGAGGTGTTCATCAATCATCGCCACAGTGACCGGGGTATCGTCTAGTCATCTTGGGCTTCCAAGCCATATCCGTCTATCCATTAAATATCCTTTTTGTTCATCAATCCATAACAGAAGCAGGCAGCCTTTACAGCTGCTCCACCCAGGGGGCGGCACCAGCCTGCATCTGGTTGAGCCACTTGACAAGCTCAATGAGCTCGGCGCGACGCTCATCCTCTAGCTGGTCCTCGTCACCAGTCAGGACAGCCTGGAAGACGGGGAGCAGGTTGGGGGTGAGTTCACGGATGGTGGCATCCTCCCACTTGTACATCTGGCAGATCATGCGGTAGAGGGGCTCGTTCTCCTCGAAGTCGTTCTTCAGGGGAAGAATATTGACGAGAGCAGGGAGAACCTCCTTGGTGGGCACGCTGTCACGGTGGCGAAGGATCATGCGGCTGACACAGCCAGTGGCGTTGTCCTGCAGACGGGAAACATCCATCTCGAGGCAGCCACCGAGACGGCTGAGGATGGTGGGGAACTCCTTGGTGATCTCGGCATCCGCGTTGGAGTGCTGGACGAGACGACCAACGGCGTAAGCAGCGTTGGACTTGGTCTGAGGATCCTCGTCGGCCAGACGGTGAAGTAGCAGCTTCAGGAAAGTACCAGTGAAAGGAGTCACGGCGGCACCCATGCCGTTGATGCACTCAGCGAGAACACCGACAGCGGTGGCGCGCTCGAGAGACTCGGTACTACCAGCGTAGCGGAGGATAGTCTTCTCGAATACCTTCCAGAGCTCAGCGAAGCTCTGACCCATGGCGGCGGCCATGCCGGAAACAACATCCAGGGCAGTGTCGACGACAACCCAGTCGAACTCGGAGGTCTCTTCGCCAGCCTCAAGGGTCTCCTCCTCGGGACCGAACTCAAGCTGGCAAGGGTGCTGCTTGGTGATGATGTCGGTCACCATCTGGATCACGTTGTGAAGCATGGTCTCGTTGGCAATGAGAGCGGGACCGCAGAAGCGGAGATTCTCAGCCATGTTGCGGTTGATATCCGCGACAGTAGCACTAGTATTCACCATTAGCAATCAATTCTCGACAAATCGAGGAGTGAATAAAAAGGCAGTAGGAATGTTTCTCAGAGTGTAGACTTCGCCGTTTACATCAATCGCGACTTTTGCGCGTCAAAGTGAGCTGGGTTAAGCGGAAAAAGTTCATCATAGAAACTTGACGGGGAAAGGGAATAACGAAAGAAATAGGGGAATGTATAAAGCGTACCGGTCGTCCTCTTCGGTCCACATCTTGACGGTGGCAGTCATGAGGATCTCGCCGAACTTCTGGACCTCCTTGGCAGGCTGGACCTGAAGGGGCAAGCCAGGCTGCCACTTGGGCATCTGGCCAGTCTCCTCGGCGATTGTGAAGAGCATAGCGTAAGAGCGGTGCAGAGTGCTGATGGTGCTCTTGCGGACACCCTCGTAAGGGTGCTCAGCAAGGGGCATGACAGTCTCGATGGTCTTCTCAAAGTAAGGCAGGAAGGAGCTACGAGTGTGGGTGACAAGGTCACCGATGACCTCAACAGCAATCTCTTTCTCGAGGGACATGGGTGTAGTGGCGGTGATATCATCCCAGTCATCCTCATCCTCAAGATCGACATCCTCGATCTCACCGTCATCCTCGTCATCAGCGCTTGCGACCTTGACCTTGCGGCCGTTGAAGGTGACTTCCTGGCCAACGAGATCCTTGGCGGAAGTGCCGAGGTCGACGTCAAGGTCGTCCTCATCCTGTTCAATGCAATCGAACAGACCCTTCACAACACCCTCAAGGAAAGGAGAGAAGTGCTCGCCGTAGACCTTAGCCATAGCACCCCAGAAGATGTAGGTACTCTCCTTGAGACGGGAATGACCAAGGTGCAGAGCCTCCTCAGTAGCGCGCATGAGAGGCTCAACGTACGGCTGGTAGCGCTCGGGGCCAGCAGCGGCGGCCATCTCACCCATAGAGTCGGTGACACTGGCACGGAGGTCGAGCTCGTCCTCGCTGTCCTTGACGGTAGCGAACTCCTGCAGAAGGTGCATGGACTCGTCGAAGAAGGAGAGGAAGGAGTCACCGGCAGAGGAGGCAAGCGATCCAAGAGCACCGGCAGCAAGGGCCTTGATCTTGAAGTCGGGAGCCTTAAAGAGCTTGTGGAGGATAGGCACAAGCTCGGACTGATAGGGAGCAACGTCCTTCTCGTCAAGACCGTCAACAACGGCATCAATAGCGCTGATACCAGCCTTGATGATATCGACAGTGGGGCCTTCCTCCTCACCGTTGTACTCCTGCATGGCGCTGGCCAGGTTCTGGAAAAGCAGGGGCATGAGGCGAGCGTGCTCGGCGCTGAGGTCCTCAACGAGATCCTCGGCAAGGCGAGCGACGGCGTGCAGGGAGGCCTGACGGACCTTGGGCTCCTGGTCGGCAAGAAGCTGGAGAACCATGGGGAAGATCTCTTTCATCTGGGTGCTGATGAAGTCAGGGGCACCCTCTACACACATGCCAAGGGCCATGATACCGGCGCGACGGTAGTCAGGGTTGGAGTTGTTGAAGTATTGCCCAAGGGCCTGGAGCAGGGGAACAACGACCTGGCTGGGAGGCAAGCTCTGGGAGAGCATGTCGAGCAGGCCAAGTGCGGAGCGCGCAGGGGTGATATCATCATCACCAAGGGCGGTGTCACCGAGCTCCGTAACGATCTGAAGAGCAGTACGGGTAAGCTCCTCACCGATACGCATACCCTGAACCTTGAGCTTGCGGTATTGGATAGTGGTCATCAGGAAGCTGATGGCCTGGGTGCGGACATCCTCATCAACCTCAGTGTTAGCAGAGATCTGGTTCATGAACATGACCAGGTCCTTGAGGTGTACGGTAAGCAGGGCAGGGTCGCAGCCAAGCAGAGTCTGGAAGACCTCGAAAGTCTGCATGACGTGACCGTCCTCTTGCTGATCAATGGAGTCCTTCAGGATGGCAACCATGGCGGGGACCATATCCTGGAAGGCCTTGACAGGAGCCTCATCCTCCTCGGAGTCAAGGTGCATAGCAAGCTTGCTCAGGGAGAGCATAGTGTTGATGCGGACCTCGGCACTCTCGGGATCGCGGATGGTCTTGTTGAAAAGGCTGAAAAGGTCGGAGAACTTCTCCTCGAAGCCCTCACCAATGGTATCCAGGATGGTGAAGAGAATGTAGATAGCCACGGCACGCTCGGCTTGGTTGCCACCGTTGCCAGCCTGCAGCAGGATGTTGGGCAGGTCAGCCCACTCGCCGTCGTTCAAATCAATCTTGGCAACAGCGGAGATAATCTGAGCGATAGAGTGCTGGACGAGAGAAGAGCTCTCGCCCATGGTAGAACGAAGCAGCTGCTCACGGATCTGGGGCTTCTGGTCAGCAGAAACCTTCACCCAGTGCTTGGCAACGAGCGAACGCGACTCTACAGCAGCGAGCTGACGCAGGTTCTGGTCCTCATGGCTGGTGGCGATTTGAATAAGGAAAACAAGGGCCTCGGGCTTGTTGTAGTACTCCTTTTGCAAGATTCCGGTGGCCTCCTTGACGTTACCCTGGGTGGCTGCATGCGAGGGTTAGCGAAAATGTCCTTAGCTGCAGGGGGTCAAAGGTATGACTTACGGTTCAGGATGACCTGCAATTGCTGCAGGAATCGTTGCTGATCCATGACGGGTAGATATAAAAAGTTTTCGGTCCAACGGTCAGTTGTCCCAGGCCTTTACAAGCTCAGGCCAGTCGTAAAATGAGCAGTTTGTCTTAGACAAACAACTCAAAGGGGGTATCACAAAGCAATATGGACAGTAAAAGAAAAGAAAGATAGGAGGAAGAAAAAAAGGAGAGTAGTGGGGGAGAGAAGAAAACAGAAACGGAGCGGAAGGAAAAAAAAAGTTAGGGGAGTGGGTTGCCGCCCAATGGGGCTTAGTGCGGGAACAAGTCAACACGCGATTTTGGCAAATTGAGATGACGTTGTGAATTGGCTGTTATGAAGGGATTGTGAGGGATAATATGTGGATTTGTTAAGGGATATTAAAGGAACTAGTTCAATTCAAATGGCTATAGCTCCTATATCCGAAATTGTCCCAATCTCATGTATGGAGATTCCATCAGCTGCAATATTGACCAAAATACAGATCTAGAACCTCAAAATTTCTCCTAATATCTGACCAAAACTCCATTTCATTCCTCAGCATGTTTGCATATGTGGCCCAAAAGTTTGCGCGACAAGAAAATTCTCAGTGCCGCGTCGCGTACCGTGTACTCCATCGGGCATCTATCCGGACGTTCCAGGAGACCCACACACTAATGCAGCGTCAAACCAAAGAGCCATCGCTTAATATTCTTCGGAGTCATAGCCGTCATCGACCAGCAATGAGCGGTAGCCGCGTGAAGCGAGATTGGCCTCTAGGCCACCGTCAGATGCAGGGTCAAAGTAACCTATATAAATGTTAGCAAGTCAACAAATTGAACGCGGAGGAAAACGTACCACCGCCGCCAAAGTAGCTCAAAGCAACCGGCAAGAATATGAGAGCATGGGTAGCAGCGAAAACAACCAGGGCCAACCACACACGGAAGTAGTAAATCTCGAAAATCTTGCTCCGAGTAAAGGCTAAAACGCAAACACCCAAGAGCTTGGTGATGGTGATACCGCTGAAGACGCTTCCACCAACGTTGACCAATGCTGACCATGCTCGAGCATCCTTGCCGCGGAATTTGGTGGGCACTTTCTCCATAATGGGTCGAGCAGGGAACATGAATGCTCGAGCAATGTGAGCACAGAACTCAACACCAATGCCTACGCAAATGACCAGGTTGACAAGAGACACGGCGTTCAAGGACACGCCCGCGATAGCCATCGTGCCAATGATATCGACCACTGTCATGACCACCGTGGTAGTAACGACAGCACCGGTGGCAATTGAACCCAGTAACACAGAGGTCAAAACAAAGATAATGGCAACTGCCGATCCCAAGAGTGTACCGGTGAGTCGAACAATGGAAACATATTGGTCGAAGAAGATATAAAACTTGGAGTAAGGGAAGACATCGATATCGTGCTCTTGCGAAATACCATTTGCAATCCGGCGAGCTGCGATGTACGCCTGAATAAACGCGTCCTGGCTCCGGAGCGGTGTATGGCTGGTACGGAAATGACTTGCATCAATCGTGTCGTGCTTGTCGTTAATTACCAAAGCGTTGCCGTAGGGGGCCTTTCCACCCAGGGGACAAGAAGCGTCGGTAGGAGCATCAATCCATTTTTTGGCATAATGGATAAATTCGGACCCTTCCGGCATTCCATACAGAGAAATGTTCCATGGGGGAATCCGATTCTCGAAGCAAAGTTTGCCATCCTCTTTACAGCAGTCTTGCTGGGGATTTAACCAGTAGAAAAAATCATCAATCCAGCTGGCGGCAGAGCCTGCAAGATAGGACACGTCTGCACGCTTCGACTCTTGCTCGAGAATAAAAGGTAGGGAATATTCTTCGCAGGTAGTGAAGCGCCCACAGAGTTGTTGCTGGTGATTCCGCTGCGTGACATTCACGTTCCGGGTCACAAAGTAGACAGGAGGCCCGACGCCGAAATAATCGTCTAGATCATTGAAGTACGAGATCAGGTACGAGTCACTAGGAAGTGCAATCCGCTGATCTAACCCGAGAGCAACCTTCGGAATGAGGGCTAGGCCAGCGGTCAAAAGGCCCAAGAAGAAAATGATAACACCAGCTTTCACCCGGCGATCCAGAAGGAAAGGGGCATAGACACGGCGAATGAAAGTCTGCAGACTACTCTCCCCTTCTTGGTCATCGTAATCGTTGGGGAAACCGAACGAGCTTGCCTTTCGAACAGTGAGGCAAGGCAGACAGTCTGCACGGAGACTCTGCACGCGTCTCTGGTTCAGAGCCAATACGGAGGCGAACATCGTGACCTGCAGGATGGCGTTGATAAAGACAGCTCCCGCAGCATATGCCGCAAAGTTCTTGACCGCAGGCATACCGACGAAAGTACCTAGGGCAAATGCCACAGTTTCGGTCAAGGCAGACAGGAAAATGCTGGGGCCGATCCGACTAACTGCTCGGGCTACTCGTTCATCAATCTCTTCATCGGGGTGACTGAGATTGACTCGCTCAAACTCGTGGACAATCAAAAAAATGTTATCCACGCCAACTGCCAGGACCAAGAATGGAATGACTTCGGCGATAATCAAGGTCACCTTGACGCCGGCTGCCGAGAACAGACCGACTGATGCAGATACCGACATCAAAACAATGACAATTCCCGCAATACCCAGTGTGAACTTTGATTGAACAAGAGCATTGGCCGGGTTCGTTAACAAAGACCGCCAAGTAACCGTAGCCGATCCTAAGGCGATCGAGGCGTAAAAGAACATGATCAGATAGCTGATGACGACGATTTTCGCATCGGTGTTGGTAGACTTGTTGAGTTCTTGCTCCAAGCTGACCTCGGAATTGAAGGAGACGCGAAGGCCTCGCTCTGCGGCTTCTTCTTGAACCACCCCCAAGATACCCTGGAAAGTATTCTCCCAGTCAATGGCCCTTGCTTCGCCATCCGTTCCTTGGGCATAGTTGTTCACCACCCAGGTGGTAATTAGTGCCTTTGAGTCTAAAAAGTTTCCTGTCTCTTCATATCCCCCAAGGATCATTTCTGGCTTGAGAGGCTGCGAGAAGTCAGGGAGACAGCTAGGGTCTCCCGGTGATTCAGTGCAGTGTGTCAAGCGATCCATCCAGGTATCCGGGTCAAGATTCCCAGCTGAGCCACCGAAATACCCAGTGACAGACTGCACAACACAGGCTTCACCGGTAGGTTTGAAGCAGATGTCGTCGAGGTTGAGAGCCAGGTTCACGGAGATCATGCGTCGCACACGAGACTCCACATCGAACCACCAGTTGAGGGTATCATAATCCAGAAGCGGTCTAGAATCGTTCCCTGGGCGGTCGTTCACCAAGAATGCTTGTTCAGCTCGGTAGAATGGACCAAAGTTCTGATCGAAGAAATCTTTCTCTTGGGCTGCTGCCGACGATGGACTTACCCACAAGCGAACAGGATCTGTCTCAACTGTGAAGCGCAGCCAGCCCAGGCTCAGTAGCACAACCACGATCACGCTGGAAGATGTTGTGATTGCCGGGAATCGAGCGCAAACACCACCGATGCGATGGAATAAGGCGGATAGTAAAGAGTTAAGTTTGTACACCCCTTGTGGTTGTTCGATATACCCCCCATGGCGGACGACTTCCCCTTCATCCTCGTCATCGCTGGGCGTAGGGTCTTGCAGCAGGCGCACTCGCTCTGGTTTGCGGAAGCGGCGTTCCTTGTAGGTCACGTAGCTGGCGAGGGCCATCACAAAGAGTAGGAATGTGGAATATACCAAGATAACGGCAAAAGAGAGACACGGGAGGAGGCCCACGTGGCACGCATTGTGAGTAGACACGGCAGGTAACTCAGGGCATACATCTGGGCAGTCGACACAGGAACAGCGGAAAGCTTTGTCCGGGCCGTTGCAAGCCTTTGGTTTAATCGATAGAGCCTCCATGCCTTCTGAATCTAAGCCAGTAGGCTCTGTATGGTAGTTGATCTGGAATGGACTTCCAAGGAATTTCTTGTCCCCCAAAAACTTCATAAAGCCTGCATAATCTTTTGCACCTCCTCCGATAAAATCGATGGCTTTGCCGCCGGATGCACCGTTTTTGACGTTTTTGCAGCTGTCATAGAAGCCGCTTTGGTACTCCTCGGACCAGATATTATCCAGCTCAGTCACCAATCTCTTGTCACCTTTCTCTTCGGTTTTTGTCACATTGACAAAGAGTGACTGGTCGGGCGAGCAAGTGAAGGTACAGAAGATGTTGAAGAAGTTATCTCGGCAGGCCGGACAAGACGCGATAATCCCTTCGGCTAGTTTGAGGTTTTTCGCGAGCGCGTCAACCTATTGACATGTTAGCATCACAGGCATGTGATAATGAACGTAGTTTGGCGTAGGGGGCCAGAAACTGGGGTTATCATACCTGCTCATCCTTACAACAGACTGGACCCTCGCTCCATTTGCTGCCACATAAATTTACTAGCTTCTCGCGTACGGAGTTCTCCGGCTGCTTTGCCAGGTTATTATCAGGACATGGGAGCTCGCCTCCAAAGATAGACTGTTTCCCACAATGTCCACGAATCGCACACCGGCCCTTTTCATGAATCTTCGTCTCACCCTGCGCAGCCACGACGATGGGCTGGAGCGCAAGAGAGCCCAGCCCAACGATCACAGCAAGAGCCTCGGACCACCGCATCTTGTTGTAAAGTCCAGTGGTCGGTAGCTATATCCAAGATATCTGGCAAGGTGATGCTGCTGTCAACAGCGATGATCGGCCATGCGCCAGTCGTACGGGGAGGGATGGAAGCTACGTCGAGCTCGGGAAAGGTAAGAAGAATCCCAATGATGTTCAAGAGGTTCAAGGATCAATAGCTAAGTAGAATCAAGGATGAAAGACCATGGAAGTCTTCAATGACAAGGGAGAAAGCAAGTGACGTGAAGGCGGAGACTACCCGTGAACATCCCCCGCACGGTCACGCAAACAAGGAAGCTAACGTCAGGCACAACAAGCTTGCCTGATTACATGTATGGCGATGATTTGGCAGTTTATTCAACTGCTTGGCACTGTAAATCGGACCGGATTAAATGTTGATTATAATTGTTTTGTACTAAGAGACAGTTGGTAATATATATATATATATATATCCTTTGAACTACCTTGTCTTTCACTTCAGCTTTACTGGGACACGGTGGGACGCTTCTCAAATGCTCATGATTCATTCCACTAATAAAATACAAAGAATTGACCGACTCCGAGCTGAACCGCATTCTATGAACAGGAACTCCTAGTCTCAAAATAGAGACAAATATGACATCTGCACCGCCAGTGTTTCAGTTAGCGATGAGAACAGATGCAAGAGCTGAAGGAGATATCATCAAATAAAAATGGAAAAAGACATAGCCGTATGCCCAGGGGGAATCATCACAATGCGGTCTGGCTACATAAAGCTTAGTAGCCCTCATCCTCGGCCTGTTGATAGGTGTGGCGGGTTCGGGTGGGATCTTTGCGCATCTGCTGACCAGAACCTGTGAATCCCACTGACAAAAGTCAGTATCGTGATACTCGAAGCAGAAAAGGGTACATACCTCGTGCGTTGACACCATCACCAGTGCGGAACATGCTGTCTTTCTTGCCAAACTTGCCCCTGCCCTTAGTCTTGGCAGCAAAGTCTTTCCACTTGTTCTTGCCCTCCTCAAGCTCGCGATTAGCCTTGACCTTGCGGGGTGCCTTGGCGGGACGAGCCGAACCATCGCCTTTGGCCTGGTCGTTACGAGCCTGGGTCGCCAGCGTAGGATTGATATCTGCTGCAGCGGAAATCACACCGGGGGTGGGGCGGGCGAAGATGCCGAACTGCTTGAGGTTCCATCAGCCTTGCGCTTGCGAGAGTCAGTGCCAGAGATGGGTCGGATGTCCTTGGCTGTCAAGTTTTCCACGTTCGCATATGACTTGAATGAAACCAGGTAGACCGGGTTGGCCGAGGATCCGGTGATAGAGGTGATTTTGGCCGGGTAGAACGAGTTGTCGCCAGAGACCCAACGGGCCAGGACGTTGTCGTTGACTGAGAAATTCATTGGAGTAGGAGGGGCTTCCTCTGTCGTAACGGGTTTCCGGGCGGCATTATCTTTGGGTCGAGTGTCCTTGGGAGGAGCAGGGTTGGTCGGCTTGAGTTCGGCGATGGAAGTTTCCGTGAGGAGTATGAGTTCTTCGAGTTCAGTTTGGAGAGCCTGGAGTTCCGTGTTGTCGGGGTCTACCTGCAAGCTCGATACAACGGTTTCAAGCTGATCATGTGTCAGTCCGCATTCGCGCGCGAGGATAGTGTCTGGCTGACCTGAAGCTTAAATTCCTTCACCTCTGCCTCCAAGGCAGCGACATCAGCCATGATGAAAGATTGGATCTGAAGATACAACGATTTGGAGAATGGAGATAGAAGCGGAGGCAATGCGGAGATAATTCATTGATCAAATTCGTTGATTTCACAATCATGTGATTGTTCACCGCCTTCCTATGTTGCCACTAACATAACATAACCTATAAGTTAAGCCTAAAATACATGGATGGTCATGTCCAGGTAAGTATCTATCTAGCTCTAGAGGTAAGGACAATTTATGTAGAAGAAACACCATTGGAGATACAATTGTACAACCCCTCAAATTAAGCCTGGTGTACGTATTCCGTACACAAACATGTATACAGTGAGTTCCCTGGTGGATAAGATATAGGTAAGAACCCTGGGGTTGTGATAAGCATAACCTCCTTTAACCCACTTTCGACACGCAAGATCCGCATTGGATATGCATTCTTAGCCTGCTGAATCTTGTTTTCGTTGGGGTTAACAAACGGAGTAGGGATGGACACCTTAAGTTAGAGTCTCTACGTCATACTGTAACGAGAACGAAAACGAATGTAGCTGGGAATGCCTATCATGACATTGGGAGTCTGGCCTGATTATGATCGGATCGGATCAGACACTGAATCCCCGAAGTCGGAGAATTCCAGGGATGAGTCAGATGTACGAAGTAGAAGCTTGAAGAAACTCCACCTTGGCCAGTGAGAGAAAAGAAACGAAAAGAAGTTTTGGCGCTGATTTCAAAGCATGGCAGATCGGTCCGAGGGGGCGACCCCAATGAACCAATAATAGGGCTGTATGTCTCACCGCCCGTGCGATCGCCTCTTCCCCCTCTATCTCTCTCATCATTTCGCTCATACTGCAGTACGACCAACTCCCATCCCTCTCCCCTCAGACACTTGTTTCAGGCATCAGCCTCGTTCCAATCTTGAGCCACATTGCCGCAATCTGCCTAGCGGGGAATTTCCTCGCCTCAGGCCCCTCAGCCTCTCCAATCCTTTCTTCCTTTTCCTCCTCCCCCATATTGCCCCATCCATCTCGTTTCTTGATTTGCAATCTGATATCAGTTATCTGATATTGATATCTGATCTTGCCTCTGACGTTGCCTCTGATCTTGCATCTGATCAGAGCTGTTCAAGTCCAAGCTGTCAGGCTGTGAGACTCGAAGTCTGAATCATCGACCTCGCCCTCACGACTTCGATATCGTTACGGGCGGGAGGCCCGGTCTGCTGCTTCTGTATTGAAATTTATTGATCCTCCATTGACATCTTCTGTCCCACCGCCTTTTCCCCGTATCATCTTGCCTTAAATCTGTCACAATGGGCGATTACGATCAACGATATCAGCGAGGTCTTTACCTGTCCCCAAATCAACAAGACCTCCTGCTTGCCGCTCTTTCTTCCAATAACCCGGATCACACGCATCAGAATGGGACTCCCCGGATCAAGACTAGCCAGAGCCCGGACCAAAATTCGTCCGGCCTGAGCGCCCCTCCGTCGGGCGGGTACGAAAACACCCCCCATGTGAATGCCTATGGTTTCGGAGACGACGAAAGCCCCTTCCTTGACTTTACTCCCGACGTCGATTTCGACTTCCCCGGCTCGGCTGATCTCATCGGTGACTTGCCAGGATCGGCTGACTACGAACTGGGGAGAAGCGCAAGTCCCTCGACGGAAAGTCGGATCTCGAGGGCGAAGAGACTGGAAAGAAGCGCAGAGAGAGTGAGGCCAAGAAGCCTGGCAGGAAGCCATTGACCTCGGAGCCCACTACGGTATGCCTCTCGAAAACTCTTGGAGGGTGAAATTCTGGGGCTAACCCATTGAGCAGAAGCGCAAGGCACAGAACCGTGCCGCCCAGCGAGCTTTCCGCGAACGAAAGGAGAAGCACCTGAAGGATTTGGAAGACACAGTGGAAAAGCTACAAAAGACCTCGGACACGGCCAACCAGGAGAATGGTTTGTTGCGTGCGCAGGTTGAGCGTTTGCAAGTCGAGCTCCGTGAGTACCGGAAGCGCTTGTCTTGGATGGCTTCAGGGACAGGTAACGGCATCTCGGCTATGAGCTCAAACTCAATCCCGAATGCTCCGTCCAAAGGCTCATATGGCCTTCAAAATAACGAGTTCCTGTTCGATTTCCCCAAGTTTGGTGATTTGCCGGGCGGTCATCTCTTCAATGGACAGGCCAAAGATCAATCCAAGTCCAATCAAAAGGCCAATGACAACAACAACCGCGCACCCGGTGTCTTGGGTCGCGACAGTCTGAATAATGCTTCGCGACCTTACGGTGCTGGCTATGCCTCGTCAAACAGCGCAAAGTCGGATGGAACCTCCCACAGAACCCCCCACAGTGCTACTTCTGCTAAAACTTCTTACTCTGGGTTGAAGTCCTCAGCACCGACACACGACAACACCAACTCGGATTCTCCTTCGTCTTCCTCCGATTCGCACCAAAGCCAGCTGCTCTCGTCTAACGGCACATCTCCTGAGCCAAGCTTGAACTCTCCCCCAGATGGCAAACAGCACGAATTGGGACCGGGTGACACCTGCGGAGGGCACCTTACCATCGATGGTGAGAAATCTTTCTGCGCGCAACTAGGCATGGCCTGCGGCAACATCAATAACCCCATCCCAGCATTGCGGGATAGCAAGGGCAAGTCCCACAGTTTTTCAAGTAGTCTGCCTCCAGCTGAGGCCACAGGTCCAGCTGATGATACTCAAGATCTTGGAATTGATTGGCTGGCCCATCAAAATGGCGGCCAGTTCGACCCGGTGCTCTTTGGCGACTGGCGAGAGCCTCAGGACGCTGTGCTCTCTCAAGACTTTGGCTCATTCTTCAATGATGCCTTCCCTCTGCCAGACCTGGGCAGTCCGTCTCACAACCTCAGTGAAGTCGCCACTGACTCGGCACCTAAGAAGAGTTTGATCAGCCTGATTGACAGCAAGCAAGAGGAGGATGAAGTTGTTCCAGGAGAAGACAAGTCGCAGATGTTGTCATGCACAAAGATTTGGTTTGTTCACCCTGCAAGATTCCCTATGTGTCAGCTACTGACTCGTTATCTAGGGATCGTCTCCAATCCATGGAAAGATTCCGCAACGGCGAGATCGACGTCGACAACCTTTGTTCCGAGCTCCGCACCAAGGCACGCTGCTCTGAGGGCGGTGTGGTCGTGAACCAGAATGACGTTGACGACATCATGGGCCGAGCCAAATAGCTTGACCACATCTACGGTCATTGCTAGACCCTTAATTCACGATTCACGGCAAACACCTCACTGATACTCGCGCTCTTGTTTCAACGCATACCCAACATCAATCAAACATGGAACCCACACGGCATTACGAACACAGCAGGATAAAAGGAGGAACAAACGGACAGGCCAGGAATTCCAACATTTGGATACTCGGTCTTTGACTTTGATTTATTTGAACGCCTATGGCAAACCACTATCCATCCCAATGGAACACGAATTCCTATCCTCTTACATTTTTATCACTTTTTGCTATATGCACCGTTTTCCCCGTTTCAGTAATTTGTTATTTGAACTTCCATCTTGTTCTTAAGATCGGCGAATGGAGACTCGGTTCGACACGCAGGTGGTCATCTTCTTGAATTATTTACATACGGGATGGCGCTTCCATTTCCTATTGTACGGAGGGACTGCGGATACGGCGAACTTGATTTGAGGCCGGGACTTGCACTCATTTAAGAGTCTGTACTTTTTTTGTAAACAATCAATTCCCTTTATTGGATTTTGGCAACTATTTCCTGACATCTAGTCCAGTTAGATTGAGGATACAACTGAAATACATGGACTAGACTTGGAGTAGATGATCTACTGTGTTCAAGAACATAGAGCGAAGCTGCTAGGGTATCGATGTGTCTCCACGAAAATAGAACTAAAGTACAAAAAGAAAGGTGGCATGGTGTATTCTTTTTTTCATGGCTTGTTTTTTTTCTCATTTTGCTTTCTCTTCCTGCTTTTTTTCCACTCGTTCCGCGAACGCTCTCTCCGCAGACTTCACCACTTCACCATTCAATCATTCCCCGAGTCCACCAGCTAGAAGCCATCCAAGATTACCGTCTCAGATAGGCCCCGAAAAATGATCAAGTAAAGCACGTCAGACTCAGGAAAAAAAGGGGGAACTGCAAATATGACGGGAAAAAAAGGACCACAAGTATTAGAATATTGGGTTAACATCAAGGGGCGTGCGAAGACCAGGGCAATCGAGCGAATCTCGACGCCCAAGAGAAATATCAAAACGAGAGAGTCCAGGTGTCACCGCTTAGGCGTCAGTGGACTGGGCCGGCTTATCGCCGGAGGGAGTAGAGGAAGCGGGAGAGTCGTTTGAGCCCGCGCCGCTCTTGAAGCCTCCACGAGCACCTCCACGGCCGCCACGGCCACGCTCACCACCTCGGCCGCGGCCCCGACCACCGAAGCCACCACGGCGAGCTCCCTCGCTGTCACTGGCGCTCTGGTATCCACGCTGGCCTGCGCTAGCTCCACCCCGAGTGCTGGCTTGCCAGGTGCCGGCGCCGCCCTGGGCACGGTTGTTGCCGCGGTCCTCGAAGTACTTGAAGTTGGGCTTGCGGGGTTGGCCTGGAGCAACATTGGTAACCTTCTTGTGTTCAACGGGAAGGTGGTCAAGCATAGCCTTGGCCTCCTCGATAGCCGAGAAGGTAACAATGTGGTTGAACTTGCCGTACTTCTCCACCTTGACAACCTTGGACTTGTCCTCTTCAGGGATCAAATCACGAACGGCCTGCTCATTCTCAACGTTGGACACAAAGAGGATGTTGCTGGGCTTCTTCTCACGGGGACCGGGAGAGTCACTGGGCTTTTCGTGGGGGTTGTTTCCGTTGGTGGTGGACTCCGCGGCCTTCTCCTCGCCGGCTGGCTGAGCAGAGGCAGTGGTAGGGGGCTGGGGACTAACGGACTTGGGGATAACGGGAATGGGGGAAGCGCGAGCCTGTCCCTTTTGGCCCTGAGGAATGGGAGGACGAGCAGGGGGAGCCTGGCCAAACTGAGGAGCCACAACGGGGGTGCGAGCAGCACCAGTAGGGGCAGGAGAGGCAGTGGTGGCAGGAAGACCGCTGGAGACAGGTTGAGGAGCACCGCCGGCCTGGGGCTTGCCACTGCGGTGAGCAAAGTTGAAACCCTGAGCCCGCATCTCTGTAGCGATGCGTCCGCCCTCAATCTCGAGGACCAGGTAACCGAATGCAGCATCTGCCAAGTTGAAGTTCCACATGTTCTTGAAGGCACTCTCGTCGACCTGACCAGCAGCGTTGCCGGCGGCAACAGGGCCACCGAAGGGGTTGCCGCCGTTGGCGATGGAGGGCATCTTGGCAACCACATCTAGGGCGTTCTCTAGAAGAGTCTTTTGGCCATCGTTAGAAGAGATAGCAGACTCAACCTCACTGCGAACAGTCTCCCAAACATCAGTGAACGAAGCCTTGGATGCAGCAAGCTTGCCACGGTAGTGATCGAGAGATGGGTTGACAGAGAACTCGTTGTAGGAGGAGCCGTAGCGGAAGTGGAGACCGGCCGAGATCGAAAAATCGGCCTTCAGGGTGACGGATAGTTGGTTGAGCATACCCTCACGGGCGGGGGAGGCGTGAGTGACGAAAACACGCGTCTCCGAAGGATCGTAAACCCGGTTCGCTGTGTCGATAAGCTCGCCCATCTGCAGTAGCGTTGTCCACATGGTGCCCTGTCCACCTGCGATAGTCGTCTTTCCTTCACCGTTGTCGAACAGCTTGTGCATAACCACAGCACCGCCCAGACCCAGCAAACGAAGCTTCACTCCACCGATATCGAGCAGGCGGGAGTTGGCTTCATCAATAATATGCAGCTTATCCACTTTGTACTCGCCGGAGCGGAATTTCTCCAGCACGCGCACATCTTCACAAGCACCCCAAACTGTGTATACCGGCACGTCGAGGGTGATTCGCTTGTCGAGAAGCATAGAAAGCTCGGAGAGGGGTAGCTGATCAGCGGGGAATCGCTGCTTGATGGACTGCTGAGGGGGAACCTGTGCGATTGACCGCTTCACATTCTCGGGTAGAAGAGGAGAGTATTGTGCAACGTGCTTCAAGGTCCTGTTAGATTCCCAGGTTAGCTGATGCTCTTCGGTCTCGTTACGGTGGATGTTCGCTGCCCAGTGAAGAGGTGACGTATTGGGCAGCAAGAGTCGCGCCAGACTGATTGTAAGGTAAACTTACTTATCCGCAATCCGCTCCAGTGAGGTATCATCGTAGAAACCGAAGTCACCCGTGTGGATGATGTGGTCTGCGCGAGCCTGCTTGGCCAGTTCATTCAGAGACTTCAAGTTTCCTGTTGCACGGGCCCATTAGTCCATGGTCTCACCCTTGATTTCAAAATAACATCACCAGAGGCGACCTACCTCGTACGTCCGCAATACACAGAATTCGAGTGGGACCGCTTTGAATCACTCGGCCATTGTTAGGGAGAAGCGGCGTGGCACCGGGGACGGGACCGGCGGCCGCACCGTTCGCGAGAGGGTAGCCTTGAGGACCGAAGTTGTGAGGGCGGGGCTAGAAGAGAGAAGAATAACCGCGTTAGCTTTGGACTGCCGTTTCTCGCAAGTGTCGCGCATCTAGAAGCTGTTCCTAGGGGAAACGGGGTCAAGGAGCCACGTACAGAAGCCATGAGTGTCGTGTTATCAAAGGTCAAAGGTGATGGAGGATGGAGGGTATTGGCTCAAGAAGGGGGAAATGAAGAGGGAAGAAGTGGAAATGGAATCGAAGGGGAACTTTCGATGGAGATTGACTTTCCATGAAGCAACAGGCGTGATGCTGAGTAAGCCCCCTGGCAACACCCAATGGGGAAAAGCTCTACCTGGCACCTTTCTTACTTCTTTGTCTGTTGTTTATTCTATGCAATTGTTGCCTTCTGATTGTCTTTGCTGTACTGCTTATACCCCATGGTATTTGCCTAGGTAGGCTACGGAACATGTTGGACAGGACGTATGCCTCACTAGCTTGACGGAACTGGTTGTGGTATGACCATTTCCCAGATCAGATTTACACCCAATAATACTAGATATGCATGCCCGGGGATCTACCGTACAGTATTCCTACCAGAGAGTCAGTAGAATGGAATGCATACCGTATATACTGCTGTCTTTTATTCTTCCAACCTCAACGAAGTCAAACGTAGCATAGCTATTGCATCAATATCATAGCTCCTGAGACTCAAACATATGGTTCTGCCCATGTGTCTTTTCTGCAGACTCAGACGCTGGTCTATGGACATGACTCGACAAACATTCAATAGACCTCGGCCCCTTCAGTGCCAACAATGCGAAATGACCGCCGACAGTTGGACGTGCTCGACACAAAATGGGAACACCGGGCTCATTTCCGTGTGCAGAGGTAGCAACGTATCGATCAGAAAATGGCCAGTTGTGCTTCCCATTGGTCATGAAAGCCCACAGGTCATCGACGAACTCATCCCGAGTGCTCGTATCAAAGGTGCCAGCCAGCCACATATTCCAGTCTGACTTGGCCCAATCCTGACGATTGTCGAGTGGAACACCATACTCGCCTCGAACAGTTGCAAAGAAATCACTACCCATCCGGTAGGCAGCATCGGGGAACGTTTTCAGGTCCAGCAAGACATCCGGGAAGAGGTTGTATGGGGTCTTCCAGGTTTCTGGATAGTCAGGATATTCCAGCACAAAATGTGTCTTCTGTTTGTCTGTCCCCAGACCTTTTTCGAAAAAGAGACTCGCGTGCTCTTCCCCAATACGAGAGTAGTACTTGTTCCCACTCATCTCCCCGAATGCTTTGAGACCAACCGCCGCTTTGATTGCCAGATTTGTCTCATTGGCGAGTGGCCCAGCTGCGTCATTGGAAGAGAGCTGAGTCGCAATACTGATACTATTGTCAACCAAGTAGTCGGCGTACTTCTGGAAGATCTCTGTGTACTGTGAAGTCCATTTGGTATCACCGGTGGCGTAAGCATATGCAGAAGCTAGAACCAGAAGGTTTCCACACTCCTCAATGGGCATGGGCTCTGCTTGCTGGTCATCATGTCCAATGGCGTGAGGATAATGAGTGCCCAGATCATGGATTGTGTATGGCAGATGCCAGCGACCAGCAGCGAGATACTTCATCACGGGCTCCAGTAGCAGGCGAATGTAATCCGGATCCATGACATAGTAAACTGGGAAAGCGGGCATAATCACATCGATAGTGTTGATGTTTCCATCACTGGAAAGTTCCTTAATAAAAGCCAACACGTCGTTGGTGTCGAGCGTGTCGTTGGCGATAGTCAAATCGATACCTCCGTATGCTTGTCGAGTTGACAGAGCGATGATATCTGCATACTTGGGACCTGCAGTAGCCGCAGACAAGGTGACAATTTCCTTATCTAGCTTCCATGACTCCAACAATGCGCTGCCATAATCGTCCAAGAAGAATGATAGCGCACTTGAGGTTGTCGGGTACTCGGCCCGATAGTAGCCAGTGTAGGCTTCTCCGAGATAATTGATGGCAGATTCCCTCTCGTAGCCTACCACAAAGTTCACTGAGAGACCATCTGTGAAATGACCTAAATCGTGAACTAACGCGACGACACTTCCATCACTCCAAGTGTCGTCTTTCCCAGAGAGCACACCGGATTTCACAAATTCACCACGCACTTTCTCAGGCTTTCCTGAGAGGGCAGATACTGTGCTAAAGTTAGAAGGACGAGAAGCCAGGATCGCTTGACCCCAAAGAGCCATGTCATCTGCCTCGGCATACAGTGGTGCATCTTCAACCGTAAGTGAGTAGATGGCCAGGTTATCCTGCTGTTCGAAGCCACGCTGCGAGCGACGTGCCTTGCCGGTCCACCTGGCATCAATATCCGAATAAACTTGGATATTCTGACCGTTTGATCCAGACACATGTACAGTCAAGTAACCTGATTTCGGTTAGTACAAACAACAAAACAACAACTGAACCAAACCCACTAAAAGGAAGCGACTGCCGAAGATAATTCGATGGAGAAACCGGCGACAGGAAATCCAGCGTGACCTCCACAGAACCAGCCATGAGGTCAAAGACAGAATGCGTGGCAGTAAACTCAGCCCGATGCACGATCGCAGGGCGTATATCGCTTGCTTCGGGGGTTGGCACACCCATCAGACTATACGCCTGTCCATCAACACGGACAATAACCGACCAGCCAAGGTCCTGACCTGCCCAGAACTGGGGTTCGGAGTAGGGTAAATGCTGGACCCTGTCGCTGGGCATCCATGCCGACAAATATGGGTTGCGCACTGCTAGCGGGTAAGATGGCGGGAGTACTGGGTGATGGGTTACAGAGCCTGAGTCCTGGCCGGAGAAGAACGAGAATACTGAAGCGCAGAGGGAGCCTAGTCCCAGTGGACTTTGTAGATTGAATCGCATGTTCAGAGGGACCGGCCCTGTAACAGTGAGATATGTTATGAACCGCTCCGGGCAACTAAGTATCGAAACGAACGATGGTTTGACGATGTCAAGGTAGTTGCAGAAGTATAAAATATGTCAAGGGCTGCGCCCCTTGTCGATCAGCTGGCGTCATCTCGGGGAAACCCCACACTTTCAATCCGTACTTATCTTAGTTAAGTCATATACATGTACTTAGTTACTTAGTTGGTTATTTACTCAATCTACCCTCGACGAGTCTGAAGTTTGTAAGACTCATAGGTTAGGGAATATACAACTTCGGGTCTCTTTCGTACCAGAAACAGTTCAGTGTTTCATTATCCATCTAATTTCTCTAAAACACCCTACAGCTGGGCCTTCTCAATCCGACGTCCAATCTCATCGAAACGAATCTGTTTTCCAGATACAAGGGACTCCTGAAGGTAAGAACCAATCTCAACAGCCTTGACGGCATTGGTCAACTTCATAGGAAGCGGCGTGTTGTCCAGGCAGGCTGCAGTAAAATCATTGGCCTCTTGCACAAAGGCCGGGCTGAAGCGACCCATGAAGTTGGGAGGGATCTCGCGAGTGATGCCACCGGAGTGGTAGAGGTTGACAAAGTTGCGCTGTGGATTGCCGTTGACGGTCAGCTTGCCCTCGGTGCCAATAATCTCAGTGGTGTCTTCCTGGCCGGCAGCCATCATGCGGGAGCAGTAATAGTAGGCAATCTTGCCATTCCAGAACTCCACAATGCCGACCGCATTGTCGTAGTCGTTGTATTTCTTGAGCTCCGGTTGCACTGCGGTGATACCATGGGCAGAGATGCTTTTGGGGAGGACGTCATCACCGAAGAACCACAGACTGAGATCAATGTCATGCACTGACATATCGACGAACACACCACCGGACCACGCGGCGTATTCAACATAGAAGCCCGAGGGGTCAAACTTGTCGCAAGTTTGGCTGCGGATAATGGCTGGTCTTCCGATGAGGCCCTGCTCCATCTTGGCATGGGCATCTCGGTAGGAGTCATCAAAGCGTCTTGAGAAGCCGCACATCACCTTTAAGTGAGGCTTCTTCTGGGCAGCTTGAACCACTGCTCTGCACTATAATTGGATATGGATCAATATTGGCTATGAGCCGGAGGAAGCATATAGAATCATACCACTTCGACATCGGTGGACAATGGCTTCTCGCAGAGAACGTGGAGGTCTTTCTCAATGGCCTTGATAGCCTCCTCAGCGTGAACAGAGGTAGCAGTTCCAATGGCCACGGCCTGCAAGCCGGGGTGTTTGAGCATCTCATCGTAATTGGTGTAAAGAGTCACACCGTGAGGCTCCAGGTTCACTCTTCCCCATGCAATTTCAGTAGGGTCGGGGGTGAAAGCTGCAACTAGCTCTGCCCGGGGGTCTTCTGAAGAAAGTTGGTGGCGTGCAACTTCCCGACACGACCTAGGCCGGCCATACCAACTTGAAGCTTTTGAATGCCCATTGTGTTGGAGGTATTGGAAGTATTGGAACAAGTCGAAAGGAATCGATAATTGTCTTCTGTTTTCCTCGTCCCATGAGGGGGTTTAAATAGCTTTGAGGGCAAACCTCCCGCATTGTGAACATACCACTTTCGATCTCATAGGCAAAAATCCCCGCGAGAAATGGTGGAAGTGGAACATGAGATACACGGAAAGAATTGCCGGGAAAAGGAAAAGCCAAGTTCCACTTCAACATGGAGAAGTGATGGAAGAAGTGATATACACACGCACAATTATTTATACACCCAATAGGAGAGCGAGCCAAGACCCATATTCTACTTACTCAATTGGTCAGAATGCTGCATACTAACCCAACTAAGACAGGCACTTTGCTTATATAATGATTGTGCGTGCATGTACCAACACATTCTCCCCGCAACTCCAACTTCCACTTCCACTTCCACAGCCAATGCCGCAGATCAATGAGAGTAGTGGGTCATATTCCCGGAAAGAATCCCCCCTCTTCACTGTTTGCTCAGACAGCAATTCATTCCATGCAGATGTCTCATGTCGTCCAAGAGAAGTCGCCTAGTGGCTGGTTGGTAGGTCATAGATTATCCCGTTCTATGCACGATATGAACTAATTGATTTGCTCAGCCAACGATGTCGTGGTAAGTGTCTTAGGGGGTGAATTGAACTAATTGCTGACCACTACATAGTCCGACACCTGAAGTGTAAGCTACATTGTACCTGGAATGGCACACTTGACTAAACTGGAAATCAAGGTGATCTCAATGACCAGGATTGCGGGCACTGTCAACACGCTGGCGTCGAATGTGATCGAACCAATATCCGGTTTCGCAATGGTCTTTTGCTCCCCAAAGAGCCTGAACTTGCGTTTCCGGATCAGAGTAGCTGGCCCCAGCTACATGGCCAAGGTTTGTACTTTATGTGATTTGCTGCAATCAATCTAACTTATGCTCTAGTGCGCTTCCACAATGAAACTCCAGAGATCGCCAGTTTGTACTCGGCTTTTCCGCATGGCCAATCAACTGCCATTGGTAATTCAGAGTATGGTTTGGCACTCGGAGAAAGGGAGAGACCTGAGAGCCGGACTGTACAGCAGAGTATACAACCATTTGCAGCTACTGCCTTGACGCCAATACCAGCTCGCGGTGCAGAAAGCCACTCACCGTCCGCCTCGCCGTTGTCTTCTCCAAGGCCAATACAGTCTAGATCATCATCAAAGCCATTGTATTCTCTGACTGAAAGAGAAGCTGTGTTGATGAGAAACTACGTTGAGAACATGGCCCTTTGGGTGCGTATTTGCTTAGCTGCGAACCGATTTGCGACTGACAACTAGAATTTCAGGCTGACATCACGGACCCCCAACGGCACTTTGAAACTGAGGTTCCAGCTCGTGCATTAAATGAGCCTTTCTTACGTTATGCGGTATTTGCATTCTCATCGCGCCATCTTGACCGTCAGGATGGCAGTGATGTGACAGAAGCACTGCAACATCACAATTGCTGTGTTCAACTACTTATTCCGGCACTCTCTGAGCCTCGAGAACATATCACTGAGGATATTCTTGCAACAGTTGCTATACTTCGCCAGCATGAGGAAATGGACGGTATGCATACCGGCAGCCGTATAGCTCATTGGCACTAACACTCTCTAGGGGAGGATAATCAATTCCATCTTACCGGCACGACACACATATTGAACACAGTATCAACCTTTGGCTCATCAGGTGGCTTGGGGGAGGCTGCAGCTTGGCTCTGTTTGCGTCAAGACATCTATATCTCTCTGACCACTCAACGGCCTCTCCGAACTGATCTGCAAAGTTTTTATCAATCCGACGTGTTTCGAAGAAATGACGATTTTGCATGGTCTAGCCGAATGGTATTCTTGCTAGCCAAAGTTCTCCAGAGTGCTTTTACCGACTCTGCGACAGCACATGGCATAGGAGCCGAGATTGACGAATGGTACTCCACTAAGCCATATACATTTGAACCTGTCAGGTCTGTTCCACGAGGTCCGGAGCCCGACCAGCGATTTCCGACCATCTGGATGCTATTGCCCGTACATGGTAAGTGATGCCGGTACATTCGAGAAATCCAGACTGACTTGCTAGTCATCGGCATTCAATACTTCCACCTCGCCAAGATTGTCTTGGCGCTCTCGGAGGGATCGAACGCATCATCCGCCTATGAAAGTCTACGCCACTCTCGAATAGTGGAGGTTCGACCATCTCTTCTCTATTTTGTCGGTCGGAAATACTCACAATGCTACAACGCTAGAAAATTGTTCGTCATCACCTGCTCACCGTGCTGGGTCTGGCCCATTCAAACAGCAAGGCTGAAAATACCCTGTTTACTGCACGGCATAGTCTAGTGGCCTGTGAGTTACCAATGCCATTTCAGCTCGCCTTTAACTAACTCGGAAGGGGGATGGGTCCTTCGGCATCGCCTAGATCAAAGGGCTGCGGAGGCTCTATTGCAAGCCATGCATGCAAGGACCGGCTGGAATATGGATTCGCTCATCCAGTCATTGCGGGCACAGTGGCAGGAGGTGGATGATAATTGACAGTCCTCATGCCAGCGCCAGATTCGTGCCCACAAAGAAGTGCCGTGGGTTACTGCAGCCGATCTAGCGGCATATCCGAGCGCAAGAGAAGTATAGCAACTATACCCGACAAAAAGAGCAAACATGCTATAAATGTCCAGTTCATGACCAAAGTCCAAGCCCAGGAAGTCCAAGAGTCCAAGAGTCCAAGAAGTCCGAGTGTACATTCAAGTGTCAATCTTCACCTCCTTTGGGCAAATCTGACGTCTGGACCTGGGGCCTTGCATCATTGTAAGGGGGAAAGACCCACTCAATATTTAAATCACCGCGCGTTCCTGGACGATCCTCCCTGATTCTTTTCTTCTTCTCTTCTCATTTTTACTCGGCTTACTCGATACTCTATTCTCTCGGACCTCAAACATTTACGAAATCCTGCAAGCGCCACCCTTGTTCAACCCCGCAAATCCACTAGCGTGTGGAGGCGTTTTACCCCAGACCGCGTGACAACCAAGACGCTTTTTCCTCAGGAACTACAAATCTGCGCTCAGGATTGATTCTGATCCTGCAAAGCCTCAAGCCTTTCAAATCAACTTCCTATATAGCATCCACCATGCAAAGTCCAATCCTCTCCCTTTCTACCATCCCCACAATGGGCACAAAAGAGTGCGCAAGCACCCCAACCTCGCCCCCACTCTCAAGCGCAATTCCTCCGTCATACAACGATGTGAGCGGCGCAGTCGTCATTGGCGCCGACGGCAAGCCTCACTTTCTATCCGCAGAAGAAGAAGTAGACCGGCGATTGCGACTGGAACAAGCAGTCCGCGAAAAGATGCTAGGGCTACCACGAACAACGCAATTCGAATGGCCACAAGGTACATCAACCGAGCAATTACCGGCCTATTCACCACGGGAAGAGAAGATATGATTTGGTTGCATGTATCTTGGACATAAACATTGAAAGCGAGCGAGATACCCGGACTACACATGTATATAATACCATACCCCCACTGAACAACAACTGGATTGAATGCAAAGAGATTCGCCTTTTATTTCATGGCCGTAACCACTATAGTACAAAAAAAGATGCGTATGTATGTAAATGTGCAGACCTTCTAGTTTCGGAACAGTCGCAAACCACCTTCCTCACGGTCATCATCCTCCGCCTCGCTCCCACTCTCATCGCCCTCACCGAGGACGCCACTAGCCGTCCGACCAAGTAGAGAAGCGAAGAACTCGTCGCGCGCGCGCGTAGTCCAGGAAGCCCGATCGTCAGGAGCCATGAAGTTCTGCAGCTTCTCATGCACAGTATAGCGCATCTTACGACCCTTGGAGGCGCGGGTATCGACATCTCGCTTCACCTTGTCGTTGCGCATACCGGTGACGGGGTGGATGGGCAGACGGGAGGGCAGGTGGTGCAGGTCGAGACCGTTGGTCATAGCCTCGGAGGAGGACATGCGCTGCTCAACAAGGTCTCGGAGAAGGGACTGGTAGAAAGCGCCGTCGTCGTAGAGGGGTTCTTGCTGGTCGGACGAAGAGCGGGCGCGCTTGGAGGATCGTTCGCCAATCTCTGTGGCGACTTGGGCGTCTAGGACGGCTGTGATGGTTTGCTGGCGGCCTGCAGCGCCGAGGAGCTTGCCGCGGGCATTGGGGAGAGATGCAGAGGCGCCTCGGACCTTGGAGGACCATTTGTCGAGAATGAAACGGCGGTGCGAAATGGATTCGGATTCCAATTCGGACATGCGCTCCCAAAGTGAGGCGGTAGTGGTGGTGGGAGAGGCGGGGAGGGTCTCTTGCGCTTTTTGCTGTCGTCTTTGGAGTTGGCGTCGGCGAGGGCGGATCGCAGACCCTCCAGAGTCGACCATAACGCTAGAGCTGCTGATTCTGCCGATTTGATCGCTTCCTCGTCGACCATTTCGTCGTCGCCGTCCGCGTTGTCTCCATTTTCGTTAAATCCCAAAGAAGCGATACTGTTCACAGCCGTCAATCCACTCTGGAGCTTGATACGGGTGTTCAGCAAGGCATCAAAAGTAGCACGCTGCTCTTTCACAGCCTTGCCCTTGGTAGCATCGGCCTTGGCCGCTGAAGAAATCGTTGCAGCAATGGACTTTTGGTCTGTCGCCATCAATCTCCGAAGTTCATCGCGGTCACCCGAGGCGGGGGCGCTTGTTTCGGCACTCTTCTTGCTCTTGCTGGACTTCTTTGGGCGTGGTTCTTCCTCCTCAGATTTCTCGCTCTGATCATACCCCTCTTCGTCGGAGCTCTCTTGATCCAATTCATCCTCCTCGTCGTCGCCCGATTCTTCGGCATCCACTTCAGAGCCGAGATCTGAGCCTTCGTCGTCAGACCCGCTCTCCTCGGAGCCAGAGTCTTCGTCGGAACGAGCTGCAAATGGATCATCGTCACTGTCAGCGCCTAGGGCGTCTCTGCTGACACGGGCGCCTTCATATTGTTTTCCTAGGGCGACGGGGTCTTCCTTGCGGAGCTTTCCTTTGCTATTTCAATTATTAGTATGTGGTATGTCGTTATATACGATTGAGTATTCCTCACTCACCCCACAGCTTGATAATGCTCCCGTCCGGCGTTCTCGTCAGGCTTCTCGACATCTTCGTCATCGCTTGACTGGCCGCCATTCTCAATATCCTCCGGATCGAAATCTAGGTAAGAAGTCAGCATTGTAAGTCCCAAGGCGACATATCAACAGTGGTCCTACCCTTAGGTGTGGGATCTTCAAAATCAGCCAGCTGATCAGCCAGCGAACGTGTGCCTTTCCCCATGCTGTTGCTTGTTTGCTATGGAGAAAAGAAGATTGCTTCGCGACTTTTTTTTTGCGGTTTTTCCGGATAACGGATCAACTGGCCTATCTTGGACTAGCGGCAGGCGGTCTACGTCTGTGGCCGCCACGCGGTCAGTGCGCTGGGCGGTCGGAGCTAGTATCGGCAGTATCAATTATCCTCACAGCTTCATGAACTTCTGTTCATATATTGTTTAGTCCATTTCTTAATCTGCTTTGCAATTGCCGATATGCTGGCATCTCCTACTCGTGGAGCTGCCATGCGTGTGAGACTATTTTCCACCTGCAGGGTTCTCCAACATGATAATCCTCTGGTCAGTTCTTACATCATCCTCGGAACTCTGTTGCTGCTTCAATAGTGCATCGACTGTCTCCAGAAGCCCCAAGCTATAGAAGGCTCAATTGATAAGGAATCTCAGCGACTAACTCTCAACAGGGACTTCCGCGCTCTGGAACCCCTCCATCCTTTCGTTCTCGTCGCAATCTCCCCGAAAAGCGGAAGATTCGAGATGTCAAGAAAGTTGTTGCAGTCTCGTCAGCAAAAGGTGGTGTGGGAAAGTCAACAATAGCAGGTGGGTCGTTTATTTTTTTTATATGCGCCTCAACTCCACTCGCAATGCAAGACTCAGAGAGCAAATTGATTGGACAAGCGCTAATGGTATACTTCAGTAAACCTCGCGCTCTCCTTCGCGCGCCGGGGCATTAAGACAGGTATTCTGGACACTGATATCTTTGGCCCATCTATTCCAACTCTTCTCAATCTCTCTGGCGAACCTCGCCTCGATGAAAGTGAGTCTCTCGTATTAGATCACCATCGGAGCGCACGCATCGATCGAAATACTCACATAGCCACTAGATAACTGCCTCGTCCCATTAACAAACTACGGCCTCAAATCCATGTCAATGGGCTATCTCCTCCCACAAACACAAGCCGACAGCACAACAGGCGAACTACCAATGGATACAACACCAATCTCATGGCGCGGACTCATGGTCACAAAAGCAATGCACCAACTCCTCCACTCCGTCTCCTGGGGACCCCTCGACGTCCTAATCCTTGACCTCCCCCCAGGAACTGGCGATGTCCAGCTCACAATCAACCAAGAAGTCATAATCGACGGCTCAGTCATCGTAACAACACCGCAAGATATCGCACTCCGCGATGCAGTCCGCGGCATCGGCATGTTCCAGCGTATGGACGTACCAGTCCTCGGAATGGTTCGAAACATGGCTTTTTTCGCTTGCCCGCAGTGTGGACATCAGAGCCGCATTTTCTCGCATGGCGATAGTCCGCACGTGCACGATGAGTCGCATGGAGTAGTCGCGGAGTGCAAGAGACTTGGGGTGGACTTCCTTGGTGACATCCCCCTTGATGCTCGGGTCTGCGAGGACGCTGATCGGGGTATGCCCACTGTTGTTGCGGAGGAGAGTGTTGAGCGTAGTGCTAGGCGTCAGGCTTTCCTTGATGTTGCGGAGCAGGTTGCGAAGAAGATTGGTCTTGATTGGCGTTGAAAGGGACTCTGCTTAATTGTGTAAACATATCATCGTTGTATATTATTATAAGACTTGCATCATCCAGTGGCTGGTTCTTGGCTACGGTTGTTTTTGAGATTGGAATTTGAGCTCCCCTCCCATGAATGTTATTTACGAGTTTGATTTACTGCATAAGCCTTTCGATAAATGCTAAATCGGGTATAGATTGTTCATTCTCTGAATTTCAAATGTAGGTTATAGTCGCAGCCAGAGGACCAGGAATGGGACCGCCAACATCGGGTATATCCAAAATCAAAACACAAGTTATAAGACAAAACGAAACGGTGGCTCAGGGAGTAGAGCTTCAACATGGTGAACGTGTACGTGTCCACGTAAGAACAGTTCAGGTATAAATAAACCAAATGTAAAAGATCCGAAAAAGATAGAACGAGAACATAAAAAATTCGAAATAGATCAGGATAAATAGCAGAGATGGCAGCCTATAGCTATAGGCCTTCCTCAGCTGTCTTGAAAACCTCTCTATCAGGCATGTCGGGACGCTGGGAAGTCGAATCACGACCAGCAGCAGAGAAAACCGAAAGTGTATCAGTAGACATTCGACCATTCTCGCTCGCCATCAACGGGATGACACCTTTCGCACCCAGTACAGCACGGTTGCTAGCACTATCAGACGCCATATTCATACGAGCAACGGAGTCCTTGTCGCCACCAACAGTACTAGCTGTGTCAGACACCATCTCGCTGCGACCGGTAACCGAGCCCGCAGCGGACCCTGGCCGATATCTACTGTTAGACAAGGAGATATCGGACTTCATAGGGATAGTGCCTGCCGCATGGAAGAGAGCTCTAGTGCTTGCGTTTTCATCGGTGAATTTGCGGTTATCCACCTCAGGTAGTATGAGAATTGGACCACTTTTCTCTGATAGAGGACGGGAGGCTGAATCGGGTTCAGTGGACATACGACCTGTAAAAGAGTCGGCCGTATTATTATTGGGATGTTCCTTCTCATCCCAAGTGACGGAAGTAGGACCGGTGGCGTGTGATTTCTCTTTGGTAAGGTCGTGATCCGCGGGAGTTTCGCCTTGAGGGTTCTTTGACGGTGTGCTAGACCAAGCTCCAGCCTGGCCAGCGTCAACACTGGGACGGGTCGAAGGCCGGCCAGATTGGGTAGCCTGCCGTTCCTTTTCCATTGTGCGCTCGTCATGCTTGCTTCCCCAGCCACTCCAAAGCATCATACCATAGTTCTTCTTGGCATGACGCTTTGGTAGCACGCCGGGAGCAGCACGTCGAGCCGCTAGAGAGCTTGCAGGCGGGCATTCACCATTGAAGTCTTGGAACCCATGAGCCAATTCCTTCATGCGGCGGCGTTGGACCCGGAGCTTCTCCTTGGAAAATTTAATATCCCATTCTTGCTTTGCTGCCAGCCACTTTCGAATGAGTTCAGGATTGATCGCGCCAATGTGAGCGGGCGGGATTTCTAGTACCGGATATGAAGACGGAGGATCAAGTGGGAAAATGTGTCCATGTTTATTGACACGTTGGCGAATCATGTGTTGATGGAATGCTGGTAGAGGATCTCCGGCTTTGCCGACGGACGCAGGTCTTTCTTTCGGAGCTGATTTGTTGGTCTCGGCTTGGGATCCTGAGAAGCCTTCCTCAGAACTGCTAGAGCTACAAGACGTGAGGGGCATCAGGACAGAGTCGTCTATAATATCAACGTCTGCCTTCTGCGCACGAGCCAAAGCCCAAGAACCGAACTGAGAGATAGATCGGAACATGTACTTGGCTGGCTGTGTGAAGCTGAGAGTGGGAGCCACATGGCAAAGATGGTCCCACACCTGAAGCTGTACATAGGTCGGTGCGTACTTATTCAAGGTCTCGCGGGTTGGGTCATTCTCGTCCAAATACACATCACTGGGTGGATATGCTGTCGGGTTGGCTGCTTTGTGGGCCACGTAGAACTGCTCATCACGAAGCATCTCACCGCCGCCGCTAATGATCTGAAGAGGAGGAAGGCCACCGAGTGAGGGTTGCAGGACAGGTGAAACAAGAGGGTGGGAGATGAGTTGATTTGTCGTGTACATTTGGATTTGATCCTTTAGTTCAATGGTCTTCCCATCCAACAAAACGTGTATGTTGTCAGGTTCAGCCTGCAGGGTAGCAGGATCCTGGCCCTGTTGTTGACCAGGGTAGGCAAGTTCGGTACGAGGAGGGGAGTTTTCATGAACAGTATATCCACGAACAGCTGTCTCTTCTGCCGCGCTATTCGGTGCAGGGATTGCTTTCTTGACATCCTCGGCAGTGACCGTTGGTTGCTGCGACATTTTCTTCATCTTCAGAATATCATCGGCGTTGGGAGGAGGCCAGGCGGTTGATGGTTTGTGACGGAAACCCCATGGAGGGATATAATCACCTGGATTGTGCTTAACAATACTCGGAAAAGAGTGCGTCAAATCAACCCAGGGCGAGATCAAGATAGCGCCTGCGGGCAGAGGAATGCCTTGGTCTCGCATAATGACCAGCATTGAGAGGGCCATGCCTCCGCCCGCAGAGTCACCAGCCAAAATGATTTCGTTGGGCTCATATGACTTGAGCAGCCATAGGTAGGCAGCCATTGAGTCTTGCAGTCCACATGGGAATGGGAACTGCGGTGAGAGGCGATAGTCCGGCGCAAACACACGTCCCTTAAGCTTGCGCGCATGGCGCTGCATCATATACCGATGTGTGTCGACACTTCCAAAAAAGTAAGCACCGCCATGGATATACAGCATCACTCGATTGGAGCGCTGGTTGGCTTTCTTTGTCTCATTGTAGTGGTTGCGCATCTCAATCCATTCTCCCTTCAACTCTTCAGATGGCCCACGCCATTGCCACCATTTCTCTCCCCCAACTCTTGTGACACCTTTCTGGCCCAGCTGCTTGACAATTGCATCTCCAGCAGACGACAGGAACTCATCGGGGATTGTAATGGTCTCGGTTCTCACCCAATGTGGGCTGGGCACCCATTGCCGGGTAAATGCTTGGAGGTCTTCGACAGGATGCTTAGACGCATAGTACAGGAATTGGCGCACGATCTGGATGCCCTCGTCGTAGGTGATATGAACTGTTGGTTTGTTGTGTAGCGATTTGCGGTGCAGGTACTACAATGCGACATCAGTATGAACTTCGACTTCTCCCTTCACACAAGAACTTACATGGCTGATCAGAGTATGCAACACTGTAGGCGTCAGTGCCGCACCAAGTGCGAATGTATGCAATGGCATTATATATCGTCGATGTCGCGTAGTTGCGACAGAGGCCAGGTGAGGTTTAGTTCCAAAGTAGAGTCCAGTGATATATGAGCCGATCTTATTAACGAGAGACAAAGTTCGGCCACCAACCCAATGCCTCGGTGAAAAGAGAGGAGAGAGAGAAAGAGAGAGCGAGAAGTGAACAAACACAGGGGGACTGCGATGATGTCATTGTCGATCTCCACTAACTTATGGAGAGAACCTCAACTCTACGCTAACACTCGACTAACACAACACTAGCTCCACTAATACTAACACTAGCAACGCAGTCACTACAAGCCACTTTGGCGTTTCTAGTCTCCACTTCGTTTCCATAGCCTTTGTCCAAGCCATACAACTGCGACATACCCCAGTGCAATGACTCCAGCCACAACGCTGGCCGCAATCACCGCCCCACGCGGCCCGTGCGCAAGCTTGAATCCTAGTCCAGCATTGATGATTCCCAGGATGATCAGGAGTCTCCCAAACCACCGATGTGTATAGGCAAAGGTCCCTTTCCACCAGTCCTCCGGAAGAACCGGTGCTGTAATATCCCCATGGCAGGCTGGAAAACAACGAGGCAGGCAACAATTACCATGCCGATAATGGGATGGTAGTGATGAACCAAGGAGAGATCCCTTGCCATGGAAACACCAACACCGAGGCCAGCAATGACAACAGCCAGAGTGAACAGTTGACTGGGCCAATGGAGATTCACTGTCCACTTCGCTGGGAAGAGATGGAGGCCCAGTGCGAAACATGGGAACATGACCACGAAGGCCAAGATCATGAGCACAGCATGCGCCGTCTGCTTCTTATTGATCATGTCTGAGAAGGAAGAAAAACTCGGATCTGCACTGGGAACAGACGCTTGGGCCAGTTGAGCGAAAGGGTTCTCCGAGCTGCCACCCGTCGCTTTCTTCATGTCGATAGACACGACACCCTGGTCATCGTGTTGGGTGATTGTCTCGGAAGCAATGGTTGATTCCAGCGAATCCCCGAACTTCACTGCCCAGATCCACGGACTTGAAGAGCTGTTGACATTTTCTGTTCCACCATTCCATTTCAGGCAGGTATCGCACCGGATATTGGCGGTAATGACTCCGTCGTGTACACCACTGCCATTGAGAATTGTGATTCGGGCGTCTTTGTTATATAACGGCTCGACTTCGGCTATGCCAGACCGTGGAGAAACTGTCACGTTGTTGCCGGAAGTATAAGTAACAAAGATATTGGCGCCTGCCATCCCCGTTCCTTGCCCTAGCGCAAACCATTGCACTTGACGGGTAGAATTCATTTGAAAGTAGATAGATCCAGAGCCGGATTGGGCGGTCCTATCGGGAACATTGATACTATAGGTGATTTCGTCGTGGCCGAGGGGGTGGAAGCTCTGGAGTTGGGCCAGCACAGGGACGGCCCAGAGCCAAGCGAAAACATGTCGGGCCATATTTATGAGGATTGCTGTCGATTTTCAGCGGGAAATGTTTCCTCAATAAATAAAGCGGCATACATGGCTCGGCTCATTGTCGCACGGTTCTTTTCATATCGACTGGGCCAAGACATTATTATGGCCGACTGTCGGGTAATTACCTTTAAATTCCTACTGTTGAAGTCAGTGTCACAGCCCAACATTTACTTGAAGTAGCAGTTTACGAGATGCCTAATAAGGTACTCCTGTATTGACGATCTCCTCGTTCTCGTTTTCGTAAAATTGGTTCGAATGTTGAGCCACTTGGGGGTCAAGGTTGATACGAAAGTTCCCAGCTGCGCCTCCACAGTGTGGACCCTGAGACGATCAGCAAATCAGCTGACAGTTCTATGGAGTGGCGCATTCTAAGACATCTTCATAAATCGAGCTCTATAGAGTGAAGAGCCCGAGGCCGTGTCTGTTTTGTACCTGGCAACTCTCATAAGCTTTTCGCACATTAACCTAATAGGGCTACCGTGTGAACTAGGTTTCGAGCTAAGTCGCTCCGTGGCTATGCCATAGATATCTATTCATGTCTATATCATTCACTATTTGGAATAGAATAGTAACCCCGCGGGGTAGAGGCGATGTTAGATATAAAATGTATCCCAACGGTACAATATCCGTTATACTTCAGAAAGCCAAGAATACCAAGATACCTTTGACTGCAACAATGTTGACCGCAATGATTTTTCTTCTTTTCGCGCTTCCATTTACCAATGCCCAGTATGGTTCAAACGATGCTAGCACGACAACTAGTGCATCGTCGAGCACCACAGCCTCGGCATCAAGCAGCACCCACAAAGTCAATGTCGGCGAAGACGGCTTTACATTCAACCCAGATACACTTACTGTATCTCCAGGAGAAAAAGTCGAATTTCATTTCTTCCCACAGAATCATTCCGTGGCCCAAGCTTCCTTCGATAATCCCTGTCATCCCATGAACACGTCAGGCTTTTCTAGTGGGTTCATCCCAACTACGACGGAATCAGTAAGTACGTCGGAACTGGATGAACCAATAGTACCTGACTCCAATAGGAAACCGTTTTCACTCTGACAATCAACGACACAACCCCAATCTGGTTCTACTGTGGTCAGATTGAGCATTGTCAGGCCGGCATGGTTGGGGTTATCAATCCATCGTAAGCATACCTTTTTTTTGGTGGATTTGGCTGACTATTGGCTCTTCAGATCAAATGGCCAGGAAACCCTTGACTCTTTTAAAAAGGCCGCCTCTACCGCTGAAGGCAGCACTATACCTGTAACTGTTCAAGGTGGTTTCCTGGGGAAGTCTGGAGGGGATTCCTCGAGCTCGAGCAGCACAACTAGCTCTACTGCTAGCCCGACTAACGCTGGTAATAGTGTTGGTAATGCTTTGGATATGTGTATTCTTCTGGTTTTGGCTTCTTCTGTTGCGCTTTCTATGATGTAGTAGGTTGTTGGTTCATTTTATAGTACGGTTCCTGGTCAGTGCAGAATAGTTGTTCCGAATTTGAGTATCCGTTTCTTGTTGTGAAGGCGCTGAAAAGTATCCGCAAATCTAAAAATAAATTCTTCTGTACAGAAACCGTAGGTACATGGAAATCTATATCATAAGTAAGCCCGAGAAAATCTCGAAATAAACGAATAACCTGGAACTGTCCAATAGCTGAGCGGGTGTCGTCAACGTTCTTCACGCTCGCTTACATAGGAATACTGTTAAGACGCAGTAACGCAATACCTTGTTCTAGAGTGCATAAAGCGCGTAGCACATAGACGATGAGGATCGCACGTCGAAGAGTGCTAGCAAGCTAGCCCTTAGAGGACCTAATAACTACCTATGAAAGTTAGAAAAGCCGCAGTATAGCCTCCGAGTATAATTCTCAAGACCACAACTAACCTAACATGCTTATAATAATGACGGGAAGCAAGGAGATAGCCAAATTGAATTCGCCACTTGTCGAGATCCACTCCTTTCCTAATAAATATATTTATTTGGCACGTCACTCCGATCAGCTATATGAATACCGACTGTCGAGCAATGGTCGCAGCACGTTTTACACATTTTACCGCATCACCTGTCGTATTGAAACATAGTTCTTACCATCCACCATTTTCGATATCCCCAGTCGGGTCGCATAGCCTAGTTATGTGAAGGGCTGGGCATCGACTATGAGCTGAATACGTACGAATGCTTGCCCCTTTTGGCCGCACCAGCGTACAAAGCACTGCACCCTGCGGAATCGGCACCAGTCATTCAGGACGGTGATCTAACCTTGGCTGAGAGCGGCGGTTGCATGGGATATTTTAGACGCGAGTACACCAACGGCGAATTGTTCCCAGACCAGACACACCCTTCTTACGGGTGATTTTGTATTTTGGTGGCACTAGTGTAATGGCAATTTTATGCTTTGTTTGGTGAATGCCATGATGGCATGTGCGGTCCTACCTTGGAAAGAATGTTCGTGAGGAAGCCATGGCAGTACTCTCTGCACGCTACGTGGTCGGATTGAAGATGCTGGATAATAGACTGCAAGGTAATAAATGGCCGGCGGGGAGAGAATTTACCGTGACGTATGTGATGGTCACCTTTGCACTGACTACGCTTCGATGCTTCTACCTATACAGTGTGGCCAAGTACCTCAATATTTTGAGGTACCTTCGGCGCATTGGCAAGAGACAGGTGTATCAGAGGGCAATAGTCAGGAGTAATCCCGGGATAGGAGCTGCTGATAGGCCGAGTGGCCTAAAAAACCCTTTTTTCGACGTGAAGGAGCAGGGAGAGAAAAGAATGTAGATTGGCAAAATGCTACGCTGGTCCGGGAGAAAAGCTGTAACATCATGAACCCTTAGGGTTCACGTGAAAAATCTCTCGGTCATGATACACCTGACGATCTTGTATAATTTTTCACTGGCCAGAATTTTGACTGCTGTGGAACGTTGCTTACGGAGATAACCTATTATCTTCGGGAAATGAAGTATTTTTCGGAAAGTCTGCATTGAACGGGCTTTTTTTTTTTTTTTCTTTGAGCTTCTAACTGCCATTAATAACCCAAGTTGATGATCTACAAGTGGACACAACAACCTTGGGAGAGTGAACCCCAAAGGCCTATGTCTATATTCTATCAACAACTCAGGTCTAATTAAATCTCCGACGTAAGATCATCATTCTACGGACCTAGTTGACCAGGAAAGACCCTTTCAAACAAAAGAATCATCCCTGACCTGGCCGCAAGGTACACCAGAAAATTCTTGGCTTTCCCCACAGTGCTCTGAAGGTACTCTTTTCGACAACATCGCGAGGCGGCGATCTGCAACTTCATACCACACTTGGTAGCATCCTCGGGCCCTTCTTGGCAATGCCAAAGGTCCCCAACGGTATTTGAGGGTCCTAGCATAGATGTGCGGGTATATAATCCAGACGAGAAGATGGAAGAATGCCACATAAACCCTCGAAAATGATCGGCAAGTTGTACCTCGTGGCAGCAGTGGTCGCCCATGGTCTACCGGGGCTCGCCAGGACTATCGAGCAAGAGACTGTGAATGTGACAACATCTGACACGGTTCGGCGCGGCGAACTGGCTAACGTTCATCTAAATTGGATTGGTGAGCCACCGAGTCTGATTGAGTCGAAGTATGCCTCCTGTGACGGCCAGGCGATTAGCGAAGAGCAGATGATTGCGCATTTCATTATTCAAGATCAGCCTCCCCAACGATTGGTCTGGGCAGTCCCCGAGGATGCTCCAAGCTATCACTGTGTGTATGTTTATGGACGTGATACATCAGATAACACACAGAGTCTGCTGGGGAAAAGCAGGCCGGTATCTTTGCAGAATAAACCAAAGAAGCGATCAACAGCAGACACCAATATTCCGTTGTTGAAAGACTTTGACGCACTTGGAACATGGTTCGACGGAGTAGCCAGTATCAGGGACAAACTTGAAGCCACCGGAGGAGTCACTTCAGGGAGCTCACCAAAGAATGCCTCGATCGCGATTGTTGGTGGAGGTATCTCTGGTCTCGCGACAGGCCTGATGCTAGACAGTGTCGGCGTGTACAACTGGGAGATTATTGAGGCCAGCGACCGTGTTGGAGGCAGATTCCGAACCAAATACGTTGCAGGCACACAGGAATGGGCTGAGATGGGACCCATGAGGTTGCCATACTCTGTGACCTACAAAGACGACAATGAGACTCTCCTGTACTCCGACCACCAGTTGACATTTCAAATGGCAAACATCTTGAACGAAATGAACAAGAATAACTCGCAGTGGAAGATCGACTTTATTCCCTGGATCCAACATAGTCCCAATGAGCTACTTGCTCAAGGGACTCGTCGCCATCCGGATGGAAGGATCCCAACACGCGCCGAAGTAGAGGCAGATCCGAGTCTGGAGGACGCACCGGATATTACTACGGCCGAGTTCAAAAACACCCAGGATCAGATGGACAAGATTCTTAAGAACGAAACAACTCTCAAGTCTCTTCAGAAGGATGTGTGGAGAGCACACAAGATTGCCATGGACCAAGGCCTCGATGACTGGAGCGAACAGGCTATGATGCGGCATGTCTTCAAGGCTAGCGAAAATGTCACCGATGAGATCTGGACTTCATCCGACTACGACGTGTTCTGGGATGAGTTGCACCACAACTCCAACCTGGGCTTGGATGGCACAAAGGGTAGCTTGGGAGAGACCAAATGGCTGTGCATCGATGGAGGATTCAACCGTCTATCCGACGCCTTTCTTCCACATGTTCGCGACAGACTCACTCTCAACCGGAAGATCAGAAAGTTGGAACCCATCCAGGACAGCAATGGCAACACTCGCACCCGACTATCCTGGTATCCCAGCATCTCGAACCGGACGTACGAGTCCAAAGACTACGACTACACAATCATGGCCGCCCCATTCACCATGACCCGCTTCATGGACTTGCCAAAGTTCTCATCAGTCCTCGATCGCGCCATCAGCGAAGCAGGCGTCCGTTTCAAGTCCGCCTGCAAAGTTGCCCTCCTATTCTCCGAGCGATTTTGGGAAAAGGGCGACCGACCCATCTTCGGCGGATATTCCAAACCTCCAAGTGACCCAGTCGGGGCTCTATACTATCCAGTCTATGGCCTCAACGAGTCACGGCCGGGTCTGATCATGCACTACCGAGGCGGAGACTGGAGCGACCGGTTTGTGAGTTTCTCCGACGAAGAGCACGTTCAGACAGTGCTGGATTCAATTGTTAGTTTGCATGGCGAGCAAGTGCGAGACTTGTATACGGGTGATTACGAGCGTCTCTGTTGGCTTCAGGATGAGCATACTGCGACTTCGTGGTGTCGGCCGGATGTTGAGCAGCATAAATTGTACATTCCGGCTTATCATCAGACGGAGCATAACACCATTTTCATTGGTGAGCATACTGCGCCTACTCATGCTTGGGTTAGCTCTTCTTTGCAGTCCTCCGTTCGTGGATCTGTCCAGTTGCTTTTGGGGCTGGGCTTGGTTGATGAGGCAAAGGAGTTGAACCAGCGGTGGATGGGGAGATGGATTAAACTATGATTTCCTGGCTATTTCTATGAGCTACAATGCAGTGATTGTAATTAGATACAAAAAGTTCATTCTTCTCTATCCATATTAAGAAAATATTGAAGTACTGTTCAATACTGCAGTGTTTATCTACCAGGGCAATATCTCACCAGTTTGAGTAACAAACTTGCCAGAAAAGTTCTCCCTTGTTGCTCCATCAATAACCTCCAGCATCCCCTTCACACTCTCGTCAACAGTGACCGGCGGACTACCAGAGTATCCCCACTCCTTCGCAGCAAAGTCCCCGGCACGCGTCTGTACCCACCCGGGATGAAGTGAAAACGCAATAAGACCACTTGCCTCATTCTCAGAATGAAGCGCTTTGGTAATCCAGTTAGATGCAGCTTTACTAGGGCCGTAGGCCCCACCGGGAACAGGCTCTTGTTCAGCAATCGACCCAACGGACGATGAAATGACAACAAGCTTAGGAGAAGAAGTCGACTGCTGCATGAGTGGCCAAAATGCCTGAAAGACCATAAGGGGCGCAATGGTATTGACTTCAAATGAAGTGCGAAGGGCTTCCGCCGAAGTCAGACTAGCACGGGTCATGGGCGCTGCGAATCCAGCATTGCAGATTAGGACATCGACGTGGGATATCGTAGGGACTGTGGCTGCAAATATATGAAGGATTTTTTTCGGAGGGATCGCAGAGTCAAAGTCTAGCTCGATGATGTGAAGGACACTGTTTTCGCCCACGGTGACAGTTTCGATCTCTGACTTGAGGCTAGCGGCAGCCTCAGGGTTACGGACAGAAGCCACGACAGTAGTTCCTGGGCGGGCCAGTAGAGTTTCGGTCAAACCGAGGCCGAGTCCTCTATTTGCTCCGGTTAGGACATAGACTTTTTTCTACTGGCTGTCATGGTCCGCAGTTCTGCGAGGGGCAGTGGTGATTGTTTATGGTCCAGGCCGGATTGGCTTTAGAAGCTTAAACTAAACAGAAGAATGAAGAATCAAATTGAAATAACCAATGAGAAAGAAAAGAGAAATTACGGAGTAGTTGAAGTCAAACTGGTGTTTTATACCCTTGGGGCGGCTTATTCCCCGTGATCTCGGGCCAATCAGAAATTTCCGAGACCTCAGGGATCTAGAAAATTGTCTTTTCTTATAGTTTCTCTTCCTGTGATTTTATTTGCGTGTATACTTTAGGGCAGGAATTCTAAAATCTAACAGGAAGTTTAATCCAGACCTACGCCATAAAGTCAGGGCATCACTATGATACGTACCACTCTGATCTATTCCAAAGGCTTCTCCTTACCTTTTGAGTAGCTACAAGAAATAAAGTCAAGCTGCGCACTAAAAAATGAAGGCGCTTTAAAGGTATGTATATGAACCAAAATGGCGTGCTATGGCATTGACCGCAGGGTAGATGTCGAGAATCCGGTGACTTCTCAGACCTGACGCTACTCTGTGAAGGGGAGGAGTTCAAAGTGCACAAAGTGATCGTCTGCTCTCAATCAAATGTGCTACGCGCTGCTTGTGCAGGTAATTTCAAGGTATATTCGCTTATAGATCACTATTTAGGGAAGAATACTGATGGGTCTTTAGGAGGCATCAACAGGAATTTACAAGCTCGAGGATGAACCCGCAATAATTGTCAAATGATCGAGTTCTTCTACTGCGGAGATTACAATGACCCTATAAATGAGAGCACGTCACTCTCTCGTCTTCAGCTCCACGCTGAAGTCTTTGCTCTAGCCGGCAGATACTGTGTTCCTGATCTGGTCAGTCTTTGTTGCAAGAAGTTCCAAAAAAGACTCGAGATGAAAGAACCCACCGAGTACCTCGAATAAATTCCTAGTGTCTACAGTTCAACCCCTGATACAGTGCGTGGCCTCAGAGATATTGTCACCAGCTTCGCACGCGTCCATGTTCCCACTTTTGTACTGGATCCATCTTTCGAAACTGGGTATAAAAAGGTTGAAACACTCTTCCTTGATTTTGCAATAGATCTGCTCAGCTTGTTTATCCAAAACGTTCTTAATCATTGCTGTACATGTGCGGATGAGACAAAACAAGATGTAAAGAGACTATGCAAAGAGTTCAGGGGGCAGATGAGAATCGAGAGATTTGGTCGGTAGGGGTTGAACCAAGAGAGTGAAGGATGGTTTTTTGAACAATGCTCGCTTTTGTATCATATTTGACGAGGTACCTCCATCGCTGGCAGACATAGAGACATTGCTAGATAATAATTATTTTCTGGTGTCTCTTGAAATGATCTTAGGATCTCAGTTCGGATGGTGTGGGAAACTGGTGCCTGATATTTCAGGCTAACTTTCCTCCTTGATAACGTTAAGTTAAGCCATAAATGTGTGCTGTCTTCGCTGCAGAGTAGAAGACTCGTCATGCTTTCTTTTCTTCTCTTCTCCTTGTCTTCTGGTCTTGGTTCTTTCACTCTTCTTTCAGCTACCCAAATGAACAGGTCTTATGGAGATAACTTCGATATATGTGGCACTGATCTTAGCGCAGGGGCTTTTTAGATATGGAATTGCAACCTATATCTCTGTTCAGATTTGTGTACGAAGTCTCACCTCGGTAATAAAGGATTAAGCGGATTTGATGACTTCAACAGTCATATCAACGAACATATCGCGATCTCCACCTGCCAAGACTGCCAATCTCTCCCACTTTCCCCAACGCCCTTCAGCGGAATTTGCCGGTCCCCTCGGGGTCTTTCTCCGATAGGACAATGCGCAGATTAGTCGGAGATTTTCCCTTCTGACCTCTAAGGACCAATGGAGCAAGTATGAAAACCCCAAAAGAGGGGATACGCCCCACCGTTATCTCTGGCAATTTGGGGTTAGAAGTTCAGGCACGGCAGCGTCGGAAGGTCCACGAGACGCTAAGATAGTAAGCTTGGCGGTTTCTATGTATTTAAGAGAGCCCCTGCTATTCAAAGCATTAGATTAAGGGCATCATGGCTTTGGGTTTTGGATCTCGCCTGTGGCGTGTTTCCGCTTCTATAGTTCTTCTATTTGCTACCTCGACCACATCAACTACTATCGATGATGGCAAGCTGTTCACCGTCAATGGAATCAGCTATTATGGCGGAGGCACTGCTGTCTCCAAGATAGTGACTTCCGCAGATTTCAATACAACCCAATTCAACGCGGATATCGTTCCTATTACTATCATTCGAACAGATGATGCGGTTCTCACAAAGGACAGTCTGAAGGATACTATCTCAAACTATTCCGCCTCCGATGATGTATTCCAGATTGGATTCCTCCAATGTAAGTTTGGGTTGAGCTGCTATTCTTCACAAATTCAGTTGAATTAACTTGGATTAACCTCACAACAGCGGTGTTTCTGCTCTACGACGGAGATGGTCGGAGCAAAGCTGACATCTCAAGCCACCAAGCTCTGCAGAATTTTGGAAGCAAAGTCGTAATGGCTTCACCTCGCTATCGACCTGAAGCACATCTTACACCCGCCAAGCTGTCGCATGATCTACCCCAGGGACCCTACTTTTTCTCGCCCCAGACCGGAGAGGTTTATCAAGCCTTCCGTCTCTATTCAGACCACCAAGTTGCTTTCACTGAAGCAGCCCTGAGCGATGGAAATGGAGGATTCAAACCTTTGCCTGCAGCGGCATCCGTGAGTATTTTGTAGGAAAGCTCGCTTTACTTTGAGCTGATTGGATTTAGGGAGCAATGACAAAAAGCGTGGCTGTTCCATCCCGGCTTTACTATACGCCCACTTCTGAAAAGCCACTTGCAGGAGTGAGTCTCACAATCATGTAATATTGATTGAAACTATTGTTGACAAAATCTAGTTACGCTTGGGTGTCAAAGACATTTACCACATCAAGGGACTGCGGACTAGTGGAGGTAACAGAGCCTACTATGATTTGTACTCACCGCAAAACACCACCGGTCCCGCAATTCAACGCTTGATCGATCAAGGTGCTATTATGGTCGGAAAGATGGGCACTGTTCAGTTTGCGAACGGTGACAACCCCACTGCTGACTGGGTCGACTTCCATTGTCCTTTCAACCCGAGAGTAAGTCTCTTGATGTATATATGGGGATCTATACTAACACTTCTCAGGGTGATGGCTACCAAGCTCCTGGTGGCTCATCTTCAGGACCTGGCGCCGGCATTGGTGCTTACGACTGGTTAGATATTGCCGTGGGAAGCGACACTGGTGGCTCCATGCGCAGCCCAGGAGGCATGCAAGGACTATTTGCCAACCGTCCTTCTACTGGCGCCGTCTCTTTGGATGATGTTATTCCCCTCTGCCATGCCCTCGACACAGCTGGTGTCTTCTCTCGCAATGCCGCCACCTGGTCAAAGGTTCTTCATGCTTGGTACCAGAACTTCACTGATTACAGGGAATATCCTAAGAAGATCTTCTATCAGGACTCTTCATTCCCTGCCACAAACACCTCAGCGGGTGCAATGCTCGAAGAGTTTGTTGTCAAGGTCGAAGATTTCCTCGCCACAAAGCGTGAGCATGTTAATATTTCTTCACAATGGGAGAAGACCCATCCTTCAACAACGGCCGGCGCCATCAATGACGTGTTGAATACAGTGGGTTTTAAATTATCTAAAATCTACCATCACATGCTAATTGTACACAACAGACATACGCTTTCTTGGTATCCGTTGACCAATACCGCTCCCTTGCACTGCCATTCTACGCAGACTACGCTAAGGAGCACGAGGGTCGCCGGCCCTTCATTAACCCAGGTCCTCTGGCGCGGTGGACCTGGGGCCAGAACAACGGTGGTGACGCCGCCTTTACAGAGGCTCTCAAGAACAAGACCATTTTCAAGAACTGGTGGGAAACAGAAGGATACGGCAAGGCAGACGAAAAGACTTGCTCTGAGGGAATCTATCTCTACCCCTACACCCAGGGAGACACGCAATACCGCAATGTCTATTTCAGGTGAGTTGGCAGCATCAGAACCATAATAAAGCTGCAATATCTAACATCCACAGTGCCCCAACGGCACCTCCTCTGGGCTTTTCAAATGGCCGTATCGCCGTCTTGGCTGGTACGCCTGATATGATTGTTCCTGTTGGTGAGGTTGCTTATAACTCTACTATCTCGCTTAAGACGGAGTATATGCCAGTCACGATGAGCTTTGGGGCTGCTAGAGGCTGTGACTTTATGTTGGCGAATCTCATTGAGGATCTTGAGAAGGCTGGTATTGTGAAGCCTGTCAGCACAGGGTCGATGATGTATCCATCCTAGATATGAAGGCCTTTGAACCTAACCATCATATGTATAGATTATTTTATGCAATGGGTTCTTAGATTAGAGGTCGCGGAATGTAAATAGAGTCGAAACAAACTTTAGTTACCTAGATCCATCCCTTTTAAGTCGCGCTTGGTTATGAAACTTGGCTAAAGCGGACAGATAAACTTCAGGTTCTCTCGATCCGTCTTGTAAAGATCAAGAGCACCAATTTTGAGAAACTATATTTTTTGGTATTTGTATGTCATTCTGGGTCAATTTGCAGCTCCGGTGTTGTAACCCACCGAGTATCAGTGTATTCGACGCATTTACCCGAGGGTATTTCAGCATGCCCTCGATCGTATGTTGTTCTCTTCAATTAATCAATTTATTCATCCAGAATTGGTTCCTCTTGATCTGATCTTAATCTTCCTGGATGCGTACTAGTCCATACACTTTTAGCATGTTCTGATGAAATATCCCGGATCGTTGTTGAGCAATTAATTGATCACGGACGGTGTAATCGAGCTTGCTTTATAAGAGACATGCTAGTGCAAGCGGGACAGAAAGTTCACAGTCGAACCAACCGATTCAACCCAGTACACTGAGAATGGTGGCCACTATTGTCCCGGACGTCGAGAAACCGACTACAATATTAGTCTTCCAGATCGCGGATCGCACGTCGTACCACTAAATTTCCGGCTTCCAGCCGGTGCATGATCCGTGCCAGCTTTGCCCTTTGGCCGTTTACCATCCTCGTAGCCCTCAGGTTTGTTTAGGTTGGGGATACAGCATTATTCTCCGGCATTCGCCAACCAGGGTTGATACCCCATCCGCCCCATAACCTCCCACCTCATCAGCGCTTTTATTGAACGTAAACGGTAGTACACTTGCCGACATGGAGATGGACAAACGCAAACCTAGGAGTGACGCTTATCTGGACATTAGATTCCTCCTTCTACTCTGCCACCATACAAAGATCGAGTGGGCAACGGAAACCAAGATCAGTCACTATGGGTAGTCGTATTGCTTGTTAAATGGCTCAAGCGGCCAGAGAAAGCATCACTATTCAACGAAGATAAATCTTGTGTTTATACATAGCAAAACACTCCCCGACAATTATCAAATATCCACACACCCTTTGCAGCTTCAATTGTCTCTCATTTCCAAACTGAGTCTGGTACTGTTACTGGCCCCGATGGAATCAGCGTCGATACTGATATATGCGGCCAGATCAACTGGTCAAATACCAGTAATACTACTTCAGAATACTGAATCTGTATCGAAGTGACATTGATCGTCTTGGGTGCAGTGATGTCATGCGGTGGGCGGACGAGGAACACCGGCGCGGGCTTGTGTGCTGGTGAAGCCGGGGAAATCTTCATAGGGGCTTGTCCACGCTTGAAGATTGGAACTTTGAGCTCATATTGCACCTTCTCAATCCAGAAGGTAGCATTTATTTGGACTGCATTAGCATTTGGAGTCGTGGCGGCGGGGTTTCCTTCTAAGAATACGATGTTCGCTGTTCCTCCACCGAACACCGGAGGCGGAGGCATTGTGGACACCGTAAAAACGGTGTTCTCGAGAATAGTCTGTCCTTCGATGGCGTCGCGCAAAACGGTGTTTGGGTCATCTAGCATGTCTTGTGTGATGGTGCCAGCAGCAATGAATTTCGAGAGATCCTGTGGGCGTCGAAGATCGGTGAAGACTGAAGCATTTAGGCTACCAATCGGCACTGCGTCACCACCGCCTACGGGTTGTACCGCCAAGCTGGCCGGTGGGATCTCGGGTGGACCTGGGAAAACCGAAGTAGGCGCTAGGCATTGAGCATTGATAGTTGTGCCATGTGGAATAGACCCCATGCGCACGAGCGATTCGCCAAGGACTGGAGTATTGTTCGTGGGCGGGACGTTCATCCACGATTCAGCGATGAAGGGGCGGAATGGATACCTAACAATGTAGGGAAGGTTTGGAATGTGTAGACATTGATATGGCTCGCCCACGGGTGGGAACTCCTAGCTGAGGTGTTGCATGTAAGCTTGGGAGGAAAACAGAAATATGACAGGTTGACAAGTGATAGAAATGAAAAAAGGGTCAAGCAATTTTGGCCGGAAATTTAGGAAAATAGGCAGGAAATAACGTATTTCATAAGCGAGTGGCCATCTCTAAAAGACGTAGTAAATGCGATATATTGAAGTCGTTTTGTAGTGTATCTGGGGGTTAACTCGGGCCGGGCACCGCGGCCCGCCGTTTCCGAAGAACTATTCGTAGAGTAATCGGCAAATTGATCCTCTTGATCTTTATTACGCATTCATCTATTAGATCTCGGTATTTAATACGCGATGTTTTCTGAGTAATATCATACAAATGGTCTCGTTTCAATCTCCTCTATAAGCAGGAGTAGGTTTCTAGAGCACAGGCAAGGAGTGATTGTCCTTTTGCTTACGCTCCATCCGAAGTACATAGTAGTCACCACTCAGGGTAGTGCTTATGAATGCGCCGTATTGCGCGGAGCAGATACAGCTTGTACTCGCTATTTCGCCGGTGGAATAGAGAACATCTTGTCTAGGATGATTATGGTCGTGTTGTAACGAAACGCGAATTTTAAGGTTTTAGCTCAGAATCTCGCGGCAGCCCTTTTAATTAGCCAAGACAGGGGCTGGCTGTTTTAGGCTGTGTGGCGTCTGTAGCGAGCTTTATAGTTTTAGCTCGGATTCTTGCAGAAGCACTTTAGGCTAGTGTAACCTAAGTCTATTTGTTATAGGCCGTGTGGTCGTCGATGGCGATCTTTATAGTTGTGGCTCGGAATCTTACGCAAGCCTTTTAAGCCAGTGTAACCAAAGGTTATTTGTTAAAGGACGTTCTAGTCCATTTACAACCTTTTAGTCGCTGTAGACGTGCATCCAGATGCCATTATTCATCGGGCCTCATGTAAATCATCCGAATAAGAATCTAAAACCTTCTTGTCTCATGAATGATGATGAAACTTCCGATTACAACAAAGACATCGATACGGCGCGGTGAGAGCCAGATGTGCTGCAGACCTAGCGATACGTCGGCCTTATGTCTCAACTTGGACGTGTTCCTGTGGTTTCTTCCGCTAAAAGTTAAAACGGGAGGATTTAGAGGCACGTCTAATCAATATAAATTCGATTTCTAACCCTTTCCAACCGTATTTTCAATTCCCATAGGTTTCCTTACGGGTTTGGTGACTTGGACCAACCCATATCCACCTCATCTACTGGTCCCCATATCTTTATCATCTTCTCCATCAAATCTGTTCTGCCTTCGACAGCCAAGACCTCCATAACAGCACGATACGCCGAGTTCAACGCGCCAACAACCCACGCATGACCACTGCTTGTGGCCTCGCCCGCTGTGTGTAGTCTTCCGTTACAACTCGGCCGCATCAGGGGCGGGAGGACATCTGAAAATTGTGCGGGTTAAACAGAGCATAAGCACCGATTGAGTATGGGTGGTCATACCAGTCCCACAGATGTGCTTCCACTAGCTGGTCCTGGAGGAACGATATAGATACGTTATGTAGACGTGCCATATCCTCCAAGACAACGTGCGTTATGAATTCTTCCTGTTCTGCACTTTGGTAAAAGGCAGCTAGTCGAGCAGCATCTTGACTCCATGTATAGCTGGCGATCATTGTCCCTGGAGCATCTTGGACATCAAGCCCATAGGATGGGTACACGCAGCGTCGGATTGGAGGGTCTGTGGATGATCCCCCGCCGACGAAAGGAGCAGGCAACACATCAGGGTTTTCCCACCAGCGAGTCTTAAACCAAATGCCAATTTTGCCTGCGTCATCGTAGGCTAGAGCGCGCCACGCCATTGTGGTATTGTAATTGAGATCTGACAATGTGGACGTGTCGAGGAGCCTTGTCGCTCCAAGCGGGATTGAGCTGATTACGTAGTCATAAGAATGCTCAACTGTATGGTTCACGACAACTGTGAGGGAATCTGCTCGTCCGGGCTTGATGGCGGTCACGCGGTTGAGCAGTTTCGGCAGGTGATGCAGAACTTTAAGAAGCCCATGGATTAGTCGTTCAAACCCGCCGTTGATTGTGACCCAAGAATCAAGAGGAGCAGCCGTGAATATCCATTGTTCGATGACTGCCTGGGCAAGGGATGCTTTATCAAAGGACAACGTTCCTTCCTCAATGGTCTCCAACCAGTTGATCTGCGCGTTGGTAAAGCCTTTCTGCAAAAGGTATGCCCGGACGGACAACTGGTCGAATTCCATGAGCTTAGTATATCCTTGATCGATGTTCTGCTGTAGTGCATCCACCAGTTCGGCAACCGCATCGCTGTATATCGTATCGGGATTGATAACGGCGAAGTCGGAGGGTGGGATATTCCCGCCTTCAGTTGTTAGGACATGAAATGTTGCGGCAAAGGGAGTCACGTTGGCATGAACAGATATATTATTATACATTTGGAATGTATTGTTCGCGGAGAAGACGTATGGAATCAGATCAATTGCATCAGCTCGGTCACTAACGTGCGTGTTCACGTAGCTGACGACGGACCAGTTTTGAGTCCCGATCACTCGGTCCATGTAGGGCATAATGGGAATCCTCATGGCACCCGCATCCTGGATGTCCAATTAGTTTTGCTACCAACACCTTCTCCAGCAGCTGCTGTGGCTTCACACTTACATAGTAATTGTAATACGCAGCTTCCTGGGGATTCGACTTTTTCCAACCCTCCGGATCAAAAAAATGGGTGTAGATTCTTCCGCCCGCGCGTCCGTCTGCCTCCAGGATTTCGAAGTCGACATCTAGGCTCTGCAGCAGCAGAGCTGAATACAACCCCGCAGCACCTGCACCAATAATGCCGACCTTTAGCGGCGGTGACCGTGTTGGCAGTCTTGGTCACAAGGCAATGCCGGAGGACCAGGAGGAAATGAGTTGTAGACTCCTGCGCGAGATATCAACTCACGGAAGAGTTGGACCCGGGCAGAACCGGGGTCAATGGCACTTTCGGCGCCGTGTAGGCACAAGGAAAAAAGGAAAGCGGAGAGGCAGAGTAAAGGCCTCATCTTGGCAGCAACGGAAGAAAGCGAAGGCTGTCAAACCAGGTACACAATAGAAAGTAATGATGCCTACAAAGATAGGAAGAAACAAACAGCCATTTTCTATCTATATGTGCCATGTTCCACTTCTCCAACGTCGGGATGGAAGGGCTTGGAATGTTCACTTTAAGCTTACCAGTACAAAGTTTGCAAATATTTCAGATCCCCGCTTGGTATGTAGGAGAATTAGGCCGTGCCATCTTGAGCCGCCCCTAAAATATCACTGTACGGAAAACCAGCATTGTTGAATGTTAGGTTAATGATACCACGTATATGAAGTGTTGAACGATGAAGCTCAAAGGAACTGGAAATATAATGTCAAGGTGTGCACAGCGAACTGGGTCCTGCTTGCCGGGTATTTCCCAAGCTTCTTCACTTGGTTGAAGAGACCAAGTAAAGTGAGAAACAGCTTTGGATGAAAAAAAGCGGGACGAACAGTTTTAAACACGATACAAAACCACTCACTAATTATGTGTCGGAGCTACGGCATTTACGTTACTGCATAGGGAAGAATTTGATAGAAGTACACATTGCTCATGTATAAGCTTTCCAGGTCAGATTCCTAGTGTACCTGCAGGCGCAAGGCTAACAGAAAGCAGGCCAGTTAATTTGAGACGTTGTTGGCTCATAAAATTTATTTGCCCTTGGTTATCACACAATAACACGATCATTGGACTCACGCTCCTTATCTGGGTTTCCCTGAACACGGGGGAACCATTTTCGAGTGTTTTCTCGTGCTATGTCTTGCACTAGGGTCGACAATAGCTGCTCTTCAACATTTACTACCCACTTCAGAACACGTTCTCCCCTCCAGGCATACGTGGGTCCCTTAAACTGAATAATCCGTTGAAACCTCCGAGGAGCTCTCGAAAGACACTTATGCATAGGCCATGAATTCTTCATCGTGACGGAACCTCCTATAGGCGGCCCCACATCGATAGCCTCCCCGAATACTTGAATACTTGAATTCTATGAGACTATATAGATGAGTCATCCGTCAGAATGTCAATTTCAACGACGCGCTCCTTTTCGGATTCTATAAGGACAAACCACACCTGATCATACTGACCTAATAACATCATTCCGAGCTTAATTGTTAAGCTTTTTAAAATAGTGGAGGTCGCGACGAGGAATTTGTCCTTGGCAAATTCTTCGTACTTGGTGACTGTCGTATGTTTGACCGCCTGGGGGCTCTCGTAGACCGAGGGTGTAATCATGGTAAATTATGGGTACTACACAACTACTCTAACACAGCTCTGTGAGAACAGCTGAGTTGGATGCCAATCTAGGCTCTCCGACGCAAAATTAAATTGATCGTGGTTGAGGAGAGATCGATCAGTAAAAGCATCCCATGCTACACGACGAGGAGCAAAGTTGACCGAGAAAGATGTGTTTAATGCTAGGGTTAAGGTCGCACTTCAACACCTCTGAAGATACCATATCTGTTGAGTGTCTCAGGACTATTTATGATCAGGTTTTATAACTTGCTAATTATGAATAAATAGCGAACACGGATACCTACCCCGTATGAATCTTGAAGTTAAGGCGAAAGAATGATTTGGGTATCAGCTTAGTGCGTAGACTAACATGTAAATAGTGAAATCTAAATTTCCCTAGAGGAATCTAAGGCTTACGCAGGGATGAAAACCGAGGAATTCTGCCAAAAAATTTGGAAGGCCAAACATTTAGCGTCTGCTACTCTTACACTCGTAACAGTAGTAGTAGTAGTAGTAGTAGTAGTAGTAGAATTCATTTACCCTGACCCCTCGCGAACGACATGCAGGCTGCAACAGCTTTGTAAATATATGTTTGTTTGCTCCACTGAGATTGTTCCAAGCTTCCTGAACGGTGAACTTCGAGCCTCACCTGATAAGGTGATTGTCTCCACTTTAATCCGTGATAAGACTGGGGTACTCGGCTACCCCGGGTTGTGTCTCTCCATAGAGACGCAATGGTGATCAATGTTGTGCCAGCGCTGGGACTAGAACATAATACCTTCAGAATGAAGAGTGTCACAGTCATCCTGCAGCTTGCCTGGTGAAGAAGGCGAATGAGGTTGTTCAACCAAAAGCTGTCCAATAGGAATAGAAACTGTTCAATCTGCTCTACAAAATGAAGATATAACGAGGACATTTCATACTGCTTCTGGTGCTTCTAGCAAGCTCCGAGCACAGGTACCGAATCTTCCAGGACGCTCGTATAGAACGAACCCAAGGTAGCGTCCTGCACGTCTATCCCCCGGGTCAGCGGTGCGTACAGGGAGCAGGGCTTGAGCACCTCGGAGGGAAATGCCTGAACAGGAAGTAGGGCCCCGCAGCTGAAAGCAATGCAGGAAAGAGAGCACGAGCACGCAACTAGATGACGATATTAAACTGGGAAATCCCACAGGGAAATTCAGCTAGGTATTAAGGAGTATCGGGTCGTTCACTCTCGAGCACCAATCTTCAGTTTACGGGGTTGCGGGCGGCGGAGTATAGGCCGGAAAGTCCTCCGGCGTAGAGAGCGGGATATTACCGAATTGGGAGCTATACACACCTCAAGCCTTGATGTGGCGATGCCTTGGCAGTTGGGACTCCAGCATTACCACCTGACTGGTGAAGCACCTTCAGAAATGGATTCCAAAAAGTAATTCACCAATAACCAGTATTGTGTGTACATAGTCGGAATACGTGATACTAGCGATCAATCAATGATCTTGAAGTCTCTGGTATTATCTAATCCTCTGAAAACAACAATTCAACTATTGACAGTGTAGGAGAGACGTGAATGGCATCGAAAAAGAATAATTCAGGAAAGGTAGCTGGGGGAATTTGGGACCGAGGTGAGGACGACGAAATTCTCCAAGCAATGAGTGGCGGGTGAAAAAGCAAAATTAAAAGTGTGACTGAGGCTGGCGCGTAGATTAGTTCCTGAGAACTTAGTGGCCCTCACTAGCACATCAGAAAGTTGCGGTCCTCAAACAGTTGGTGAGCGCAGGGGTCGTACTCCTCGGGGTTGACCTGAGGTCTTACACGGATTATCCTACCACAAACGTGCACTATTCACCTCATACAATTTATTGAGTCATGATGGACCTTTTTATCGGATATGCATTCCCTCAAACATATCCTAGGGGTATACGAAGCAATTTATTTTGTTTTTTTTTAGCTTGAAAGCTATCGGAGAAACTGTGGTCTCTCTGAAACATAAGTTGTTTTAGATTCAAAGTTAATTCAGTAAATCTTGAATGTTATCTCCACCACACTCCGCCTCATTTGATCTAACACCATTTAGGTGACAAGCTCGGGAGAAAAATACAATTTGACTTGGATAGATACTTATTAACTCCCTGGAGGAACGACGATCTCTTGGCTGGTACTATTAAGCTGATCCTGCTCAAACTACTCTCTTTCCTTTCGCTTCAGTATTGTATTCATTCATTCCTTTCTTTTCTCCTATTTGCCTTCATTCATTACTGTTATCATTCTCTTCGCAATGCGTGCCTTTCTGTCTTTCGTTGTTCCTCTACTCCCTCTTGCATCAAGCTTCGTGCATCCTGGCCTCCTTGTCTCGGACAGCGATGTCACTCGCGCCCAGCAAAAGATCAAGGCCAACCTGGATCCATGGACTACCTCTTGGAATACCTTGACCAGTCTCTCATTTTCTGATGCGAGCTACACTCCTTCGCCAGTTAGTCATGTCTACCGCAGTGCCTGGTATGACAATGCCGAGAACGCGGAGCTTCTCTGGCACGACGTCGCGGCCGCATTTAATCTTGCCCTACGCTGGAAAATGACACAAAACGTGAGCTTCGCCGACACCGCTAGCAATATTCTGCATGCGTGGGCGACCACTCTCAACGCGATCGATGGTGGTGATGACAAGTACCTCACAGCGGGCCTGCAGGGGTACGAACTCGCCAACGCAGCCGAACTCCTTCGTGACTATGAACCCTTCACGGCCAATGTCCTCCCGGCCGTTGTGGAAATGGCCAACAATATCTTTATCCCGATGCACTACAGATGGTTGAACCATGAAGAGCCGTCGGAGCATAATATTCTTCATTTCTTCGCGAACTGGGAGCTATGCAATATCGCTTCGGCGATGGCTATGGGTGTCCTAACCGACAACAAAACAGTGTGGGATTTCGCTGTGAATTACTTCAAGACCGGGGATGGAACGGGCGCGATCAACAATGCTATCACCAATATCGTTGAAGAGCCTGGTACAGGGACGTTGCTCGGCCAGGGCCAAGAGTCTGGTCGTGATCAGGGCCACTCAGCATTGGACATCCAACTCCTCGGTGTTATCGGCCAGCAGGCCTGGAACCAAGGAGAGGATTTGTTTGCCTACAATGATAGCCGGATTCTCCGTGGGTAAGTACCATTCAATACTTTCCTCCATCTTACCATTTACTCATGTATCCCCGTAGGGCAGAGTACTTCGCGCGGTACAACCTTGGAAACGACGTTCCCTTCGTCTCCTACACGAACGGGATAGTCAGCTACACGGAGATCAGCAGTGCCTCCCGTGGAGCCATTAGACCTACCTGGGAGCTTCTCTACAACCATTATGTGATAAGGAAGGGGATGGATGCACCTTGGTCCACTCTGTTCCTCAACAACTCTCTTGACTATTACGACGGCGCGGAGGGTGGTGCCGGCTCCTGGGGAGAGGGGTCTGGTCATTACGACGGTTTGGGCTGGGGATCGTTGCTGTATCACATGGATGAGGCAGACGTGGCAGGTCTGGTCTCCTCCCAATCTGCTTTGCCCACGGCGAACCACATGTCAAGCGCCTCCTTTGCGTCTACTTTCGCCCCTAGCGCAACGACCACGACTTCTGGCGTATCCGACCAAAGCACGCATGTTTCGAGTTCCACTACAACATACCCTAGTGCTGTTTCTTCTGATTTGGGCACAGGACACTCTGCCTTATCAACCGTCGCAAAGAACAGTGCGACTCCCATATCTTCTATGCATAGTACTGCTTCTACCAGCGTATTGACAACTTCAACGACTACGCCACTTGGTAGGCCGCAAGAAGCCCATCACCATCATCATCACCATGTGGACGGTCAAGCACAAAATGTTTGCCACGTACATTAGGTCTACGTTCAGATGCTCCACACGTGCTTCTTCAGCCACCAACCTTGCCTGATTGTCAGTGTTTGCTCAGGCAAATACTCGTTCATTGTATCGTCTGTCTCCCTACTTGAGCTAGTTGGCCGTTTATAGGATACATTTGGGTTACATGGTTAAAGCATCAAACCAACCAAGAATCATTTCCATAACTTAGTAGAGGAACTGAGGATTGAAATAGAAGGTGGTATGACGTATTGAACAAGTTGACAGTAATCAGCGCCAGGTTCATCGGCCACATGACCCCAGAAAGGTTCGAATAAGGTACAAAACTTGATACGACGATGGAATGGGAACAGTCCATGGGCTTAATTTTATTACAGAGTTTTCATCCACTGTTCTAGAGCCGAGCCCGCGTATGCTGATCTTATAATTGTCTAACCATATCAAACGTGATGAGATGTAAGTATGAAAAAAAATTTCAAATCTAGCGTTGCGAGATGTCCCTCGGTCCACCAGGGCCCTCTTCGAGACCATTCCTTCGTGGCGCATCGGGGCGCCAGCGCCAGAACTCTCGCATGAAGGATGAGCTTTGGTCTCCTTTCTCCAATATATCCGCGGCATGCTGTGAGTGGCTATTAGTAAGTCTCTCATGATGTGAATTGGCTCTTCCCACCTTTCCCAGAACTGGTAAGAACTTTGCACCATGGCCACTACCTCCAGTGCAAACGAATACAGAGTTCTCTGCATATGTCGGTACGTGATCAATCTATATTATTCGGAGATGAGTAAATTCATTTGTCCAAAATATCTTAAAGACTTACCACGAAGGAATTGTCCAGTGAATCGGTATACCAGCAGAGCTTTGTAGAGGAAAATGGAATACCATCAAACTCCGGCAGGAATATGGACACAAACTGTTTGATCGCGTAAACAGCGGGCTCCGGTAGTACTGAGCACTCTTCTACCGGAAGAGGAACCGACCATTTCCCGTCTTGGGTAAATGGAGTGCCTTGCGGTGCAGGTTGGAAATTAGTCCACTAGAGATGTGATCAGCAAAGTCAAACGAAGAGGAGGGATCTTTGATTACTTTGATACCACGGTATCCAATCTTCACGAAGCCCTCTGGAGTTCTTGGTAGAACGTAAATACTTCCG